TGTTGGGGGGAGATATCGCGTGTTCTGTGCAGGTGTCGCGGTTTGCCAAGGTGTTCCGAAACCCGAGGTGTTCGGTATCCATATGCACTAGCTTACAGGTATTGGTGAGAGGAACAGAAGAATGCATGATCCTGCTGCACCTGTTGTTTCATACTATGCTCAAGTGAAGTCAGGCTGCTGCTGTGTCTGCAGGAACGTTCACTGCGTTGCATAGGCAGTGCGGTGACCGTTTGGCCCATCAAGGTTATCAACATTGCTAATCTATCCATCCTCCCATCGCAAAGCAGTCGTATAGTCGTAGGCAAACCGCCTCCATCTCCAAGATCTTCCGCCTCTGGTATATCTGCGCAGGCATCCAGTGTCCGCCAATGCTGTACATTTGACTGACCCCTCACACATACGTGGTCAAACACATCACCCCTTCACTCCGCATCCAAGGGAAATCCCACTCATCTCCTCCCCGCCCACAGTCCCTGCTGCGTCTCATGAATCCTCCGCTCCTGCTCCCTAATCATTTCATCCGTCTGCCCATGCCCATTGCCCCGACTATCAATCTTGTCGATGTCCATGGGATCCTCATCCGCGACCGGCTGCGGGACATTCAGCGGCGGTGCCCCTCGCCTCGGCTCGCCCGACCTCGCGCCATCCATCATGCCCGCTGCACCACCGGCACGCAGCTGGTTGATAGCGCGGATAGTGTCGATGGCAGCGTGTAGTGTGCGACGGGCGTTGAAGTTCTTCTTGACGGTGGGTAGCAGGTCCTCTTCGCCTTCAGCGGAGATGTCGCCGAGGTCCGCGATCCAAGGGTGGCTGAGAGCCTCGTGGGCGGTCATGCGGGCGGCGGGGTCGACGGTCAGGCAGCGCCGGATGAACTCGCGCGCTTTGAGGGAGACGCCGCGCCAGTACTCGAGCGGGGTGAAGGAGTAGTCGGCGACGAGGATGGCTTGCATCTCCTCGAGGTTGGAGTCGCGGTCGAAGGGGGTGTAGCCGCAGAGGAGGAAGTAGGTTATCACGCCGATGGCCCAGATGTCACTGTGTTGTGTTAGCAGGGTAGCAGGACTGTGCTATCTTGGCCCACTTACACTGGCTTCCCGTGGCCGGTTTTTCTGAAGATCTCGGGCGCCATGTAGCCTGGCGTACCGCAGGTCGTGGTGAGGACGTGGAACTGCTCCTCGTCCATTATACGTGAAAGTCCAAAATCTGCAATGAGCAGGTCTGCGTTGTCTTCTGGAGTGCGGAAGAGCAAGTTCTCGGGCTTGAGATCGCGATGCACGATGCCGTGGTCGTGCAGATACGCAACAGCGGAGAGGGTGGCACGAATGAGGTCGGCAGCATCCGACTCGTAGTAGTTTCCTTTGCGGCAGATGCGGTCGAACAACTCGCCTCCTAAGGCGAGATCCGTGACGAGGTAGACTATGTGAGTCAGCAGGAGCCTTGAGAGCGTTCATCTTCGCGCGTACGGTTGTTCATCGTCTCGAAGTAGTCGACAAGCGTCAAGATGTTCCTGTGTCCCATGGACACGCGCTTCAGGACGGCAATCTCATTCCTAACCTAGCGGGCATGAGCTCCAGTGCGCAGTCTGTGCCGCACCACTCACCATGTGTTCTCTTCCTGCCATCAGGCGCTTGTTGATGACCTTTGCCGCATAGTATCGCCCGGTGTCGATGTGCACACACTCCTTCACCACCGAATAACTGCCCGCCCCCAGCGTTTTTCCTGTCTTGTACCGGCATGGTTGGACCTGAGCTTGTGCTTGTGCGTTCGGCGTGTGCGCGCCTGATCCGCCGTTTGAGGCCATTTCAGACTTGTAGGAGTTGTTGCGCACAGGCGAAGGGTGTCGGTGGTCACCAGTCGGGCGGTGTGACGGGTGTTCAGCCGCGCTGCTGACTGACGATGTGCGCGCTCAAAGAGGCCGGGGAAAATCTAAGCGGACCGTGTAGCCTCACTTCAGAAAAGCAGGGCTCCAAGGCGCACAGAGCGATGGCAGCCGTGTACGGAGGGAACGTGTTGGTCAGCTCCAGGGTTCCCCGCAGCGGTGGGGTACTTCGCAAACAGAGGTGAGTTGCAGCAGAGACGGCCAGCTGGCGCGCACGCAAGAAATCGGCAGCGGGACAGACGCAGGTAAAATGTCGCTCAGCAGCGGACAGAAGCGGCGGCTGAGGTGAAGTGAAGCCGGGGCTGGTTCCGTCTGTTTCGCGGCGTGGAGGGGTGGTGAACCCTGGTCACGCTTGTTACTGGCTAGTTCCATTTGGCAGGTGGGACTATCAAAAGGTGTTCCGAACATCTTCATCGTCTATTCATAATTCTTGTCTCTATCTACGCCAAATGGTATCGCCAATTCATCGAGAGAGATATGCCGATTACAATCAGCCAGATCGTCGCTCAAGAAGCGGAATCTATCTAGTCTGTACGTTGACGCTTCGGCGGCGGGCTTGATCCCCTGCTCCTCAAACGCGTTAGACGGGTCGCATGGTCGACAGAGGCGGTACTTTACGACTTGACGAGCAGGCTATGGCCGTCCATGGCCTCGGCCTGCGGCAAACCCATGACCTCAAGCAGCGTGGGCGCAACATCCCCGAGCACGCCGTCCGTCTTCTTGAGGGAAAAGTTGTCGGGGGCGTTGGCCATGACGAACGGAACCTTGTTGAGGGTATGCGACGTCTTTGGCGTGCCCTCCTCGGTAAGCATCTCTTCTGCGTTACTGAAGTGTGTCAGTGGAGAAGATGTAAATGCGGCTGCTCACTTACCCGTGGTCGGCGGTGACGAACAACACGTATCCACTCTCCTTGCACTGCTCATAGATCTTCTTGATGGACTTGTCCGTCTCGGTGACACCCTCAATGGCAGCTTTGTAGACGCCAGTGTGACCCACCATGTCGGGAGGTGCAAAGTTGAGCATAATGAATTCAAAGTTGCCCTCCTTGATGCGCTCGCACGTCTTGTCCGCAACAGCCATGGCGCTCATCTTGGGCTCAAGGTCGTAGGTAGCGACCTTGGGAGACGAAATCATATCACGCTCCTCATTGTCAAACTGCTTCTCGACACCGCCATTGAAAAAGAAGGTGACGTGGGCGTATTTTTCCGTCTCTGCGATGTGGCACTGCTTCACGCCCTGCTTCGCCAACCACTCAGCAAGCACGTCGTCCATCTTCTGTGGCGGGAAAGCAATGTTGTACGGGAACTTGACGTTGTACTGGGTCATGGTGGTCAGGCTGATGTCCTTGGGGTACGGGAAATCGGGCTTTGGTGACCGGTCGAACCCACCCAGAAGCTGGGTGAGCTCGCGGACGCGGTCCGATCGGTAGTTGAAAGTGAAGACAGTGTCACCATCTGCACAAGTTAGCAGGCCATCTGGGTGCTCAGCTTGGAGTACTTACCCTGTATCCTTCGCTCCTTTCCTCCCACAATGATGGGCTTCAGGAACTCGTCGTTCTCGCCTTGCTCGTATCGCGCCTTGATGGCAGCCACCGGATCCTCGGCGTCCTCACCCTCTCCAGTAACAAGGCCCTTCAGACCAATCTCAACACGATCCCACCTCTTGTCGCGATCCATGATGTAGTAACGGCCAACGACGGTGGCAATCTCGCCAATGCCGAGCTCCTTGGTGTGCGCGAGCAGATCTGTCATGTATCCAGCAGCCGACTTGGGATCGGTGTCGCGACCATCGCCGAAGAAGTGGATGAAGACGTGCGGCACGCCAATCTCTTTGGCAACCTTGAGAAGAGCCACGAGGTGGTTGATGTGCGAGTGGACGCCGCCATCGGAGACAAGACCAGCCAGGTGCAGCCTGCCGTTGCCGTTCTTCGCGCGGGTGAAGGACTCGTGGATGTTCTTGATCTTGTTGAGCTCGCCCTTCTTAATGGTCTGGTCGATCCGTACGACATCCTGCCAGACAACGCGACCAGCGCCAATGTTCAAGTGGCCGACCTCGCTGTTGCCCATGAGGCCCTCGGGAAGACCGACGGCGAGCGAAGACGCCTCGAGTTCGGTGTAGCCCTGGGCAGTCTTGGATCCATCCTTTGCGAACTCGTCCATGCACGGCGTATCGGCAGCGAGAATGGCATCGCCCTCCTTGGGAGAATTCTCGCCGGCAACACCCCAGCCGTCAATGACGATGAGGACCGTCTTTTGGTCGACCTTGGCCATGGTGGAGGCCAATTGGGGGGAGAAGTTGGGACAAGTGAAAGAGAGCGCCGAAGACGACGGTGCAGAGGAGTTAAAGGCCGGAGACCGAGGACGTGTGGGTGCTGACGGCGACTGCGACTTGCGGTGCTGCACTTGTGCTGCAGAAGATGTTGGAGGGGCATTTGAGCTAAGCGGGGCGGTTCCCATCAAAAGCCTTGCGCCTCGCGCCTCAACGTCACACCCGCCCGCTGCAACCCACGCGCAGATAACGCGTGAGAAAAAAGCACTCCCGCGATCCTGTGATTCGCTCTGCACGGCGACATACGTAAATCCGCGGCCAACGCTCTCGCGGCACGCTGCTGCAGCCACCCGCTTCGCACGACGACGCGCTTGCGCGCAACAAAGCTCAACACCAAGCTTCCCGCTCCACTTCTCTTCCGGCTGCGAAACAACAAGACGCCATGTCCGGCGCTGCGACACCCCACGCACCGGCTTCGGCAAGGGCGTCGGTTGCACCTACCCCAGCACAGGCGCCGCCGCCGCCCGTGTCTGCCCTCCCGCCGCCGTCAACGTTCGACATTCTCCCGGACCTGCATCGCGTCCTCAGTCGACTCATCAACACGTCCGTCCAGCCTCCCGGAGCTGCCCCGACCCCGGGCCAGCCGTCCACCGATGGTCCTCTCGACATCCAACAGGTCTCGACCGCTGCGACCGAGGTCAAGCTCAAGCTGCAAAAGGCGCGCAAGGCCGTCATGGCGCTACCCGACATCGACCGCTCCATTGAGGACCAGCAGGACGAAATCCAGTTCCTCGAGGCGCGTATTGCGAAGCTGAAAGCTGCGCTGCAGGAACTCGGAAAGCCAGCCCTGGAAGCAGAGGACGTTGATCAGAGTATGACGGGGTGAGACTCCGAGAAGGCCATCATTGATACCCAACAGGTCCATATTCGGACTGCATGCAGGAGCTGTATGCGTCACTTGGCTGATGAAGTGAGAGGCTCGTGGCATCTCCAGCAGTAAGGAGTTGCGACTCTTTCAATCCTCAGCAAACCGGAAGCAGGGCCAGAACATCAGCTCAGATGCATCCACTCAAGAGACAGGGCGGTGGGCCCGCGAGTTGTTTATGATACCCCATGCGCGTCGAGGAAGGGAAGGGAAGGGAAGAGTGGAGCTTTGGACTGTGCACCATCTATGCCAGGCCGAGCATGCTGCGTGATGCAAAAAACCACCACCCGGTATGACTTTGGCGTAGGGAGTTTCGATAGACAATACGAATGGCGGGAGTCGCCTGAAATCCTTACCTCATTGCGAAGGGACGGTATCAAAACACCATCCAATGCAAATCCTAGACATGCATCGTAGCCCAAGATGCCATGGCATCAGTTATCATAAACCTGAATAGCAACCTAGTCGGGCTTTATGTTGATAAGACACGCTCCCTGGCATTCAAGGAGGTAGCATGATTGCAGACATGTTCGTGGACTATTCTCACGGTCTCCGTGGCAATGACGGCGGCTCGATGCAGCACGGAGGCTTGCGCATTTGGAAGGAAACGCCGTCCTCCAAATACTTGCTCCTTCCCTGCAGCTATCCTCGCGGTGAAGTGATGTCGAACGTCGCTGAGCGCCCGTGTCTGACCTTGCAACCTACCTTCACCATCGTTTGCAGGTAGGTGTTCTTTCACCAAGTTACGGCCACGGTGATCACTGATCACTTGCTCAGATGCCAGTATATTTTCATCAGAGCACTGCCACCGCAGCGTTCTATCGACTGAAAGCATATCTATTCCATTCATATATGGTATCGCTCTACTCACTCACTCAACTTCGCCTGCAACCTTTGCAGCCATATTGGTTTACCGCTTGCAAGAACACTCCCAATTACGCACGAACAGTGCAAACGTACTACCAGCAGCTGCCCACTGTTGTGAGTCTCAGTCTTGCAGCCTGCTATACCTCACCATGGACCACAGCATTGACAACCAGCTAGACCCCGTCCTACCAGCCCGGCCCGTGCACCACTACTCGGCTCACTTCTACTCTACCGCTAAAGTATCTCGTGGCATCCAACGTCACCGTCGGAGACCCTCCGATCAAAGGCCATGGCCACTCCCGAAGTTCGCGGGCGTCCTGCCCGAGCCAGCACCACAATCCATCGCGAGCCGCCCAGCAAAATCGAAATCAGCGTCATCCCAGTTGGTACAGTCCAACGTCTTCGTAACCAAGTGGAGGCGAGGATTACGCCAGAAGTTCCTGTGCCTGATGATGTGCTCTTGATACGAGCCCAGGACCACGCCAGCGCCCTTCGACAGTCACGTCGGACCTATAAACAACGGCTACGCGTCGCGGCGGAAATTGGCTTGTTCCGCATGAGCCCTTCACTGACTCGTTTCATCCATGACCATGACAACATGACCAGGGCCGTCGCTAGGTCAACCGAGCTCGCGCGGCGAGCGCGGAACAGCTCTGGCGTTGACACTTTGACATATGTCAACATTTGTAAGTAGGGGACGCAGACGAAAAGACCTATTTATTATCTGTCTGCGATATACATCACCCTGTCTTGGTTCGCACTGACTTTTACCTGCACTTTAGGTATCATCGCGGTTCGGAATCGTTTGTCTCGGACATGGACCATCACGACGTTCAGCTCGTGTGCTAGAGAGGCGTTGAAAGCCACCGGCACAATTGGTCCTGCTATAGAAACACTAAGAGGCATGCTTGAAGACGTGGTTGTGCACATACTCACACTCTGGGATGAGTAAGTAGTTACCGGGCAGAAATGGAGGCTGAGACAGAGATACACTACCCTGTCTCAACTCATACTGAGTTTACCTCCGCACCTTAGGCTTTCCCTGAGGTATCTTGACGAAAATCAATTGAAGAACGTGGGCCCGGATCACAACATCGATGACTTCGGGCACGAGACCACGGTGGGAGTTGCCGGCGAACATCGAGTCAATGGTCCTATAAGTGACGACAAGATGGGGCATGCCCAGAGCAAAGGTAATACAAACTCTCTCCCAACCCCACCCCCATCACCTGCACGCATACATATTTCAAACGGTACTCTAGTGGATGACAATCTGGACGATAATGATGATGGCGATGATGACAAGGAGGACGACTACTCGAACTCGGACGACGACAGCTATCACTGCAGCATCTGCACAGATCCGTACACCAACCGTCACCGCGCATTCAGTCTTACACGCTGTGGCCACATCTTCGGCAAAGCCTGTCTATCAACTTGGATCAACTCCACCGCACGCAATGCAAATCTTTGTCCGCACTGCCGCGCTACGATCTGTAAGTCAGGATATTCTGCAGTATAAGCATAGAAGTCTGAATACGGTGTGTAGCGCCAGGGTAGTCAAAATGCTGGCCAACTGTACTCAGAATTTAATTTGACACTGTACCTATGTGGAGTAATTCTCACATTTACAGGTGTCCGACGTCCTCGTCGACCTATTATAGCCTCACGCGCAATTCTTCGTGACAATCATCGCGTTAATCTCCAGCACCAGCTCGATCAGGCGACAAGGTTGTACAAACTTCTCGCAGGTGTCCGCGGGGCGCTGTGGGGGTCTCACACCAGGAATGCATACCTTGGTGTCTGCATGGACGGACTCAACCAGCGCTTCTTTGTGGGTGGGTTGAGCTGGATCTTGGTGCCAATGGATTCGGGTGAGAGATGGACGCTGCAGCCGCACGACTGGCACGCGTAGGGTTTGGTAATGCGTGGTTGAACTTTGGCCGGCGGAAACTATGTCTGAGTGCGAGGTATGCATTGTGTATGTTTCGTGTGTCGGGCTTGCACATGCAATGGCTGTAGACGAAAGGGTCTGCACAGCGGTTCTGGGTACATTGGTCCAGGGTAGAGGGAGTTCAATACGGAGTTTTGACTTAAAAATGCGGCATAGATGTGTCTGTGATTGATATAGTTCAACTTTCGTGCCCTAGCTTTTAATTAAAGCATCTTAGTGCTGCGTTTACCATTACAATACTATTTTACATTGTACTGTGATCGTTGACTCTGATTATTACAGCACGACGTCGAGCGCTGTGTGAATGAGTCGAAAAGCATAGGGTTGCATGAGTGGCTGGCTTCGAGTGAAACAAGCTAACAATGGTAGAAACATCGCATGAATATGTAAGAGCGACGTGTTGTGTCATCCGTGTCACGTGCAGCTTATCTAAGGTTGTCCTAATCAATAAGGTAACTCGGCAGATACTCAAACATCACCATCAAAGCGTCCAAACAGTGAAGCATGTCCAACAATAGCAATGAATCTCTTGATCGCCTAAACATCACTCTCTCAACGCCTGTGCAATTAAGAGGCAGCCATGGGTCACGCCGCATCTGGCCCCTCGTACTCCTCCTCATCCTGATCCACCTGTCCACAGTGCTCTACACTCTCCCGCTAAATCGCGTCATCGAGCTTCGACTGTGTCAAACGCACTACTCCATCCCGAACCCAGAAGAGAAGGCATGCAAAATCGATGAAGTGCAGAGGCAATTGGCTTGGATCCAAGGTGTCATGGAAACGATGCTTGTTGCTTGTGGTACGTGTACTTTGCTAGGGTGGTGGAACGTGACGGGCTCAAGGCTCACACTCGTGGTTGTCGCTGCAAGCGGCTGATTCTATGTGACACAGATTTCGTAGTTACGTTACCGTTCGGATATGTTGCAGAGCGATGGGGAGTGAAAGCCGTGCTGTGGTGCAATTTAGTCCCAAGAGTTGGCATGAGCGTATGGGCTGTTGCAGTTGGTGAGTCAAATCTTCAAGACGTCATGGAGATGTAGTGCTGATGCTATCAAGGCCATTCTGATCACATTCTCCCCACCAAGGCGATCATTGCCGGGCCAGTTTTGGCTGTGTTGGGGGGCGAGTGCGTGCTGCAAAGTACGGTTTTCACCCTAACTTCGGCCATGGCCAATGATTACGTTGATCGGTGAGTGCGTGGTACTGGAGCGCAAATAATTTCGAGTAGAGACGTGAAGCTGATCATAGGCAGAGCAAAGTTCTTCTCGTACATCAGCTCGACATCCTACGTCGTCTCGTTTCTGGGACCAACGCTGGCCTCGTTCGCAATGAGCAGGAACCTGTGGGCGCCGTTTTGCTTGAATATCTTGCTACTCGGTTTGGCAGTTCCGGTGATCAAGTTGCTCCCTGGCAATGGACTTGTGCCAATAAAATCTATCATGTCCGTCGATTCCAATGACACTGCAGGCGAAGTTGGTCCACTACTTCGTCAAAGCGAAGATGGTCCTGATCACTACTCGAGTGCCTTCGAGACTCACCCTAGCATACTTCAGCGTATCGTCTCTACAATTCGACAATTGATCGCTCTTGTCGATGGCCGGCCAAACTTTCAGATTATGCTCTGCTCGTTCTTTCTCACAGCACTCGCAAGCTCTGATACGAAACTACTTGTTCAGTATATCTCGAAGCGATACAGTTGGACTTTTGCCCAAGCAGGCTACATGCTCTCAGCGAAGGCTATTGTCAATTTCACATTGCTCGCGATCGTAGTCCCACGAGTTGTCAAGTCTTCAGCGTCGTGGAAGGCGGTACATGGGTCAGAAGTGCGGATGAACTACGCAGGCGCGCAAATCAGCATTCTGATATCAGTGGTTGGCGTGCTCTGCGTTGCGCTTGCGTTCAAGTTCTGGATGTTGCTTGCAGCGTTGATGATATACGCGCTCGGCTCGGCGCTGCCAGTCTTCACGATGTCGCTTGTAAAATCGCCGCTGATAGCGCTGACACACAGTGATATTCAAGACTTCAGTATCGTCATGTTGACCAAAACGCTTGGCTCGCTCGTCGGTGCGCCATTTATGACGGTGCTTTGGGTGCGTGCGATTGAGATTGGGGGTGTTGGCTTGGGATTGCCGTACTTTGTTTCTGGAGTAAGTGTCGTGCCATATCGTTGATAGCAGCGCTGACAGCATGAGTAGTGCATCTATCTTACGGCCGCACTAGTTGTAGCAAGATTGAAGATCTGAGAGCATGTTGAGCACAAAGAGGATGCCGGAGATGATGGAGACGATGGAGAGCTCCCCTGCACAATTCAGCACATTAGCTAAAGGCAGGTGCATAGAATGCGTAGCTCTTAAGCATAGGAAACGGCTAATAAGGCATTCTGCTACGGTACTTGTTAGAGCTCGCTGTGTACTCTAAGACAGTTTAGGAAATCTTTCCTAAAAGCCTGCCTTAGAGCTCTATTGTCAACGCTCTCTAATTAATCTGACTACTGTGGTGCATAATGGTGCGGCAAAGTGTGGCGCGCAGCGACTTCTTATTTGATGTGGATGTTGAGTTGGCAGTATCGAGTTGAGAAACCGGGCGCGTATAATGAGTTGAGCTATCTCGACGGACCGTTGGGACGCGACGGGCAAGGAGTGAAGTTGTGTCCGGCTGGCTGGGGGTGGGGGGGGGAATGGAGTTAGACTGTGCATATGTGACCCCACCCCACTTCGATTTGATCTGCTCGCTTGTGTGATCGCCCCGCTTTCATTTTCCATCACCCGTGGCTTTATCTTGCTAATCATCTGGCATGCAATGCTTCTCTCTCAGGTTTTTGCAATGGTATATAATTACACAAAAAGACTGTTTCTTCATCAAATCAAGTCTTCCTTGGTCTAGTGGTCATGATTTCCGCTTGTCATCGCAAGATTACGAGCGCGGGAGACCGGGGTTCGATTCCCCGAGGGAGAGTTTTCTTTTTGTCTCATCGCGTCTTTATCAGACAATGACACGCATGCGACGCTCTGGGCGAGGTTGAGTCGTGGCATGCATTTTTGGCCGGATGTGGGATGTCGGCTTGGCGGCCGGTTTTCGCCGACTGACTACCACCCTCGATTGATTGGCCACTCGCCCACTGAAGCGCCGGCAAGAGTGTGTATTACTGTTATGTCTTGTCTTGTGCGGCGTGTCAAGCGTTGTATCGCATCTTGGCTTACACAAATGAATGAGCACTCTGGAAAGGAGGTTACAGTTCATTGCCAAGTCATCTCAAGAACCTGGGCGGCGTTGATCTTCGCCAGGAGGCACGCCAGATTCGCGAAATACGCAAGCCGCACCTCCTCTTGGCCTCCCATTCCGATGATGATATTGAATTACACAAACGCGCCAGGACGCCGAACAAACGTCGCAGGCCATTGCCAAGCGGCCGACGTCGCGATCATCTGCTTGGGGGCAGCGCAGCAGGCCAGCGCAAGGCGGACCGGCCTTGGCCAATTCTCTTTGCTAATGGCGGCAGCCGACGTTAACGCTCATAGATAAGGCCGAGCGCGCACTTGGGTTGCATCGCCAGCGCGAAGGTCCGAAGGTAAAACCCCAGACGCTCCGCAACTGGACTCGGCACTCACAAATCGTTTCACACCGGCCGCAGCCGTGCGCGCACATCACAGTCCTTACAAGCCTTGCGGCCGACCTTTTCTTACTTGTTACACGCACGTTTCCTTGCTTTGCCTCAAAGTCCGCTATCAAGAGCTGCAGTTTGAGCGGGCGGGACCCATCTCGAACCCTGGTCCAGAACCCCACCGTTCCGCCGCCAAAAACCGCGCATCCGTGCGAGCATCCAACGTTGTAAAAACACAAGTCCGCATCAACGGCAGTGCAATAGCACTTGGCGCTTGCAATTCCTCTCTCTTGCCTTCCTTCATCACAATCAAGCACACAATCAAGCACGAAATTCGAACAAAGGAACAGCCCAAGGAGGTCAACCGCAACTCGACACCCCACCACTTAATACCGCGTTAGCCGCCGGCCCCAAGCAGGACGTCACATCCCACGCTGCGCTGCACGTAAACCGCGCAGCAGCCTCACCTTCTCGCAACACCCTCCACACCTTTACGCCTTCCATTGCACGCATACGACACAATCCAAGACAAAGACGGTGACCATGTCTCTAATCAACCGCCCATTCCGCGGCTTCAGCGGCGTCTACTCCATGCCGCTCCCCCCGCTCCCGTCGCCCAGCAGCACATCCACCAGCCTCGACTCCCAGCGCTCCACCTCAGACGCCAGCATCTCCTCGGCAGACGCAGCGCCCAAGGCACCGCGGCGAGGCCTGTTCCACCGATCAAAGACGACGCCTGGGAAGCACATGCGCGCGCCCGCACCATCAGCCTCGTGTTCAAATTCAAACTCACCATCAGCCTCCTCATCGTCATCTTCTTCTGGGCTGAAGGCGTCGCCAGACCGCCCTGCGCCGCCTTGCCGCGCACACACGGCCGAAGTCCCTCTGCCGCCTCCACCCAAGTCCCGCTTCCACAGCTTGTTGCGGCGGCATCGGGAGGAGCGCGGCCCAAGCAGCGCCGAGGTCGAGCGCGAGCTGGAAGAGCTGTATGTAGCTGTGTATTCGAAGGCGGAGCGGCGGCAGTTTTTCCGGGAGTGGAAGGCGCGGCAGGAGGAGCGGGATGCGTGGGAGGTGGAGGAGTGGGAGAGGGGGATTGTGTATGAGGGGTATGGAGAGGAGCGGTGTTGAGGGACGGCACGACACACCACCCATTTCTCATCCCAGTTCGACAGTTCGACATGGAGGGTTCGAGCGGGGCAGAGCAGCGCATGAATGCATCGGGAGATGTCTAGCGTTTCGTTTTTGCTTTCCCTTTCTTCCTTTTCTCATTTCCTTGCCACTACTTTACCTTTGTTTACGCATTTTGAGCAAGCATATCCCGGAGTGCGATTCAGCCGGCTTGAGAGCAGAGGCCTTTGAAGATCAGAGATATCAATACCAATCTAATCCAATACCGAACTCGGCACACGCGAATGTGACTCACGCACTTTTGGGGACTGCGGCAAAAGGGGAGTAGGATGCCAGAACACGGATATTTCAAAACAGCAAACTACGCATGCACACTATGCTAATGGGGTATCTCAATCGAATCGAAGTCAACGCACGGCACCGCAGCTCCGACATCCCCCTCTCCCTCTCTCACATGACGGCACACTTCTCCTTATACACCTCCCCATACTGATCGACCCCGGCCATAAGCTCATTGTACCTCTGCTTCTCTCTGACCTCGTCGGGGAACCACTTTTTCAAAAACGCCGCCATCTGCTCGTCCAAGTTGTCACTATTGGCACCCGCCACCGTCCGCTGCCTGCACAGCGGACACCTGTCCTGCTTGTTATTCTGCATGACGATGAGGCAGCGGATGCAGAAGACGTGGGAGCACGACAACCGGACGGGGCGCCACTTTAGGTCCATGCACATGGGGCAGGCGTAGTCCTCGATCTGGGGCACGTGCGAGAGGATCTCAGTGGAGACTTCGGCGCAGACGGCGCGCGCAAGGTGCGAGCTGAAGGAGGGGTAGGTGATGGCCTTGGGGACGGTGGCTTTGACGCCGAGGGCGGTGCGCTTGTCGAATTCTATTTCATAGCGTTAGTTGACTGGTATGGTGGCAGGGTGGGACATGTGGGAGTTTGCTCACTCTTCAAAATCTTGCGCATAGCCGTCTCGTTGATCTCGCCGAACCGCAGGCCCTGCAGAATCTCCTGGTTGATGTGCATAAACGTCTGGAACGCCTGCATGTTCTCCTTCTTCTTCAGCTTTTCTGTGAGCCCGCTGGCCTGCAGCTTCTCGTAAAAGGCATTCAGTCGCTCCTGCGCTTTTGCGGCGTCGTGCGCGCTGTGGTCGCTCTCCGTCGTCCCGAAGAAAATGCCTTCTTCTAGGTACATCTGGAAGATCTGGCGCCACACGCTCAGCAGCTTCTTGTTGGCGCGGCGGTCGGGGTCCGTCAGGTGCGCGATCTGCTTGCCCAGATTGGTGATCTCGCCGTGCATGCGGACTTCTTCGCGCTTCTGGAGGGCTTCAAGGCCGGAAAGCTCGGCGGTGAGCTTGGTGAAGAATTCCGTGTCGGAGGTTAGAGGAATCTCGATTCTGCGGTAGCCTGGACGCTTTCTGGAGCTATTTGCTGAAACGGTGCCCGGGCGGACGGGCTTGTCTTGGGTGTCTGGCTCTTCGAAAACGCGGAGCTCCGTCATGCCCGTCTCGACGGCGAGCATCTGCAGTTTGCGCTTCGTCTTCTCGTCCAGCTGCGCGCTGTGCAAGGCGCCCGTCACCTCGTCGACATGGAAGACGAGCTTCGGCTGGAACGTCTTGCGCGACTTGGTCAAGCCGGCACCTTGCACATCTTCGTCCTCGGAATCGTCCAGGATGTACTCAAACGGGCGATGCGCCGGGTCGGATTGGTCGGCGGCCGCATTGTAGTCCTCGACATGCTTGAGCAGCTTGCCCAGCGTCTCGGGATCAAGGCCGAGCTCGGAGAGCTCAGAGGACAGGCGGTTGATGCACTTCTTGAGCTGCGAGTACGAGATGGCGCTCTGGATCCACTCGGGCGGGAAGCCCTCGTTGCGCAGCGTGTCCTTGAACAGCTGGCCGAACTTCATGGTCCTGTGCTGTGGTAGCGGAACGTGCCACGGTTAACAGCGGGGTCGGCGTGCAGCCTGTGAACGCGCAAATTTGCACCTCGTGGGCAGATGTGAGGGGTGTGATTCGCCAGCCCTGCCGCGACGCGGGATGACGTTTGCGTCGGTGGTCGGCCAGGGGCAGACGCGACGGAACCCTGCGCGGAGGCCCTTTGGAGACGAGAGCTGCAGAGCGTCTTGGTATGGCGGTGCAGGCCGGCAGCCGTGGCGCTGCGCTCAGGGCGCGTGATGCGAGACGTGGATGTCCAGGGCGGGCTGCGGGCTAGTCATAGGTGTGGAGGAGGGGCGGCGTGGGGGCGGCGTCGTTTCCGGGGCGGGGTCGAGCACGCTGCGGCAAGGCTTTTGGGGACCGCAAGAGAGCAGGGGCGCATCGAGGTTTTGTATCGGCCACATCGCCCCGCGGCGATGGCATCGCGGCGTGTGCGGCTAGTCCCCATGGCAAACTCTGACTGCGGTATGCTGTCTCTTGCTCGCCGTTCGCGCCGCGCTCGCATGCGCGCCAATCAGCGCGCGCCTCACCAGTCATCCACGAGCTGCGAGCACACAAACACCACGCCTGGCCGCACGTGGACCAAAACTCTGCCGATAGCGCTTCGATTCCGCCGAGCACGACATGGGCGCGCAGCAGTCGACCGCCGGCGGCGACGCCAGTGCGGGCGTGCACGTCAAGACGAGCTACTACGAGCTGCTGGGCGTCGAGCGCGCCGCGTCCGACGACGACATCAAGAAGGCCTACCGCCGCAAGGCCCTCGAGCTGCACCCGGACCGCAACTATGGCGACGTCGAGCGCACCACCGCCCTCTTCGCCGACATCTCCACCGCCTACGAGGTCCTCTCCGACCCGCAGGAGCGCGCCTGGTACGATGCCCACGAGGGCGACATCCTGCGCGGCGGCGATGGCGGCGGCGGCGGCGACCACTACGAGTACAACATGAAGGTCACCACCGCCGAGGACATCTCGCGCATGATGGGCAACTTCAGGTCCAACGTCGACTTCACCGATTCGCCGACGGGCTTCTTTGGCTTCCTGCGCGAGACCTTCGACACGCTGGCCCGCGAGGAGGAGCGTGCGGGCGACTACGAGGGCGTCCAGGTCAACGACTACCCCTCCTTTGGCCACAAGGACGACACGTACGAGAGCGGCGGCGTGGTGCGCAATTTCTACAACGTGTGGGCAGGCTTTGCGACGGTCAAGTCGTTCGCATCGGCGGATTTGTACCGCACCTCGGATGCACCCGACCGCCGCGTGCGCCGCCTCATGGAGAAGGAGAACCAGAAGCTGCGTGAGAAGGGCATCCGCGAGTTCAACGTCGCCGTGCAGACGCTGGTTGCCTTTGTGCGCAAACGCGACCCGCGGTACACGCCCAATATGCAGACGGAGGAGGACAAGGCGAAAGCCCAGCGCGAGGCGCGGAAGCAGCAGCAAGAGCGCGCGCGAGCTGCGAACGCGGCAAAAATCCAAGACGAGGCCGATGCCGTCCCCGAATGGGCAAAAGTGCGGGACCCAGAAGAGCTGCTCGACGAGTCAGAGGAGGAGATTGAGGAAGAGCACTTCGAGTGCGTAGCATGCCGCAAGACGTTCAAGAGCGAGCGCCAGTGGGAGGCCCACGAGAAGAGCAAGAAACACCAGAAAGCCATCTACGCGCTGAAAAAGAAGATGCGGAAAGAGAATGACTTCCTCAACCTCGACGACGACGTGTCAAGCAGCGGTGCCATCACGCCCGCCCGCGACGAAGAACAAGACGACGACGACGACGACCAGCAGATAGGAGGCGAAGACCGGGACCCTGAGGATGCAGACAAGGAGGGGAAGGCAAGCTCGGATGCACCCGCCCAAACGCCTGATCATGTTCACCTCGGCGACAAGCTCCAAAGCGTGAAGCTTGACGATGCCCGCACAGACGCCAATAAACCGCCTGACTCGGACCCCTCCCCCCAGCATCCATCCGGCTCAGACGATTCAGATAACGACGACGACGAATACGCCTCCCGCTCCGACATCGAGGCGCGCTTGGCTTCGTACCGCATCGACGCAGACACGGCAGCAACGTCGACCACCGAAGGACCATTAGAGAACCCCCCCGCAGAACGCCCAGACGTCCCCGAGCCTCCAGCGAAGAAACTCGGTGCCGCGGCGCTGAAGCGCGCAAAGAGGGCCGCGAAGCAGGCAGAGGGATCTGGTGGTTCTGACGCTGATGGCATGCCGCACCGATGCATGCGGTGCAACAGCGGGTTTCCGAGCAAGACGAAGCTGTTTGACCACATCAAGGAGAGCGGGCATGCGGCGCCGCTCAGCGAGACGAAGGGCGCGAGCGGAAAGAAGGGGAAGAAGCGGTGATTTGGGACGGGAAAGATTTTGTTTGTCTTAGCATCAGCATTGGCATTTGAGGGCGTGAAGCATAGACATGGCTGACGATATCACGAGTGATGACGGACGCGATGGGATGGGATTGTGTTAGAGGGCGCGCTGCATATGATACCAGAAATGAGCCTTGCAATGAATCCGGCGTTTGTATCCTTCAAACCATGCACATGCATGGACAGACTGCACTGCATCGCACAGCAGCCTTCCTATTCGCCAGTTCGAAGATGCCAGCCATTCACCTCGCCTCTCAGACGTCGGCAGCGCTGTTCGTACAAACTCCAGCTGCACATCGCCGTGTCTACATCCAACGATGCCTCAAAAACATGTATGGCCACAATCCAATCCGTAGAGTAACCAGCCCCACGACAAACCTGACCTCATACATGCCTACAAACCCCGGCACGTGTCTTGCCCCAGAAATAACCCATGTTACACGCCCTCACCGAAACCAGCCCATCTTCCCTCTATCTCCCAGAAAAACCCAGGTGTAGGGCGCTACGGGTGCGCACAACCCATGGCGCACGATTTGAAAGCTGCAAAAAGAAAGAGGAAGAGGCTTAAAAGACTTGAAAAATAATAATAATGAAGAATTACCCCCGACGAGCATATCGCAGATGCGTTTTACTTTTACTTTTTTCCTTGCTGTGCAACACATCCGTCATGACAAACACGATACCGTCCCCTCCCCGAGTCCCTCCAGCGCTTCTCTTCTCCAGCAAGATAGAACAAGTCCGTACGTGTGATGAACGGACTCTCCGCCTGCGCAACTACCCTCGCACCAACCAAAACCGCACTCCTCTCCACTCCACTCCCCACACCAACCCAGCGCCCGTCCCATCCCATCCTGGACGGTGCAGATAGACGCACAGCGGTAGACTGTATACGGAGACCACTCCGTCCTTCTCTCTACGCGACACGCCCCCTCGCGCACAAGGAAGACGTGCTCATGCATGGCCCCAATACCCGCGGCCAACCATGCAAAGTGGCGAGACACCATTCAAAGCAAACACATACCACTATAAGGCAAAGCCCTCATCATCACCCAAGGCGAAAGCAAGTATTCAAGATCACATCATTCGATTGATTAGCTGGCAGTGGTATTCTAAACGCTAAGAAAAATAAGCAGCTTCCACATCACTTGTGTAAGTGACGGGAATGGGGATATCAACGCCTTGAATGCCCTAAGAATAGACAATAGAAATATCAAGCTTCCCTTGCAGGAAAGGAAGCTCGCTCCAATACACTTGCTTTCCGCAGCCTTCGCGTCATATCGTGCCAATGTACGTAGCCTATACATATACAGTCCACATCTATATTTACATGCCGGTAACCTCCTCGTAGAGGAAGTTGCCCGCCGGGTCAACGTAGCGGATCGTCTGCTGACTGACACAGTAGCCTTCGGGGGACTCGGCGGGTGTGTCGGGCGTGGTGTCAAGCGGGCCTGGGGTGTAGGTCCACGGTTGGGAGGCAGGGAGAGAAGCGCGGGGGAGCTCGATGTACTCCTTGTATCCCGGCAGCTCGTCCTCGCTCGTGCTGGGCTCGACCTCGCACGACTTGACCTGAACGTGGAAGTTGGGAACATCCTCAGGGGCAAACTCTTGGCCGTTGGGACCGATGATCTTGTAGCTGAGGTTCTCCTTGAGGTACGGCTCGACGTGGTCAGGGTGCAGGGACGCGAGCTCGCCGTTGGCCTGCTTCTCCTGGAGAGCGGCCGTGATCGGGATGCAGCCCTCAACGAGGGTAGGAGCAGTGCCGTTGCCAGTGCCAGCTATGGAGCCGCCAAGGAAGGTGTGCGAGCCGACGTAGCTGGAGTCGAAGCCGTACTCGTAGTTGGCGGTGCCATTACCGGTAGTGCCGTTGATGGGCTTCGTCGTAGGCGCAGTGCCGTTGACGAGACCAGTAGGAAGGTGGGAGGGAGCAGTACCGTTGGCGGGCTGGGCACCAAGGAAGCAGTGCACCTGGTAGGATCCAGGCATGGCGTACTTGTCACCAACGACAGAGAGCACAGTGTCGTAGTCACCGGCCTGGAAAGGACGACCAGCGTAGATAGGAGCCGCATCCTCGCCGTCACGCTTGGTCATCTGGCGCTCGCCCATACCGTAGAGCCTGTTGACAGCCTGGATGACCTGCTTGGCGGAGCGCTGCTGGGTCTCAGGGTAGTAGTATCCAAGAACGCGAGTCTCCTTGACATCATTGGACGAGTAAGAAGCGCCGCGGTTGTCCTTTTGGAAGGGAACAAGAGGGGTGTTGGCATCGTTCGTCTGACCGGCCTTCCATTGGAACATGTTGCGGTTGACCTTTCCAGGCACGACGTAAGTGTTGGGTACGACAAGCTGGTACATGGTGAGGAGACGGTCAATATTGGTGTGGTGCAACCAGAAGAAGGGATCGAAAGCAGCAACATCGAGGTAAGACATGTGTCCGTCAGTACCGCCGACAGTGCCGTGGATATCGTCGTGAATAGACTCGAAGCTGTCGGCGTTGCTGCGGATAGTCTTGACACCGAAGGCGGCAGTGGAGGCGTAACCCCAGGGCTGCTTGCTGGCGAAGAGAGCAAAGACACGTTGGCGCCAGCCGACGCGGGCCTGGCCAAAGATGGCGTTCACACCGTTGTTGTTGCTGCGGGTAGGGTTCTGGACAGGGCGGCGCAGAGTGGTTGCAAAGCCGTTGCTAGGACCCCAGCCCATCTCACTGGGGAGGGAGTTGCCCCAAGTGTACGAGTACAGTGGGTTGCGGATAGTGACCTTGCCCTGAGGCTTGGTCACAGAGACGGTCTGGTCACGCATAGATGTAGGAATAGCACCCTCGCCGCGCGGGGGCTCAGCAGCCCAGTCGTAGTAGGGAATGCGCAGACCAGTCAAAGCCTTCTTCCATCGCTGCTGCTGGTTCTTGGGGAAGGATGCAACCACCTCCTGAGCGTTCTGGTACACAGCTTGCTGAATGTTGTTAGCTTGACTTTGTGCAATCCAGTCATCTACGCACCTCATAGATGGCAAGGTACGGCCTGTGCCAGGAACCAAAGGTGTTTTGGCCGTGCGGGCAGTATCCACCACCACCACCGGTCTGGCTACCACCGTTCCACGCTACGAAAGGACGACCGTGGATACCGGCAATCTGGTAGTACGACATGGGGTCGTTCTTGGGTTTGTTTTGGAACCTCTCCATGGCCAGCAGGAACAAGTTCCACTGATCCGCATTCTTCTTGAGTTCACGAATGTCCAGACGAGGGTATTGGCCATCGGGGGCTCCCTTGACCGTGACCTTGCCGGCACGCGCAATGAGCATGGATCGGGTGTCCTCAAGGTGAGCCTCCATGGCGGCTGGTGATCGGTGGGCCGGGTGCGAGTGGGCATTGTGCGAGAAAGCAACGCTAACTTGGAGAAGAACGAAAACAGTGAGCAACATGCTCATCAAGCTCTGGGGCTTGCTGTAGGCGACCATGATGACCGCCTCCTGTATGCTATGTTGCGATCTGTTGGAAGGGATGGACCAATGCCAGAGAAAGAGACTGATTGTCCTGGAAAAGAATATAAATTAATGGTTGCTCTGGAAAAGATTGGACGACCTTGGACAAGCCGCAGTCAAGCGAAGGAAAGTGAGGAACCAAAAGGACCACGACGGCAAAGGTGACGATTAAGAGAGGAGCGACGGTGTGTGGTTGAGCATGGCTGCGCAGGCGTCAGGGTCATATACCGCGCCTAATTCTGGATCTGACTCTCCGGCCTTCCATTTTGGAAAGCGGGCGGTGGCTGCGGGAGTGAAGGCGCATGGGAGGAGAGCAGGGGTTCCTACGCGATTGGATGCCTAGAGGTCCGCGGCGGGCCTGCAGGGTGTGTTCGCGCCCAAACGAGCAAGCAGCGAGCGATCCACGAGGCGGCGTGCCCCTGGCTAAGCTCGAAGCGACGGTGTCGGAGCCAAAATGGGGTGGCGAGCTGCAGGTGCGCAGTGCCCTAGGAACGCTGCATCGTGGTGGACGCTGTTTCCATGCAGCTCCTCACCCGGGCGTCGTTCGAATGAGCATACGAGCCGTGTGTCCCCTAGCAGAAGAAGTATTGACTCCAGCGTTTTCGTACAGCGTGCCGTGCGGAAGCAGCGCGGGCGCAGGACTGTGCGCGCGGTAGAGATGAGAGGAAGTGGTGGAGAGGGCGGCCTGAGTCGGTCGGAGAAGTGCGTGCTCACTGCTGACCAGCGGAGTCCGCAGTCGTCGGGAGAAGGAAGCGACGAGAGCGCGCACTGCGCAGGCGCGACCAGCAACGGCGGCTCGCTCGCAGGGCAGGCACGACTCTCCCAATCTCGCTGTCGTCACTGCTGCTCGGTAGCAGCGACGGCATTGCAGCAAGTGCCCATCTTCATCTCTGCGCGTGCTGCCGAGCGGCGAGCACCCACTGTGATGCTGCGACCCAGTGTTGTTTAGCTGATCGCCCAAATGCGGCAGCCACAAGCTGTTTCATCGATGCGCCGCTTCCACCAATCCACTTGGGGCGTTCTCCGCATGTTTCAACCAACGTCCGTGCAGCTAGCATGCATCTGAACAGCGCTCGTCCAGCCCTGCACGTCTCTCGTACACAGAGTTTCCCATACTAATACCGATGCCGGTATCCACCTGTAGACTCTATTTTGATCCTGAGGCGCCGAAAGCTTCGAAGAGATGGCTGCTCTAGATCAAGACTCTCTTTTAGCTGTATGGAAACTACCCGCACGCCGCATCCTCCCAGGTTCAGCCTCGAGCATGAGAGCCGCGCCCCGACAAAATATCAGCGTGAATCACCACCTAGAAGAACCCGCCCATTGTCCCAAAGAGTTCTCACGTACGCCTCCACGCCTATTTACCTGGCCACCACCCTACATTCGGGTCATATCTCCACGGGCCAACCCACGAATTTCCGCATCTACGCATGTCTCACAACTTGATCTCCGTACTCGTTGCCCCATTCGCGCGCAACACGATGTTTGCGGCTGTGCACCGCCGGACTTGGGCACGCGCGAACACTTGCCAAGTCCAAGTCACGCCAGTGCAGAACCATCTCGTATGCGACTTCATTTCGATGCTCTGCGAATGTAGGCTTCAGGTGTAGTTTGCACGGGGAATCTATAGCTGAGTGGTAGCTCGTAGTATTGCGGCCGATCACGGGCTGGCGAATCACAATGCGGCGTGGCCCTACTCGTTCACGTGCGATGGTCTACACACGTCGCTTTGAACATTGTGCCGGAGCTCAACGAGCTGTTCTTCTCCCATTGGCAGGGAAGTATAGTCGCTTTAGACTGCACATCGTCTACTTGATAGGGATCAAAAGGCAAGCGCCCGAGCGACACCAACACTCAGTTGTTCGGTCGACCCGGGCCTATCAATCGAACGTTCAGATCTAGTCATTGACGCTAGGGACCTACACCATCGGAACCTGTTCGTGCCGACAGTACGCTGAAAAACGTCTTGTGATAATCCCGCAGCTCTGGACAGCAACGGAAGGGTCTTCGACGTCAAAGGGTCTTCGGAAAACAGGTCAAAGGGTCCTCGCTTTGAAAGGTCCTCTACGTCGCACCATCAATTCCATGCCCATCTTCTCCGAACGCACACTTCAAACATTCGGTCCCGTTCAACAGTAAACCCTCAACTTCCCCTCACATCCGTCTCGTTACCAAACATACAATCCAAGATTCTCTCGACCCACCAATCAACAGCATGACACGGCACTACTACTCACAAGCGCACGTGAACCAAATAGCACCTGTGCACCTGAGCATCCTTCGCATACATCAATGACACACCTTCCATCCCAACTCGCTGGACCTCGAGACGTCCTTCCGACCGTCTGCACTACGCACCCCGCACTCTGCCAGCACCTCTCGCATCGGGTAAATGTCACATCGTACAGGTTTACTGCACCTTATGATGGCGTTAGCCATTACCCTAACGCCGCAAACACCCACCACGCAAGCAGCGTGCACGCATCGCTTCCTAATTCCGAACATCTTCCAGCCTCAACAAGCGGGGAACTCAGCCACACAGTGTCGCTGCGCCCTTGTGCCGGGAAGTCTTGGAGAGGGGCAACTCGGGAGATCAATCACGGCGTTCCGCTAATGCCGAGCTGGCACCCAAGCATTTCTCAGGCACAGTACAGCACAGCGCAGCAAACAGTTTCCTAATTCTGAGAGTCTTGATTGCACCAACCATTACACACACCAAGATCTACGCGCGGGCCCGCCGAACCAGCTCATCGATGACGCGACTACAGTCACCAGCCCTTTTGATTTTGATTTTGATTTTTCCCTGCTCTGCATGCAATGCACGCCATCACGATGTTTGCAAGAAAAGATGCTCGACCCTGATTGGCGTTGGCGCGAGAAGCTGGCTTGGACGCTGCATGCATGCGGTCGCGTGCGGGCCGCTGATTGGATCGTGCGACCTACCTGCGTGCAAAAAATTATTTTGTACTCGTGTTAGACTGGTCTTGTCCGGTCTGGTGTTGGTCTCACCACCTGCACTGACCGTCTACGCTTGCCGCGGGAAGAGCAGATTGTGCCTCGTCCACCGCGGGAATGAGCCGTCCGCGTCTTCTGGTACAGGACAAGATCAATTGCGCAGGCGGAAGGGAAATGCAGCAAGATGTAGAAGCATAGATTGATTGAATGAAAGATGTTTTGATTTGGGGTATCTCATCCCAAGGTGCCAATGCAGTGTAGTGTAAGCTCATGTCCCGCATCATAATCATAATTCATAACCATGCCCGTATCCATGTCCATGCCTGGTCCCACCCAAAACGCCGTGTGTGCATCGCAACGCGATGGTCGTAGGCCAAAAACCCTAAACCCAGTGAATGAATCCCTCCTGCTCACCACTCAAACCGTCCCTCTTCCCCATCTCTCCTCCCCCAAGGTTCAGGCCTTACGCTCCTCCTCCTAATCCTCTCCGCCAGATGCTTCGCCATCTGCTTCTTATACGCTTCTTCGTCCTCACTCGCCCTCCTCCCCGCAATTCCATTCTCAAGACTCTCCGGGCTGGCAGGCACTTCGGCGCAGACTCTCAGCGCGCGCCGCCGCCTCACGTCGCCCAGATCCAGCTTGAACCGCGGCCCACTCTTCTCCCCCGGTGACGACGCTGTCGCCCCCGATGATGCAGAAGCAGAAGACGCGGAATTCGCATGTGAAAACGGGTCCGCTCCACCCACCACTCCACTGTGCTCCACCATAGCAGGTGGGCTGGGCTCAGGCAGTGTGAAGCGCGCTTGGTCCCTCACCCATTTTTCCGCGCGCTCCTGCTCTGCGATGGATGGGAAATACGGATTGTCTGCTGTGCGCTGCGGGACAACGGCTTTGGCCCAGCCGCGCTCGCGCTTCGTCCTGGCGGTAGATAGGTTTGGGGTAGGCGGTTTGGCGAGGCTGAGGTATGTGGGTCGGACTAGCGCGGGGAGCGTGAAGTGCGGGCTCGCGGGCGCAGACGTCTGCAGTCCCCCCGTTGACGAGGGAGGTGAAGTTTGCTGCGGCTTCGCTGAGAAGGCGGCGTCGAAGGCGAAGGGAGATTCCGGCGGGGAGAGTGGGCGCAGGCTCTTCCCGAAGAAGAAAGTCGAGTCCATGGTGGTTGTGCCTTGGGTCTTTGGCTGCTGTGTTTGCTGATGCCGGAGGATGTGGGAATGCGCCTGTGCCTGTTGTGACTGTGATTGTGATTGTGGCGTGGCTGACTCATGCGGCGGAGAAGGGCCAGTCGAAGGTGAATCCCCAGGCTGTGCGAGAATCTCAGGCGTGATGGCCGGCGTGTCCATAGTGTGTAGCGCCAGCAGCCTGTATATACGTGCTGCGCTGTCTGTGGAGAGGCCCGTCCCAAGTGCAACTGTGGCTGCGTGAACAATTGCCTGTTTGGATCCGTGGGTAGGGTTAGGCAGGAGGCAAGAAGCGCCGTGGTGCAGGGTGTGTGAAGCGTGATTGAGAGGGGTATGGTCTGGTATGTGTGGTAGGATGGTTAGTTGCAGACAGCCGCCTATATACGATGCAGGCAGGACGGGGCGTGGTACCGGGCAGACTCGCGCAGGCGAACCAACGCTACGCCAAACAGCGAGCCACCCAACGCCCTACGCAGGCCTCGTACGTGCGGCGCGGCCAACCACCGCGGCCCTGGGTGCGCGCTGCATGACACTGCCCCGCGGTGCAAATATGCCCTGGTACGCAGCGCGTTAGAGCGCTCACCTGATGCGCGACGCGACATCTGATGACCAGCGGCGCGCGTGCACGGTGGGCCGACCTGCGACTTGCCGACCCTGCGTCATTGCCATGCCCCTGCGGCCGCTACCACCGTGGTACCCGCCGCCTCGCTGCAAGGCGGCCTTTGGCAAAAGTCCGCGGCGCGAGAAGTGTTGGTATTGGTATCATTCGACGGGTGCGCCGCCTGCCTTCTAGCTACTCTACAACAGAGGAACTCGGTAACCCCGCCCCGCCGCCCCGCTCCCAGCCTCGCCAGAAACAGGCACGATGAGGCGGCAACGCATGCTGATCAGTGACGAAATGCATCCAGTCCCAAGCGCCCGCATGCATCCCAAGGGGCCCCGTGCCTTATTCCCAGCCCCAACCCTCGATGACGCCGCGCTGGAAGCCCAAGGAATAAATTCATAAGCGTCAACCGCGCTACGAGGCGACATGCAGCCATGCAATATACAAAGAATAACGGAGATAGGAAAGCCAGCATGGGTATAGGCGCAACCGCGGTAACATTGTAAAAGGAATGTGCTCGATCGATGGAAAATGGCCAAATCAGAAACATCGAGATGCGCAATAGGAATCTCGCTTTCACTGGAACGCACCCCGGATCTTGGCGTACAGTTCCGTGTCGAGGAAGTTGTAGTTCGGGTCCGAGAAACAGAACGGCGAGCGGAGAAGGGTTTCGGCCGTCGGGCGCTCCGCTGGGTCGCTGCACTAGTTAGCATGCGTCCAATTCGCAAACGGCACAATGACTTACATGGTGAAGCAGTCGTACATGAAACTCAAGCCCTCAACCCCGATGACTCTTGACACGTCTTCGGGGATGGGAGGTGCCTGGTTCAGACTGCCTAGCTTGTAGATGGCACCAATGGCCTCTTCCTTGGACCACGGCCGCTTGCCTGCAAACATCTCGAGCACCACGCAGCCGAGCGACCAGATGTCAACCTTGGCAGAGTAGCCCTGACCCTGCGACCGAATCACCTCTGGCGCCATCCAGAAGACGGAACCCTGCATGCTGTTCGTAACGTCGTTGCCGTAGATGTTGTCCGTCTTCTTGGAAATACCAAAGTCGGAAATTTTGCACGTGCCGTCCAGGTCAAGGAGGATGTTGTCTGCCTTGAGATCGCGGTGCAGGATGCCTTCTCTGTGCAGGTACGCCAACCCGCCAAGCGTTTGTCTGGTGAGAGAGCTGACAACACTCTCCTCGAACTTTCCGTGCTTGCGGATACAGGAGCCGACGGAACCACCGCTGATGTACTCCAGGAAGATAGATATACTGTACTCCTTCTTCTCGCAACCAAGATACTGCACAATGTTCGCATGATCCAGATGCTGCATTGTGTCAATCTCCTGGTCCAGACTCTTCACGAGCTCCTTGATCTTGTCTTTGTCAGATCCAGCCGCCTTGGGATTGACCTCTACTTGCTTGACCGCGATGAGCTCCCCCGTAGTTATGTTCATACCAAGGTATACGCGACCAAACGTTCCTTTACCAATGAGTTGACCCTTCATCCATTTAAAAGTAGGCTGACGTTGCGGAAGAGGTAAGTGATCCTGCGGAATCGTCTCTAGTTGTATCAACCTGGAGCCACGTGGAGGCTTGACCTGCTCAATCTTGGCGTGGAACATCTTCGTCGACTTTCTGCGGACAATGTCTCCGCTGCGCAAGGTAGAAATGCGCGAGGGTCCTGCGGCAGCGGCCGAAATCCGCCCTGGCAGAGGCGTTTTCTCCAGTGGCTGATATTGAGACTTTACCACCTCACGAATCGACTTGGTACGACTTAGACCGACGCCCGACTTACGGATATTGCGTTGCGCTATTGACTGGACTGACGCTCTGTTGAGAGTAGGGGCAGCATTGCTGGTATCCTCAAAAGAGGAGGCTGGCGTGACAGAGCGACTGTCCTTGGAAAAGTCACCGGTCACTTCGGTTGATGCGTCGGTGTCTTCTGCATCTTCCTCAAGCATTGGCTGATCAAGATTGACATTGGGGAAGAACTCGTCCAAGTGCTCCACAAGGGCCTCCGCGGGAGGTCGATTAGCCCAAAGATCAGAAGCAAACGACTCTCTGCGCAGGACATTGTTGAAGCCACCCCTGTCGTCCGGTGAGTCCGTCCAGGTGTTGGAGTGGGGTGTTTCCGGATTCACATCGTTCGGGTGAGTGCTACGAGTATCGTCTGTGGCCGCACTGACATCGCCTGATCTCTCCGCCACCCGGTCCAGTGAGTTCTTTGACCGCGAAGTCTTCAGGGTAAGGTTAGGACGTTGTCCGCGATTATCCACCGCGGATGATAATGCGTTCTTGGCAGGAGTAGGAGGCCCAGTCTTCGCAAGGGGCATAGCGAATAGTCCATCGTCAGAGTCGTCGTCAGAATTGACGGGGTCCAAATCCTGAGTATTTTTCGAATGAAACGAGACTCGCGCTTCGTCAAAGTCGATTGTCCCTCCGTACATGGATACTCTCGATGAGTCCCGGGACAAGGCTGAAGCTGGCGGGTGTGCCGAGTGGGGACTGACATTGGGTGACCTTGACCGCGACGGTAGATCATCCTTGAGTTTGGAGACTGTCGGATTGGGCGCGCTTGGCATCTTGAGCTTCAGGAGCGGCCTGTCAAGCGTAACATCATCGGGAACATCTTCCTCATAGTCAGGTATCAAGAACGGAATATTGCCCTTGCTCATGGTGAGACTGCGAGGAGACCCACCTGGACTGTTCCTCCCCGAACTGGATCCAAACCCACTGTCTTGAAGAACTCTCTGCGAGGGACGCAGGTTTTCGGTAGAGTCTTTAGGAGGCACCTTGGGAGGAGCTTTGTTGGCAGCTCCGACTGAGCTGCCGACATTACCTGCCCCGATGATCGCAGCAGCAATACTAGATAGACCGCCGGGTCCTTGAGGTATAGCTTTACGCTTAGAGAGGTCTGCGTCAGTTGATGATCGCTTTGCTTGAGCCTCGTCACCGTCAGGCCAAGAAGTGCGATCTTTCTTAGTCTTCGACAACGAGTTAGCCTTGATCAATGTGCTTGAATCCCCGGGAACAGGCGGTGGCTCTCTAAGCGGCACCAACTGCTTGCTCTTCCTCCGGTCGTCAAATGCTTTTGGACCTTCATAAGGTGAATTGCGTGGTTCGTCAAAATCAATGATGCCGGGACTGTGAATTCCAACATCTTTGGCCGACGAGGGTGTGGATCCCTTCTTCCCGATTGCTTCTTGGCGAGTTGCCAGGTAAGCTGCCTGCTTGCGCTTGGTCTCCCGCTGGTGCTCCTCAGAAGCGGCTTGAAGAAGCTTCTGGCGCTCCTCTTCTGGAAGATCGTCTCCTACAGCCCACGAAGGCTCTGGTAATCTGTTGCCACCGGTAAGACGCTCCGCTACTGCTTCAGGGGTTAGCTCCTGTCTCTCTGCCAGATTTCGAAGTTTTCCATTCTTGTCGGGGACAAGAGTGGATTCACCAGATTTGACATCTGGGTCTAGTTCATTTAGACGAGCATATGTAGCCTCATCGATAGGTTTGCCAACTGGGGGAGGAATCGAGACCCCTAAACCTGTAGACGAAGGAGTATGTACATCTCGGGGAATCTTGACGAATATCTTGAGATCTCCCAGTTTGTTCCCATATTGTGACTTGGCACTCAGCAGCTTGGAATCGGTAAGAGGTTCGTTGTGTTCGTACTGTCCTGGAGACGTCAAGTGGAATTGGACGCCAGGCATTTGACTGAGTCCTCGGTTAAGCTCTTCGCAGACTATTTCTCGCAGCGCTGCTGCACTGCTGGCATTGGATATGTCAACGAGTCGGTAGTTCCAGCCATCCGGAGTGACGAATGCATATTTCCTGTCGCTTTCTCGCACCGAGGAGCCAAGGCCACGGATACCGGTCCGACTCTCTGAATCTGTCTGCGCGGAACGGCGAGAGGATGGGCGGTCGTTCAGTGAAGTCTCGCTAGAGTTCAGTCCAGGTTTGCCAAAGAATGTTCCTGCAGCAATGTTCCGATGGCTCGCTGGGCTGGTCGGAGAGTCAAGGCTGGTATCGTCAGGCGAAGGATGCCCTTCATCCTTCTTCTTGCGGTGCATGAATTTTGGCAAAAACCCCTTGTGGTCCTTTGCGCTCGTTGGAATCTCTGCGCTATCATGTCTTGACATGCCAGTCCCTGGTCTGGAGCCACCATCGAAGCCGGACCTTTTCTCAGTACGGCTTTCAGACCTGCCCTCGACAGATCTACCCGAAGGTGGACCAGAGACTCCGCCGCTAACGGAGCCGACAGTAGCGAATGTGGATAGATTCGACTCAGAACTGTTACCGCGGACGTGGTTGCTGTAGTACCTGTTCGCTGACGAATTCAAACCCGCACTGTGCTGGCCATTCGTCGCAAGGCGTGCCGACTGCAAGCCAGGGCTTTGTTGTGGACTTGCTTGCCTCATTACATCGCGATGGTTCGAAGTGCCGAACGAAGAGGGAGCAAATTCTCCGGAGGCGTTAGGGCTGTGTCGGTGTTTGGGTTTGGCATCCAGGTCGCGCAGCATCTCGCGATGCTCCTTTGAGTAAGCGTTCAGACCGGACGTCTCGTTGTAGTCAGGCGGCGGACCGAGCCCAGGCACAGTAAAGTTTCGTTGGCGAGGTATCGTCGCGGAACCAGGCGAAGTGAGTGGCATCTGACGTCCGGGGCTTTCTTCACCGCCACCAGCAGTCGTGGGCGTCGACCCAAACTGATCACGGCCCGTGCCTAAATATGGGGAGTTCTCGAGTGTACCCTCAGTTCCTGCGCTGACCAGCGTCATGCCTGTGTCTTGTCGTTGGGGCAGCCGCACATTGCTTGCGCTTCCCGTCTCAACGATGGCACGAACCAATCTCCGCAGCTTTCGACCCTCATCTCTTTCCCTGTTTTGGTCCCAGCCGGTCCCGCTGGCTGTGCATTGTTTCGCCAGTTGCGGAAAGATGACTTGGTGCATCATGCCAACGTTGCCCTTGCCACCATGGCCGCGCCCGATCTCCAGAAACCTGGTACCTTCCAGACCCAGCGTCTTAAACGTCTCCTGCCAGTCCCTTGAGAATCCGTAACTCGCCAGCCACATTTGAACTCGTTCCGCTGGCCAAAGGGAAGCTGCGTCGTTTGGCGAGATAGGGGTAGTGCCAGTATTTTCGTTGCGATAATACAGACTCCCATGTGCTTGCGGTATGGGATTTTGCATAGTGGCCGTAGGTGGTCCGGGCGAGTCGTAGCTTATCGATCTTTCGGTGGGTATGTTGAGATGATTACGGTTGGTGGCAGAAGCGTACGAGTTGTTGGCACCATAGTTTTGCACGGGAAAACTGGTCGCAGAGGTGTCAGTATTGGCCGAATAGGATTCTTCACTGTAAAACGCCGGCTCTTGATAGTGTCTTGACGTATGTAGCGGCGGGATGCCGACGCCTGGGCCGAATGACTCTCCACCGGGTATATAGGTCGCTGAGGTGAGTGGCGCCTCCTGAGTCTGCTGCTGCTGCTGCAGCGGCGGAGGCCCTGGCGGAGGAGGAAGGTGGTACCCCTGGTACGCACCCGGGTTGTACTGCTGCCGCGGTGCGCCCCAACCATAGTTTTGATGCTGCGGAGCATTCATTTGCATTCCGCTGAGGTTGGTCGGAGGTCGCGGAGGTGGCGGGGGGAGGTTCATGTTATGGGAGGCGGGGTTCGAGGTGGGTTGGGGCGGCGGCGGCGGGAGATTGTACTGATGCATGGTGGCCTGCGACAAGTAGTTTGGGTGCCTCTGGGTCAGGTTCGGGTCTGCAACTGTATGCGCGCGGGCGCGCGGGCTGGTGGTGTAGGAGCCCCCCGGGGGAAGCAGCGAGTATGGCGAGCCAGTGCCGCCGTTGGGGGTCAGGAGCGGAGGAGAGACGAGGTTTTGTATGTCGTGCTCAGGCAGGCCGAGATTCGAGCGTGCGCCGACGAGGGGCGTGGGAGGACCGCGACGCCCTGAACGATCCGAGGCGTTGGAGATGTTGGACGTGGAGCGCTGTCGCGAGGCAATTGTCATTCTCGAGGCCTCGAGACCGGGCTACTCGGTGCTTTGGGTGCAGGCACGGCGCGTCACGGCATGTCGATGCGACCGCGCACTCTGGAGCCCGGCGTGACTGGAGCCCAGCACCGGACGTCGTCGTGCGCCAAATGTGCAGCGGGCGTGCCGGGTCTGACTCGTGCGCAGCTGTCCCGGGGCAGCGGCGGCGCGTGGTGGTATTGCAACGGCCGGTGTCAACGTCGCAAGCGTCGGCGCGACAGCGGTGACAGCCTGTCCACCAGGGCGCCAGGAGGGTGATGCGTCGGATGCGTCGTCTGGCGTACGCTGGTCCACAGGTGCGACTGGCAGCGCGCGGTTTGGGCACTGCACAGCACGGCGCTTGCGAGGCCAGGCTCGATAACAAAGGCGCGGTGCACTGGGCGGGCGGATGCAGCGACGCGGCGGACGGTTGCTGCGCTGGGAGGAGAACACGCAGGAGCTACGGCGGCAACGAGGGGGGAGGGCGGGCACGTTGAGGAGGGCGGGCGGCTTCTGGAGCCTGGCTGCGAGCTGGAGGGCGCCCAGAGGAGAGGTGAGATGGGCGGAGAGCGTTAGCGGGCCCGAGCGGCGCTACGAGTACACCACCGATGTTTCCTCATGCGGCGCTATGCGCCACGACGGACAAGGCGGCTGGCCTCGCGGGTGCAGCATTGCTGTGCCTTTCTTGATGCCTACCTTGGCCACCAATTCACTGCCGGCCTCCAGCTGGGGCGCGCGCGCAGCCAGCGCAGCTCCCGCTCCGAGTCTTGGCTGTGCCCGTGGCTTCGCGCCTCCATCGCCCATGGTGAGACGAGCTTGGAGGTGGACCTTGCAACATGATCCTCGTGTCGGCCCGACGCTGCTCATCGCTCGTGGACCGTGGACCATGGTGTTGGACCTTGCAATCTTACGAGCACGAGCAGCGGCCCTGGGTACTTGCGTCGCAGTGTACAGTGACTTGCCATGATGCCGTCGCGCGGGACATCTTTGCGCCCTCTTACCACGCGCACGTCCCACACGCTCGACTCCAGCCCATCTCACTCTGATTGAACAGCATCTTATCCGATGGGCGCAAGATTTTCGGACCTGCGCGCCCTCGAAATCTGCGACCGAATGCCCCTTTGTGGCGCCATACCGCCCCTCGCGAGTGCCCACCGTATGCAATGCCAAATCACACCCTACGCACACGTATCATCTCTTCTGTGGCCAACCGTGCAACTTCACCCCGATTGAGCTCCTCGCAGCTCCTGCGAGCTTTCCATAGCCATGAAGGGTATCGTATCTGCTGACTGGATGATGTGCAGACGATTTATCCGCACGCGCAACGGACGCGGTGCTTTCCGCTCGAAACCTATCAGTTCGCGATGGTCTCTTTCCCAACAATGTCACATGCAGATCCGTCAAACCTTGCTACAAGTCCGCAGCCTGAACAATTTCGAAGGCGGACAAGCAAGGTCTTGTAGTACCAGCTGCCAAAAAAGCCTGGAGCACAACATGCAAGACCAACTGCCTCTGAGCAAAGCTCCTTCTCGACACCTGCATGTTGTTGGGCTTAGTACACTATTGATCACACCACGCGCGAGCGGTGGGCCGATCCAGTGCCTGACTAACCGTCCAGTCCCGCAATAACTTCGTCATAGCCAGCTATATGTACAAAGAGCTCCCGCGAGCAGCCGCAAGGCTACAACATTGCAGCTTCAACTCGTCCACGCACCACAAACTCACACTTATACACTTTTCACCATGACAGACTTGCGAACGCAGGAAATTAAGAACCCTGTCGATGTTGCTGAGGTGAGCATCCCGGCATCGCTAGCCGACAATGCGTCGTCTATTATTATAGCGCAGTCGCTCGCAGTCTTGTTATTTTCTCATATTTGCTTTCCAATTGATTTTGTATGGTGTTTTTCTAACATGTGCTAGTACCTCTTCAAACGCCTTCATGAAGTCGGCGTTCGCTCCGTTCACGGTCTGCCCGGCGACTATAATCTCGTAGCGCTCGACTACATCAAGCCTGCCGGCCTCCACTGGGTTGGCAACTGCAATGAATTAAACGCAGGCTATGCTTCTGACGGTTACGCACGTGTAAAAGGCATATCCGCTATCGTCACAACTTTCGGTGTGGGTGAGCTTTCCGCAGTCAACGCTATTGCCGGAGCGTATTCCGAATACGTCCCAATTGTGCACATTGTCGGATATCCCACCACAGCGGCACAGAAGAACGGACTTTTGCTTCACCACACGCTCGGAAATGGCGACTTCAACGTCTTCTCGAAGATGTCGACGCAGATCTCTTGCGCAGTTTCCATGTTGAACCACCAGCATGAGGCGGCTACCTTGATCGACAATGCGATTCGTGAGTGCATCTTGCAGTCGAGGCCCGTCTACATTGCGCTCCCGACGGATATGGTCCAAAAGAAGATCGACGGCGATCGGCTCAAGACGCCCCTGGACCTATCTTATCCGCCAAACGACCCCGAGAAGGAGGATTACGTTGTGGATGTAGTTCTCAAGTATCTGCATGCAGCCAAAAACCCAGTCATCTTAGTCGACGCCTGTGCGATCCGCCACCGAGCATTGAAAGAGACACACGAATTCGTCGAGAAGTCTCGCATACCAGTCTTCGTCGCGCCAATGGGCAAGGGAGCTGTGAACGAGACTCTGCCCAACTATGGCGGTGTATATGCCGGCGACGGCAGCAACAAGGGCGTACGCGAGCGTGTCGAGTCTGCGGACCTGGTAATCTCTATTGGCCCCATCAAGTCAGACTTCAACACTGCTGGCTTCACCTACCGCGTGTCCCAGCTCAATACTATCGACCTCCACAGCTACGCAGTCAAAGTGCGATATTCCGAGTACCCGGGCGTGCGGATGAACGGCGTGCTGAAGAAGGTGACGGAGAAGCTGGGCAAGCTCAACATCGAGCACGGACCGAAGCCGGAGAATAAGATCCCGAACGACGAAGTCAAGTCACCAGAGCCGACGATCACACAAGCATGGTTCTGGCCGCGCCTGGGCCAGTGGTTACAGCCCAAGGATGTCGTTATCACTGAGACGGGTACGGCGAACTTCGGTATATGGGAGACGAGGTTCCCTGACGATGTGATTGCCATCTCGCAGGTGCTTTGGGGCAGTATAGGCTACGCTACGGGTGCATGCCAGGGTGCTGCTCTTGCCGCGAAAGAGATGGGCATCAAAAGGACGATTTTGTTCACTGGTGATGGTTCATTCCAGCTGACTGCGCAAGAAGTCAGCACAATGCTCCGCAACAAGCTGAATCCCATAATCTTCGTCATCTGCAACAACGGGTAAGCAAACAGTAGCTTTCGCTGCTGCGAAGGTTCAAGACTTGGCCTTTGCCAGCTGCTCAAGACTGCAGGCTCTCAACATTGTGAAAGGATTACACTGACTCTGATATAGATATACCATCGAAAGATTCATCCACGGAATGAAAGACTCGTATAACGACATTCAAGAGTGGAAGTACAAAGACCTGCCAGCGGCTTTTGGTGCATCAAAAGACCAGTATCAGACCTACCGTGTGGAAACCAAGAAGGAAGTAGAAGAGCTATTTATGGACAAGGAATTCTCGAGCGGCGACAACCAGAAGCTGCGGTTCGTCGAGCTGGTGATGCCGTGGGACGATGCGCCTGCAGCACTGAAGTACACCGCGGAAGCAGCAGCGCGGACGAATGCTGCACCTTCGGATTCGTGAGAGTAGGTGATAGAATACGGTGGATAATCAAAGGTGCGGGAGAAGTCATCGAGGTTAACGAATAATGTCTTAATCAGCCGCTGTAAAGCAGCTAATCCAAACCCCATTGTTCCAGGTCGACATGTGCACACACAGTATCGGACTGCGGCTTTTTCGACATGTGGGACCAGCCATGTTGCATTGTCATCCAGAACACGTCGAGTTACATCCGCTGGCACTGTTCAACGAGGCCGCGGCGGTTTCCAAAGCAGTCAGATGTCAATGCTGCCGAAACTTGACAGCGGCGTCCTGGCGCCGTCCAACCCACCAACAAGCAGATTTCCTTCCCTCGACACGCTTCTCCGCGATCCTATCATCGTGACCTTCCCACCGCAGCACCGTTCGCTATGCGTTTGAAATAAGTTTCGCACTAACCTTGCTTGCGCCTCCCGAGCGCAAAAAGCTTAACCTCGCCAGCCACTGAGCGGTATGCGGGTATGCACACATTGCCAGACGAGTGCATCCCAGCGTCGATGATGGCATCGTGGGGAGGAGCGCGTCGCGGGTCTGTGGTGAGGTCGGCGTTTCGCTTGTTTCAGCATCCGATGCGCGCAAGCGAACGAATCGATACGATGGTCTCCGCTTTTGCATGCTCGAGTGTCACGCAGCGAACAAACGGGTCAGAGCCTTGGAGTGTCTTGCATAGATGCGGTGGTTTCGAAATGCCGAGGAATTGGCGTTGAAACTTGGTGAAAACATGTATGGGGTGGAGGCGTAGGTGTGGGCGCGGCGCTAACTGTATTAGGAAGACGACGATGTGGTGGTGGAGTGTCAACGGAGGCGGTATCTTGGATGATTAGCAATGGTAAGTCGGTGTCTCTCAGATAATTTCAGTGTTCAGTCGGATTAAGATGTCAGATCGCCGTCACTGAGTACCGAGTGTCACCTTCAAACCACGACAAAATTAGATCGAGTTGTTCACGAAACTCGTAACCGCCGCTAGCATCCAAAGAGCACTCCAAGGCGGAACACGCGGCGCTAAAGCTTGTCAAAAGCTTTGTATGCATAACGACATTCTCGGTCTCACCCCAGTCACTAACCAGCCTTGCTGCCGCAGATCTTGGGCGTGAAACCAACATCCAGCAGCATCCAGCAACAGAAACCCGCCGACGCCGCCCACGACGATGCGGAATACCACGGAGACTGAGGTTTTGAATCTTCAGCTAGCGACGGAAACGGACCGCGGGGGCAGACGGAGACACGCACGATCTGTATAAAGAGCAAGACCATGACGCCTCCAGAAACAACATCAGCTCAGCGAGTTTACCATCTTCTCTTCTTCTCTTCTGCTCTTCACTTCTTCTCAGCGCGATTGACTCGTTGCTCTTCTTCACCTTTTAACAACTACCTCCCAATCCAGTGTTTAATCACTCCTCCACCACCCCCAAGCAATCATGTACTTCAACGCCCATGCCGTCCTCTTCGCCACCCTCTCCCTCGCCCCGACCCTCATCTCCGCGCACGGCAAAGTCGCCGCTGTCGTCGGCGACGCGGGCGGTAACGGCACCGCCCTCGGCATTCAGGGCGGCATCGTCCCCGGCCCCGGCAAGAACAAGGTCACTGAAGTAGACACTACCGTCTTCGGCAAGACCAATATCGCGACCAACGGCCTCGGCAAGACCACGGGCCAGGGCAAGAACACGGTTGCCATGGTCGTGGCGACGATGGACCAGTCTGGTGCTACTCTGCCCCAGGTCAGCGACGGCGGCAGCATCAGCGGAACCTTCCATGTCGTCACTACCGATGGCGCGGGGCCTGTCCAGGCGATGATCGATACGACGGGCACGGGCGCGTTTGCGAGCGGTGTCCAGGCGAATGTTGTCACGGGTATGTCTGCGCCTCTCCCACCTCTAACCCTTCTCGATCAATCAGTCAATCCAAAGAGCATGAAGATAGACTAACATCCTCCCCCAGACGTCCCCGGCAACAAAGGCAACATCAAGCCGTCAGGCAAAGTCCCGCGCGGCCTCTCCTTCGTCGCGCTCCGCGCACGAAACCTCGTCGCCCGCGCTAGCAATGTCAACATGGACTTTCCCATCGACATTGCGGTACCCGCGGGGACGACGTGCACCGGGTCCATGGCGGGCCTGCAGAACGTGTGCTTGATGAAGATTGCGAACTCGAACAACGCTGGCCCCTTCGGTGGAGTCATCGCTTTCCAGATGGCGGGTACGGCGGCGGGTAACACCACTGCTGTTGCTGCCCCGGCCACTGCTGGAACTGCGGGTACGGCTGCTGCCGCGGGTGCTGCGGGCGCTGCTGCGGGCGGCGCTGCTGGGACTGCGGCCACGGCCTCGACCAAGGGCGCGAAGGGTGCTAAGGCTGCGAAGGCCGCAAAGGGCGCCACTGCTAAGCGCTTCGTCGCATAAGTGCACCCTTGGTGACGCGGACTACCAGTGTGATACTTCACCGAAAGGGGTGGTAGGATGGCTTGGGTCTGTATATAACATCGTGTCTTGTGGATGGGCTGGTGGGGAGGGAGGTTGGGCGGGGGTATGTAAATAATCGCTTTCTCAAGGGTGAGACGAGAAGATGGATGAATGAATGGATGTATGATTGTAAGAAAGATTACTCTTGTCCCGGTGATGATGATGAAGGCTACTACTACTCTGCAGGTCAGCGAGTCGGGGCTCCTAAACACAATACTCTCACTTCGGTGTTAGATGCACGGAGACGACGAAGTAAGCTATCCAAGGCCAGATATGGCCATACAGCAAAGTCACCTACTGTAATGCTCTCTCAAGCGCCATACACAGCTCTTGATGTTGAAATATACTACATTGCTTTGCTTTGCACGTTTCTCCTCGATCCTGCCGCCTTCGTGCAACTCGGACAATGTCTCTCCTGTTGTCCCTGGTCAGAGTCAGCCCATCAAGGCTTCCTGTGTCTATCTCTAGAAACAAGTAAACCCTGTGGTCAATTGCGGCGGCGTGTGCCCCGCTTCACCTAATCATCAGCGTTATCTACGCACAGCCTACATCACAGGGGTAAATTGCTCTCTACTTGGGAAAAGCCGTTCCGGGGTAGCTTGGACGCAGGAACGTACTTTTTGCTGTGTCTTTGACCACTGGCATTATAAAGCAAAGGTTTTTGCTCTGTCAATTCTTCCCTTTCTTTTTCCGCAGCTGTCGCGTGTGCCCAAAGAAGAAAAAAAGTGACGAAATGTATCAGCACCTCAGCACAGCCGAATAGAACACGGGGAAGTACTTTCGAGCGCTACGGGCTTCAGGCATCATGTTTTCCTTTCACGGGAATAGCCACTGAGAGGGTTCTCTGGCTCACTGTTGTGATTGCCCCGAAGTACTCGATCAGGCATATAACGCAGGACACACCAATCATCTAACATTTTTCGCACGATTAAGTACACGTTGAGATTTCCCGGGGCTGAACAATATCTCCGTCCATTGAGGCTGCCCCATAAATCGCATTGTGATGGGGTCGGGCTGGTGTCGGGTGCAAGTGTCCTAGTAGTGGGGCACGCTGAAAAATTTCTCTGCCCCTCTTTCCCTCATCGTGCAACCACCAACACTGGCCCACCTTGGCTTGAAGATAGTCCCTTGCGCCGGAATATGCGGAGGCTTTGCTGGCTCCGCCATTGTATATACTTCTACGTATATATATGTTGTGTCTTTCTGAATTCCCATCAAACCACGGTGAGATGGCCGAGTTGGTTATGGCGCCAGGTTAAGGAGCATCTTAACATCATTTCCTGGTCACGAAAGTGGCGTGGGTTCGAGTCCCACTCTCATCACTATCGTTCGCTCGTCGAGCGGTCCTACGGGAATATCCTTTCTTTCGCATCGGTGGTTTAGTGGTAAAATTAGCCGTTGCCATTGGCCTGGTGTTCACCAGTTCAACAGTTTCGGCTAGCCCCGGGTTCGATTGTGAGTAGCTCCGCTCTACCAAACCAATACATTGTCTAACATTCACCAGCCCGGCCGATGCAATCATCAATTTCCTTTTTGCATCGGCATTCCCTCGGGGTTATGTGCACAGAACATAGCCCCGGGTTCGATTGTGAGTAGCTCCGCTTTACCAAACCAATACATTGTCTAACATTCACCAGCCCGGCCGATGCAATCATCAATTTCCTTTTTGCATCGGCATTCCCTCGGGGTTATGTGCACAGAACATAGCCCCGGGTTCGATTCCCGGCCAATGCATTCCTTTTTGCAAGTTGGTTCATCGCGGGGGAGAGGGGAGGTGGTGGTGGCGGTGGGCTGGAAGCAGGACAGGGAAACCTACCCAACATTAACGACCATGGCTGTGGGTGTTAACAGTAGCTGAACGTATGCACGCAAGAATTTTTCGATTGTGACAAGCGGGTGTTTCTCTTTTATAAGGGCGCTCTGCTGGTCCAACGAAATGCCTTCTGGTCACTGCCTCGCTGCTTGCCAACTAAGCTTCCCAGCAGATCAATAATGCTCGCGTGTATCATGCTACGAGATAGGGGACCTCATGCTTCATCTAGATCCGAGACACGAGGCTGTCTGGCATTGTAGACAGCACGCACTAGTCTGCCCAACACAGCACCAACGGATCGAAGAGGCCGAGTGTGCTAGCACCATGACCACCTCAATCTGACCAAAACCTGTTGACTAGGCATTAGGTTAATCAATCAATCTTTCACTCGGGTGTGTTCATTTTCAAACCCGTTGATATGCTCGATTATTCTGTGCAAGGGACCAGACAGACAGCCGCCGAACAAGATAAGTGCGACAACGACGACGAGTGAACGGAACCAAGCTGGAACCCAGGGTGGCATATCGGCAATGAACTACAGAGATACAGTACTCTAGCAAACAAGGCGTTACGAGAAAGGCAACCCTACAATGTACAGCCGAAATACAACGCAATAAGAAATCAGCGACTTTAAGCCTCTTTTCTGATCAAGAAGCCGTCGTTCTGAAGCGTCTGCATCACGCCATTCGGATCGTACTTCTTCGCCGTCTTCTTGATGAAGTCAAAGTTCTTCTGCCCGTAGCCGCTGAGTGGTCTCGAATGGATGTTACCGTTGTTGGAGTAGATGATCGGCAAAAACGAGCCTTCCTTCTTAGCTTTCTTCGTCCAAGCCGCCTCCCAGGAGTCGACGGCCTTTTGTGCGAGCCCGTACTGGTTCACGTTGGGAAACGTGACGTATGTGTCGTGCCCTAGCACACTGTCAGTATCCGCTCATGTGGAAACCACGATTCCACGTATGCTCACAGAATTGCGGGACATCATCGAGTCCCATGACGTTGCCACCGTTCAACGCCTTGCCTGCTTTGACTAGTGCAGATGTGAAGCCCTGGGGGGCAAAGTACATGGCCATGCCGGGTTCCAGCATTGTTGCAGCTTTCAGGTACTCGTCGTATGCCTCGAGTATCAGCTTTGAATCGGGGATCTTTTGTGCAACAGAGGTATGGTAGTATCTGGGTGAGAGTGAGCGAGGGTTATCCAAATGGGATTTGCAACGCGAACGTACGAGCCGGGGCTTTCGCCGTTTGCACCATTCCCAGACGATCCTAAGGCAGCGGATAGGAATGAAGCCACCGTGCCATTACTTGGGGGAAGGAACGGTCTCATGACCGGGATCGAGCGGAAGGCTTTGAATTCTGGCGCAGAACTGACGTGCCCGATGTGCCCAAAGAAGACCAGTGTTGCGTTCTGCGACACCTCCAGTTGTACGACGGCATCGCCGGGGCCATCTTCACGTAGAAAGTCGGCGTAGGCTGACAGTATGGCCCTTGTAACGTTCTTGTGGTAGAGGTTGACTTCGTAATTGATATCAATGATGTCCGAGGTAATGACTTCGAATTCAGTGACGATACCTTGCAGCGTATCAGGTCAGCTTGGCATGCTCGATTCGTTCAATCGAAATCATACGAACCAAAATTGCTCAGCCCGCCTTTCAAGCTCTTATACAGGTCCGCGTTTTTCTTTGTAGTTGCATTGACCACTTTGCCACTTGGCAAAACGATCTGTCGGATTAGCTTTGATCATACCAAAATAATACCTTGCTGAAACTTACCTCGTATCTAACAACCTGATCCAGACCTAAGCCTTTCTTGTCGTTGAAGAGGGAGATGCCACCTGTTTCGCAGCACGTCAGTAAACCGTATCGAGCGGGGGTCATGAAGTCTCATACCACCGAGAAGAAAGCCGCCGACCCCGACTCCAATATCACGGCCTCCAACAACCTGCACGCCGTTGGCCACACACCAATCGTACACTGTCCCCCAGTTTTGACCCGGGCCAAGAGTTGCGTACTTCCTGTCGGCGCTTAGGACCTTCTTTTGGAGTCTTTCTAGCGAAATAACGACGCCATCGCTTCCGACGGCGTTCCACCCAGGGAGAGGGAGGTGGCCCCAACTGCGAATGGCAAACTTGGTATTGGTCGCTGTCAAGACACGCATGATAAGTGATACATCGTCGCTTGATTCCGGCGTTACGAAACAGGCTGGATCCTTTTCACATATTGCGGAGCTGTATGTATAGTCAGCATTGATCCCCAGAAACCGAAGCGATAGGTGGTGATCCTACTATGGAACCTGCACCAAAGTTTGGTAGTACTGTGAGCCACCTGTGAACGTTTCATTGCTGGGGAAAAGATGCTGTAAGACGCTGCACGTCAGTCGTGCGTTTCCGGTGCAGGGGACGGTCTTCGTCCAAGAAGCAGGTAGTCCGAGTGCACCCAAGGACTTGGAACATGCATCGTTGGACAAGGGAGGGGTGGGCCCTGCACATGCGGTACCGAAAATGGCAAGTGCCGACGCCCACGTGGTGATGGACAGCATGACGAATCTGAACTGGGAAAAGCGATCAAAGATCAGAGATGCTGGGCCTGAAACCTCAACGATTGAGACAGCTAAATATTCTTATACGCTTTCCAAAGGCCCCCACGACGACGTCCGAGAACCCTCAAAAGCCACATCGATCCATCGCCTGAGCTTTGATCCATCGCCAGCGCCATCTTCTCGTACACTTTGCTGTACACGAGGCGCCCACGCGATGAAAGTGGTTCAGTCTCGCACCAAGAATAGAATTAGCCTAGAACATGCCCCCAGTGGATGACCAGTCTTCTGGAAATCCCAACCCAAGTCATGGTTCGGCCGGTTCCACGTGCGGTGTCTTGGTCTACGCTGAGCGGCTATCGGCCGATAGCTCCACGCTCGGTCGCCACGAAGCTAAAGTCAGCCCAGGAATTGCAGGATAACGGCATAATAATCCATAAGCTCGAGCTGAATATGCATTTTGAAAGCTACCACCATCTGGACAGCATCATGGGTACCGGTACCAATACAGTCACGTTGAGGAAGCAGCAAACGGCCATTGTCTGCGCTACACCTCCAAAGGAGTCGGGTCGTAATCTTCGCAAGGGAGTTTGGCAGCTGGCTCGGCTGCACACAAAGGAAGCATGGCTGTGCTGGTACCCAGCTGGTTGGTAAACTCTTTTCCTCTTGTGGGCGTCGACTAATGCATGCAGTATGGGGATTATGTCTTTCAGCTGGCACGCAAGACATTCGCCTTGATATTTTACAGATGGCGAAGATACTATTTGGTATCTGGAGCAGCGTCACAGTGACCCACTGCGCCTTTTGCACATGGGAGTAAGTGATGGCCGCAGCCAATGCGAGGCCTCGCTGACAGCTGTTCCTAGTGATATCTGCGACGTCGAATTTGATAAGCAGGTAGAGCGTTGCAAAGTACGTCCGCTACCAGCTGGTATGCTGACCGTTGGGGAAGCCTACGCTGCATTGCTGGCGTGGCTACCGATCGTGTTCGGTGTGACATACCTTACCCTTGGAGAGGCCGGTGTGTGTACATTTGCCCCTGTGTGGATTCTCAGTACCATATATCCATTCATGAAGCGGGTGACCTCTTTCCCGCAGATTGTGCTTGGTGCCATTATTGGGGCGGCTGTGTTTCCGGGTTGGGCCTCCGTCACCGGCGATCTGACCACGCTCAGCCAAGGACTACCGCTGTTCTTTGCTACGGCAAGCTGGGTTGTGTACTTTGATCTCTTCTACGCTGAACAGGTAAGCTACACGCACTAGCACCGGTCACTAGCTGATAAAGTTTGCAACAGGATCGTCCCGACGACATCAAAGCCGGTGTCAAGTCACTTGCAGTCTTACTCGGAGATCACGTCCACTTCTTTCTAGCTTTCTTGGGCATTCTGCAAATTGCTTTCTTTACTATGACTGGACTGAGGGCTCAGATGTCGCCCGTCTTTTGGATTCTCGGCTTGGGTGTGTGGACCGCCAATGTGATTTGGCACGTAGCCTCATTGGATCTCAACAACCGCAAATCCGGCGGCAAGATCTTCAAGGCAAACATCATGTTGGGGCTGTACATGACAGTAATTTCTGTGCTGGAGCTAGCGCTCTCGAGGCTCTCTTTGTCGGACCTGGGGCACATTGGCCAGTCCTTGACTGGCATGCATGTGTCGTGAAAGAAGTGGCGGCGAAAATTCTCGCACTGTGGAAGAAGTAATTCGTGGCGGTCGTAGGAAAAGCGTCTCTTGGTCGGATTGGGGTAAGCGTTGCTCGTGTAGGTAGGAGTTATTTCTCGGCCGGTACAGCGCGATCACGTGCGACCCCTCGGAAGACTGCCGATGCTACTATACACACACTCTGAATAAATCATTGCTCGCGGCACGGAAAAGCTTTACTCAGCTTATTTGTCGAAGTGATATACAAGCTTTCGTGAGCCGTACATGGAGAGCGGAGTTGTTTGGTTTCCATTCGCCTACCAGCTTCCACTGGTAGTAGTGTCATTTGGGTGCTGTGTCCGTCAACATATTTCGCTGAGAATGGTGATTTCATGAGTTTATTTCCTCAGTATGAGCCGCAGCTGCCCACGTGGGCGCCACGTGCAGTGTGTGGCAGTGTGTCATGTGCACGAGAGGTCTGGTCCGGCCGAGAAATCTGAAAATGCGTTTTCCGCCGACGGCCTCAGATACTACCTTTCCACGGAAATTAGCGGACCCGTGTTCCGAAGACTCTTAATTTGTAGGCTTTTATTCTTCCACATTTGACGAACCGCACAAACGTCCTGAACCACGACTTCATATCATGACCGCAACGATACACGAGCTGAACAGCACGAAAGAGCTGAGCCAGAGATCCGATGATGTACAAGACGAATCGGCCGGCGAACCCGAAATCGTGCAGATTTCACCGTTCTCCTTTATCTCACTGATGGTGGGCATCAGCCTTGCCGTCTTTCTCATCGCACTTGACCGCACCATCATTGCGAATGCCATCCCACTCATCACTGACGAATTCAATTCACCAGATGATGCAGGCTGGTACGGGTCTGCGGCAAGTCTCGAACCTCCGTGTTACTCTTGTCTCCAGCGCTGACCAGTTACAAAGTACTTGCTCACAGCATGCGCCTTCCAGCCGATATTTGGTCGCGTGTTCGCACATTTCGATATCCGATGGTCGTTTCTAGCCGCACTGTTGATCTTCGAGCTTGGCAGTCTGATATGCGGCGTGGCTCCTAACAGTGACGTTCTGATCATCGGACGAGCCTTGGCTGGGATCGGCTGTGCAGGCGTCTTTGCCGGGTGTCTTGTCATTATAGCTATGACAACGTCTTTGAGCGTCCGACCAGTGTACATGGGCGTGATCGGATCGGTGTAAGTGGCCACTCCCATTCATACCCCGTCAACACAGCTGAAATATGCGCGTAGGTCCGGCATCGGCAATGTTTGCGGACCGCTGATCGGAGGCGCCTTCACCAGTAATGCCACTTGGCGTTGGTGCTTCTATATAAATCTGCCAGTCGGAGGTGTCACATGCATTCTGCTTCTTTTATTCTTCCACCCTTCAAAATCAAATCGCGGACAAGAGAGGTTCTTGACACGCGTCCTACGGCTCGATCTGATCGGCAACTTCATCCTCACCGTCACAGTGGTAATGCTGCTGCTGGCCCTCCAATGGGGGGGTATCGAGTACGGCTGGGGCAGCTCGAGGATCATCGGCCTTCTCGCCGCATCAGGGGTTGGCTTCGTGATTTTCGGGCTGTGGCAGCACAGGAAAGGCACTGAGGCATTGACACCGCTCTATATCATGACTCAGCGTGGTGTTGCCGCCGGTATTGGTGTCATGTTCTTCCTCAGCGGCGCGTTTCTTGTTCACAGCTACTACTTGCCATACTGGTTTCAAGCAGTGCGTGGGCGTACACCCGTTCAGTCCGGCGTCGACGTCACTCCGTATGTCGCCACAACTTTCGTCTTCTCCATGCTTGCTGGCATTGCCGTCCGGAAGATTGGTTACTTCACTCCTCCATCCATCCTAGGCTGTGCAATAGGCTGTGTCGGCTGCGGGCTGTTGACAACGCTGCAAGTGGATACGGGCACCGCGGTATGGGCTGGATACCAAGTGCTGACGTCTGCGGGCATGGGAATGACAATGCAGCAGCCCATCATTGCGGTGCAGGCAACGATCGATCCCGCACTAGTCTCTATCGGCAGCGCCATAATACTCTTTGCGCAAGGCCTGTCTGGCGCCATCTTCGTTTCCGTGGCCAACAACATCCTGCGGAATGAGCTCGCGCGCAAATTGGTGGCATTGAATGTACCCAATGTGAACAAAATCCTAGCAGCGGGCGCGACAGACGTGCGGGAGCTCGTCCCGTTGGAGTACAAGGGGCCACTTGTTGAGGCCTACAACGATGCATTGATGAAGGTTTTCATGATGGCTATTCCGCTTTGTGGCATAGCTCTGCTGTTTGCTTTGAGATTGCCGTGGGTTAATTTGAAGAAGAATCAAGCGGGGAAGACGTGATAGAGCCCTGGAGATCAAAGGGACGTAGGGGCAGACTATGATGAATGAAGCTAGCTTGCCGGGTGGTTAGTGCTACGCTAGGGTAGGAAAGCTAGACGCGCGCCACGATGAATCCCTTAAAACCACCGCGTCCCTACTCTCTTTCCATTTTCCATACACGGAATCGACCGCCAATCCGTTAGCTCTATTCGTGATCTGAGTGATGATGTGATCAGAAGAGCCGCGCGTATGCACGCAGCTTTCGGAGAGCAAACGGGCCGAGAAAAGCAGTATGGCCCCCGGGACTGCACCATGACAGAATGTGGATTGCTAGACGCGCTCCTGGTAGACCGACCGGTGCTGTACAAGATAGAACCTCAACGTGCTGTCTCGGCCGAGCGAGAGCTAACGATACGCTCCGCATGACACCGGCCGGATGACGCGCAGCGCATGCGAAAAGTAGATAATCATTGGAAAGAGAGCAATTTCGCAGTAGAGACCGAGGACCAGAGTTTCTATCAGCCATGGGTTCAATCGCAGACATACCGCAGGGCATCGACGTCCACCACCACTTCATCCCAGAATGCTATGCAAAAGGTATGGCCGTCAAGCAAGATACGGCCCCGTCTGCTGACTAGGCAACACAGCCCTCCACGAAGCGGGCGGCGACCCCTCAGGCTGGAAGCTCCCTAACTGGTCCGTCGCAACCTCGAAAGCCCTCATGCAAACCCACGGCATTCGCACTAGCATCCTCTCCCTGACCGCCCCCGGCTGCTCCATCCTGCAAGGCGCACCCGCAGCCACCCTTGCCCGCGCCGTCAACCAGGAAGCCCATGCAATCCGCAACGCCCACCCCACCGCCTTCGGCTTCTTCGCCGCACTGCCCCCTGTTGAAGCCGATGCCGCCGCCGCCGTTGCAGAAATCGAGCACGCCCTCGACGTCCTCGGCGCAGACGGCGTAACCCTGTACACGCGCTATGGCCCGGGCCCGCGGTACCTGGGGCATGCGGATCTGCGCCCCGTGTGGGCGGCCCTGAACGAGCGCAAAGCCGTCGTCTTCGTGCACCCAACCCATGCGGCGGATACACGGCCCGTCAACGGCGCCCTCCCGCAACCCATCATCGACTACCCGCATGAGACGACGCGCGCCGCCGTCGACATGATTCTGTCTGGCGTGCTCCGCGACTTCCCTGACGTCAAAATCATCCTGTCGCACGCCGGCGGCTCCCTGCCGTATCTCGCCACGCGGGCCGCGCATCTCCTGGCCGATGCGGGGCTGACAGCCTTGAGCGCTGACGAGTTCCTCACGTGTGCGAAGAGCTTCTACTTCGATACTGCGCTGTCCGGGAACGCGTTGTCGCTGCCGTTGCTGCTCGACTTTGCGCCACCCGGACACGTGCTGTTTGGGAGCGACTTCCCGTATGCGCCGACGCCGACGATTGCAACGCATACGGTTGCTGGGGCGGAGGTGCTGGCGCGAAGGGAGGGCGAGAAGGGTATGGATCTTGCGGCAAATGCTTTGCGGTTGCTGCCGAGGCTGGCGTAGAGAGGGTGCTTGTCGAATGCTGCTGTATGCAAAGGTAGCACTGTGGTCATGTTTAGAATGCGAATATAATGGCGAACATCTCGGATCGTTCAGTCTCCCTTTCCTAGTGCTTGACGACAAGCCTGAAATCTGCTTTAGCCTCATCGACAACCAGTCATCAAACGCATGCCTTTGGTCGACGCGTCCAATGTCCGACTTCCTGCTCGCCTTTCCTCCCTATCCCGCTGCCAGAAATTTACCCCGGCTCCATCCGTCACGCAAGCCTCACCTCCGTAAAGCGCCAATTCACTCCACTTAACTCGGCAAGCTGAAACATCAAAAAGGATCTGTACCTATCTATCCGCATTCTATCTCTATTCACCTGCCATCCAGCGAAACCTTCACCCCTTCCCTGTCAATCCCCTTAGCCTCTCCTCCAACCTCCCCACAACCAACCTCCTCACCTCCCCCTCCCCCCTCACCCTGACAAGCACCAACATCCTCTCCAACCTCTGCAACTGCACCTCCACCAACGCATCCATAACCCCCGCCCACTCCCGCTTCGACTCCACCCTATACGCACCCACTTTGAGTCCGCGCTCGCTCAGCGGCTCGCCACCCAGCAGCAGCGGCACCTCCATGTCCACATCCACATCCGCGTCCGCCTCTCCGCCGCCGTGCACGAGGGCCCGCAGCGCAGCCCGCAGCCGCGCGAGACTGGTGAGCAGATCGTCGGCGACGACGAGCGCGGTGAGGGCGGCAGCGGGCGCGGCGCTGCAGGTAGCACAGCGAAGGACGGCGTCAAAGGCGGCGAGGGTGGCTTTGTGGGCGGCGAGGGCGTCTTCGAGGGCGGGTGGGACGAGGAGAGCGGGTAGCGCGGGGGTGGCGTGGAAGGCTGTGAGGGCGGATGTGAGATGGGGGCAGCGGGTGGGAGGAAGGGGCTTTGAGCGGTCGATGTCTGGGGTAGTGGAGAGGGTAGGGAGGGGGGAGGCGGGCGTGAAGGGGGAGAAGTAGGTGTCGAGGTCGTAATTGGTGGAGGGGGTGGAAAGGTCGTGCGCGTGTACTGCAGATGTGAATATGGTTTTGCCGAAGCAGAGGTGAGCAGGCGACTTACCCAGCGCTGGAACGCCGTCGGTGGAGTCGCTTTCCAGGGAGAAACAATCTGCAGCTTCGAGCAGCACCATCTCGCCCCCGTCCATGTCCATGCCCACGTTGGGACTCCCCTCGAACAAAGAGCTAAACTCGCACATCGCGTGCTCCTGTTCCTCAGTGGTGGCGGAAAAGGTATCCCTGTGGTCGTTCTCGCCCGCAGACGCAAGGGCGTGAATCGGACTCTCGAGCGCGATGCAGCTCACGCTCTCTGTCGCCGCTGCACTCCACTTTTCCGCCTCATGCTCTTTCTGTGCTCTCGGACTCATGCTGTCTTTCCTCGCCCGTGCCTCTTTGCACGCAGCAGATGCTTTTCGTTTCGCCGGCGAGGCTGACTTTCGCTCGGGATACGTGCACTTGTTGACGCCCTCAGAGCAGCAGCGTACGCACGCGGGGCGGTCCCCACTGCACCTCAGCTACACCAGTACAGTTAGCTGGCTAGATTCACCAAAATCGGCACACAGGCACCATGGAACTTGCTTTTCTCCGCTTGCAATGCACACACGCGGCATGCTGGTACAGCGCGTCGCCCCTCTTCAACGGGCCCTTGCCCACATCCTCCATACTGTCCTTCAGACGAAGCGTCGTAAACATGGCCAAGACCGGCGACGCTATGGCATCGAGTTTGGTTGCCGCGAAAAAAAAAAATCGTCGTCCCGAATCGGTTATACCCGATATCACCTCCATAGTGGTGTTTGTTGCGTTGCACAGGGGACAGCCGTAGAACGTTTCGCTTATCGGCCGATACACGCATTTCTGGCAGGCGGCGCGGTGCGCTCTAACCTTGTCCTTCTGCAGGGCCTAGAGCTGACCGGCTACGCGCGAGAGCACCATAGTATGGGTGGGGGCTGACCGGGTGTACGGGTGAGAGACGTTTCCGGGAGGAAAGTCAGCTCTGTACCGACGCCGCGCTGGCCTCAAGTGCCGTGGCGTGATGCAGTGGACCGTCAGCGTGTGGAGATCCTCTCATGTGAGTATGGTCTAATGTGTTACAGCCTCTGGTATGGTCTGGTCTGTGGTCTGGCTGGTCTGGTCTGGTCTCTGCTTTGCAGGCACAATTTGATGTTCTCAGCATCGAATCACTCAGCTTATCCTATAGTTGCTCGGTATTTCGTATTTTCTTTGCGAGAAGGAAACATCGGCCAGGTGTGAACCAGGACTTGGAAGTATAATAGCTAACAGAGATTGTCCGACAAATCGCACCTTATAGAAAGCCATTCGTGCACAAAATTTATAGTCACCTAACGTGTAATCGTATCATGTTTGAGTGAGATCTTTTATTCCCGAAAAGGAATGAGAGAGTGATCAAAAGTCTAAGGTGATGAAAAAAAGAATCTGTAGATATCGTTTCGACGAGCGACAATGCATGTCGACCGTGAAAGCCACCAGTTCGGGTGAGCATATTGGAGTGACTGCATTCGGTACCGAAACGCTGGATCCGATGTATCCGAGAGGGCAAATCTTAGGGTCAAAACACTGATGAACTATAAAACAGAATGTCGACTGTGCCCGCTAAAGGAAGGGTGTGCAGTCGTGGCGTGAGCAGAGCCTTGGATCCAGTAGGGAAAATGCAAGCATCGTGCTGCGTGTATCGCTCTTCTGAAGGAGCGAGCCGAGCCAAGCCTGCAGGTGTATGCTGGCTGGCAAGACCAGATTACGCATACTAGGCTTGATAAGCCTACTCAAAGTGGTGAGCAAAGCTGAGTGAGACTGCATATCAAGTATCTGTCAAACCTTCCAATTGCAGGAAGGAAGCCAGCCCTTGGTCTACCCCACCGAGATCAACCACGCTTGCTTGGTCTTTTTGGCACTGACCATCACCAAAGGAAGATTTGAATTCCGCGGAAAACCAAGATAGGTCAGGATGAGGTCGCCAAGGCAAGTGTTCTTTCAGCTCGTTCAAGATGGCCCAAAGGTTCTGACGCGTTGTGGATAATGTGCCAGGAGGTTGCTGGTTCTGGGCTTGCTCGCTGTTGTAACACATGTCAAGCACTTCCTCAGCGAAGTGCTCGACTAGGTCAGCTTCGGCTGGGCATGAATCTGTCTGCAGGTAGGCAAGCAGGATGAGGGTCTCCTCAAGGGGTTGCAGCCGGCTCAGTAACGCCCATTTGTATATGGCTGCAGCGGACCATCGAGTCAGACGGAGATAAGTCTGAATGTATTGGCAGCAAAGGCGCACCAGCCTGAATAAAGAACTTGGTCAGCCTGAGAGGAGACATTGGTCGGAAGAGCGGCACTTACGTTTTCCACAAGGTCGCCTGCTGTTGGCCGGTGAATTCGTGAAGGAAGCGTTTCTGTAAAAGTATTAAGGCTCTCAGATAAAGCATGTGGAGAACAGAGCGAGCCCAGAAGTTAAAGACGGTGGTAGTACTAGCGTCGTCCTTGTAGAGTGTGCCGTAGGTTGCAGGCGCTACTGTCGCTTGGAAAGACGATACCAACCCCTTCTCAGGAATGCCCTTGGCCGGCAGACGTGCTGATATCGCGCGAATGCGGCTGTGAAGTGAGGAGAGCATGTCATTGAGCTCGATCAAGTCTCGCTGGGTGGGCCGTTGCCGGTCGTAGGCACGAATTATGATCTGGCGCATGGCGGATGCGATCTCGGCACGGCCAAGTGCAAACAGTAGAAAAGCCGAAGACTTGGGCGTGTTCTCACCGGCCAGCACGTTCTGGTCTTCCAGAAATTCGATAGGCAGGCGCGCGTCCGATGACCCTTCGACCCGAGCAGCCTGCAATTCGGTTCCTGCAGCCACAGCCGATTGAATGTCCAAGTCTATTAGATGCCACCAGATGCGCCGGCCCAGCTCACTCTTGACGGTTCCAAGGCCCTTCCTCGATGCCTCGCGGTGCAAGCCGAGTTGCTGAGCGGCACGGATGCATGCGCAGACGATCTGCGCGCTCCGCAGCTGGTAGATATCCTCGCGGCCCAGCCCACTCTGCACGATCAGTGCGGCAACAAGTGCATCAAGCGTGGGTGCCTCAGGGAAGCTGGCCGCCTTCATGGCACTCGTAAAAGCAACATAGAGGTTGTCACGAAAGGCTGGCGTGTCAGGCACCTTTGCCGAAGCGGCCAGGGGCGTACCTGCCGAAGCTACAGCACCCGCATACATTGCAGCCCAAAGAAGCGCGACGAAGGAGGCATCAGACGTGGATAAAGCGAGCGGAATGATGTTTTCCTGCTCGCCCAGCAGCTGCGTACACAGCTGGCCGTAGCGTTTGGCCAGGGTTGGTGCGTGAACGAAGGGCAGCAGAGGATGTACACACAGGAAGAAGCACTGCAGTAGCGCTCCGCAGACGTGTTTTGGCGGCAGCGTCAGATGGTCGCCCGCGTTCATGGTGGACTTGCACCGATCTGCAGCGCTCTCGACGCGCAGGATGCGCTCGTAGACATCTTGCTGTTTGCAAGTCAGCCAGCACAACACAGCGGGCACAGGGGGATACGCGCATCGCGGCTGACCAAGGCCCAGAAGGTGCGCTCGATAAAGAGCTTCGATCCGTCGTCCCGGGTGCTAATGTAGCCTTCAAAAGGAGGGCCTGGGAGTGGCGATGAGTCCCTGCGGTTGGGCAAAGCGTCCAGCGGACAGGCAGACTCGAGCTGGAAGGAATTGAGCGAGAGACTGGGAGTGAGCAGACCCAAATCAAAGTGGGCGTCGAAGGCGAAGTCGAAGTCCAGCGTTGGGGCGTCCCACTGGAAGCCTAGGTCTGATCCAGCCGGCGTCCACCCCACGGCCGCAGCCTCCAGCTCAGGATCTGTGACGGGAGAGTCGTTGTCGCCGCGGCGATCGTGTGACTCGAGCGCATCGAAAGGATCGTCGAGTTGGTCTTGGTGTTGGTGCTGGTGTGTCTTGCGTTTCTTGGCCGCAGCCTTCTCCCACTGCTCTGGTCCTTCGTACACGCACTCGTCGCCCAGACGTACGCAGTTTGCGCACGCGGGGCGCTGCTTCTCACACTTGATCTTCCGCCGACGGCATGCTAAGCAGCTCAGTGATGGCCTGTTGCGCACGATCTTTCGGTGAGCCATGACTTGTCGCCGCCGTGGGTGTGTAGCTCCACAGAGGGTAGACGCGTTTATTAGCCAACCGTGCAAGTGCGGCACGTGCATTCAGGCAATCTGCAAGTACGGGCGAAGTAGGATTTGGTAAGCGAGGCAAGGTCTACTCGTCCCACTGGTCAAGCTGACAGTTTGGCCGTGCTGCCGTAAGCGTAAGTTTACCGCATAATTCGGGATAAAACTGCAATGCTAGGTCTGACTGGGCGCGTCAGAGGGCAATGAAGTGCTACAAAGCTCCTTACTGGGCCTTGTGACTCACTATTGTTCCGTTTGAGCTCTATTAGCAGTATCTACTTGACATCTCCGCACACCCGATCAAGCCTACCCTATCAATCTCATTGCAGATCACCACGTCTCGTCTTGGCGGGATCCATCTCCGTAGGAATCTGCTCTGCTCCCATTCGGCCAAATCCGCCACCACGTTATCGTCGCCGGTCAAAACGTGGCTGGCCCTGTAGAAATCCTTCAGCACAAACCAAGCGTTAGAATCTCATGGAGGCATATGCGCTAGCGGCCCGAACCAGGCGTCCGTCTGAACGTATACTAGGTGCGGCGTGTCGCAAGTCGTCTGTTAGCTGGATGGATGCAGCCCGAGACTGTTAGCTACATGCACTCAGCTGAGCTGCTCTTATCAAGACATCTTATCGCTGCACTGGATTACTCGCACTGAAACCAGTCGATTATTATTAGTTACAAGTAGTGGAAGCTTCCCTCTGCAGTCTCTCGCTAGTGCTCTCTGCCTGCCTCGTATACCCGGCCATGTCTAGATAGCAAGGATACGAGCGCGTTACTGGGGTGGCTTGGTGTTCGGTCGCGAGTACCGGCTGATTGTGCAGGGTGCAGCGGGCGTCTCAGCCCGTCAGCCCGCACGGCGCTTTGGTACCACAAGCAGTTCCCCATGGAACTCCGGCACTACCATGTCGTCCCAAGCCATGTCTGCTGGGGTCGTGCCCGCTAGTTGGAAGTCGAACCGGCGGATCAGGTAGCCTATGGCCATGTACATTTCCATATACGCGAGACTAAACGGCGTTCAGTAGCTGTAGTTACCCCATGGGTGCTAGGGAGACTGACTTGATGCCTAGACATGATCGACTCCCGCGCGAAAAAGCCACCATGAAGCGGCTCAAACGCGCCACTTCTTCCGGTGCCTGCAACCAACGCTCGGGGTCAAAAGTGCGCGGGTTCTCGAAAATGGACTCGTTGTAGTGTATGTGGTAGATGGACATGCCAATTCGCGTGTTTGCAGGAACAAACCGGCCATCTGGAAGCGTCACACCGCCAGAGGGCACCAGCCGCGGAGTACGTGACGCCGCAGGGGAGGAATAGCGCAGCCCCTCTTTGATTACTGCAGTCTGCAATCACGCAATTAGCTCCATGGTTCCAGGCCGCCACTTGCGCGTGAGGCTTACCAAATATGGCAATCTCTCAAGTTCCGGATACGGTGCATGCGAGTTTGGCTCAGGTAGTACGGTCTTCAACTCCGCCAGCAGGCGCGCATGTATAGTAGGATTGCTGATAATGTTGTACAGGGTCACCATATTGGCGATGCCTGTCGTGTCATCACCTGCTGAGATGGTTGTCAATATCTCATCACGCAGTCCCTGCTTGTCCGGCACCACGTATCCTTTCTCTGGAATAGGAATAAGCAGACGTTCCATGATGGTGGGAAACGACGGCAGCTTGCCCGCTGCCTTTTGTTCCAGAAAGTCGTCGATGCGACGTGATGCGAACTGCTCAAGCTCATGGCCCATGGCAATGGAGCGCGACATGCGGTGCGTTAGCCACCGTGGCAGACTGTGCAATAGGCGGACAAAGGGGAACGCCTTTATGATATGCAGGCTCGGCAAATATTGCTTGAATACCTGCACGGGCAACGACTTGAACTCAGGGTCATCTAAGGCCCCCAAGGACTTGCCAAAGGCAAACTGAGAGACCATATCTAGAACATTGTATCAGTTCAATACGTAACTCGCGGCGGACGACTCACCCATGGCTAGCGACTTGAGCGCCCACTCCATCGAGACCGGCTTCCCGGCATCGTAGAACTCGTCAAAGCGAAGACAGCAGTGATTGACGTGCTCCATAAGCATCGGTTCAAGTGCGTGCATGTTCTTCTTGGCAAACAATGGCTCAAGTGGTGCTTTGCGCTGTTTGTGTCTAATCGGATCGCTCTCCGCCAGAGTGCTCGTAGGGGCCCCGAGTACCTTGTGCATAGAAGGGTCCTTGTAGAATTTGCTGTTTGGGAAGTAGAGCTTGTGGTAAAATTGAGGATCGTAAACATGGACCTCGTTGGGTCCCATGCGCAGGGCAGGACCTGCAGGCGAACGTTAGCTGAACCGATACGCACCGTTTCGCGCGACAACGAACCCAGTCTCTTGTGCATCTCTTCCAATTTGAAGAGCGTCTGGCCCTTCCGACCAGGGCGCGTTCCAATGTTCCAATAAGCCTCCCAGCTAGCCGGTGTCAGCAGAAGTGGGCCTTTTGTGGCTGACACCTTACGTACTATTCGCCAAGGGCAGCCCACTTCGAGCCAGGGAAAATCGCCAGGGGACTTAGGTAGATCAGGTAGACTGCCCTTGCCGCGTGCCAGCACAGATACACGCCCACAGCGGTAAGCCATGGGTGGGCGAACATGGTGTGCACAATGCCTTCCATTGCTTCCAAATGGATTGTGTATTTTTCTCATTCGACCAAAGGGTACATATAAGATGATCAACTTCGGGAGTTGCCGTACTCGGCCGATACGCGCTCTCATCCATCTTACTAGGCGGAAGCAGATCAACCACGGCCGACAGTAGTCGCATCGGTCCATAGTCGTTGAAGATTAGACCACCTTGACCTACACTAGGCTTGCCATCCTCAATTCCGCATGGCTGAACCAATGTTAGAGAACAACACATTCCTCGCTCACCTACCCACGATGTCCACTTATGCGCTTCCGGAGCTGGACTTCCAGTTCTGCCTACTGCTCTCGTTCATCACAGCTGTTCTGGTGCCGTGCTTCCGTCGCGGCTCAGTAGAGCGCTCCGGAATGCTTGCTTTGCAGGTCTATTTCACCGTACAAGCGTACCTCGCGCCGGTCAAGCCCACGGGAAACCTCGTCATGAGCTATCAATCTGGATTACTGCTCGGAAACCTGACGTTGCGCTACCTCGATCGTCTTTATCTTCACGTGCCCGAAGACGAATTTCGACGTACTCATGAGAATGGCGTAGAAGAAAGGCCCGAAACACTATCAATGGGCCAGAAGCTAGGGTGGAGCGCCGAGTTGCTCTTGATCACGCGCGGCGTCGGCTGGAACTGGCGCGTGAAAGGCACACCGAAGGCCACGAGCCGCAGACGTACGGCTTTCGTCCTTGATCGGTTGCTGCGATGGGTTGCCATTTACGGGGGCATATTTCTTGCCGAGCGCGTCTGCGAAGGTATCCTGAGCGAGTGGGCGCAGCTGCCGGAGGGTTTGATCAAGAGCGGTCTTCTAGCAGTGACGCAAAGCAGCATGTTCTTATATGTCTGGATCGTGTTGGTCATGGGTTTGACCATCTACACGCACTTTGCCATGCTCGTACTGCCGCTAGCGCTGCTGTGCGTTGGCTGCGGCATCGGACCGGTCCGCTGGCGACAACCGGACGCCTGGCCAGCCACGTTCGGCTCGCTGGCTGAAGCTTACAGCCTGCGCCGGTTTTGGAGGTAAGAGGTCCCCGCGGCCTGCTCATACCGTCGGCTGACAAGCATTCAGCCACTGTTGGCACCAACAAGTCCGCCGCATCCTCGCGGTCCCCCCAATGTTTGTGCTTTCCAGCCTCCCTAATTCGTGGCGCACATCATCCCGGTTGCCCGCTCGTCTATTTCGCCGCTATTCGAGCCTTCTTTTAGCCTTCTTGTTGTCCGGTGCGTTTCACAATGTCGGTCACTGGACGGTTCTGCGAGAGCGCCGCGGCTTGGGTGACAATGGTGCGCAAATTAGCGTCGCCGGAGAGATGCCGTTCTTCGCAGCACAGGCGGCCGGAATCATGCTTGAGGATCTGGTATATCACGTTGTGGATCTGGTATATCACGTTTTGGGTATGGATAGCCGTCGGAAAACGCTCCTTGGTTACATGGTCACAGCGGGCTGGTACGGGTGGACAAGGGTGCAGTTCAAGATGATGCCCATAGCAGCCACATTCGGCATTAGCGACGAGCGTGGGCCGCTCTTTGAAGTAGTGGAGCTGCTACGGCTCGGTCTGGTGGCCATCCCTGGCAACTTTGTGAAAATGGGCATCGGACGGTGGATGTAGGAAGTCTGGAGCCTTGATGGTACCAGAGAACTGGTCTGTACACGCTAGCCACCTATAGTAGCATCTGAGCCTATTGCCACCATGGTCTCCACCCGCCAAGCCTGCTGAGGAACATGAAGCTAAGTGGGGCAGAGTCGCCCCCGGAAAAAGACAGTATGTTATCAAGTCTCAACGCCCCTGCCACTACAGAGTTTTGGTATCAGGATGCTGAGAGAAGCCAAGGAGAGTAGGAACAACCAAAAAAGACGCCCATTACACCTTCTTCATCCAGCCCGGAATCGTGGTCAGCTTGGACAATTCGTCGATTGTCTCGTTCCACAACATCTTCTGCACTTTCTGTCCCTCTGCAGTCTTGATAAAGGGAGAACCTCTGTGGGGTCACATGGTTAGCAACAAGCAAGATGAAGGCTGGCATGCAAACTTACTCTACAATATTTTTGTCTTCAAGGAACTGGCCGTGCGATTCTGGGCCGACCACGACTGCCGCATTGAGCGCAATCCAGCCCGCCACCTCAACCGACCGCGCGCGGATTGCTTTGACAAGATTCATTGGAAGACGAAGGTAGATGGGCAGCACGTCGCTCATTCCCGTGTTGACCATGCCAGGGCAATAGCTGTTCTGTATGACCTTGTCTCCGTTCAAGTGTTTGCGCAGCTCGAACAGGAAGAGCAGGCAGAGCAGCTTGCTATCGGCGTAGCGAGCAAAGGCAACGTAGCTATCCTCGCTGTCGAAATGGCCGAGGACCGACTCGCCCGGCTTGAGGGGCACCTTTCCCTTGGCTAGAGCGCTGACGTTGTGCATGCGGCTGCCGGTCCAGGTGATGCGCGTCGGCTTGCCCGTCTTGTCGGCCGTGGCGTTGAGTAGGGGGAGTAGCTCAAGCGTGATCAACACGTTGGAGAGATAGTTGACCTGGATGTGCTTCTCGTGGCCGTTGGACACCAGGTCGCGCTTGAGAACGCCAATGCCGGCGTTCAGCATGAGCAAATGTAGCTCCGAATGCTCGGCAAGGAATGCCTTTGTGAAGCGTTGAACGCTAGCGTAGTCCTCAACCTCGAGCTCCATGACCTTGAGGACGGCCTTGGGATTTGCCTTCTTGACGCTGGGACGGGCGAGCAGCGCGGTGCGTGCAGCCTCGCCCCTCGCCACATTGCGGACGGCGAGGATGACGGTGGATATCTCGCGCTCAAGCAGCTGCAGCACAATTTCAGTTCCTATGCCATTGCTGGCGCCAGTGACGATGGCTGTCTGGCCGCGCAGGCAGATGCCTCCAGGCAACGGTGTGACGGACGCCTGGAGGATGGGCATGGCGAGGCGAGTGGTCGTGTTGGCGACGTCGGTTGTGACTGGCACGTGTGTAAAGAGGATTCAGTAGTGGGAGGGCGGGTGGGGAGGGGTCTGTCTGTTTATATGCAAACCGCAAACAAAGGCACAGCTTCCGCCATTTCTCGGCCGATACAGTGCGACCGGGCAGCGACGCCCACGTCTCGTCCGGCTTGTCTTGGAAGTGGTTATTAAGTACTTGCTTCTGCTTCGAAATTCGTCCGGGCTTCATCGCAGCACTATTCCACCATGGCACCCGCGCAGCCGCAGACATTCACCGCGGGCGATGATCCACTGACCAAGTACGTGCGCTAGCGCCCCAGGCCCCCATGCCATGGTTCCTTCGTTCCTTCCGGCAGCTCGCTAACGCACCGGCCCGCGCCGACGACCAGGTTCGATGGCGCCATCGAGATGGCCAATCTGCCGCGCGCGCCGCATCGCCAGTTCGCTTTCCATGGCTTCATGCGCCCGTGGCTGGGAATCTATGCGAAGCTCATAGCGGGCGGGAAAAAGCCGCCCACGCACTTCCACGTGCACCAGACCGAGTTCTTCCGCGTGCTCAAGGGCAATCTCAGCGTCGACATCAACGGCCGCCGTGTCGATCTCAGCCCCGAAGACGGCGAGTACTCGGTGCCGCCCTTTACACACCACGTCATCTACGGCACCCCTGGCACCGAGGAGAACGAGGTCGAATTCGAAGTCAGCGCCGAGGAAAAACGCGACGGTCAATATGCCATGGACCAGCCGTTCTTCGAGAACTGGTACGGCTACCAGGAGGACGTGTTCCAGCGAGGCGTGACGCTGGACTTCATCCAGGTGCTTGCCGTACGTAGTGGCTATACTCTACTTTGAGCATCTCTGACTTGGCTTTCAGATGTTCGACGCCGGAGACACCTATCTGTCGCCCCCTGCATGGGTTCCATTCCGCACCTTCCTCAGTATATGGTTTACCATCATCGTCGGTCGCTACATTGGTGGCTTGCTGGGCTACGCGCCCTTTTACCCTGAATGGACCACCGACTGGGACGCTGCGTGCGACCAGATGGAACGCCATTGGACGCAAAGGCGTTTCGCCAAGCGAGATGCACAGGAGAAGGCGCGCCAGCGATTTGCCGACAGGGGGGCGAATCGCGCGCAGGGAATAAACGGCACCCATGGCAAGACAAAAGCTCTGTAATCATGTTGGACGTCAGCATCCTACACCATATTCGCGATCGCCGACCAGCAGTGTCAACATATGGAGACCCTCGCAACGCATCGGTAAAGGCATGAAAGACCCAGCCTCACACAGTATTGCATCGTACAGTAAAAATAAAACAAATCTTAGCTACTTATGATATTCTCAGCGTCAAAGCATCAATCGATGAGGCGACCAAACGAAATTGTAAAGAACGTGGACAATCAATGAATTCAGTTGAACTTCAATCGAATGTACACTCAGCGCTCAGCATCTTCATCGACGTGATCGTTGATATGCCAAAGGCGTGACTACTTTCAGTTGATGAACTTCTACGGCCGGAACGATAACGTTCACTCGTTCTGCCGACGACAGACAAACTTCGAATTCCCATCTGCCCTTGTAGTTGTTAATCCCCTTTGTGTATAGCTGGAGAAACGTCTGCCTAAATTGCCATTCGCAGAGGACGCTGCAAGCCAAACGAAAAGTGACCACACTATCCCACATAAACGTGGTATTGCACTGCACCTGTGTGTGCCCCTTTGTCACACCGTACACCCACCATCTCGTTCCCAACAACTCACGCCGCCTTCCCATTGACCTTCTCCTGCCTCCCTTCTCCATGCTTCCTCACGTACGCCAATGCGAACGGGAACGCCAAATCCAAAACATGGCTCCCGACCAACAACAATGCACCATACGGCGTCCACGCATACCCGAAACGCTCAGGCCAGAAGTAGATCCGCCAGTAAAAGCAACACCCGGCCGTCACCGTGCCCAAGAACCGCGTCCACCTACGCATGCATTAGCCACGAACCCGCATTGCTCAAAGTGCCGACGAAAGAACCAGTAAACAATCAAAGGGAGACCCTGGACTCACCATATCGCCATGGACTGCCCCGCGTCGTGCCCTCTGCTCAGCACCTGCGCCACGCACCCTAGGCTGATCATATGCTGCATGGGCCACGCCGTGAAGAAGATGACCTGCCTCCCGATGACAGGCACAAACGTCTTAGCCAGCACAAGATGCAGGCCCAAACACACCGCGCACCCGACGCCGATGATCCAGCTCAGATTGCGCGCCACAAGCGGATGCGCGCGCCACTCGTTGGGGCCAAACTTGAGAATCGAGTGGAACAGAAAGACATCCACGACCATGTACTGCGCGAAAACAATCTGGTTGACCAGCCCCGGCCCGTAGATGAACCCGAAGACAAATTCCCACGTGATGTTCAGACACAGGCAGTAGATGGGCATGGCGTACGAGCGGTCTTTGTAGCCCTTGAGCGTCATCAGTATGTACGAGACGGACCAGAGGATGCCGGAGATGGCGGTGAAGAGGTCCGGCACAATCTTCGCGTGCCAGTATGGCGGCGTGTCGTTGTTGTAGTCTGCATTGGCTTGCGCCCACTCTTCGAGCGCGAAGAGGCCCATCGTGGTGGTCAAACGGACAGGGAATTCTCAGATGTGCAGATATTTAGGTGCGCCTTGCAGGTTGTGTGGAATCACATATATCACCATTTGTTAGGTTTCTGGGTAGGAAGCGTCGAGACCTCACCGGCCCAGTGGCTCTCGGCCGGTTAGGCCTGGGTATGCGAACACACGTGGGGGTTATTCTAAGCTGCACCGTTGGCCAGTCGGCCGGAACACTAGCAATGCACGAAAGCGTCGCACTGGAAATAACCTAATCTGGGAATTACCAGTGATGCGAACGCTGTGCATGGGTACCATCCGCCCAAAGCCCAGCTGTCACGTGATCCATGTACCGGGCGTGGGCTGAGGCTAAGGCCTTCATGTATATATACTTCGCTACCAACATCATGCTGTATCGAAGTCCAGAGTAACTCGCATGATTTTTGACATGGCGAGCGACAACTCATCCTCTGATGAGGGCACGGCGGCTCCGAGCCCGTTCGTCGGGACAGCTCCCGATGCTGGATGTAGCGAAGACCATGGTAAGAGGGCTCGGATACTAGTCAATTTAGCATTCTGAACCGATTTAGATATCGCGGTCATCGGCTATGCCTGCCGCGTAGCAGGTGACAACAACTCTGGAGCCCAACTCTGGGATTTCCTGATGAACAAAGGGGATGCTTGCGGTGAGATGCCAGCAGAGCGATGGCAATCGTGGAGAGATCGACAGCCAGACATGGCCAAAACACTGGATCAGACGACGTCGAAAGGATACTTTATCAACGACATCAAGGGGTTTGACGCACAATTCTTCGGCATCTCAGGCCGCGAAGCAGTGCAGATGGACCCGCAGCAGCGCATCAGCTTGGAGGTCGCCTGCGAAGCCCTCGAGCACGCAGGCATCCCGCTACAGAGCCTTGCAGGCTCAGACACTGCTGTCATTATGGGCGTCAATTCGGACGACTATTCCCGGTTAATCCTTGAGGATCTAGACAACATAGATGCCTACATGGGCATCGGTACAGCATACTGCGGCATACCCAACCGCATTTCGCACGCGCTCGACCTTGCTGGTCCAACCTACGCTGTAGACGGTGCGTGTGCGTCTTCGCTCGTCGCTATTCACCAAGCCAGACGCGCTTTGCTCGCAGACGAAACGTCTCTTGCCATAGCGGGAGGCGTTAATGCACACATCAGTCCATACTTGACCCGTGTGCTAGACGTAGCTGGTGCCGTTTCCCCCGAAGGCCGGTGCAGATCTTTTGACGACTCAGCATCCGGATACGGCCGTGGTGAGGGGGCTGGTATCGTCGTTCTCAAGCGACTCTCAGATGCTATCCGAGATGAGGATCGAGTGCTCGCCGTGCTCAAGGGATCTGCAGTAGGCTCGGACGGGAAGACCCTCGGCATCATGGCCCCCAACCAGTTCGCACAAGAACAAGTCGCTCGGGATGCACTCAAGGAAGCCCGCCTCCCAGCTAGCGCCGTGGAATATATCGAGGCACACGCGACATCCACCCCAGTAGGAGACAAGACCGAATGTGCAGCCATGGCGTCGGTCTACGGCTCAGCGCGCCTGCCCAGCTCGCCCGATTGTTTCATCGGCTCGATCAAGCCCAATATCGGGCATTTGGAAGCCGGCGCTGGTGTAATGGGCTTCATCAAAGCAGTTATGACCGTGGAGAAGGGTATCATTCCACCACAAGCAAATCTGGAGAACATCAGCACAAAAGTTGACTGGAAAGCTGCGAGGATCCGGCCCGTCAGAGAACCAACACCTTGGGCCACTACCAGGAGGAGGCGCACCGCTGCTGTGGCCTCGTACGGCTACGGCGGAACAGTAGCGCATGCCATCGTCCAGGAGGCGCCTAGATATTCCTCTTTCCGAGAGATAATGGGAAACAAACTGCCGTCAGGCCAGCCGGTCATGCTGCCCCTCTCGGCGCCGCAGGATGAGCGCCTCCGCAAGCAGGCTCGAACTTTAGCCGACTGGCTCCAACAGCAGCCGGATGAGCTCGACATGAACTCAGTAGCATGGACGCTGGCGGTCAAACGCAGCCAGCACAGGCGTCGTGCAGCCATCGTGGCTGAGAGCAAGGCGCAAGCCATCGAGCTGTTGTCGTCGGTGGCACAAGGCGTGAATCATCCCCAAATCATTCTTCAAGAAAAAGGTGTCATCAAAGCACCCGATTCATTCAGGAAAGAGGGCGCCGTCTGGGTTTTCAGCGGCCATGGCGCACAATGGAAGGGCATGGGCCGCGTACTCCTGGAGACGGATCGGGCATTCGTCGACATCGTAAAACAGCTCGAACCCATCATCAAGGACGAGATGGGCTTCTCCGTCACTGACGCATTACTCGCGGGCGATTGTGACGAGACCGCTAAGGCGCAGGTCCTAACATATGTTATGCACATCGGCATCGCTGCCGTTCTGCGTGAGAAGGGAGCTCGACCACAGGCCTGTCTGGGGCATTCGCTCGGCGAGCTTGCAGCGGCTGTTGTTGCCGGTGCGTTGACTCCAGCTGAGGGAGCCATCATATGTTGCCGGCGAGCTGTGCTCTACCGCCGGGTTGCGGGCAAAGGAGCTATGGCTCTTGTAAATCTGTCTGCCTCTGAGGTGGAGAAGGAGCTTAACAGAAGCGAGAGTGGCGACGACAATCTTGTCATTGCCATTTACCCGTCTCCAGAGTCCACTGTCATTGCGGGCGATGCGCGCGGTGTGGATGCTGCCATCGCACGCTGGCATGCAAAAGGCATCATGGCCAGGAAGGTCAAGACGGATGTTGCATTCCACAGCCCCACTCTCGAGCAATTAGTTGACCCACTGCGTGCTGCTCTTGGTGAGGCTCTGCGACCAAAAGAGCCGTTGATGCCAATTTACTCGACGTCACTGGAGGACCCACAAGCTCTCGATGCCCGTGGGGCCGACTACTGGATTGGAAACATGGTGAAGCCAGTGCAGCTTACAAAGGCGGTCCAAGCGGCTACAAGGAATGGCTTTCGGACCTTCGTCGAAGTGTCGGCACACCCTATTATTGCCCATTCGATCCAAGAGACCCTCGACGCTGGCGGAGTGGCCGATGCAGCCATCATTCCCACCGGCATACGCAATCAGGACGAGAGCAAGATGATGCTGCTCGCTCTGGCCAGATTGCACTGCGCCGGGGATGTAATTGCGTTCAATGAGGGCCTACCTGGATGGTGGAACCATGATGTGCCAGGCACAGCGTGGCAGCATCAACCTTTCTGGCCAAAGATTGAGAAGCAAAAACAACGCGCTGGCCACGACCGTTCGGTCGACGTCAAAGGCCACAAGCTGCTCGGGGCGAAGACTAGTATCAACGGCACGAAAATGACGCTATGGCAGGCGTATTTGCACGCGGGAGCCAAGCCGTTTCCTGGGTTACATCCCCTTCACGGGTCCGAGATTGTGCCCGCCGCTGTCCTTCTAAACACCTTTCTCTCGCTGGCACACACTAATTCGCTGCAAAATGTTGGACTACGTACACCAGTGGTCGTAGAACCACCACGTGAGGTACAGGTGTTGTTGGACGACGGCAAGATGTCTGTCTCATCCAGGCTGGCGGCCGGTGAGGACGAGGAAAACAGCCATTCGTGGCTGACTAACACCGTGGCGAACATCGGAGTAGCCAACACAGGGTCTAAAATCGGACAGACTATTGACTTGGCCAGCGTCAGAGAACGTCTGTCCGAGACCCTGCCACCGTCCTTCTCCATTGATTACCTCGCGAATGTTGGTGTCTCGGACATGGGGTTCCCCTGGAAAGTGACAGAGCATCTGCGCAACGACGATGAGTTCCTCGCTGTGGTCGATGCAGACCCGCAGAGCAAAGGCGACTCCCCTCACTGGGGTGGGCAGTCATGGGCTTCCGTACTGGACGCCATGACATCTGTGAGCTCAACCATATTCTGGAAGCAGCCGCTGCTACGAATGCCGACCAGTATCGACTCTGTAACTCTGCTTCCCGGCGCTTCCGCTCCTAAGGTCACCTACATGTACGTTCGCAGGCGGACTGAGGACGAGGAGGAGTTCGCAGCCGACATGGTAGTATGCGACGAGCAGGGCACTGTGCTAGTCGACGTCGACAACCTGGCATTCGCGGGCATCGAGGGCAATCCAGACAGTATCAAAACCCACGAGGGCCTGGTACACCGGATTGCATGGCCACCGGCACAGCTGGCGGAAGAGAGGCGTGAGTTCGATGAGGTCGTTTTCCTAGCACCCGAAAGCGCAGCCAAAACAGTGGAAGCGTGGAGCATGGATCTGAGCCGCCAGGGTGTGCGATCGCGGTTTGAGGGCGACCCCAACGCTGTGACCCTCAGCGTGTGTCCAAAGGCGGTGGTGGTAGTCGTGGCCGAGACGACTCAAGAGATTGACAACGTCGCGGCCGTGTCACTACGCAACTGCGAGCGGCTGGCAACCACTGTGCAGCAACTCTGGAACGCAAAAACCGCGACGACACTGTTCTGCGTAACGCAAGCCGCATATGGCGGCAGCAATGCAGCAGCCCTCTCACAGTCCGCACTGATAGGACTCGCGCGTATCGTGCACAGCGAACATCCAGAGCTGTTTGGAGGTCTGATCGACACTGAGCATGCCGCGGCCGCATTCCCACTGCAGGCGCTTAAATATGTGCGCGGCATCGATGTGACACGCATTGAGGATGGTGTAGCTCGATGCGCGCGCCTGCGCCCGTTGTTAGAATCCTCGTTGAAAAGTACTCAGATGGCTCCGAATGGTCTCTCCCAGCCCCATGGCCCCGGAAACGCTAGCAGCGGGACGTTGCGATTGATACCCCACCACGCGACCTATCTCATCACTGGCGGACTCGGCGCTCTCGGAATCGAGACGGCACGCTGGATGGTGGAGAGAGGAGCAACACATATCGTGCTTGCGTCACGGCGAGGCGCGAATGCCGCTGCCGTCCGCAGCATCGTCAAGCTACAGAAGCGAGGTGCCTCAATCCACGTCGTGGCGATTGACATTGGCGCGGCTGATGCGCAAGAGCAGCTGCAGCATGCTATAGATAGGCTGAACTTGCCGCCGGTGAAGGGCGTGGTGCACGCGGCTGGGATGCTGGCCAACGAGACGGTGGCCGACCTGACCCCAGGCGCGCTCAGTGCGGTCGCGAAACCCAAGGTCTCTGGTGCTTTGAACCTGCACCGCATGTATCCTCCTGGGACGCTCGATTTCGCCGTCTGGTACTCGTCCTGCGGTCAGCTGCTAGGCTTTCCAGGGCAGGCTTCGTACGCGGCCGCAAATGCCTTTTTGGACTCATTGGCTACCCATCGCCGCAGCATGGGCGATGCATGCTGCGTCAGTATTCAGTTCTCCAGCTGGCGTGGACTCGGCATGTCCACAAGCACGCGGTACATCGACGCCGAACTTGAGGCCCGCGGTATTACAGACATCACTCGCGCAGAGGCCGTGTTCGCGCTGGAGCTGCTTCTGTGTACTGACATCGACCACGCTGCTGTGCTCCGCGCTCGTCCCTTGGAAGCTGGGGATCCACTGCCACATCCCATTCTGCGGGATTGTGTCTCACACGTTCCAGCGCCCGTCAATTTGTCGGGCGGGACGGCTGACACAACGGCCCCCAAGTCGTTGAAGGAGCGCATTACCGAATGCGTCGCGGCGGTATTATCGCTCTCGGTCGACAGCATCGACGAGCACACGGCGCTGGTCGAATTGGGAGTGGACTCAATTATGACGGTCGGACTGCGGCGCCACCTGCAGAAGCTGGGGTTGGATGTGGGACCGACCTACCTCTGGACCTGTCCGACGGTGGCGCATCTGGTTGCGCACTTCAAGGCTGAGGACTCTTGATTACCGGCCGAGTGGTTTTCCTTTCCCGAGTACCCCGCTTGTTCTGCTCGTGTGTGCATAAAAGTAGATAGATGTGCTCTTTCTCGGTTGGTGTGTCTAGTAAGATCAAACCATGGCTTTCACTGGCTTCTTCCTCGTCTTCGCCTTTTTGGCAGTGCTTGCGTTTATGATTCCCATAGGTCGGCGGTCTAAGAGCCTCCCTCCAGGTGCGTCTTGATGCTCGAACCAGATTGTTTTCTCCCCGTGAGGCTGATCATCACCACCCTCAGGACCGCCAACTCTCCCACTAATTGGTAACCTTCATCAAATTCCCAAGACCGGAGCGCACTACAAGTGCGTGTGATCGTACCTTTTCATAGCTGAGCACTCACTAAAATCGGACAGGTTCACTGAATGGTCGCGTACTTATGGTGGTATCTTCTCTTTGAAGCTGGGCCCGGCTACAGCCGTGGTGATTACGGATAGACGCCTTGTGAAGGAGATGCTCGACAAGAAGGGCAACATTTACAGCGCGCGGCCCCAATCATACGTCGCGAACGACCTCATCACCGGTGGCGACCACCTACTGGTGATGCAGTATGGTGCGAAATGGCGTTTTTTCCGGCGGCTAGTCCAAAATTACTTCAACGAGACGCGCTGCCAGCAAGAGCATGTGGCGTTAGTAGAAGCAGAGGCGGTGCAGATGATGCACGACCTGATGACGGAACCGAAAGACTTGATGCTCCATCCGAAACGTTTCAGCAACAGCATCATCATGAGCCTGGTCTTTGGCATCCGAACCCCATCGGTACACACCGAGCACATGCTGCAGCTTTATGACGTGATGGAGAAATGGTCAGCCGTCATGGAGACAGGCGCAACTCCGCCTGTAGACATCTTCGGCTTCCTGAAACTGGTACCGGAGTCGTTGTTCGGTAATTGGAGAAAACGCTCCCTCGATGTCAACAAGATGATGGTAGCCTTATACGCGGGTATCGTTGGACGAGTGCGTAAGCGCCGTGCAGCAGGGCATCGAACTGCCTCTATGCTGGATAACGTTCTCGATACGATGGCAGCGCCTGAAATGGGCAACGACAACGGCCTTAAGCTCAACGAAAACGAGCTCAATTTTCTAGGTGGCGTGCTCATGGAAGGCGGCTCCGACACTTCAGCCTCAATCTTGCTGGCCTTTCTCCAGGCTATGATCAGGTATCCGCACGTGCAGCAACGCGCTCAAGCGGAGATCGATGCTTTGCTAGGTGCCGAAAAAGCTAGCCTCGAGCGCTCGCCTCGTTGGGAGGACTATGCCCAGCTCCCGTACATCGCGCAGATCGTGAAGGAGACGATGCGTTGGCGTCCCGTTACGCCTTTGGCGTTCCCCCACGCGACTAATGCTGGTAAGTAGTCTTTGATCCCATCCTCTAATCTTTCTGATTAATGACATAGATGACATCGTCGATGCGTATACCATCCCCAAAGGCACGACCGTGCTCCTCAACGTTTGGGGCTTGCACCACGATCAAACGTACACTTCCGAGCCTCTGTCCCCGTTCGACTTCGACCCCGATCGCTATGCAGGTCGCACGGCACCCGCCCCAACGTTCGCCGCTTCCAAAGATTACGAGACACGTGACCACTACGGATACGGCGCTGGCAGACGGCTGTGTCCGGGTATCCATCTCGCCGAGCGCAATCTGTTCGTAGGCATGGCCAAGCTGCTGTGGGCGTTCGAATTATCAGAGAAAGCTGGCGCGGATGCCGTCGACATTGATCCTCAGACTGGCTATTCCGAAGGTTTTCTGCATTGTGCGAAACCATTTGCCTGCGAGGTGAAAGTAAGAGGAAAGAATGAGACAGAGAGGAAAAAAAGAGAAGAGGTCATTTTCGCTGAGTTTCGAAAAGCGAGCGAGCTGTTTAAGGCATTCGAGTGACAGTCCTAGGGAAGGGAGTGTGCGCAATGGCGACTCGCAGCTGCATCATTAAGTTGCACCAAGATAGGCGCTGAAATAATTCGCATATGCAATTCTTTTCCCAAAATGATTCGTTTGTTTGCCCGTGTATCTTTTTGCTGCGGTGGTAGTTCGTGGACGTGAGAAGTTGACGAAACCGCAGAGAACAGGGCAAACTTCGAGCCTAGCGTTGCACGTGCATGCCTGGCGACCTTGGACCAGCCCAAAGCCCACTTCGCAACTTCCATATACCATAACCAACATTCATCACTTACCTTTCAGAAGAATAATATCTTCTCTTCAACAGAACTCACGTGTGGTTAGGCTACGGCATCATTTCGAGTTACCAAAAGAGCAAAGGGTTCTAGCTTGTCAGTGTATGCGCGACCGGCGGTTGTTTATAGAGCGAGAGAAGAATACTGGTATCAGTGACGAACTTATTGGAATACCTTTGACACCAAGCCTCCCACGCGAGCCCTACTAACATGTTGGTCTACTTGACGGCGCAGCTGCTCGTTGTCTTGCTCGTTGACGGGTGCCTTGTTTGTCGGCTAGGCAGACAAACCGTATCAGCGCCGAGAGTCCGTTTGATATCTTCCAAAATAATCTCCATAGGCATAATGTAACAGCCGCGGCGCTCTTCGTCCCAATTAAGACCCACACCACATACCCGACTGGTTGCATTGTCAATTACCCACGCACCCGAGTCGCCTCCCACACCAACTGTTCGCACTGGGTTAGACTGGGCAGATCAATAAATGACGAAGATACCTACAGTTGCCTTCCACGAGCCAAGACTTGGATAGGTCGATCGACGATATGCCTTGATCAACCCCCATAGATTGACTTTTCTTGCCTCCTTGAAGACCTGTTGTGCGACCAGAGCAATGCATAGAGAACCCTGCAAGAGAGTCCGCGGGTACTAATCCCTCCGGATACTCATCGTCCTCTAGTGAATTAAGGTGGCGAGTGACAGAAGCTTCGAGTGGAGGTGAGTGCTGCGGTTTGGGACTAGAACAAAACCTTCTCCCTCCCTGAACACCACTGTGCAATGGCAGTCGTTCATGGTTTGTTCGGATGAGCGCCCAGTCTATTTCGTGCAGCACCCCGGTGTCATCATGAGGTCAACTTGTGGCTTGAACTCTGAGATCAAAACACTGACCAAGCAACCACGTTTAAGTTCATACTGTCTTTCTACAACACACTGCCTACCTCGAAACACCCCTGGGAATGAATCAGAGTGGAAATACAGCCGTAAGAGGATCTGAGCCCCCTGTACCTATCACGGAATCCTCAACTATGAGCATAATTCGCCCGCACGTTTGAGATTTAGCTAACGTTGTGTTCTCTCCAGCTGTGCACTGACGGCTCGAAGTATAGCCAGCGTGGCCAACGAACAGTACGTTCGCTCCGAACAATCGATCCGAACGGCATTTTTTGGTGTTTTGGCTCGAACGAACGTACATGCATGTTGACACGTACGGAACACCGAACGAACGCATTTTTGGAGCCGTACGTTCGGCTGTTCGATACCATGTTCGGTGGATTTTGTTGACGACCACCTTCTCACAGGCAAGAAGGCACACAAGCGGCAGAAACATACGTCGCAGCTCGACGAGTATTTCGACAACCTCTACGATGATGGATTGACGAGCTCCGCGTCGCCGGACATGTACAAATTGATGCAGGATCCACACCGCTGGTGGGTTGACGTCGGCCAAAAACGCTACCCGGTCGTATACAAGATGGCGATGGATCATCACTCTGTGCCAGCCACCTCGTGCGACTGCGAGCAGTGTTTCTCCTCCGCCAGGAGAACAATCACGTACGATCGCAATCAATTATCGCCCGCTGTCGTCGAAGCTTTACAACTCCAGAAGATCTGGCTGACGAGAGATGCCGTATCAAGTCACCTCACGGCGTTGTCAAAGTACGTTGTCAAGGATGCCTGCCAAAACATCCAGCTGATGGATACCAGCCAGTTTCCGGACCTCAACACCAACCTCTTTCCTAATTAGGAAATCGTATATATACGAACGTTTCTATACAAATATATAAATCGAACGAACGAACAAGGACCTTGTTCGGTGCCTGTTCTGTTCGTTGGCCACGCTGAGTATAGCTAAGGTTGTCATTCAGTGTGCTTCTGAACCCCAAAGCACATGGCGGGATTGTGTGAAAGTTGCACCTACTATCAAAGATCTCTGCAAGGCTCTGCAAGGCTCTGGAAAACAGTCAATCGCCGGCTTCTTGTCTAGTTGTACTCGACGGGGTGACTTTTAGGCACCACATACATTCTGCCATCCTCCTCTCCAAACGCGAAAAAATCCAGCGTACTACACTCCAGGATATCCTCGAACAAAATGCCGGGAAGGGCTTCGATATCAAAGAAAATATGTTGTATTCTGGAGCAGCTGGAAGAGAGTTTGACATGAGATAGATGTTTTCTGGCCCTCATTTTGGCCAGCGCAGTGCTACAGCTCCATGACACACCCTGGCTGAGAGACTCATGGAGTATGAGGGATGTGTTCTTCTTGCATTACGATCAAATCCCCTTACGATCAAATCCCCTTACGATCAAATCAGCCTTACGTTTCGAAGAGCTTCGTCTCTCAACCACCCCCCACGAAAGCTCATGGAGGCAAAAAGCAGTCATCAAGAATCCAATAATATTCGCTCTTGGAGACTCTCTCCTAGAGCTATCGTACGCAAGGCGATTGGATACATTCACAAAACCGGGGGACCTTGACCCTCAGGGCAACCGCTCATTTTGGACAGATTACCTGGTTGCGGATCGACTTATCGATGGTTTGCAAAGACGCGAGCTTCCGAATTTCGCCAACGCTACCCGCAGATGTGTACACTGCAACTTCGAGGGCACAGTACACAGTCTCAACGACAACGACTTCAGAGAAAGAATTTACCAAGGGGTAGTTGGACCCCTCCAACAGACTACGACTATGCACACGCACCGATGGGTCCTTTGTGATTTGTGTGAAATCTCAGGATCGTTTACCTGATATGGAGAAATACGATGTCTTCTGGATGGTCACAATCATCAGTGTACCACTATGTACGAGCCTGCGGCATACCGTATGCGCCAATCTCCGCGACAGAACGATACTTGAAAACAAAGAGACGCGCAGCAATCTCCGCCTCCATTTACATAACGATAGGCCAGCAGCTCACGCAAAATTCACATCCATCCCAGCAACCTCCTGCTCATCTCCCTTCTTTGCCAAACGCGCAGTCCCATCCACGACACCCACCTGCCGCCTGCTCTCTACCAGTGCCTTAATTAGCGAGACAGCAACCTTCCTCCCAATCGCCAACTTCTCCTCGCTGTCACTCAAGTCCGGCACATGCAGAAACGCGACCGGCCGCTCGTCCTCCTTCTTCTCGTAATAATGCGCCAGACTGTTATAGTAGATGAATCCACACATGAAGTTCCCAGCATCAGGACTAATCCTCACATCCGGCGCCCTGCCCCTGAGACTCTCCGACTCAGGATCCTCATACTCAAGATTCTCCCTCCACCGCGTCAGCGCATCCGCAGTGTCAAAGCTCGTCTGCAACACGGGCGGGAAAATCTCCTTCGGGAACCGCGCTTCCGCATCTTCATCAGCGAACTTCTCGCCATCCACGTCGGGGATCTTGCCGTAGCCGCGACCATGGGAGCCCTGCTCGAGCGTGTAGAAGGTGCGTCCTGCGGCGAGCCCGATGTGCAGTACTATGTCGGGCGCGGGGTGCTGATGGCTGCCTGGTGGAAGGAGATGCGGGACTAGGTTGACGACTTTGTTGTAAGCTACGCGGATGGGCTCGTGGTGGACGTGGATGTGGATTGGGGTTGGGTTGGTGGCGGAGGACGGGATTAGGGCGGGGAGGGTGGAGGCGATTTCCCAGCTGGAGTTTCGAGGGAATTGGTCGAGGAAGGGCTGGGGTGGTTAGAAGGTATTTTGTTGTGGTGGGATGGTGGGTCATGTGAGTGGTGAGTGGTGAGCTGATGGGTAATCTTGGCTTCAGACCAAGATGGTGTTGACCAAAGCAGATAATGCAGAGAGTTCGAGCGATCGAACCAGGTTCAAAAACAGCACAGCAAACTCAGGGATGGCGCACCCCAAATCCAGTGACCAGCACGGTAACAGGCTTCTCGCCTTCCACCGGAGGCGGCTGCCTCGCAGTGGAGGCCCAAGCTCGTGGCATCGATTACCCAGGGTAACACTGGAGTCCGCAGTACTTGTCGTGACCTAGCTCACCGATCAGCCAGACTCTTTCGCCAGGTAGGAGTTCGCTTTGGACAGGGCAACAAGGGCGTGAAGCGATGACGTGCGTACATGTGCCGAGAGCCCTGGTCTACAGCGCCGCCCAGTCACAGCCAACACGCCCACCGCTCCGAGACGGACTCACTCTGCAGTGCGATGATAGCTTGGAGATGTAGATATACTGGTACCGATCAATGTTTCATATGGCGAGGACAAGATGCGAAGAGGAGTTGCAGCGGCAGGTGCTTGCCGTCGGCTGCGTGGAGCCAATAGCGCCAAAACGGTGTAATCCCTCGTGACGTCGTCGCCCGCCTTCAACCTCAACCCCAACAGCAGCGCTCAAGGGCATCCGAACCGCTTCTTCGCCTCCAATGAAGCACATCATAATGGGGATGCATGTTTGAAGCCCAATGCAAAAGTAGCTTCAGGTGTGCCTTGCGGCTCGCATCAGCAACGTACTGGGGCCAGTAGTTCCCCGCGACTGTTCGGCAGCTACTGCATGGTGACGATCCGCCCGAGAGCCCGCCGCATCCCGCTTCATCTACCGGCCATCGGATGTGGGATGTTTACATGCCACCATGGCACTCGACACCCTCTTTCATGCGTCTTCTGAGCGTTTGAGTACTCCACTGCACGATGTCTTCCAAGCCGTTCAATGTCGCCATTGTTGGCGGCGGCATCTCCGGGCTTACCCTCGCAATTGGCCTCCTCCAACACAACGTACCCATCACCATCTATGAAGCTGCTGCCCACTGTACGCTCCACCCCCGTCGCCGGTGCTACGCCCACTGACATGGCCTCTTGCAGTCGGCGAAATCGGCGCAGGTGTCGCCTTGGGTCCCAACGCCGTCCTCGCGATGAAGAAGATCTCCCCCGCCATCACTGCCGCCTTCGAGAAGTGCAGCACCGCCAACATGGCGCCTGCTAAAGCGAACAGCTGGTTCACCATCCGCGTCGGCGACGAACGCAGAGCCGACGCCAGCGGCTTCGTCAGACCAGGGAAGAGAGTCGGCGATGCGCTGTACGACGTCGAGTTGAATACGGACCGGGGCAGCGGCGGCGTCTACCGCGCGCACTTTCTCGACGAGCTGGTCAAGGTTGTTCCCGATGGTGTCGCCAAGTTTGGCAAGAAGCTCAAGGATATGAGGACTGTGGAGGACGGGTCGGGAGACGTGGTGCTGGTGTTTGAGGATGGCACGGAGGCGCGGCACGATGCTGTTATTGGGTGCGATGGAATCAAGGCGACGACGCGGCGGTGGTTGCTTGGCGAAGACGACCCAGCGGCTAAGGCGGTGTTCTCGGGCAAATACGCCTATCGAGGGCTTATACCGAGTGAAGAGGCGACGGCGATGTTGGGCGACGAGGTCGCCGGCAATAGCTCGTTCTTCTACGGATATCACGGGCATCTGCTCACTTTTCCGATCGAGCAGGGGAAGACGATGAATGGTAACTTGTCAGTACTTCTGGGCGTAGCGTTGCACTAACGCTCGCAGTGGTCGCATTCAGCTCGTGCAAGGAGTGGAAACACGATCAATGGGTCATCCGCACTTCGAAGGAAGACATGGTTGCGGACTTTGCGGAGTGGGGATCCCATGTACAGAAGATCGTCCACGCGATGCAGAAACCAGACATCTGGGCGCTCTTCTACCACCTCCCATGCCACACGTACTACAAGGGCAGGGTGTGTTTGTTGGGCGACGCAGCACACGCCTCAACACCGCACCAAGGCGCGGGGGCAGGTGCATGTATCGAGGACTCGCTATTCATGTCGGAGCTGCTGAAGGAAGTCGAAACGAAGAAGGACATCGAACGGGCGTTCAAAGCATTCGATGAGGTGCGCCGCCCGCGAACGCAGAACATCGTCAAGACGAGCGAGGAGGCAGGCAGGCTTTACGAGTTTGAGCTCGAAGGAGACGACCTTGATAAGATCGAGGCGAACCAGACGCAGAGACAGCGCTGGATATGGGACATCGACTTGGACGCGGAGCTCGCCAAGGCAAGGGATATATACCACAAGACACACACAGGCGCATAGACGCACCCCAGCATACCATATCATATCATACCATGTCCACTTAGTCAATCACATCGTCCCTCAGCTCGAAAATCGCCTTTAGCACCTCCTCTGCCTTCGCAGACACGGCATTGTGATACATCGCGTTGGTGACATACGTCTTGCATCCCTTGATCGTCCTCGCTGTTTCCGTGCTCAGCTCAAAGTCGACATACATGTCGTCAAAGTACGTTGCCGCGTACACAGGCACTTCATTCTTCTTGAGCTGCTCGACGTCATACAGCGGGCCCCACGCCTCCTGCGCCAGCAGCTCGCCCACCGTCTTGAGCTTCTTGAGCTCCGGGTACGTGTCGAACATGAAGGGGTAGATCATCTCGCCGGTGAAGAAGACGGGCTTGGTAGGGTCAGCCGCGGTGCTCTCGTGGTGGAACGCGGGGTACTTCTCCAGCAGGCGGTGCGCGGACCAATTGGACGTGCTGGCCGGGGAGTAGCACGCCTCGTGGAGCAGCGCGTAGATGACATTGGTGTCCCAAAACTGCGCGCGCTCGATGTGCAGGACGGTCGGGCGCGTGAGGTGCCCGAAGAGGGTGAGGTCGTTGTCTGCGCGGAGGACGAGCGCGTGCACGCTGTCGAAGCCGCCTAGGGTGCGTGTCAGCGTGCATGTATGCGCGCATGGAAAGGGGGAAGCGCGGTGTACGTACTGTGGGCGCCGAAACCGATGCCCAGCTGGAGAAACCGCGCCGCGCTCAGGTGGCCCTCGCCGCCCTGCACGCGCACCGTCTCGTCGCCGAAGCGGCTCAGAAGCTTGACGATGCGGCGCACCCTTTCTACATCTTCTGGGTACTTGGCGTAGTACTGCTGGTTCCGCTTCTCGAGTCGCGGATACAACCTGTAAGACATTAGTACTGTGGTGAGCTCTCCACAGCAGTTTTTAAGCTGGTAAAGATAGAGATATACCTATCATAAACCTGGTCCGGTCCGCCCGACAGCGGCGGCAGCCCTCCGAACACAAACGCCTCCTTCAGCCCCTCTGGGTACAACGATAGATATGTGACAGAGCAGAATCCGCCGAAACTCTGGCCGATGATGCTCCACTTTTTCTTCTCCTTAGGGTAGTCCGCGGTGAGGGCTTTGCGGATAGCCTCTGCGTCTCGGACGATGTTGTCTGCGCGGAAGTGCTTCATGTACTCGGCCTGGACTTTCTCATCACCACGCAATTGAAGGGATGATTGGGAGATGGCAGTTGAAAGGCCGGTGCCACGCTGGTCCATGGAAAGAATCTGGTAGCCTTTGTCTAGGAGGAACGACGACCATTTGCTGTCTTGAGGTGGTGCGCATTCAAAGCCTGGTCCGCCTTGGAGGTAGAGGAGCCATGGAAGCTGCGACTTTATGGGGTCTTCTGGGGTGGAGTAGTCTGCGGGCTTGGAGAGCTTCCGGGCCGAGCGTGCGAAGAGTTGGATTGTGCCAAGAGATGGGTTGGAGTAGTCTCGGGGCACTTGGAAAAAGTGCTCTGTTACTCTGAGCTTGCCAGGCACGAGGTGGCTACGTTGCTCGATGATTTTGGCGGCCTGAATCATTCTGACGCTGTTCAGCACTTACTGAACGAGTTATTGGGCTTGCTTGTGATTTTTGGAGATCTTTCAAGCTTTGGTATCATAGAATCGAGGTTTGTGTCTGTTTATATGTTGCCGTAAATAGTGAATGCAGAGCAGTCACCAACGGCGTGGTGATAGCTTAATCGATAAGGGGGAGGGGAGCACTATAACGGATGCGGTAAGCGCGACGGTCTCTCTAAAAAATTAGCGGGGAAGCCTGGTGCATAAAAGTCGTGGGCGTGAGACTACCACGTGCAGTCAATCATTGTAGCAAAAGACACCAGTGCACTGGATCTATTTGCACCGGCATCTTCTGTGCCATTCATCGACGGCAGCATAAGCCGTCATCGGAAGATAGACGAACCTCGCAGTATTTACCCACAGGAAATTGCCCACGTGTGGCGAGGCCAACAGCAAGACATATCATTGGAGCCATCCTCGTCCCACAGAACAGATACGACAACAAGTCATGGCAAAAGACAAGAAGAAGAAGGGAGCGGACACAAAGGCCGCTGCGAAGGCAGCAAAAGCAGCGAAGCAAGAGAAGAAGGCAGGCAAGAAAGACAAAAAGATAGCGACCAAGAACAGAGACGTGGATTCTGATGCCGAGTCCGTAGATCTGGACGAAGTTCTTGCGCAATATGCAAAAGAGCAGGAACAATACCTCGCCATCACCGAGGTACCGTGCGACCCACCATCAGCGAGAGCCTCAAGCCTGATAATAGGAAACCCAGCAAACGACAACGAGCTCTTCCTATACGGTGGCGAATACTACAATGGTGCTGTCGTAAACTTCTACAGCGATTTGTATGTATACAATATCAAGAAGGATCTCTGGAGTAAGGTCACGTCGCCAAACTCGCCTTATCCACGCTCTGGACATGCGTGGTGCAGGGCAGCGAATACGAAAGATATATACCTGTTTGGCGGCGAGTTCAGCTCTCCAAAACAGGGAACTTTTTACCATTACAATGATTTCTGGAAGTTGGATCCGCAAAGTCGCGAGTGGACGCGAATTGAGGTAAAAGGCAAAGCTCAGAATCCGCCAGCGAGAAGTGGACATCGTATGGTTGGGTTCAAGCAGTATATCATCCTCTTCGGAGGCTTCCAGGATACGTCCGCTACAACAAAGTATCTAAACGACATCTGGATCTACGATTGTGTCAACTTCGTCTGGCACGCGCCGAAGCTGCAGTCCGCACGCGCTGTTCCTGATGCGAGGTCGAGCTTCACCTTGCTTCCGCACGAGCAAGGCGCGGTTCTTTATGGAGGATACTCTCGTGTGAAGGCAGCCGCTGGTGGGAAGCAGCAGCAAGTCAAGGGCAAGAAGCAGCAGAGTGGCGGCGGTGGAGCGACACGTATGGTACTGAAACCCAAAGTACACGAAGATACTTGGTTCATACGCATCATTCCTCCGCCCGCCGATCAACCCTCCACCACGCTGCCGACCGTATCGTGGGAACGCCGTAAGCGCCCTGCGAATACGCCGAGCCCAGCCCGTGCAGGCGCAACAATGGCCTTCCACAAAGGTCGCGGCATCATGTTCGGGGGTGTGCACGATGTAGAGGAGAGCGAGGAAGGCATCGACTCCGAGTTCTTCAATCAACTCTTCGTTTGGAACATTGAGCGCAACCGCTACATGCCTCTCAACCTGCGGCGTCCCAAAGCGAACGCCAACAAGAAGGCAACTCAACAAGCCAACGTCAGTCGCCGCGACCGCGCTAGAGCCGACGAAGAAGAACTTCTTGCCAACCTCAAGGCTCTCGAATTGAAAGCGGGAGGTGTCGCAGCACCCACCTCCGATGACGAAGACGACCGAAAAGAAAAAGAGCATGATGAAGAGGAGGAGGATACTCGCCCAGAGAAGCCACGCCTCTACGAATTTCCACATCCCCGCTTCAACGCCGCGCTGACAGTGCAAGGAGACACGCTATACATCTACGGAGGCACCTTCGAAAAAGGCGACCGCGAGTTCACCTTCGACGAACTCTGGTCCCTGAATCTGAACCATCTCGACGGCGTAGTCGAGATCTTCAAGCGTGAGCTGGAAGACTGGCAAGGCAGCGACGACGAAGCCGACTCCGAAGAAGACGACGACGAGTACTCCGACGAAGAAGACGAGGAGGACGAGGAAGATAAATCCGCCGCGGCCTCCACAGCTCCCACCAGCGTCAGCGATTCGCCTGTCGCTGTTCCGACCAAGGAGCCCGAAGAAGACATCGGCACGGCCGAGGAGATCTCCGCCCTCACAGATACGCTGCCTCACCCACGGCCTTTCGAGTCTCGCCGCGCATTCTACGAGCGCACGTCTGAGGCTTGGCAGAATGTTATACTGGACGAGATGTCCTATGGGGCAGCAGGCCAAACCAAGACGCCCAAGGAGATCAAGAAGGCGGCGTTCGATCGTGCTGAAGAGAAGTGGTGGGATTGCAGGGAGGAGATTCGCGCGCTGGAGGACGAGCAGGAGGCTGCGGGTATTGGTGAGGTGGTTAGTCTAGCGGATAAGGAGGGAGGTGCAGGTGGAGGCGTAGGGAGAAGGCGCTAGTTGAGATGCAGGACGATGAAAATCCACTATATTGGAGGTAGGATCGATCCCAAATGACATTCTAGGTGGAAGCTTTGCGCTTCGGCCAATCAACGGCGCTGGTGCCTAGGCTAGTGCTTTATCTGGCTAGCGGACCCCCCGTGATCAATCTCTCTCACAGTTGTCCTTCCGTCGCAGCTTTCGCTTCTATACATCTTCTCACTCCTCTGCAATAGGAAAATATGGGCTACTCAGAAAAGCTTTGTCGTCTTTGTGGCGTCTCTTTTAACATTGGTCGTCGCCGTCTACGCTCTGAGCCGGCCTGGATGGGTTGGGAGTGTACTGGGGACGGGAAAGTAGTAGGTTGCCAGCTCGGGAAGGGGAGAGATCCAGATACGTGCGTAGACGATGGCGATTCTGATGACGAACAAGATGGGATGATTGACAATCATGTATCTGGAAGTGGCGATGTGTGTGAAGACATGTACGGAGTCGATATCGGATTATCTAATGCAGAGGTCGAGGAGTTTTTGGAAGGCGAGGACGACGAAGACTACCAATACGAAGAGTCGGATCGGGAAGAAATACTTGAATTTGAGTCCGACGACGGATTCCTGGACGCAGAAGAGCTTGACCAAATGGACATCGACCCCGGCGCGGAGGACGATACTTTCCATATATTCAAGCATGCAATTTTGTCCTTGCCGGAGCCTGGGACCGAGAAAAAGGGCCCGACACCAAAGCACAATTGTTTCCGTGGGATAGGATACAATGGCAAACATATCACGGCAGAAGAGATGAGGGGCTGTAATACGGCACAATGTCTGCTCAGCAAATTTCACCACAGCGCTACGACTAAAGCACCCGACGATCAAGACTTTGAGCGCGAAAGCTCTTTTTGTCTGTCAGGACTCTGTGGGCAGGTTTGCTCCAGAGACTGCGGTGGTGAGGAATTCGTACCTGATCGTCATGGAGTGGCCAACGCATTCGTGGATAGTTGGGTGTGTGCAAGTTCCTTCTATAATGGTTTCTGATGTTCTGGATAATATGCTGATTATGGGAAGAGTATCGACAACAGAGAAACTGCCGTTCCATTCCATCCCACGTGCTTCGACATCTTCTCCCGCTTGTCGCGGAAGCGCTTCGGTTATATTAATGTAGAGGCGCTCGGAAACTGGATATTTGACCCCGACAACTGCACCAATGGCGATGATGTCGACCATGTTAGCAGCGACCCCAATGTCCAGTTGAGCTCCCACCAGTTCTGGGATCATCGAGACGGGTGCGAATACCTCAGTGCGAACCCTCTGATAATTCCCCGTCTTGCGCCCATTCTGCAGGCTGCCATTGAGGAAGCTGAGAACTTCAACCCGCAAAATGGGGCATTTGCTATTGCTGGTTACGAAGGTGCTGGTGATGTGTTCAGCAGCCTTCCGCTCGAATTGCGGCTTCAGACCCTGTCCTACCTCGGTTCCTCAGACATTGCGAATCTACGTCTTGCTTCGCGTACCTTTCGCCAACTGCCAATTCTGCTTTGGCGCGACCTCCTAATGAAGGAGATGCCGTATCTCTGGGAGGTATGGAGTGACGACCTTCCGTTCATTTGGGCAACAGTCCAGTTCGAGGACGTCGTCAAGCATGAGAAAGAAGAAGAGGAAGTCAGGATGTGGCGCGACCGGGCAGAAGCAATCATCCGAGATAAGCTTCCCGAGATCGTGGGTGCTTGGAGAACAGATCTGGACGAGTTTTTGTCACAAGTGGACAACAATTTCCTAGAGAAAGGACGTACTGATGCGTTGAAGAAGATAGTAACGGGGCTACCAGTAAGGAACACGAATTGGTACAAGGTTTACACCGGGATCACGAGGAACTGGAAGGACTTGAAGGGTTTGCATAACCGAAGGAGGATTTGGGAGGATATCGGGGCGATTGTGGAGAAGCTAGTATAAGTTGCCTACTTGATTTGGGATCGCGAAACAAGTGCTTCAACCACATTTCCAACCTACAACTACATGTTCAGCCCCCTCCTCATCCACACAGACCACCAACACTGACGTCTCCTAATCAGGTTGGCCAATCCTCGTCCCGATCTTGTCATTTTGATCGAGGCTCACTGCGTGCGCAATCCAACCACTGAAAATTCTCGAAAGCACCAGTGCCTAAGACAGACTTATAGTCGAGCAGCACCAGTTTGTCAGCTTTAAAACCCTAACACGACTACCTGTACTACGGTAGCACATAATTACATATTAGTACCAGCACTATACGCGCACAGCAATCAGCTAAACGAGCCTTACAAGAATGGCTAGCAAGTCTAGAATGAAGTACTAAATGGATTGGGTGGGTCATGAGAATTGCCAGGTATCAATGCATTCTCCTGATTCAAAGTTGAAGAGGGATGGAGTTGGTTTTCACAATATGTTTGCGACACTGATCTAAGCGCTCGCTCGCTGGGTTTTTTTACCATGATTTTTCGGATTGTAAAGCGAGAAGATCTAGAAGAGGGTTTGCTCTACGTGTTGATGATTATATGCAAAGATAAGAGATGGGAGATAGTTGGCCTTGGCAAGGTATTCAAGGAGGCTTTCGTAGTTGCGACTTGGAAGGAGACTGTACTAGCATGATTAGTGAGATCTGGAAAAGCATATTTAGGACGTCTGAAGTGGCACTGTGGACATGAGGCTGTTGAACCAAGTACTCCTTTCTACACACATACTGCGCATCTCCAACCTCCCAATCCGCCTCCATAGGCTGCCCAAGTTCCGTTTTCTGTTTTGAGCCAAGTCAAGCCACGCCACCACACAAGACACGGCTCAACGCACTCCTAATTTTTCCCTGGCTCGTTGAGACTATTTAAGCAGAAGCAGTGCCGTTGTTAGCCTTGACGTACTCGCTCATCATCTTAGAGATCGGTGCCTGGCCACCGTACATCGCTGTCTCCACCATACGATCGACCTCGCGCATGGTGATAAAGACCTGGCCCTTGGCGGGGTTGGTGTCCGCGGGAGCATCCTGACGCTTGATCTTGGGCTCGGCAGGTGCGGTTCCGTTGGCGGCACCGGGCTTAGGAGCCTCGGCGGCGGGTGCGGGAGCGGCGGCGGCAGGAGCAGCGGCAGCAGCACCGCCCGTCTGCATGGTGAGGATGTACTCGCCGTCAAGCTGAGAGACAGGGAAGGCAACGCGCATGTTTACGGTGTCGAGGACGAGATTGGCCTGAACCGGGGTGAACGTGGGCTCAAGGAGGAGCTGGGTGGCAACGGGGTTGTTCCCAGTGGTGGGAGTGCCCTGCTGTGTCTGTCCAGTCTGTTGGCCAGTACCTTGCTGGATCGGTTGTCCAGTGGTGGGATCAATCTGCTGTCCAGTCGTACCTTGCTGAATGGGCTGTCCAGTGGTCGGGTCAATCTGTTGCGTGGTGCCCGCAGTGCCCTGCTGGATAGGCTGTCCAGTGGTCGGATCTACCTGAGTTTGGCCAGTCTGACCGGTCTGACCTGTTGTGGAATCGGTCTGGCGACGAGCGAGGGCAGACCTGAAAGCGTCACGGCCGCGTTTTTGAGGCGCGAGTTGAGCAGGTGCAATGTTTGTGGCACCACCGGGGTTTCCGAGAACTTTGCGCTGCGCGACACCAAGAGAAACCTGTCCGCCAGGTTGGATACCAGCAGCTTTCATCATGGTCTGGATGCGCTGCGCGTTGAGGGGCATTTGGATGACGGTGACTTGCTGGTTCAGTTTGGACTGCACGCCAGCGAGGCTGGTGGTGACGGAGTAGCGGTAGTCATCTGGGGGAGAGGGTTAGCGATCAGTCCGGGCTATGAACACGGAGTATACTCACTGACTGAAACCTGACCCTGAAGAGCGGTCAACATGCTGCTGTCGATGCCTTTCTTCGTATCGACGTTCATCGTCATGGGTTGAGTAGCCTTGATAGACATGCGGAAACCATCCTGGAACTCATTCTCTTGAAGTCCAGTGCCGGTGATGGAGACTTGAGCAGCTTGATTACTCCCAAAGGGAGTGAGCTGGGTCTCAGTGCCCGCTGTCTGACGCCCCACCATCATGTATTCGCCGTCAATGGTCTGAAGCTTGACCATGCGTACAGTCATGTCGGTCGTGTTGATGCTTCTGATCGATTCCTGGATCATCCAGGTTTGTCTGTCAGGTGAAAGCATTGCAACGAATGTGTTGCCGGGGTCAATTTGCGCCTGTTGAAGCGCTGCCACGGGCATGGCCATCTCGATCTGTGCACCGACTAGATCTGTAGCCCCATTGGTACTGATGACCATGGAGGTCTGCTGAAGAGCCACGAAAGGGTTACCGGTGGAGCCCGTGACCTGGTTGGCGGAGATGGAAGGCGTTTGTTGATTAACAATTAGCTGCTGCTGCTTTTGCGAACGCGTCTCCACCCTCGATCCATCCTGGAATTGAAAAGAATTGAGTGACATCTACAACTGTAAGCTTCCTGCCGTCGACCAAAAAACAATGAAGGGCACTCACGTCGCCACCGATATTAAGTACTTGATTGAATTGTGCCTGCTGCTGCGCTAGCGCCCGCGAGCAGCTGAGCAGCAGGACAAGAAGGGAAGAGACAGTACCAGACGTCATTTTGAGAAATAGAAACCTCCGGGGTTTGTGTAAAAAATTAGTACAAGAGAAAAGAAGTTAGGTTCTAATTACGAAAATTAGGAATGAACGACGGAGCTGCGAATCAGGCTGGCTGAGCAGTACCGTTCGTATTGTATGCCGGCACTTCAAATATAAGCAAAAGCATGCTACACATCTAGCCACCGGCGTAGATCGCTTCCGCCAAACGGAGGCCCAGTGTCATGTTCGATGCGGGATAGGTCGGGCGAGACGAACTCCTGGATCCGGTCGAGCCAGGCATTAATTCCTGAATTTTCAGTCGCGTCGTGATTCTTTCGTCGCAGACAGGTGATAGAGGCTGCAATTCTTGGGCGTTTCTTGTCGGTTACTACCAGTCCGACTTGGCAAGGTATCTGATGTGCATGGTGTCTGTTTCATGCGGACCTGGGTTGTTTGTTTAAGCACATCTGAGGCGCAAAGCTTGTCCGCCGATCCATCGCGAGACGGAATCAAAAACTAGTGAAACTCCTTGCACAGATCGTGAGTGGCTTATCTACTCATATGAGGGCATAACAGTCTCGATCGCGTGGTTTCGACATGCAAGAGCATTGTGAAGCACATGGCCACAGAATGTCCGTAAGCGTTGGAAGGTCGGGCTGCTGTCCGATTGATTCATGCAGTCATCATGAAGCGAAGAGGAACGAGGTGCGCTTCCAATTGAACAAGTCCGATGCAGACCTGTGTCCGTGCTGTGTATATTTGAGGGCTCCTGCCCCCAGGAATGCTTTTGGTCACTGTCGTCGATTAGCGTCCGGTGGCAATGACCTTTGTGCCAACTTGTGCCAAAGTCAGGTCTCGGTAACCATTGAACATATTCCTCGCGTGAGCAAGGTTCGACTTAGATGGTAAAACGACGGAAACGTCTGAGAGATGTTTCGCAACGATTGACCGAGGAACACCACTTCGACGGTGCGTCACGCTAAGTCTGAAGTAGTTAGTTCATCACTAAAAACAGCAACAGTTTCTATACCCCTGTCGTAGTTCCGACAACACCAACTCCAGTCTTCACCCGAGGACTCTCCTCAAGAATTGTCATACGAGCACATTAAGTGGACCATTGGCTACGCAGGTCTATCGCTTCGTCATCTATTGGTTCACTATTGGTTGGTCAATGTGTAACCTTGATCCTGGGCGCTGTGGAGGACGTGGAGAGGCAACGTAGATAGTTCTTTACGATGACCGGTTCGTACCTAAGTTCGCTCGTCGATGCTTTCGCAGTTGCCACCACCGAGGCTCTCAGCTCTCAAACCAGCTGGCCTGTGGCCATGGGATTTGCAGCATCACAGCATAGATTTGCACTTCGCAAACGAGATTACAGCTCCATGCGTGCAACCGAGAAGCTATGTCGCACGTTGTAGGCTCCAACGGAGGCGAAATGACATACAGGCTTTGCCAAGTTGCTCAGAATGTCACGCGAGTATGATCATGATAATTGATGATAATGAGACCTTGGGTGAAATTCCTCTACTTGCTATATGAACACCGGATGCTGAACAGAAAATGCTAGACGACCATATCGTTAACCCTTTACATGCAAGCAGCACCATCGATACCAATGACCTTTCCGTTGACCCAGTCACCATCCTGGGACGCCAAGAAGCAGACAACGCGGGCGATGTCGAGGGGTTGGCCAACACGGCCGACCGGTGACCAGGTAGCGGCATACACGTCGACCTCGTCGTCGGAAAGGTTCTCCCCATTGGGAATGTACTCGCGGCATACAGCGTGGTACATGTCGGTCTTGATGCCACCAGGTGCGACGCAATTGACAGTTACTTTCTTCTCGCCAGCATCTGTGCAGCTGTCAGTAATGTTTCTGGAGGTTGGTGATCGTAGGTTAGCATACCGATAGCCATGCACCTGGTGAAGGTCTCAATAGCACCCTTGGAGCCGGAGTAAACAGCGTGTTTAGGCACACCCTTGGCCTGGCCAGTAATGGATCCCATAAGGATGATCCTGCCACCAACCGACATCCTCTTGTACGCCTCTTTGGCGACGAAGAACTGTCCACGTGTGTTGATCTGCATAACACGGTCGTACTCCGCCTCCTCGACGTCCTTGAAGTGGCCGAAAGAAACAACACCGGAGTTAGAGCAGCAAATGTCGAGCTTGCCGAACTGCTTGACTACCTCGTCCATGAGGTATTGGGTCTGCTTGACATCGGCAACGTTGGCCTTGATGGCGACGGCCTTAGCGCCAGTCTTCATGCCCTCGATTTGCTTGACAACCTCCTCAGCAGCTTCCTTCGCGTTGGCATAGTTGACAGCGACGCTGCAACCGCGACGAGCGAGCTCAAGAGCCATCTCCTTGCCAATCCCACGGCCTGGGAATGTGTTAGCCTGCTAGGATTTCTCTGGCTGGGCATATATCGTAGGACGAACTTACCAGAACCGGTGACGACGGCAACCTTGCCCTCAAGGCTCCAGCTGGGGTAGGAAGCGTTGGCCATTGTGATTTGTGAGGTGGAAAATGAGAAATTGGAAAAGGGCGTTTGCTGAGGGAGTTCTGGTTGGGGAAGTGAGATGTTTGATGAGTTGATGATTGAAAACGATCCAGAAGACCTTCAGATAAATACTCTCTTCAGCTTCGGTACCTTGGCGGACAGCTGGGTTCAGACGATAGCTTGTCCTACTATTTTCTCCTGCTTCGCCCCATACCGCCCTACAGTCCTCCATACAAACTTTCCCTTGACATTCTCCGTTACGGCACCAGGTCGGGACAAGCTGCCATTCCGACCATGCTAAGCCCCGAACGAGCACTCCCGATTCGGAAACGTTAGCTCCCGTAGGAGAGCCAGAGCGGCCTGTCGCAGGCGTCGACTTAGATCAGATTGTGCAGGATATTTTCGGACAAGTGCGGGGCCGAAGACCCTGAGGCGTCCATGTTGAGGAGACAACGCAGTCAGCGAAAGCCATTGTCACAACACCAGCCATCTCGATGACAACAGCAATAATAGAGATAAACCGTCGCTGCATTCGCGCGTTAACGTAATATTATCGTTGGAATGGCTGTGGTCTGGACTGAGGTGAGAACGATGGATCTCCGAAGCAACGGTTGCGCTAGCCAATCGCGATCTAGCGAACCATGTTTTCACACGGCTGCAAATCAGCAGGGAACGGTGTGAATGCGGTCGGAAGTACTGGCATGCTCCGGTTGCATATCCATCGTGTGGAGAGCTAGGGCGCGACAGTCACGTGTCACTTCCCAACTCGTTCAAGCGTACGCTGGTACAGGACCTTGCTCAATGTTTTTCGCCTCCATGCCACGTCGCACACATCAACGTGTAACTGCTCCCCATACTCTTCTGCAGCGCTGGTGCTCACCATTGCAACTCCGAGTAACACAAACAGCCGCTTGTCTGAGTGCTCGGTGAAAGGAGTTGTTACGGTCGCTTCCGGGCGCTCGTACCCCTTCGGCTCCGCACTTCCACCTCCATAGCATCGGAGATGGCACGTGCGCACCGGACCTCAACCTCATGCCAGTATCTATTCAGATCGAAAGAGGTGGTGAGGAGCGCTGCGTGCTGTCAATCGTGAGCATAATTGTTTTCTGGAGAATGAATGATTGTTTGCAACGCATGCTGATTGGCTTCACTTACTCATGTCGACGCGAGGTAATGCTTCGCGAGTTGTGTCCAAGGGGGGTAGGATGATTGCTTCCTTGAAACTCGACCTCAAGATGAATCTCGAGAAAGGCCGAAGTAGACTTCATATAGGCGTTCGTTCAGGGTTGCGTGTCTGGTCTTCTGATCGCTGGTAGCCTAGCTCATCCCCGGAGTCAAGGCACCACGAAGGTAGCTATCCGAAAGCATTTGTCCACTCGCTGAACGGCAGACGCAATTCAAGGAGAGATTGGCTGATCGAGAACCAGCTCTCGGATTGTTTAGCGGACTCATGCGCTCTTTGGAGGGGCGGTGTAGGCAAAGAGGGCTCTGTGCGTCCCTCCGGGATATTCTTGAGGGCTCGTCTAGAGAAGCCCTGCAATCCGCTTTCAAGCGGACGTTGGACTCTGAGGGGTTTAAGAGTAAGATTTGAGAGTAAAACAAGGTGACTGAAGAGCCTGCGCTGAACCAACAAGAGTGCTCCGTATGACGGACCCGGCGGTATCTTATCAGATTAAAATCGGTTCGTAGCAGACAAGACAATATCTTGGTTCATGTTTACAATGAAAGAACTGAGAAAAATTGCGAACAATGAATAATCTGCATAGAATGCTGCTCATCGCGAGATATCGCGTCAGTGATTGCCATGCGTGACCCCACGTTCGGATGACGGCTGGCTTTAGTACAATCCGGATCTTCCACACCTCCTGACCTTGATCGACACTTAGACACACGCTTAGGCCATATATCGCTTAGAGAAATCATCCTCAACCCAAATATGAAGGATCTTATATTCGCTTCTCCCCTCATTTTCCGTAGCCTTGAGCTAGACCCCCGTTTCGTGACTCCCGTTAGGACCGAGTCGCTGTGGGTGTTTCATCATACGGCTCTCTGGCTGGTACCATACTGAGGCCTACTCCATCGAGCGTAGTAGGCTTTGGCTGAACAAAGAAGTTGATGGGTCGGAGAAGTACCTAGGGTAGCCTTGCAGGAAACGCACGTCACGAACGAAAGAGAATCTCGTTTCGAATAATTGCAACGGTAATGAGGCATCTCGCGGTAGACGACTACCCAGACATGAAGTCAAGTCTACCATACCTAAGTTCGAAACGAAGTTCTGGAGTTGCTCTTTTCGCCCGAGTCTAGGCCACAGGCTGCACTATGATGCACGAACTTCCCCTTTCGCTCCAACTGTACCCTAACGTCCCCGGTAGAGTACCTTTCAAACAACGGACTGTGTACCACCGGTGCCTACAACCTCCGACTTACCGTCCCCTTACCAAGATTTTGTGCTGGTTTGGTCTACGTACATCAATCTTCGTGTGTAAATAAAACTTCGTGTATGTGGTGTCCGTCGGGATCCCAATCGCCATAGGGACAATGGCTGTAGTGAGGGCAGCCGTTACGCATACCCGGTGCCTGCGTGGTTTTCAGGCTGCATTTGCTGCTCAGTAACGGTCCGCAGAGTGCACAGCAGCAAGTAGCCTCACCTTGGTGTCACATCTAAACCACAGAACTGCCCTCTTGCCGCGGGAAGATCAAAGAACACGTTCCGGACTCTCGCCTCGAGTGCTCAAGGGGGCACAAATCTGTCGTGGAGGAAGTTGAACCTGGTGTCCGGATCCACACCAATGCATTCCTTTGCCGATCTCTTACCCTCTGTATACTGGTACACTGTGCCTAAGTATACCGTAGACAACCATGTCCGCGTAAGCCCGTCTAAACGTACTCCTGCAGGAAGGGGTGTCGTCACGGATCATGACGCTGCCGTATGACCAAATCAACACATTGGATGTAGTCTCTATGTGGACAGTCACAGTGATTGACTACATGCTCATCACTGCAAGACGTGCTGTCGATCTCTAAAAATGCATGTTTCACTCAGGATGTGCGGGACTTGTAGTCCCCACGGCAGCGCCTTCTAACGCGCAATTATATCACCCTGCCTGTCATCTCGGTCATGTTTTCCTCTCTCCTATACGATGCATACCCGGGCCGCCGCCCCCTCCCCTCTAAGCGCCGGGACGGACTATTCCCAAACCCACAACGACTTGCATACGTGCGACATAGCAAAACTGGAACGGGCATCTCCAAACCCGCTGTTTGGATCCGGGGTACGCTCATCCGGCTACGTCAGGTGCAACCCTAGGCGCCCACCCTTCGTCTAGGCCTGCGCCTACAGTACAAGGTAAAACAGTCACATACCCAGACCACAAGTATCCTGCCCTGCCGTTGGTGTTTCTTGTGCAATTTCCGATTGTACTTGGGTAGTCGTGCTGCCAGCTTATTCGTTCGTCCCACGTTTGTTGGAGGCTTGGGGTCAGCCTTCCCTCGACATCGCCTTCGACCACACACCTCGCCACCGCCATCACCGCCATCAAGATGCATCCCGAATACCTACTTGCCGCCTTCACTCACCACCCGCCCGACCCGCGCTTCGATCCCGGACCCCGCTGCCGCCGGTAAACGGCCCGAGACTACAAATTCGCCGTACACCCACGCTACCGCCCCCCTGAAACGCAAGCGCACATCCCTGGCCGGCAATTACCGAGTAACGAACTATACATGAGCATTAGACTTGCACTCGCTCTTTGGAAGGGGCTTGGAAAGAGATGAATTAGGATGAGCAAAGGGAAAGAATGTGACAGTGTGGGGATGAGGACGGAAGGAACGTTTGATTACCTGGGGATGATGCCGGCAACCGCGACGCATGAGAGATCGAACTACAAGGTACGGAACATGGAAAGAGGTGGCAGTGAGCAGATGAGCGTTGGCGACGGAAGAGATGGATCAGTGAAGCGGGGCAGGGCTAGACGACGATATCGCACAAACACGGGCAAGAGGAGGCTGCGATTGAAACATGAGGCGGGCCCAATGAAGATATACGTCGTGTTATTAACATGTTGGACTATACATTACCGAAGGGCACTCCCACCGGGTCGCATGGACATGATGCGGCCTACCCTCCGAAGTCAATATGTGCGGCATCACCAAAACAACACCATCCCCTCGCTGAACGCCAATAAAACTCCGGCCGACCCAATGTCGAATGCTGCCCATAGATCCAAGAGCACTTCCGGATCGAATGTGGAAACGAAAAATCTATCAATAAAAGAGAAAAAGACGAGACACATGCTGTTTAGCCTCTGGCTAGTTTTTCGAGCTTCCCACGAATGCCATCGGAGAACCTCGTTGCGATGCCCTCATCAATGACATCGACGCAATGCGAAAGCACTCTGAAGCCGTTGTCGATGCCGACCGACGTACCATCTCGCTTAGTGAGGGTAGGTGTACCCTCTCTTCGCGTGACGTACCGGACAATGGCAGGGTCATTCGCCTGCAGACGATCAACCGGCACCGAAGTGCCTGGTGGAGTGTACTGCCCCTGCTGCGGGCTTGTGGACTCGTTGTGAGTCAGAGCATCTGTCCAGAGCACCAGCCCGGCGCGATAGATTGCACCAGGCCACCACGGAGGTCGAATACCCTTAGGCATCTCTCGGATGATGCGCATGATCTGTCCAGAGTGGAAGATGGCCTCATGCACATCCGAGATGCAGTTCTTGTGGATCCAGAGCATCTGCTGATACGTATCGACACCCTCCCTTCGAGCGAGCTTCTCGATCTCTGGAAAGTTGGTGACAGCGTTCATGCTGACAAGGTGGAACATGACAAGATTGGCCTGCATCATAGGGCACATCGGGTTCATCGCCATGTAGCGCTCGGCCAGCTCGAACCATCTTTGCAGTAGGGACTGCACCTCTTCAAGTCGCACGCGAGTTGACGCTGCGGTCACAGCTCTTGACCGCTGCCTTGAAGCCATGCTATCCGAGAAGCAGCTCAGCAATTGGCAGTACTGGCAAACCAGAGTCTGCAGCGGATGCAGAAGCAGCCGGAGATGCAACGCAGTAAGCTGGATGTTCTGGGCAACGATCTCGTCGTCAAGGAAATGGCGAAACAGGTCCCTGAGACTCAGCGGCCGAGCACCCGATCCTACCGATGAATAACCGTTCGAGAACTCATGCACCTTGCTGAACATGTCACACCATTCAGAAGCGTCGGCTGCTTGCCAAAGCCCATCAGCGTCTGGCATCGGCGCTCCAAATTCGGTCACGGAGAACAGAGGAGCTGTATCATGGAATAGTGACAAGTCCTGGTCGACCATCACCCACGAGTAGATGAGCCTATGGAACGTGTTAGTAGGCCAGGTCACGTGTTCGGACTTGTATGGGGACCCGATGCTGGGGTCTTGCACTCACCGGCTTCGGCCTTCCTGCTGGATCCAATCCCGCCACAAAGTTTCCGTCCTTTTTACGTTCATGTGCGGAGTCGAGACTCGCTGAGGCTCGAGAATGCCCGAATGCCGCAGCATCGCGAAGTACATCCCGCGCTGGCCCATGGCGATGTCCATTTGCCACTTGTCCCCGCTCCACGCCGCTTGTACTGTGAACAGAAGAGCTGCGCGTAGTACGATTGGGTCGCCGGCCATGATTATGTTCTTCTCGACAAGATCGAAAAGTGAGATGCGGCAAGCCTCTGTTAGGCCGCCGGCCAACCACCGCGCCTCCATCGAAGGAATGTTGATCCCGCCTTGCGCGATCATCATCAAGATGAGAAGGCTTGAAGCTTTGTCGTTGTAGTTCTGCATAAGCTCGTTGGCATCTAACATTCCGCGCGAAGTGGTTGGATAAAAGCGCTCGAAAGAGTTGGCATAAGAGCGAAGGAACAGATCGAGGACAGGAGCAGGTGGTAGCAGTACGAAGTTGGACGTCGTTGAGCCCGGCGAGTCGCTGCTGGAGCTAGACATACCGTCTTTGTGGATATCGAGCGCCTTGTGCAGAAAGCTCTGCGTGATAGCAAGCAGCTTGTCTCGCGTAGACTCGTAAATCTTTGCAACTTCCACTCGCCCGCTTTGATGGAAGTCAGTCTCCTCCCAAGAAGGTCGCCAGTTGCTCCACCCTTCGTGGTTCTTAAGACTTTGCTCGAGACGCTCTAAGTTGAGTCTGGCAGTACGAGGACAAGAGCTCGATGGGATCGTGGGTGTGCAGCGAAACACTGACCACCCATCATGGGCCGCAATGATGGCCCCTAGGTCAGGAACACCAGCGTCAGCGATTGAGATCTGTCTGTTCGATGGATAAAACATAGAGGCGGAGCTGCCAATCTGCAGGTCAGAAAATGACTCGTCCATCCTCGGCGTCTGAATGGGAGTCTGTACCGGCCCATACGTTTGTGAAGGCGACATCTCGGGAATCATGCCGAGGATGCCATCGGTTGGAGGACCCATACTCATGTCCATGTTCATTGACATCATCAATGATGGGTCGATTCTCATGGGGTCGAAGTCCTGACCCATAGACATGGTATTCCATGGATCCATCATGAACCGTGGACTGGGTTCGTCCGAGTGGTTCTGTACTGTCCCTACGAAGTCTTCGTATCCGGACATTGGTGTCTGGGAGATGAAACCATTGATAGGTGTGGGCAGCGGAGACAGAACCGACGGCATAGTGGATGGAAGCCCATGTGGCGGGGACTGCTCGAAGAAGGGTGGTGTGGTCGTGGCGATTGGTATGTGTAGTGGCTTGTCCTCTGGCGGAGGATTGTGCATCTGCTGCACAGGCTGAGAAAAAGATGGATTTCGCGAGTGAACTACTGAGTGTACGACTGATGTGGGCTGTGGTGACTGCCGCGGCTGCGTTTGTGCATTCGGTATTTGTTGAGACGACACGCCTTGCGAGACCATTGCCTGTGGTTGTGATTGCGCAGGGATCTGGCCGTCTCGCACCGGAGAATTGCCGCCAGAGTTATCTTGGGAGTCGTTGGTGCTAGTTGATTCGCTCGAACCAGTGCTGGTAGCAGCTTCGCCCGTTGCCATGACCCTGTTCACATTCTTGGACGCTCGTCGTGTGGGACGCAGAGTGCACTTCAGATTCCGCTGTGCGCAACGACTGCATGGGAACTTCTTATCGCACTTTGTCTTTGTCTTCGCGCAATTGCTGCATGCAATGGGTGTTCGACCTGCAGACTTGGGGATGATACCGGCGTTGGGAGGAAGGCCTTCCTGATTGTTCGCGTCTCGACCGTGCACTGTGTAATGTCTCTGTAGGAGATCGCGTCGAGCAAAGCTCATGTGACAAGTGAAACACTTGAAGGGCTTGACATTGGTGTCTTGAAGAGGTGGTTAGCGAACTGGATTTACTCGACAACGAGCAACACTCACGGGTGAGAATGTGTCTTTCAAGATGCTCGTCCCGGGTGAAGGACTGCCCACAATAGGTGCAGAAAACCATGCTGAAAACGCAGCGCTGCAACGACTTTTCGTGGAGAGCAAAGGGGGGTATGTGGCCGCAGAATCGACGAGAACACGCCAAACGAAGGTGTTGTGGTGGTGGTGGTATTAAGTATTAGCGTCCCGCAGACATGTGAGTGGAGAATAACAATGGCTGGCGGCGAAGTTGCAAGTCGTAACAAAATTATGGTAAAAATTATGGTACTGCGAATGGCGGGGACTACAGCAGTCGGGGTAGTGGTGTATAAGTGCTGGTGCTTTTGCCTGGAATAGTCGTTGTCCTGGACCGGTAAGGCGCAGCTGGGGTGAGCAGCGGATGACTAGGAGCTAAACGACAATAGAAACTCCAGACTAGGCTCAGATTTTGGAAGTTTCAAAGTGGTGGTTAGCGGAACCAGAGTCAGCGTGTGGTCTTTGTCAGGTCGGCTGTGGGCCTAGTTGGCGGCCGTGCTGAGGGTGGAGAGTGGAACCTTGGGAGAGGAAATGGCAGAACAGGAGCAGAGAGAAGTGGACAACACGGGCAGCAATGTGAGGGCATATCAGGCGGAATGGTGGACATGCCGGCGGAGATGAGCTTGTACGCTTCTGCTGGATCTGCCTTTCCCAACGCGGCGTATCGTTGCATAATCAAGAATGGAAGCGCAGCAACGATGGTCATCGATTGCTGGCTCTAGCTGCCCCGAAAACAACGCCCAGCTAGTGCCTGGGATTCCGTTACATGGAGCGCCAGGGGCTCGGCCTAGCATGGGCGCCATCCATGGAGCCAGGATGGGGGCATCTGGGCGATCGGCGGACTGGGGCGGCGGGGTTTGCTGGCATGTGCTTGTGGTGCCAGCTGAAGGAAGCTATCATGGCGCTGTGGCACAGGCTGCCGGGCGGCGATGTGCACGGGCCTGCACAGCCTGGAGACGGCGTGAAATCTGACGGTAATGAATTCGTGTATGGTATTTCGGTAGCTTGCACCTGCATGCAGTCGAGGGCTCCGGTGCGTGGGCGTGGTACCCGCGCTGCTCCTTTGGGGTCATGAGCTTATCGACGCTGCACGCCCGCCGCCACCGCCTATGAGCTGCGGCGGGATTGCTGTCCGCGCGCCGTCGTCGACAGCAACGCTCGCTCGAATGCCTCGTCTCGTCGTCTCGTCAGCCACTTTCGCAGGTGTTGCTCGACAAGCGTTCCGCCTCCCGCGCGACGTTGCTGCGTATAGCCGTCATGGTCTTCAATGGGCCTCGTCGCGGGTCCACATGGTCGAGCTGCGAACGGTACGCTTCCGGCCCAGTCAGGTCAGCGCCCTTCCGCGAGCGCCGAACAGGCTCGTCGTCGCCAGCACCTTGATGTTTGCAAGTGCTATCAGATGAAGGCGCGACTGAGCATCGCACTGTGCGTGGCCAACAGTGGCCGGCCGCTGCGGTCGCGCCCGCATGTCTTCGCGAGCCTCCTCCAGAGTCGACAAGACATGGTTGCTTGCGAAGACGCAAAACCGTAATGATCGGATCTGCTGGCAGGGTTCGCGCGCACGAACAGGGAGTGCCCCGGCCCGCCCAAGCTTTTCTTGGCCATCTGGCTCGGGATATTTTCCAGGGGCAGCCTTGCGGGTCCTCAATTCGCACACCATGCTGCTTCCATCTTCGTACTAGAAAGCCTCGCTAGATGTAAACGGCTGCACCCTACTCCCAACGAGCATCCTGAGATGGGGATACGCGCCATCGTCCGCACTGTGGTCTGACATCTCGATCTACCTAGCACCGTTCGCTGTGGATGCATGGCTGCCTACCGTCTGGCAGCTCGCCAACACGATTGAAGTGGGATATAGTCGTCAATGTTCAGCCTGATGAGTGAGTCTGCAGACTATCAATTGCTGCGGTTGATCGCGATAAGGAATAAAACGCTGCCTCGTACACGACCCCGCCAGCCTTTTGCGTTCAAGGCAAGCCTCAACAGGACTCGCATTCACATCGTGCGAACTGTAACCATGCCTCTCGCCACTGTGAGCGAATGGCTGGAAGCGGCTAGATGGATCAGAACGGCTCAAGTATCCTACTGCGTGGCAGAGAAGTCCCCGCTCGTAGCAGGGTGCATGGACCGGCCACGATCATGATGTATACAGATGCGCATCGTCGTCATGACCGCTCTGCTTCACCGAAAGTCGCGTTATCAGCTCCACAGCGCTTCATTTCGGGCTCTCACGGCGCCACGGCAGATCATGCTGAGGTTGTCTAAACCCAAGCCAATGGAGAACAAGGAGCCGAGTCTGCCATGAGCGACGTTCTCGCCAATTGCTGGCTGACACGAACCGTAGCGAGTCGTCCGACCAGTCAATATGTGCTCGACCATACACCCATCGAGGACACCTTCGTACTTCTCAAGAAGTGTAGAGGTATCGCTGCGCGCTTACGGAAGTACCGGGTGTCGATCACGCGAAAGGTCATCTCAAAACGGAAGCATATGTTAGACAACCAAGACACCCATTGATGTGCTTGGCTGAGCATCCGCGATGCCGAGTTGTTTTCTCAGGGTCCGAGGGCGCTCAGCAAGCATGTAGCCAAGGACTCGGTGCACGACTCACAGAGGGCCGGGATAGAGGAAGCGTTGCGCGTAACGGTGCCCGTGTCAACAAAGTTCGTACTTGGCTTCCGGTACCATTGTATACGCACCCACGATGTTTGTGAGGACCCAGCGTCTCTAAAACATTGCTTGGCCCGCAAAACTATCGTTTCATAGGCTGTGCTCATCAAACGAACGCTCGGTTGTCTCGAGAGTATTGAAACAGTGACATCCAAAACCAAACCTTCGCTATATATATTCCAGAATGGCTTGCAGATCCTCGCTCAGTCGAATTCTGGGATGTGTCGCAGGCTCGCTGTCAAGGAGTGCCCAGCCGCTCAAGCGAGAGGCGCACAAAACCTTCGGCGAGCGCCACAGAACGGACCGGCGGCAATTGCGCGCGTTAGTGCACCCAGGACGTAGCACATTATGGCGATCCTTGCCAAGTGATAGTCGAGGGTAGACGCGTTATTCCCAGTACATGGTTTTGATCGTGGGATGCTGGGAGCAACAGCATCTTGAAACGTAGCCCTTTCAGGCCAAACGGAAAGGGTTGCCTCTGCGATTCGGAACATGAGGGCAAATTCGCTGCGCTCCTCTCAATTCGAAGTGACTGATGACGACGATGCAACGCGGGAGAGCTCGCAGCCGTAGCGGGATGTCGCATGCCCAGAAATGCGTTCTGCAAAGGATCTTGCCGTTGAGCTCATATACCAAGCCTGAATTGAGCGACCGAAGCGCTCAGCTGTAATTGTCATCATCGCGCACTTACTAGATAGCGAAGACGGCGGCGATGCCATCCCGCTGCAGCCACGCCAAATGGCCATTTAAACGCTGCCTTCCAAAGCCTTCGCCCGTCTGTGGCGGATATGAGCGGTTGAACCATGCCCCTTGGCTCGCCTACTTCAACCAGTAGCAAGGGCGGCGGCGCATGTTGTCGGATCAATTGACGTTGTACGAGGCTATGTATCTTGAGACATGAAAAGAAGAGGCGCTTGCCAGTGTCTGCCGTGACGTAAGCGCTGCCGGAGCCGACATTCCACAGACGCTGATTAGACAGAAACCAACAGCTTGGAAACAGCAGCTCTGCTCCTCTCTATGTCCTCTGCGGGGCGTCAATATCGTTTTCCGTGACTGAGACAAAGGTCACGAGTCTTTAATTCTACAACAGAAACCTCTCAGTTTTGCTGTCTCGCTCGGATCTCCTCCCGGCAATTCGGTCACCTCGCTTAAGCTGCATTGAAGCGTGGCTATCTGACTGTCTTGCACACAGCTCAGTGTGGAATCCGCGTGGGGATGATACCTCTCCGAGCTGCGCTAGACAACTGGCCTGCGATCCTAAGATGGGGAGTCTATCAAAGCCGACTTGAGGATTAGGACTGCAGATCATGCAGGGTTTCTCTAAGTGAGCGCGGTGGCTCACAGCGCTGTATTGTTGAACGAATCGAACTCGGTGTTGCTAGCACTAGGAGTGACAAGGCGGGGTAGTATTTGCTGCCATGTCCTGCAAGTACCAGTTGAGTCGAACTCAGATGTGACCGCCAGCAACAAGACCATGGCAAACGTTCTCGAGTGTTGGCATCGACGAATGCGACGATGAGTGCGACGTCGCGCCATTGCTACCTTAAATCGATTCAAAGTGAGGTTGGAGATATCGACACCTAGCGTGGTCTAGACGCCGCCGTTTCCCTACAGGTTCGCCCCTTCCTTTGTTCTCCTCGTATTCAACTGTTCGCTTGTATGCTGACTAGTGAAGTATACACCGAATCAGGACATGGCGGAATTACCTTCGCCATGACGGGGAATATTTACGAGCGATGCGGTCATGTTCACACTACCTGTTCTGGATCTCAGTTGCGAACGCCCTGGAACCTGACTCCAAGTTGAAAAAACGCCTGCAGCTCGTCAGCCTGCTGTTGTGAGGCGCAAACTTACATTTTGTACGCACCCAACTATCAGCGCTAACTCCGCAACAGCCCATCAGCTTACCCGCGCAGCCGCCTGCCTTGGCGTTTCAAACGACTGTAGTCAGCGAAGAATTTCACAGATGAACGTTAAACGACAAGAGACCTCTCATATCAATTATAGCACCCTCTAGCTTGTGGCCTGACCGAAGACTATTGTAGAATATGCTGGGGGTATGGATGTACGGCTTGTATATTACAAGTACGAATTCTACGCTTCTGCAGGATTTCGATAGTGTACACATCGCATGATCGCGAGTCTTGCGCGCACAAGGAGCGCTTCAATCGAGTCGATTGTCGCGCCGTTCGGTCGGAGCCCACGAGTACATGTGCATATACCCTTCTTACGGAAGCAGTGGCAAGTGTCTCACGACTCGTCCAGTGAGCAAGCCGTGAAGAAAGCAGTTCCAGTGGTGCCCTGCCCCAGGCAACTGGTACTCCTTCCTTGCTTAGTCGATGTTCCGGTTGTCCAGATGACAGCAGTCCGAGCTGTTGCCAGTTTACTTCGCCCGCACTTTACTGTGGCATCTTGGAACCAAGAGCTGACTGCATCAGCATAGAAAGATTTGGAGACCTTAACCAGGATAATGGCCCGCACAAACGCCTTGCCGTCTCACGAGACTTTCATGCTCGTGGAGTTTCCGTGGACCAAGCGCGACCAATATGCAGTCCTGACTGCAGTACCAAGATGGTGGATAGGAAAGATACAACAGCTGCACCGTGTACATGTGCTCACTAAGCGAAAACAATCCAATGTAAGTCAGACCACATGCAGTATCTGCTCAGAGCGAGAAGCACGATCTGTAGGGCATTGATAGGTAATTCTGATGATCGGCCTTGGCCCGAATGATACTGTCATGCCTATGCAATCACTTTTACAATCCTCTTTGGTTCATCGCGCACGTATACCTCTGCGTCATGTCGATGTGACTTTCTGTGCAGTCAGTTCGGATGTGGTGTACAATTTCGGAAGAAGTATGATCCTGACGTCTACGACAACTCGCTTCTGTAGTTGATATTGCGTTAATAGGCGAATATAGGCAGGGCTGTTATCGTTTATTGCTGCTGTGCAAGGTACATGACGAACTTCAAAGTGTTACCACAGTGCACGAGCACACGAATACAAGCATTGCACCACCCAGCGATTGGGGCCAACAGACAAAATTGGGCCGTCCTGCTGGAAATGTGCTGACTGCAGACGAAAAGTTTTAGTCTTTTAATAATCTCGACACCTCATTGTGTCTGCGAACAAACGAGCCCAGAAGCCAACCGTTAGCCTCAACATGCACGATCATACTTCTACTCGTATCCCGACCATCGGCATGCCAATTTTCTGTTACTAAGGGATTTCGCATGTGCGACGGCCGGAATCAGCGTAGCCACCGTGTAATTGATTACCCTAGACCCGATCCCATGTTACACAATAGTCCGCACGTGTCTAAGACCCTTGATAGCGACGCGAGGTATTACAAACTGGAGCGTACCCGCTGTGCAACCCCCCCATCTTTCTGTCATGCAAAATTACTATGGCTTTCGGTAGGGTCATCTCATCACCAGTCTATTACTCATACGCAAAGATTACAGCACCTGGTTCCGACTTCAGGTCGTGGCCCGCCATAAGTCATCTCCAGTCTACGAGAACGGCCGGAGGCACTCAACACATGGTACAAGCGCCTATCATAGACCACTTACACGTCCCGACTCACCCGGAACATGATTCCTAGGGACGACCTCCACTGTGGATCATACTGCAGCTACGTTCTAGCCACATTGCTCCTCCGCATTCTACATGCACAAGTGCTTGTCAATCTCGCATGTCATCTCGCAGAATGTCGGTCTCGGGATCTGGATCTAATGACTGTCAAAGGTAGCTTCATGTCGCTTGATATGCGCGCTAAGCTCGTGCCCTATACTTTCCGCGGAGGCGAAAGATATGAATGATGCGGCGGCTTGCGCACACACGCCGGGCAGGCGTAGTGTTGAGCTGAGAAACATACTGCCGGGTATCGATACAGCGGATAGAATGACAGCTAGATTGCACTGATTCATTTCCGTGTTGCGATCCTTGTGGTAGCAAGGTCGATCGCGATGCTAGAAGTTGACTGCTAAGGTTACTTCGCGCACGTGAAGTTTCCGTAGACCTGGGGAGCGGAACCAACCTAGACCAAAGTTGCTCCCGGACGGTACATTCAAAGGTACCATGTCACGGAGGACACTGCCTCAGGAACATGAACGCCACATCATGAGCCACATTGTAGATTGTATGCTGAACACATGATTTCGCGTTGGAGGCCAAGCGAACCCCGTCATCACGTCACCTTACCCCTCCACCCGCGCCGGCGATTCCGCGTGAAGGATCCGACCAAGGTAGCTGCCGGGTCCAGGCGGGCCCTCTATCCAGCGAATGCACTCACAACGGAAGCTGAGCCGTTAGAGCGCAGCAAAGCTGATTGTTGGCTTTGAGGGGTTCTTTGCGCGCGATCATGATCCAGAAAGGAAATCTTCACATGGCATGTAGAGCCGGAGAAATCCAGTCAGCAGTATTCTTAGCCAAACGAGCTTTCCGAGACCTAGTAACTAAGGTGAGGCCTTTTGTTATCGATGCTGTGGAAGAGTAAGCGGCTCGGATCTGATTGTAGTTGCGGTAGACCGCACGGTCGCACTGCAACGTCCGCTAATCATGGCATACGAGTTGGAAATGTTGATCGCCTCTAGACGATGTTACTATTTTCAACATTGATACCATAGTGAAAGTAGCTCTCAACAGAAGATGCAACACTTCGTCTCATCGAGTTCCCGGCCTCAGGACCAAAATACTCCATGGTGAGGCACACGACTCCGCCATGACTAGTAAACGCAAAGCCACCACGACCCATGTTTAGCACAGGAGCGACGGCTCGGGACGAGCTTCGCTAGAAAGTTTTGACTAGACGTAGATAGATTGGTGCTGACGAGTAGGCTGCCAAGACCGCAGCCCGCTAAGTGCTACGAGTCGCCAGCTAAACCCTGAAAAACAGACCCTTCTCTAGGTGGTCTATTGTTTCATGCACTTACTGAACGCTGGAGGCTCCTCAGTGGGTTAGCTGCAGCGGCCGGGATCAACGGTCCAACGTTCAGATCACGATTCGTGACCGAGGCTCGAAAAGGGTGATCTGCAGGGTCAACTGCTTTGGTTTTGGCTTTGTCGATGGGAGGGGTCATCACGAAGCCTGTTGACGTGGCCGTAAAAGATGCGCGCAGCGTGGGAGCAACGAAACAGTAGACGCGAATGCGAGAGCCACAGCATATGGCGTGTTAAGCTTTGATCCCATGTACTTGTCGAGTCGAGAGCCCCAGCGTCAAGAATATCTGTCGCCGCATGACCCTGATGTCCGTCAATGGATAACGACCTCGTATCACCTCGGCCGCTCTGAGACCTGCCATTGATTCCTGAGACAATAGACTACCGATGTGGAGTGGCCTGAAGGTCATTGTGATCGCTAATGTAGTGGAAAGGTAGGTTGTTGCACCTCGATAGTCGGTTTGTGTGAAGCATTCATTTGACTCATACCGGAATCACTCCATGATGCTCCCAACGTAGAGATCTGCATGCGAGCGCCTCTATTCTTTCTCACTAGCTGACGAAACCTTATTGCATAGTTCTCATGTACAAGACCAGGTATGACGCTAAAGATCGCAATGGCTCTGTAACTTGCTTCAGATGCATGCTTGACGCGACGAGCTAAACTTCGTGAAGGATAGCTTATGGACGAATGATCGTGAGAGGGGTAGAATATTGAAGTGTTGGCAGACAGGATTGATACGGAGCGCAGTGAAGTTTTTCGCGGAAGACACAAGGACATGCCTGGCATCATGAATGATCCAAGGAGGATGCGCCTGATATGGCGAGAATACCCATTAGCGACAATGGTATCTCGAAGTATGAAGATACATCAGCAATCCTCGCACTTTGCCTGCCTCACAGTGAAGGGGCTGATCTCACGTGCATACTCGGCAGGCTTTTCCACGTAGGTAGCGACCCAGCGTTGTGGAATTACTGTGCGAGGATCGAAGCAGCCTCTACCGTGAGTAATTTTCGGAAGAGCGGAGTACACCGCAGTCGCGACGACAAGCGCATCATCGTGGCACCCACCATCTCCAGCATGAAGCTGACAGCCACCCAAAACGCCTTTGCATGGCTTATCGCGAACACTGATGGTATCTGGGCGCTTTAACTTTGGGTGATTGATCTGGTGAGGTAGGAGACTGTCTTCCGGTGGGGCAGCGCCGACTTGGCGCCACGAGCTCCAACCGCGTGGGCAGGAGGCGACTGTCTAACCACGCTTGTGACAATCACTGCCATCACCACTCCCACTGCCACGTGAATGGACATCGCGCACAATGCTCCAGGGCAGGCGAAAAATGCAGAATGTATTGAAGGCGTTGCATCGATCGGCTTCCGCTCCGCTGCCCCAGCCCTCCGCCCGAAAGCCACTCTGAGCCCGCCACAACCGCATCCTGTCTGCGGACCCGGCTGTTACTCACTGAGCTTACACAGCGCTTTTCCGAAAGAAGCCTGGGTTCTTCAACGAGCGAGAAACCCAGAGAGGCACGTTTTGTTCCTCTGTTCGCAGGAGGCTGGGTGTCGCTTGAGAGCGCGACGTGCCACTGTTCCATGGCTCTCTGCCTGTCAAGGCCTTGTTGAATACCACCAGGCGGTTCGAGGCATTCCTGCCAGCCAGTTCCAGCCACTTTATACTCTCCTCAGGGTACATTGCTGCACCCGGACATGTCCATTGTCCGGTGTGGCGGAAGTGCGAGATTTTGGAGGCTAACGACGATCAATCACGGATTCGCAAACTGGTCACGGACCTTTTGCGAACGAGAACTATTGTCGCTGAACTTTACCCCAACCATGCAAACGATTCCTGCCCCAAAACAGCTTGTCGCGTGGCCTCTGTCATGAAGACTGCTGTTCTGCAGGCTTTCGCACTGGCAAACAACAGAAACTCATGGCTTCCGGATTTACCGCACTCGTATTCAGGTAACCGAAAACGGGCAGCTATTGCATCGTGTTAGACCCACAAGAGCTGCGCTAACTCGGTAGAGCCTGCTGTGCGGGTTTGAAACATCTCGGCGATCTAACTTCGTGGGCGTTTTGCTCTAACGTCAATCCTTGCTTCAAGCGAGAACTTTGGGCAATACAGATTATCGAGCAAGTCACCAAAGAGCCATGCTCACCGCGGCCCATATCGCTACCATGTCTATGCGATAGTCGGTCAGGCCATTACAGCCTCTCTGGCTAAACCATACTCCGGACCCGCTTTAACGACGTCCCAAGTCATCAAGGCTAGTTATGACAATCTAGCAAGGGAAGTGCCACCGAACGGTCAATACGCACACAGTTTGAAGAGCTTTAATGGCTCCAGGCACACGTAACGCCCTGTCCAACCTGAGCATTGGGTGCTGCGCTTTCACTGCGGCTGCACCTCGACCTGGCTGCGGACCGCCTTTGGCGAAGCTCCCTTGATCCCACGGTTCAACGCATTCACTATGACTATTTGCGACGCTCTAAACTGAATTTCGTCTAAAACATGATGTTGGCTGACATAATTGACAGGTCGTCACCGTGGTCGAACTCCACAGCCACCCCGGCTTATGGGGATCCGATTAGTTCACCCGAACTTCGAGACAGCACCCTGACAACACAATGTTCCTACGTCTCATCTCTTTAGTTGCCTATCATCCCTGATGCATGGGCTAAGCAACTGAGGATCCCGTCTAGCTCGGGCCGTCTAACAATAGCCGTGGTTGAGTCCCATTTGTGCGCGCCATCAATTCTTGGGATCATGGGTGCCCGACTAGGGAAGGACTAACCACTGCTCCACTTTGGTCCTCACGTCAACATGCTGCTACTCTACATGGTCCGGCAGTGCATGAGCCCCGTATCAGTGCTCCTACAGATCCGGTACCGAGGATCAGGCTCGCAATCGCACGATCTCAGCCCAGGCCACAGCCCTGATCGCTCAGAACTTTCACAAGCCTACAAATATTGAGGACTCCCATTTCCGTCCATTCTCATTCAAACAGTTCGTTCCTGACACAGTCTCTTGGTATCCTTTTTTGTGTCATCAACACCCGCTTACCTGGGTCCCATTCATATTTCGAGGTCATTCTTCATTCGAGAAGTACCAGACCAACTACTTCATTATCGTCTCCCACCTCGGCGTCAACATCGTCCCCGATCTGAGCATAATCACCTGCATCGGCATCGTCCAGTCGTCTTAGGGCCCTCATACCATTTCTTCTTCTTTAATATACCCCACCGGACCGACCTCATAATGAATGCCTTAATTTTCGGCGACCAGACCGCGGATCAGTACGTGGTTCTGCGGAAGGCCATCACATGGAAGGACAATGCCCTGCTCAAGACGTTCCTAGAGCGCATCAGTGTTGTACTACGAGAAGAGACACAGAAGCTGCCGCGGGCGCAGCGCGAGCAGATACCAGACTTCCTCACCGTTGGAGACTTGGTGGAAGCATATTACGCCAAAGGCTCGAAAATTACCCAACTTGAGAGCTGCATGGTAACGATCGCCCAGCTGGCGCATTACATTGGGTAAGTTATAATTACATAACTGCTGGCCCGGACCAAACTGACGAAAACTGACGATTGCAGCTACTACGGCGAGAACATCACAGAACTGCCAAACCCTGCCAACACGAGAGCCGTTGGGTTGTGCACTGGTCAGATCGCAGCGTCCATAATTGCGTCCTCCAGGAGTGTTGGCGACTTGTTGCCGCTCGCTGTCGAGGGCGTCCGAATCGCTTTCCGCACGGGCACTTGCGTCGGTACCGTGGCAGACGCGATCGACAGCTCACCAGAGAGCTGGTCTACGATTGTAGCCGGAATTTCTGAGAATGCTGCAAAAAGTGCCATCGCCGACTTCCACGTCGAGAACAACATCCCTTCGTCGGCACAGGCATACGTTAGCGCCGTTAGCGTGATGGCCATTACCGTCAGCGGTCCCCCTTCCACCACCAAACGCCTCTTCGCGGAAGTGGACGCATTCAAGAGCAACACCCGCGTCGCCATCCCCGTGTATGCGCCTTACCACGCGCCTCATCTCTACACTTATGCCGACATCGAGCGCATCTTGAGCATTCCCAATGCCGAGCTCTACAAGGCCGCTCGCCCTCAGGCACTCGTCCACTCTGCCGCCGACGGCCAGTGCCACAGGGCCACCAACGCCCTCGATCTCCTCCGAAGTGCCCTGAGCGAGATGCTCATGGAGCCTGTACGATGGGACTGCCTATTGGAGGAAGTCGTTTCCCAGATCACCAACGTGAACAATGCCGAGGCGTCAGTCTCCGCCATCGGTGTCACCAACGTTGTGAACAGCCTCGCCTCCGCCCTCAAGGCCAGCGGTCAATCTTCTGTCACCATCCGCGACCACACTGCTTGGTTTGCGAAGCCCGACCATTATGCAGGCCGCACTCAGAACGACAAGATCGCCATTGTCGGCATGGCTGGACGCTTCCCCAGTGCTGCCTCCCACGAGCAGCTCTGGGAGTTGCTCGAGAAAGGCCTCGATGTTCATCGCGAGGTTCCCACTGACCGTTTTGATGCCCAGGCTCACTGCGATCCTTCCGGCAAAGGGAAGAACAAGAGCCACACTCCTTACGGCTGCTTCATCGACGAGCCCGGAAACTTCGATCCTCGTTTCTTCAACATGTCGCCTCGCGAGGCCGCTCAGACCGATCCTATGGGTCGGCTCGCCCTCACGACTGCCTACGAGGCTCTGGAAATGTCAGGGTATGTTCCTAACCGCACACCCTCCAGCAAGCTGGAGCGTATCGGTACCTTCTACGGTCAGACTTCGGATGACTGGCGTGAGATCAACGCTGCCCAGAATGTCGACACCTACTTCATCACGGGTGGCGTGCGCGCTTTCGCACCTGGCAGAATCAACTACTACTTCAAGTTCTCTGGACCTTCGTACAGCATTGACACCGCCTGTTCGTCATCTCTCGCTGCCATTCAGCTCGCTTGCACGTCGCTTTGGGCCGGTGACTGCGACACCGCCTGTGCCGGTGGCCTTAACGTCTTGACAAACCCTGACATTTTCTCCGGACTGAGTAAGGGTCAGTTCCTGTCCAAGACCGGTAGCTGCAAGACCTACGATAATGATGCCGACGGCTATTGCCGTGGTGACGGCTGTGGTACTGTCATCCTTAAGCGCTACGAAGATGCCATCGCCGATAAGGACAACATTCTAGGATGCATCCTTGGAGCTGCTACCAACCACAGCGCTGAGGCTGTCTCCATCACCCACCCCCATGCTGGCGCGCAAGAGTACCTTTACAAGAAGGTTCTTGCTAATGCCGGTATCGACGCTCATGAGATTAGCTACGTCGAGATGCACGGAACTGGTACTCAGGCTGGCGACGGCATTGAGATGACCTCAGTCACTAATGCTTTTGCACCACGCAACCGTCAGCGCAAGCCTGATGAGACTCTCCACCTCGGCGCCATCAAGGCAAACATTGGTCACGGCGAAGCTGCCTCCGGCATCAACTCCCTCGTCAAGGTCTTGATGATGATGAAAAAGAACGCCATCCCTGCCAATGTCGGTATTAAGGGCGTCATGAACAAGACCTTTCCCAAGGACTTGGCTCAGCGCAACGTCCACATCGAGACCGAGCAAGTTCCCTGGCCTCGCAAGGGCGCCGAGCCACGAAAGCTGTTCTTGAACAACTTCTCCGCAGCAGGAGGCAACACCGCCGTTGTGCTATCTGATGGTCCTCTGAAGGAGACTCCCATAGGTGTTGATACTCGTACTTTGCAGACCGTCACCGTCACTGCCAGATCGATATCATCGCTCAAAAAGAACATCAACAATCTGATCCAGTTCCTCGACCAGAACCCTGAGACTACGCTTACCAGCTTGGCATACACAACCACTGCTCGTCGCATCCAGCACAACTATCGTGTCGCAATCTGCGTGGACGATATTAAGAAGGTCAAGGACGCCCTGAAAGCTCAGCTCAAGGACTCCTACAGCCCCATCGCGATGGTGCCGACCAAGACGGCCTTCACTTTCACTGGACAAGGCTCCCAGTACACTGCTCTCGGAAAGAAGCTTTACGACGAGCTGGACACCTTCAAGGCAGACATTGAGCAGCTCGACAATCTTGCTCGTATGCATCAGCTACCGTCCTTCCTTCCCTTGTTGGACGGCACCGATGTTGCAACACTCTCGCCTGTTGTCGTGCAGCTCGGCATGGCCTGCATCCAGGTCGCGTTGTCTCGCATGTGGTCTGGCTGGGGAGTCAAGCCTCTCGCTGTGATTGGTCACAGTCTCGGTGAATATGCAGCCCTTCATGTCGCTGGCGTTCTTTCTGCCAGTGATATGGTTCTGCTCGTTGGCCGACGCGCTCAGCTCCTCGAGGAAGAGTGCACGGCTAACACTCACGGCATGCTTGCTGTGAAGGGCAGTGTTGAGGCCATCAAGGAGGCTCTTGGTAGCGACATGACTGAGATCGCTTGCATGAACGGCCCCGAAGAGACTGTGCTTTGCGGCACCATTGAAGTCATTGAGTCCACCAACGGCAAGCTTGCCTCCGAGGGCTTCAAGGCTACTAAGCTGAACGTGCCGTTTGCCTTCCACTCTGCTCAGGTCGAGCCAATCCTTGAGAAGTTCAAGGCCGCCGCGGCATCTGTCGTCTTCAACAAGCCGGAGGTCCCAATCCTTTCTCCTCTGACCGGAGAAGTCATTCGCGACTCTGGTGTCATCGGACCAGACTACCTTGCCCGCCATGCGCGCGAGACTGTCAACTTCTGGGCTGCTCTTGGCACCGGTAAGGATGAGAAGGCTTTCGACGAGAAGACAGCTTGGGTCGAGATCGGTGCCCACCCGGTCTGCAGCGGCATGGTCAAGTCCTCCCTCGGGGCGTGGATGCCCACTACTGTGGGGTCTCTGCGCCGTAATGAAGATCCGTGGAAGACTCTAGTCAATAGTATCTCCACACTCTATCTGGGTGGTGTATACTTTGATTGGAACGAGTACCACCGGCAGTTCAACGATGCCCAGGAGCTTCTTGAGCTCCCTACCTACTCATTCGACGAAAAGAAGTACTGGATCGACTACGTCAACAACTGGACACTGACCAAAGGCGAGGCTCCTAAGGTCGCTGAGGCCAAGGCTATTGAGCCATCGCCTATGCCTGTTGTGTCCAAGCTTTCCACCACTTCTTGCCACCGTATCGTCCGCGAGGAACTTCACGCCAACTCCGGAACTGTTGTCGTCCAGTCCGATCTGTCCGATCCTAAGCTCAAGGCTACTATCAGCGGTCATCAGGTCAACGGCAACCCATTCTGTCCTTCGTCGCTATACGCCGACCAGGCTATGACGGTTGCGGATTACCTGTACAAGCAGCTGCGCCCCAATCTACCTACTCCTGGCTTGAACGTCTGCGCTATGGAGGTGACGAAAGGGTTGGTCCCCGAGTACCCAGCCCCTCCTGCTGGACAGCATCTCCAGATTGAGGCTACGGCTGACCTTGAGACCAACGAGGTCTCGATCAAATATCGTACTGTCCCTGCTGACGGGTCCAAGGTGCTCGCTGAGCATGCCGTGGGCGCTGTCAAGTATGAGGATGTCAACGCCTGGAAGGAGGACTGGTCGCGCATTCAATTCATGGTGCAGAGCCAGATCGACACGCTCACGCAGAAGCTCCAGACCGGTGCTGCACACAAGGTCCTACGCGGCATGGCTTACAAGCTCTTCAAGGCCCTCGTCAACTACGCCGACAACTACCGTGGCATGGAGGAAGTCATCCTTGATGGCAAGACGACCGAGGCGACGGCCGCTGTCAAGTTCCAGACGACCCCAGCAGACGGCGAATTCTTCTGCTCGCCGTACTGGATCGACAGTCTTGCTCATTTATCTGGCTTTATCGTCAATGCATCTGATCATCTCGACTCCGACAACTCGGTCTACATCTCTCACGGATGGGGCTCCATCAGGATCTCCAAGACCTTGTCCCCTGAGAAGAAGTACCGCTCCTATGTGCGCATGATGCCCCAGCCGAACAATGTGTCTGCTGGCGACGTGTACATTCTTGAGGGCGAAGAGGTCATTGGTATGGTCACTGGATTGAAGTTCCAGAACATCCCGAGACGCGCTCTCAACATCATGATGCCGCCGCCTGGCGCCGCAAAGGCTGGTGGTGGAGCCGCAAAGGCCACCCCTGCTAAGTCTTCCATTGCAGCCCCTGCTCCCGTCAAGACCCAGAGCGCTCCGGCAAAAGCTGCAGCCAAACTCGCAGTAAAGGCCAAGGTGGTCAAGGCTCCGAAGACACCCACCAACACCATCACCAATCGGGTGATGAAGATCATTGCTAAGGAGACCGACGTCCATATGTCGGAGCTCGTCGATGAGGCTGCCTTCGAGAACCTCGGCATTGATTCCCTCATGTCCCTTACTATCTCAGCGATATTCCGTGAGGAACTTGAGATGGAGATCAGCTCCACTCTTTTCACAGATTACGCAACCGTCGGTGAGATGAAGAAGTACTTTTCCCAGTTCGATGGTGGAGTCCCTCTCACCGATGATGACGCCGAGTCTGATACCACTGAGGAGACCTCGGATATGTCCACTCCCTTTGAGGCCGGTGTAGCCAGCACTCCTGCCAGCTCGGCCCCCAGTGTCTCTGGCGACGTCAAGATCACAGAGTCCTATGAGGTTGTCGAAGGCAATGCGAGCCTTGCTCGCAGAATCATCGCCGAGGAGATGGGTGTTGATGTCTCTGAGATCACCGATAAGCTCGACCTCTCCGAGATGGGTATGGACTCTCTCATGGCCTTGACGGTTCTTGGAGCTCTCCGCGAGCAAACCGGTATCGATCTCCCCTCTGAATTTCTGACCACCAATGTCACGATTGAAGACATTGAGAACGAGCTCGGCATGCGTCCTAAGCCCAAGGTCGAGACCACCGCCAAGGTCACCTTCAAGAACACCACAAAGCCATCCAAGCCCCAGCTCGCTGAGGTGAACAAGAAGCTCGAGAAGGCTATCGATGTCTCGACCCTTCCTCCAGCCAATTCGGTCCTGCTTCAGGGCAACGCCAAGGTCGCGACGAAGAAGTTCTTCCTCATACCCGACGGCTCAGGAAGCGCCACCTCATACGTCTCCATCCCCAGCATTTCTCCCGACATGGCCGTGTTCGGTCTTAACTGCCCGTTCATGAAGTGTCCGGATAAATGGACCTGCGGTGTCGAAGGCGTCTCAGCCCTCTACCTGGCCGAGATCAAGCGCCGCCAACCCGAAGGCCCTTACATCATCGGCGGCTGGTCAGCCGGCGGCGTCATGGCATATGAAGTCGCTCGCATGATCGTCGAGTCTGGCGAGAAGGTCGAGAGTCTTGTGCTCATTGACGCACCCTGCCCCGTCGCGCTTGACCCGCTTCCCGCCCGGCTTCACATCTTTTTCGATCAGATTGGGCTCCTGGGCACGGGCAAGCCTGGCGGCACCCCCAGCTGGCTCCTTCCGCACTTCGCCTCGGCGATTCAGAACCTCAAGGACTACCAGCCACTGCCGATGAACCCCAAGATCGCACCACCCGTGCTCGCCATCTGGTGCACCGATGGTGTCTGTCCCAACCCTGATGACCCCCGCCCGCCCCCGGGCGAGGGAGAGGACCCCGCACCCATGAAGTGGCTGCTAAACAACCGCACCGAGTTCGACGACAACGGCTGGGCGCAGCTGCTGCCGAAGGAAAACTTTGAGTACGCTGTCATGGGCGGCAATCACTTCACAATGATGAAAGGCGAGCACGTAAGTCCACTCCTCTGATCCAACTGTCAATTTGCCCGATCAAATCACTAACATTGTGCAGGGTGTCACACTAGGCAAGCTCATCCAGAAAGGCTTGAAGCTATAGCCGTCACACACCACATCATCCATCTCTACGTTAATACGAGAGACTGCATGCATTTCACCCGTTCAAGCGTTGAACCTTGGAATGTGGGCGTTTTTGGGTCTGGTTTTCTATTCTAATTTGTATACTGCATGCACCACTTTCTTCGGTGTGGGAGTTTGGTTTGCTGGGGTGGGCGTTTCGGTGGTTTCGAAGCGTTGTGGACTTTTGTTCGCTTTCTTTTTCAATGTGTTCACGTCTAATGTTCTACTTTGACTGCGATGCGTTACGTGTACATGACTACCTTTTCTTAGACCAATACCAAGAGACTACTTCACGAACTGGGGTCTTTAATCATGTGTACTTCAGACTTGCTACTGATACTTAGGAACTTTGTCTGTTTGCGAGAAAGTACTGTGTTCGATGAGAAAGGAATCCCTTCGAAGCTTATTACTTCGCTGTCTCTCTCCAGCTACGTCCTCTACTGTTCTGTTGCTAGTGCAAGTTGTCTTGGACACATCGGCACGAAGCACATGTCACAAGTCGAGATGAGTAGCAGGCAGGTGCATGCATTGGGCAACAGACCGATATGCGCCTGATGATGGATGCCGAGGCATGGTCGGTGGTGTTTCATGGTTGAGGCTGGGTGGGAACCAGAGTACAGCAGCGAGGCCGGGATACCGCACAATTTTCCCATACGATTTCTGCTTCGTCATCGGTAGACCTGAGATCTCTATTTCTCTAGAAAGCCTGCTCATCTAGAGCAAACACGCGAGTTCCGCATCGCTCTGCACCTGCCGTGCTGAACATTGTCTGCTACCGGCGTCCGATGTCCATCAACATGTGACGGGCAGCCTCCCGACCTACGGGCAGCCTCCCGACCTATGGGCATCCACGCCTGCCTAGCCTTACCCAAGCTTGTGGATTAAAAAGTTTTATTTCTAACTCAAATTAGCAATATAACTGAAGTCATGCTCCGATCGCACCCACCTCCCCCGCCGCCAAGCTCCGCCTTCTTGGAAGTTTCCATCCAAGCTTTGCGATGGCAGCGTCCGACTTGGCTGCTCCACGATCGTTCAGAGGTAATCACTTCGCCATCCACTTGCTTTTCGCTGCAGATAAGATACGTAAAAGTAGACCGCGACGTTACGGAGTCGCCCCCGAATATTGAACGCAAGCGCCAATCGCCGCCGGATCGACAACACCCGCCTGTGCGGTTTTCCAGGAACTGACATTGAGACAGTCGGAGGCACGCGAGCGGTACTGAAATGAGCTAGGGTGGATGCAGGACGTACAGTCCGACGATCTTTCCGCGTTGCAAGTGCAAGCGTGGATGCTCCAGGTAGCCACAGTGCGACGGTTGACCCTGGGTTGCATACGGCTTCCTGCTTCGCATCTAGGTGTGCGGTGTGCGATACGAGCAACAGCGAGGGTTCCTCAGCATTGGTGGCGTTTGTAGAGTAACTGTCATTGAGTCGCCGGGGTTGTGTACTATTCCCAGACGTTGCATGTGGGAGCGGAACGACGACCGGGCCGCAGCTTTCCGGCCTTAGGATCTGGAGATGCGGAGTGCAGTCTAATCTGCATCGTCTCCAGAGATAGCAGACCCAGGAACCCAGCCACAGCCCTCTAGCATGTGCAAGAGGTGTATTCAGAGTTGGGGTTGAGGCGGAGCGGTGAACAGCCACCCTGATGTGAACCCTGCCAACGGCGTGGCCTGTAATGACAGCAAGAACCACGGTTCGAGCAGAGTCCTGGCGCGGGGTTTTAAAATAACTCCCTGGTTGACACAACCATTTCGCAAACGGCGGCTGTCAACGGAGATCGACAGAAGAGTTAAGCGTCGTAGCACTACCGTTACTACGTCCACCAACGGTCTTGTGAGGTGCATTGAACTGTTCAATTCGTGCAAGGGGAGCATAGTCATGGAAAGTGGCCGTACAAATGAAATCGTCGTGGAGACGCAGCCCGGCACGGCGTCCATCACACCATAGCCATGTATGTCATCTCTTGGCTCGTGAACATCGTCGACTGTTAGTTCAGCAGCGGATATCCCATCATTGTCGCTGCCATTCTTTTTTGAAGTTAATAGGTAGCACCGGCGAGCCAAGATGAAGATCAGCTCCTGTATATGCAGTCATCGTAAGTAGACCGGAAGTCGGCGAACTCAAGCTGTATGTTAGATGCAGGCTCGGAGAATAGGTGGAGTTCCGGTGAGAGAGGGTAAGCGTGGTGAGCTACAGCTCGCGATTTGGACACAAGACTAGCCTCTTTCGGCGGCGGTTATCTTTCAACTGGGTAACATTTGTTTTCGTAACGAAAGATAGTGCATTCGGACTAGACGTAGAATGTGCAGTAGGGCTGATACTGGTAAAGATAGAAGATCCGTGGCTACAGAAAGGCAATGCAGCATGACGATCTTCGATCCCGAGCTACTTCAGCTCGCATAGAGACGCTTCGTGTGTTGTGGCCTGATGAGTAGCCTGTCAATGCACAAAAAACTCTCAGAAGCACGCGGTGCAGCAGCGCCGCTGATGCACAGACAACGACCTATGCAGCTCGTTCAGGCGAACGGAGAACAACCTGCGAGGATCCCTCGGCAACTTGAAGCCGTCACAACATGTCATGCATGAGAGTGATGTACTCCTTTTTCGAGGATGCGAGGACGAATGAAGACTCAGTGTTGATAAGCGCCAAATAGCGTTGAATTGACTAGGGAAATCTTGGCGACATCAATGTGAGGCTGCTGATTCGTGTTCGAGAGGTATCGGTGTGAAATGCCCTTGGGAAAAGCGACGTGAAAAGAGCGGAGCGGAAGTCTAGCGCCAAGTTGATGACTAACACACAAGCCTGTGGGCTGCCCCGCATCACGTGCAGCTTCTACGATTCCAACCTGCGTAGCGATTCAATTTGACAGCGTCGATATCGCAGCGATTATATTGCGACGTCGCAGCCTTGACAATGACAACCGCACTGAAGCCAGGCAGGTAAGCATGCCCATTACATCAGATCAAGCCCCTTCTGACCCAATCGCTAGCAAAGATGCGCCCACAAACCCGCGCGGCATCCCCGTCGCACCCTTCGTCGACCGCGTAGAAGACTATGTTACCGACCGCTCCGAGGTTGAGAGCACGGTGAACAGCTTCAAGGAGATGATAGCGTGAGCCTCGACCAGAACCGCGCAGGGAGAGAACAGTTGGCTTATGGCTTGGCGATAGAAAATACCAATTTATGGAGCAGAACACCCAGCGGCGGCTTGTTGGGCTCAAGGATAAAATCCCAGACATACAGAAAACGCTGGAGACTGTCCGTTTCCTAAAGGCAAGAAAGGTATGCCGGCTTCCGCATAGTACGGAAGGAGCAAAAGACTGATTTTCACCCAAGGCAGACGCGGATCCCATCGAGACGACCTTCGAACTGAACGATACATTGTACGCCAAGGCGGAGGTCCCGCCTACCGACGAGGTATACTTGTGGCTAGGCGCCAACGTCATGCTGTCATACCCTATACCGGAGGCCGAGCAGCTGCTGAAGTCCAAGCTCGACACGGCAAAGAGAAGCCTGGAAACTTGTGAGGAGGACATGGAATTCCTACGGGAGCAAATCACAACGCTGGAAGTGGCATTTGCGCGAGTGTATAACTGGGATGTAGCACAGAGAAGGAAGGAGCGTGAAGCTGGAGAGTCAATAGAGGACAAGAAGGGTTCGAAATCGAACGGTTGAGGTGGACATGAGTGCATCTGTGTAGCACTTACAAAAGATATACCCGTTTGGCAGGCAACGCCACATCCATTGATTGTGTTTCTATATGCGCGGTGCTTCGGCATGACTGGATGAAATATGGCATTGCCTGATATGTAGATGATTGAGGTGGAGCTAGATACTTCCAGAGGGCCCTGGGGGGCGAGACTTGTCACGACGGCAAGCAAGTCACACATATGTTTGGATGCTTCTGTACCACAGATGGATGATTATTTTTTTATTTTGATGGGCCGCGATGACTCTAAAGTCTGCCTCAGCTACTGTGATTGAGATCATGGCTTGAGTTACGAGCTTTTCATCATGTGTCCACCTTTTCGACGGCGATACCCAGCAGTAAGCGCGAACTGCTTAGTTGATCTTCTGGAGCTCGACCTCGCTGTGCAATCATTAGCACCCGCTCCCAAGAGACAGCAGGGATGGCAAGGTCTTACAAGATGAGGTTCGAGTTCTTGGGAATGAGGCCAGGGAACTCCTGGTCGCCGTATGCGTAGTCGCTGGTGATGTCGAGGGTAGCCTTCTCGCCGAGCTTCATCTGAGGAACACCCTCGTCCCAGCCTGTTGTTATCAGCATCTGTCCTCACGAGACCCTCCAGGTTTGCGGCGAACGCAAACCTGAGGGACAGGCACCGCGCTTACCCCTGATGACGCGACCGACGCCAATGGCGGTCTTGAAGGGACCACGGCCGGGCTTCTGGGTGGAGTCGAACTCCTTGCCCTTTGAGCCGTCGGCGTTCTTCAACCAGCCGGTGTACAGCATGGTGACCTGGTCGCCCTTGTTGGGCGATGGGCCGTTGCCCTCGGTGATGGTGGTCTTGGTGACACCCATAGCTCTAGCGGACGAGTGGAAGAGAGAAGTAGTGGTGCGGGGGTGGAATGCGCGGGCGAGGTTCGAATTGGAGGTTCGCTGGAGGGATTTGATGAAGGAAGACATGGCGGCGTAGTGGGGGGTGTTTTTAGCTGTGGTGGGGTAGCTCAGCCTGCTGAATGCTGCAAGGCACGTTGCCCACACTAGGCTCGCTATACGCAGATCGGCGTGGCTGTGTACGCGGGCCTGACGCAGATGGACCTATCGAAGGGGAGAGACATTGCGCGATACGCGCTCGGTTCCGGTCGTGCCACAGGAACCTGGGTACGCAAACAGGAACCGAGCATGCCCGGGGCTCCGCGAGCGATGAATCGAGATGTGGGCGGCAGTGCGGCTTCTGGTGAAGACAGCAGAACCATGGAATTCTGCAGTGAAACAGGATAGTAAACAGCATGTCCCTTGTGCCGATTGGACTCTCGTTGTATACAGTCAATTGATTGGTAAGATCTACGCCAGATCTGCGACTGCCTTTTGATTCCACATGGTGGGGTGCGACTTCAGATGGCATTGCAGAGCTTACGCTGCAAGTAAAGGCACAGGTTGATACGTGTCGTCAAATTGCAAGCAGTCGAACCTCACTTCTGCATTTGGCAAAGTCTTTTTCGATCTGAGTGTACTGGACCTGGTAAACTCTGGCCGTGAGCTCAGAGAGCGCCACAACACGTGAGCACGCGCCGGGTGGCCGTGCATGTGAGATCGCATTGCGACTTCCGCATTCACCACACCCGCCTTTGCAGGCAGGCAGCATGCGCGCATACCGCCCCCTCGACCCGCGTACTACTCTGCCCGCGCAGCGACCATCTTGGACCCTCATGCGCTTGTAATGATGCCGTGAGCTGCCTATTGTCTCCGTCACCACCACAAAACAACCGCTGCTCGACTCGGTGGGGTCCACCACCTGCCCGCAATGGATCACGCGACGCTCGTCTTCGCGTCCGTCTTCCCCGTTCCCTCGCTCTCGCACACAACCCCTACGCCGGTTGCGACGCCGAATCTCGGATACACTGAGCCTGGGGCTTCTTTTGGTAGCCCGCATGCTGCTGATGCCGCCGTCACACCACGGCGCGCTGTGCGGCGCAATTTTGCGTGGAGCACAGCGACGCGGTTTCTGAGCTTGCCCAGGGACTTGGACAAGGCTCCAAGGAGGCCACGAAGGCCGCCGGATGTTGACGAGGCATTGGACTATCTTATCGTTGGGGAAGGTACTGGTCAGGACCACGAGGAGGGGATTGCAGATTGGTACGCCAATGAGGCCCGATTACATTTTGCGAACCACGTGAGGCAAGGCCTGACGGAGGTTTGGGACAAGGTACTCATCTACACCGGGGACGGGTCATTGGGGCATTGGGCGTTGAGCTAATCCGTTGGCTGTAGGACGTCGAAGTGGGCAATGCCTGGCGCGTTCTCGAGGACACCCAACGAGTGCTCGCACAAGTACAAAACCTCTACCTTCAGCCTTTCTACGATCACATACTGCCCTTCATAGAACAAGCCGCCGCCAACATCACAATACGCGCCAGCAAGTCGAACGACAACCTAGAAGCCGAAACGGTGGAAGCTGCAAAACGCAAATTCGAGAGGGAGATACACGCGATCTTTGCGCACAGCCTTCCGGTAGGCCGCTTTTCGAAGACGCTGAGTTACATGTTTTATGATGCGGCATGTAAATTGTTCCGGCTTCAGGTACGCCTTGATGGCATTGCACATGTCGTTCCCGATCATACAGACACGAAGAAGGTACGCCGGCGGATGATGCTTCTCCTGGTTGGCCTCAATCGTATCGGCCTGGGACAAGATGAAGCTCAACGAGCGTTGGCGTATGCAATGGACAAGCTTCTGGATACCTACATTGCAAGCCATTATCTCAAGGTAGATTGGTACACCAAGCAATCTATCACATCTCAGCTACGTGCATGGATTGAAAACGGATTCATACCTCTAGCCGAGCTCATCCTGGAGTGTCTCAAGTGCGACCCTGCATCCATACCGCCACTGCAGCGGAAGCAGTGGCAGGAGATGGCTTTGACGAGGCTTGGGCGGGCAAGGGTCGAGGACCTATTTGACTTTGTCACTAATTGGGACCGGAGTCTAGGTGCTGTATTGGACCTCAAGGTTAGTGAAGTCCCCCAACAAACCTGTTACTTGATTCATCTTCTCCAGGAGTATCTCAGACTAGACGGCGCGAAAGAGCACCTCAAAGGCAGCTTCTCACGACAGGTTTCACGGCGGCTTTTGCATCCGGGCGCCACCACAACGTACATCCTAAATGTCTACATCTACATAATACGTGCATTCAACAAGCTCGAACCCAAAGGCGTCATACTACAGAGCGTAGCGCGACCTATACGCAGGTACCTGAAGGAGCGAGAGGATACTGCTCGTATCATCATAGCAAGTCTGCTCATCGACCTCAACGACGAGGCAAGCGTCAAGGCCGCATCCACTGGCGAGCTCTCTTTTGAGATTGCCAGTGAAATGTCAAAGCCCTTTACACATTCAGAAGACGCTGACGACGAGGCCAGCTGGAACGATATGAACTGGCAGCCTTCCCCGTACGACGCTTCCCCCGAATACAAAAAGTCCAAAGTCGAAGATGTCATATTCTTTCTGCTGACGCTGTGGGATCGTGACGATTTCATCAATGAACTGAAGAATATCCTAGGTGACCATCTTCTAAAATGTCAGGATCCGGAGTTCCAGAAGGAGATTCGTCTTCTTGAACTCATCAAAATTCGACTCGGCGAGGATAAGCTGCAAGCATGTGAGGTCATGCTACGCGATGTCCTTGAGTCCAGGCGCATTAACGAAACTATCCGCAAAGCCAGCGACCAACCTCAAGACCAAACTCCACAGACGCCAGAAGCTCTCGGTCCAAGGACCCCGCGACCGCGACGAATAGGCCCCTCAACACCACTTATCACAACCCCGCCTGGCCCAGCACTCAACGCACAGATCCTCTCCTCCTTCTTCTGGCCCATCCTCCGTGACGAAACCTTCCGCGTTCCTGCACAGATCGAATCCCTACAGCAAGACTACGAGTCGCGCTTTGAGCGCATCAAGGGCATGCGCAAGCTGCGCTGGATGAACGCTCTGGGTGATAGCCGCATCACGCTCGAATTCGACGATCGAACCGAAGACTTTGACCACCTCACTCCATGGCAGGTGAGCGTCGTGTACGCCTTCCAGCCGCAGCCGGGCGAAGAATCGACCAGTAAAGCCAAAAGCAAAGGCCAAGCTAAGAGCGAGGGCATTACACGCAACGCGGAGCAGCTCGAAGAGATGCTCTCGATGGACGAGGCGCTCGTGCACCAAGCCCTCGCCTTCTGGGTCGGCAAGTCGGTCCTGCGCGAAGTCGCACCCCATACGTATGCCGTCATCGAGCGGCTCGACAGCTCGACCAAAGACTCGGACGCTGCGGCCGCCGCGCAGGAGATTGCTGAGGTGCAGGCCGCCCAGAGCACGACGGTCAAGAGCCAGGCGGATCTGCTGAACGAGCGCAAGGACGTGTATATGAGCTTCATCACAGGGATGCTGACGAACCAGGGGAATCTGCCCGTCATGCGTGTGTTGATGATGATGCGAATGATGGTGCAAGGGGGTTTTCCGTTTGGGGCTGAGGAGGTGAGGGCGCTGTTGGGGGAGATGGAGGGTGCGGGAAAGGTGGTACCGCTAGGTGGGGATGTGTGGGGGATCAGGAAGTAGAGCGGTCCGGTTCAGGGCTGCAGAAGGGGAAGTTGGTGGTTATTTCAGGCCCTCAGTGGCGTTCACCGGTGAGACGTATCGGCCAAAAATGTGGTTCTGATAGTGGGCACTTTTCATTCGAATTGAGCCTGTGCGGATACTGTGATCACCACATGATTATGCATTTTCATAGATGCCCCTGCGAGGTCCTGCACCGATATTTTGCATGCATTGCAGACAGACTTTCAGACCTGGCAAAGACGCTACATATTATACTTTGTGTCTCATGGACAGGAGTACGCACCATGATTCCGCCGTGCTCTTTGCGCAAGTGCGATACTACTCAGCGCAGTGTGGAGGGCTCAGCCCACAACGGGCTTCCCCGCCTCGAGGACAAGGCCACTCTCGCTCGACCGGCGACGGAACGAAAAGTGCATCAGCGGGGGAAGTAACAATGCTCGAGGTTCGATTCTGGGCTTGTGTCCCGCTAAGAGTAACCTAACATGCCAAGCTATGCCTCCAGCCCAATCGCTCAGCAAGAAGAAAGTGCGTCTATGTGCTCGATCTGCATCCTATACAAGTGCCGAGGTGCGTGCAAGGCCGCTCGAGGGAGTCGGGTGCAGCGTCCATATGAGACGGCGTGGCGCAGGTCTCTGGCGCAGCGCCATCTATCGCTCGGAGGCGTCAGACGCATGCACACACGACCCAGCGTCACCCGCTCGCCTGCTTCGCGTACCCAGCGCGCGTCAGTCTCCGGCGGAGCTCTTCTCGCGCGGTGGGCGCGCGCTCGGAGGTCCCGTCCATGGTCACGTCGTCAATGTCCTGCGCGTGCATGTGCGACACGTCCGCGGCGCGCAGATCCATATTCGGGATGTTCGGCATGGCCTGCGTGAGATTCTGGCTGGCGTTGAGGAACGGGGAGGGGGGAAGGTTTTCCAGGCCCAGCGGCTGCGGCACGCCGTTCATGAGCGCGGGGTCGACGGGCAGATCGAAGGAGGCGTGCTGGGCGTCGAAGTCGTAGAAGTCGGTGTGCTGCTGGGCGGCGGCCTCGAGCTGGAGCTGTGTGTTGGGAGAGTTTGGGCGCTCGAGCGGCCGAGCGGGCGGCGGGGATGCAAAGTGCTGGTGTTGCTGCTGGGAGAGAGGCGACGTGGTTTGCGAGTCGAGGGAGGAGTCCTGCTGGAGCTGGGTCGCCCAGCGGGTGGGCTGGCCGGTGCGCAGGCGCTCGATGGCGAGGCCCTTGTTCATCTCGCTGCACTCGGGGCAGTTGCGGATGACTTGACTGACGGTCTCCTTGATGCGGACCCAGTGGAAGGACTCTGCGATTGTGGCGGTGGTTTTGTTGATGCCGCCGTGGGCGCGGTGGTGCACGTCGCGGGCGATTTCGTACTGGCGTTGTGGGTCCGATATGACTTCTTTGCCCTTGAGCATCAGTCGTTCTGGGCCTGAGGAGGTGGCGGGGTATAGTTTGTAGTGTGTCGCAGCACTGCGAAGGCGGCTTTTCTCAGCTCGATCGGCGCCATGGGGGTACTTTCCGTTCTTGAGGTAGAACCGGATCTTGTCGAATCGTTCTTCTGATACAAAGTCGTCGTCTTGCCCAAGGTCTCTACCGTAGATGATGGCATCGACGAGCTCGCCTGGATATGACTTCAGATTGCCACAGCCTTTGACACGTCCAAGTCGCTTGAAGCCTAGGGCATCCCATATTCGACAGGAAGCAACGTTAGTCTCGTAGACGAGATTGAATACAGAATATGTGTAACCCTGCGGAGATTAGTCGACTGTTGTTCCGATCATGTCGTGGCACTCTGATGTGGACTCACCAGTTTCGGTGCCCAGTCTAGATATATCTCCCCCATAAGCCGACCGACGCCACGGTTCCGTGATGCATCCGTAACCAGGAAGCCCCCATTGCACACATGGCTTGATCGACCCGGATAGTTCGGTTTGATATAAAAGCTGCCGAGACACTCCTTCTCCCAATCACAACCATTTCGGGCCATCTCATGTATCTGCCGTCCATCTTGCACCTCGCCTAGTAATACGATGGCACCGAAGACACCAAACCAATACGGGCCAAAGCTCTCAAGTGGCAGCGGATCGACAATGGGATATGTGTCGCCCTTCTCAATCTCGCGCCCCAACTGGTCGCAGAGATACGCGAGGAGAGTAATAGGAACTTGATTAGGCGCTGAGAATGGTATAACAGTTGCAGTTGTGACACGATCTCGCAAAGTCACCTGACGAGGAGCGACGCCGACGGGCAGTGGGCCACCCGGCGGCGGGTACGGTGCACTCCCTGATGTTCGCAAGATGACAGGCGCACTCGGGTCTTCCAGCGTCGCAGGCATGGCCGCGTCCACGCGTGTTGTATCCAAGTACCTTGCCGCAGTGTTAGTGTTGAGCGAGACGGGCCTGCCAGCACAGCACGGTGGGGATCGCTGAGTGGCATAGCCCCCAACGCCCGGAACCCAGACGCGTATTGCGATGCAAAAAAGTACAAGATGCGCAGTCTTGGAAAGGAAATATGGTAGCTCGGGGCGACTTACTCGCTACGCGGGACCACAACTACTGAAGAGGGTGATGAATCGTGCGTGACAGAATGTTCGGGGCTTGGAGAGGACATTTCTTGTCGAGCCAATCAGGGCCCGCTCTACGCCAAGACGCATCGGCGCCGGGCTATTATGTATGCATCTGCGCTTTACACTGACAGGAGTAAACCCACTGGCGCAGATGCACATTCGTCAATGTGCCTATCGAGTATGGATACGAATGGGTACGTATTGCGTGTTCTGGGTTGTTGTCATAGACTTTGTGATGTAGAACGGTCTGTGCACGAGCAGGTAGACACATCCATACAAACAGAGTAGGAAATGTTTCCTCTGTATTTGCATCTAACGTTCAGCATATGCAAAACAACACTATCGATTACGAGAATTCGACACGAGAATTGGACCATCGGCCTTTCAGGCAGATATAGCTGTATAAAGATGTCGCAGCAAGATATCCATTGAAACGCTGGCGGCGACGTCAGGGCCTGCATGCATCCTTCCGACATGAGAGTAGAAACTTGCAGGCCGAGAGCGGGGATTGGCGCTGTTATACTCAGATCCAAGGACGAGACTCATAAACGCGAAGTGGCTGTATATGGACTGTATGTGGCTTGCCGATTTTGCCGGTTGCCATGGTTGACGCGTAGTTTTACAAACGACGTGTTGCATGGGCTCACGAGTCGGCGGCCGCGTGCGAGAGGATCTATAGATGGTGCGAAAACGACGATCTCTAGACGACGCTCCATCCGGGCGAAAGCGATACGCAGTTGAATACAGTTCGTGAGAAGCGACCGTGGCCAATGGTGGTGGAGAGAGCGCTGGACGTGCATCGCGGCTCGCCGTACTCGAGTAACAACCTACCAGATGCGGAAGATGCCGATTCGCCACGTGTAGGTATGATGCAAATGGCCATGTCCAGGAAATCGGCACAGATCTAGGCGTGCAAGGAATGCACCACGGGCCCGTCATTCCGCGTGCGTCAATCTCCAACAGCAGACGCGGGTCTGAGCCCGCATCGCAGCAACGACTCTTCAGCGCGTCACGTCTGCCATGGTGAGCGAGCACGAAGGGTCTCGGATGCGGTTGCTCGTCGCGCCCGTCCTAGCGCTTCCGTCGCCGCTGGCATGCATCTCCAACGGCCGAATTGCGCCCAGTACGGGTACAGAGGTCAAAAACCGCTTAGGGCTGCTTGGTCATGGCGCTGGAGCTGTGAGGTCATCCGCCTAGCCTTCGCTTATTGGCTGTACCAGGGCGAGAACAAGGTCGAAGGGCTGGTGGTCTGGGAAGCGGAAGCGCCTGCCTTCCGCCCTGAATAAAGTCAACATGAGATGATGCAGACCCTTGATTGTCGACCATCGAGCTCCCCACGCTCGCCGCCAAATGGACAAGCTGAAAGTGAAGGCGCGGACTGCGCGCAACAGAGTGGCCGAGAGCGCGTCGCGCGGCGATGGAAGAGGCTCGCTGTCAGAACCGCACTCGGCCTTGCCCCCGGACGACAACGCCAGCACCGCCGCCGTCAACGAGGGCTACCTGGGCACCGCTGCCCGTGACTTCGCCGCTCCCCGCGGACAGCCCGTACACCAGCCCGTGGTCGAGCCGCCGACATCGTTGCAGTCGTCGGTCGATGCTGGAATTCCCGTGCCCACGCCGCGCAACAACAATGGCAATGCGAACCGCACGCAGGCTGCGCATTCCGCGTAAGAGCTGACCCCCGCGCCCCTTCCCTGTCGTGTCTGGAGCAGCAGGCGCTGATAACTCAACTAGAGGAAAGAACGGACGCTCACGCAGCAACTCGGCACCCCAGCGGCGGCCTGTCGTGGGCATGCGGCAGTCGAGCATTGGAATCCGCCGGATGCCTTCAGCCGGCGAATTGCAGCAAGCCTATGCTGCCCAGAATGCCTCCACCAACGCTCTCTCGCAGGTGCCGTCGCGCCTGCCCGCGCTCGAGGAAGGCGTCCAGCTACAGCCCGTCAACACGGCCTCCACGGCCTCGAGCGAATCCGACGGCCCGCGAGCAGAGCCCAACAGACTTTCCAAGTCCATCAGCGCCGTGTCCGCCAAGTTGGGCTTTGGCAAGAGCAAGAAGGGCAAGGACAAGGCCCAGGACAAAGAAATCGAACTCGAGGGTGCGCGAGGGCAAACCCCTGACCCATACGGCGATCGACAGTGGACAAATTACTCCTCTAGCATGGTCGACGTCTTGGACACAATTGGTACAAACACATCTGGTTCCAAGACAAACGTGTTGCTAACGAGAACAGACCCCGAAGTCCAGACCCTCACGTCCTTGACCAACATTCAAAATTCGCTATTCGTTCCCAACTTGGGCAGATTCGTCAATCGTCGGCCAACGTACGTCATGTCGCGTGCACCCAGCGAAAGGCAGAGTCTGGAGGACATCAACCGCGTTTTAGCACCGGTCCAAGACGCACAACAAGAGTCGGGAGCTCCCACCTTGAGACGCACGCAGACCGGGGGAACAATGGCCACACTAGCTACTATCGACTCACACCTGAGCGATTCACGCTACGCTGTCCTCCCTCACGGCACAACACTTGATGGGTGGACGAGGGAGGACAAGAAGGAGTTGAACGACCACGTCAGGCACATGTTGCATTCACGAAGGTCAAGATTCAAGCGCTCCATGAGAGGCTTCGGGCAGTATGTTAAACGACGTAAGTTACCTTTCACCACGCTTCTACCCCGTCGACTAACATTCGCAGCACTCGGATTCTTGGTTACTCTCTACGCAACATTGATTACCTTGTTCGGTCTTGCGTGGGTCCTCTTCTTGATCGGCTGGATCAACGTCGGTGGACGGCAAATCTACGTCGTCCATATCATCGACAGCGTTTTGGTGGCCCTGTTTGCTGTTGTGGGTGACGGCCTCGCGCCTTTCCGCGCCATTGACACGTACCATATGATCTTCATTGCGCACTACCACCGCTACACGTGGCAGCGGCGAAAGAAGGACATGCTCCCTGAGCTACGTGACCACAATGACCTACCTGCCAACAATGCTCCAATGGCTGGCCGCAATGCCGCCGACCCCGAGGATCCTGAAAAGCAATGGGAGTTCACGGTGCTCACGCCCAAGCAACAGGCCAAGCTTGAACATCATCAAGCCAAGTTCTGCAAGTCGCATTCCTTCTACAAGCCGCACGAGACCGACACGCATTATGCGTTCCCACTACGCCTGCTGGTCGCCATCGTCGTGCTTTTGGACTGCCATTCTCTGCTCCAAATCTCGCTTGGAGCCGTTACCTGGGGTTGGTACTATCAGATTCGGCCCTTTGCGGTTACGACGGTCATTTTGTGCTGCTCCATCACCTGCAACGCCGTAGCTGGCCTGCTCATCACCATCGGTGACCGTCGAACCAGGAAGAAGGACGTTTTGGAACGCATGAACAGACAGGAGCTGACAGAAGAGGCAATGCAACATATAGAAAAGAAGAAGGAGAAAGAAAGCGAAAGCGAGAGAGAGGACAATGAAGAGAGTAGCAAGGGAAGAAAAAGCCTAAACCTCCGTCGACACCGGCAATCGGAAGACAAGCTCAGGGACAAGCAGCCCAACAGGGACGACGCGGGACCGAATGCTTACCCGTGAGCTTGGGTGAACTCCGAGGTACTGTGAGGCTGTAGCATGCATGTATAGCGCTTTCTGATGGTTGGAGGAAATTTTAATAATGTCGTTTCAACTTCTCAGGGCTTTTCGCTCGAGTCGTACGAGAATCGAGGTTGCTTTCCGCCGATAGGTGCATTTCAGTGATCTGCCGGGATGCAGGGTTCGCGGGACCCGGGAGGCACACGCCATGGAAGGGTGTCGCGAATTTGCCGCAGGTATGGAAGGACGGGCATCATGTTGGTTGCATATGCGCTCCAACGAAGCCGGGTTGGGCCCTGGACCCGCAATAGCGCGCCGCCATTGGGCCTCCACACGTACCCCAGGATTCGGAACTGCTAAGCCGGGGGCTCGCCACGACTCATGAGCTTGCAACGGCTAACGTAGCCGCCTTTTTTAGCTATCAAATCACGGCTGCGGCTGCGTCCTCCGGTCATCGCTGATTCATTGAGGGTTCTCGCGCTTCTACGAATGCAGCCGAAACCCAGGCCCGAAGGATCATTGATCAACAATGCTCTCTCGCTTCTCTTATAGCGCGCTGTTCCGCGAAGGGACACGGATGCATATGGCACGATCGCCTCGTACCTTCCCGACTAGCAGTAATGAATCCAGGAAGGCCTTTCATCTGGGCAGGGTCTCCTTAAAAACGATTTGATGCACGAGACATAGCATACATCTACCTCTAGTCGTGCCCCAAGTGTTTGTCGATCGATCCTTTTTTCATAATCCCCACCCATCCACAGGAACCCGGCATGTTGCGTGAGATCTGAGATATTCGGGCAACATGGCTGTGGACCTTGTTATCCTGTCGGTGGTATTCGTGTCCATCACGGTGGTGTCCATCGCGATCCGGCTGTTTACGCGTACCGTGATTCTCAAGAACATTGGCGTTGATGATTGTGAGTTGGGGGCGACATGATCACAGTGGAATTGTGCTGACGCTTCGCAGATCTGATATGTGTGGGGGCAGTGAGTTGGCCGTCTCCCGCTGGATCGACAGCGTTGACTCAGGCGCTGTTTTAGGTCTTTGCGATAGTGTGCTCGGTCACTCCCATAGCGGGTATGTAGATGGTCACGATGCTCGACTACTCACTGGAGACTAACGCGTCCCAGCACTGCAATATGGCTTAGGCCGCCCTACAGCAGACCAGAAACCTGAGCAGGTGGCTCCCTATCAGAAGGTATACACCCGACCCATCACAAATGATCCCGCCCCTAATCATCGACAGCTCCTCCTCACATCCTCGGTCACATACAGCGTTTCCGCAACTTTCATCAAGCTCTCGCTTCTGTCCTTTTACCTGCGTCTCTCCAATGGACCAGCCTTCTCCGCGCTCGTATACTGCGTCATTTTCGCCGTCATCGGTTTCGGCATTGGCAGCATCACAGCCGTTCTTCTCCAGTGCCTCCCGCTGTCTTCGTTATGGGACGAAGATGCAGCAGTAGGTGCCAAATGCATCAAGCTCGTCGACTTCTACTACGCCAACGCAGCGATCAATCTGACCGCCGATGTGGTGATTCTGTTTCTCCCGATCAAGATCCTGTGGGGACTGCACATGCCGCTTAGACAGCGGATTGGTCTCTGCGGCCTCTTTGGGCTTGGTGGACTGTAGGTTATTTCTCCCCCTCTGGTTTGCACGTGGTTTACATTTCGGCCAAATTTTCCGGGCCGAACTCATGTGCAACAACAGACCGACCACGAAGCATTGAGCCCCCGCTGACCGTCTTTTCCAGAGCCACCGTCGCAGGCATCATCCGCCTCTCCTCGCTCAAATCCCTCCTCGCGTCCAGCAACCCCACCATCAACATCGTCACCCCCCTAAACTGGTCCTTCATCGAGCTCAACACGGCCATCTTCATCGCCGGCGCCCCCGCGCTCAAAGCCTTCCTACGCCAATACATGCCCGCGCTGCTGGGCTCTTCGTACAGCCCCACGGGCATCACAAAGTACGGCTCGAGCAACAAGACGGGCACAAAGTCGCGACCGACAAAGCACAACAGCATCCCCCTGGGCAGCGTGAGCGACAAGAACGGGTCGAAGTGGGTCAAGAACACGGCGGTGGTGAGCAGCGGGCCGGGGCACGAGAACGGCAACGGCGAGCGCGACAGCGACAATGACAGCCAGGAGAACATTCTGCAGAACTACCACGGGATCCTGCAGGAGGTCACGGTGAGCGTCAAGTCGGAGCGGAAGAGCGAGGAGGGGCGGTCCATGAGCAGTGGCAAGGCGGACTATTGAGCGCACGTGCATGTGGTGCGATGAGACGAGGTGTAATGGACGTTACGACTGCGCCTTCTGGCAACCAACGCGAATAGACTAGCCGCCATATAGATTCCCAACTGAGCGTTCTCGTACAAGTCCAGTTCGGTCCACACTCCGCGCGCGAGTCGCGTCAAACTTTCGAGTCTGGAGGCGTCCGCCGATCACTCGTGTTAAACACGGGTTCTCCATCTGCTCCGCGCCGTACAGGCGGAGACAGATCGCGCTAGTAGCAAAGCAGACTAGGCGGGTACTGGGGCGCGGGTTCGGCAGCGTTCCGGCGCACCTCCCGCAAAGCTGACGCGGCGAAACCGCCATCGACCCGCCTGTCACAGCAAGCGTCTGCCTGCGCACCTGTGGGCGTCGCGTAACCCGGGCCGAGAGCATACAGTCCGTATCTTCGCAGGCCAGGAGACCGAGGGCTAGCCGCGCAGGAGACGCGAGCTCGAGTGTTGGTCTATGAGCTACGCCGCGACCCGTCGGCGGATGTTCACTGGAGCACATTGGGATGAAGAGTCGGGGCGCACACGAGCAATGGCTGACTTGACCTTCACCTTTGGCTCGAGCTATGGGTCTGGGTCGGGCTACCGCGACATCAGGGACATAGGACTCCGAAAGAGGCCGAGGACGGCGTATGAGGAGACGGCCGCGACAAAAGCGCCGAGTAAGATCCAGGATAGGCGCGTTGCGATCAGTGCTTTGAAGTCAGTCAATGCCTGGGGGAATTGAAACGAGTCCTGGAGGCCCATGACTTTTGATGCAGCAGCTAATATGTCTACAGACTCGACTGCGACCTCGTCACCATCAACGTCGGTAAAGATAACCCCCCGCGGACCTTCAAGATCCACATCGATGTAATCAACGATCACACCTCCTACTTCCGCAGCCATCTCAACTTCGACCGCGCCATCCACGGCTCCGAAGCACCCCAAGAGTCTGCCGTCATCTCCCTCTCCGACCACGACCCGGACGCCTTTGCCCTTTGGCGCACCTGGATCTACACGGGCAAGCTCGCCATCCTCCCGGACCCCCCGCTCCCCTCGGACTCCAACGATGAGCGCACAGCACACTACGCCGTCCTCGCGCACGCCTACATCCTTGGCGACTACCTTGTTGACATCCCCTTCATGAACGCCATCGCAGACGTCTACGTCCTCAACGCGCGGGGCATCGACGGCGCCCGCGCGCTGTACCCCTCCAACGAGGAGATTGGTGTGCTCTACGACGGGACCTCGCCTGACAGCCCGATCCGGCGGCTGCTCGTGGACATTTGGATGTACCGGGGCAAGCCGGAGTGGCTAGAGCGCGAGGTCGACGAGGACGTGCTGCCGCGCGAGTTCCTGGTCGAGGTGGTGCGGAAGCTGCTGGAGCTGAAGAAGGTGCGCGAGGGGGAGACGATGAGTCGGCCGTGGAAGATGACGCATGAGCAGTATCACGATCGGCGGGAGGTGGGTGTGCAGGAAGAGATGGCGGAGGCCCATCGATGCGAGGACGAAGACGCTCCCGCAGTTGGTTTTGATGACTTGTTTCCCGAGTGAGGGTTTTGGTGGAGTTCGGATAGTGTGGGAGAGCGGGACGGCATTCGAGGGCGTTTTGGCAATATGATGATTGTGCTGGGTTCGTCTACATGAGAAATTACGGAATTTGTTCCTGGCTCCTGGTCGGGAGATGCGCGGTAGGGCGCGCCCGATTTTGGATATCGGGGGCGCAGTCTTGGCTCTTCTTCCAGGCTGGCTAGCTATTATGCAGTGAGGCAGCGATGAACTGCGTTTCGAAGTGTCACATGTTCCCACATCTCGGTGGACTAAGCAACACAGTCGAAGCACGCAGAGTAGGAAGATGCCGATATGACGATGAGTAAAGGACGACGTGCCATTGAAGGAATCAACGTATCGCACCCCGCAAGTACCTTCTATTTCTAACGGGAAGCGGCGACGCCGGCAGGAAGACTGACTAACCTCGCAATACGTGAGCAGGCAGACAGGCAGATGCGACCGCGGTCACCGTCGTACGCTCGCAGTCCAGTCCGCACCCCGACTCTGTTCGCGAATGAGCAAAGTTCCCCTACCGCTGTTCACTTCAGCGGGCGTTTTCTGTTTAGCATTTCCAACGCTGCAACTGCGGGTGGTTCATCCTCCATAAAGGTTCCCCTTTCCCAGGAGTGCTCACCAAATCAGACAAAAAAGCAAAGTCTATGCTTTCTGAGCCGGGCTCCGAAGTGGCATTTAGTTCTTCCCCCTATTTTTGCGCGCGCGGGGGTGTGATGATGGATCAGGCGGCGGTCCGACTCCGTCTGTGCGGCATACTGAAGGTCCAAATGCCCGCTCGCTCCCAGGGTGGCAGACGACGTGGATAATTTGCGCTGTGCGAACTCGAACGCGCTTTCACTCTGAGCGCCGGCAGCCGGTGGCTACCTAGCCGCGAACGAGATCGTTGGCGTTGGGCACACATTCGACTCAGCGGGACGAGATGGTGTCCTTCATCTTGGGGAGTGGAGCTTCTCTTTGTGCCTCCGTTGCTTGCGCCTACAGCATGGTCACCTCAATCTAGAATTATAATCGTCAGTCAGGCTTGAGATTTATAAAATGCTGCTTGTCATACAATTTACTTTCCCCCACTTTCTAGACCAGTAAGGGAGCGCCACAGTATACACAGCTGAGACCTCGGCTTACACAGAGCGTAGGCGCTCTCCAGCCTTGTTGCTCGATACTGTATACCAGTCCGCGCCGTGAGTAACGGCCCTACAACGCACCATTTTACATTGGATTGAAGATGTCTATCTATCTACAACCACCTACTTCAAACCAAGAGACTGGCCAGATATATCAGTCAGAATGTACGTCAGGTCGGAAGCAATATCTTGAGAGGTTGGCAAAGCTTGGAAGTCCCTTCGTTGGAGTGTGTGAGAATCACCGTGATGTATCGGTGGACCTTCCGGTGTCGTCGTCGTTGCCTCGGCCGACATGGCAAGTTGGTCTGCAGGTTCTAGAGGTCTCGGGGCGTCTACGACGTGGGAAGCGGTTTGACGACCTAGGAATGTACCGAGAGACCTGTAACGCACCGACTGGGGATAGCACACGAGGTCTGACCGTAACGCACTGACCTCGGGATTGTTAATAGCATATAAGGTCCAACCATTCTGTCATTCGCCACTAGATTTTGCGGACCCGTGTATAGTTTCCAAGAGTGAAACGTAGACCCCTTGATGGCCGCTTTTGGCTCCCATCTGCGAGAGATTGTCCTGTTGTGGAGGACGATGAGGAACTTGAAACGTATTGTTGGTTCAGCGCCCGGTTTTGCCTGATGAACTTCACAAGCACCATTTCGGTGAGCCATGCAAGGCCTCTCTCTCAGCACCTCCACCCAGCCTCCAAAGCCAGTCATGGCGTGTGATTTCTCTCTTCATTGCTACCTCGTGTGACTACATCGCCTCGCATACAATCCAAGATATCGCCGACCCCAAAAAATGCTAATCGTGCCAAATCAAGCAAGCATGCCCCAAGCACGCAGTCCCGAGACGCCCGTGATCCATGCATAGCCGTGAGACCACATTCATACCGTCCGTCATCGCGTAGTCCGCTTTCGTCCCCTCATCCCCACGAGCGCTCCCTTTTTGTTGAGCATCTATGACTCGCCACCTGAAAAGCACGACATCTAACCCGTCTAGCGCGCTCATTTCGCGACGGCGGCGCTGAGGACCTGCGTCCTGAAGAAGCCGCCCTTTGTCCGCTCGATGACTTGCTGGTAGACGGATTGCGGGGGGTGGTTCATGACGACTGTGCCGGCTTGGTAGTCGATCTTTGCGTCGACGCGGGTGTCCCGGATGAGGTTGACGATCCACTTCTCACCCTCGTCTTGTGAGAGGCCGAGGCGGGTGGAGAGGTCGCTGGATTGTGTTAGACAGCTTCCTCAAAGAATACAAATCAAGAGCTTGACTCACCCAATATCGATCCTCTGGTGGATCTTGCAGTAGCTCTCGGAGATGAGATGTCTCGCGGCATCGACGAAGGGACCCGCAGACTGCAGCAGGAAGAAGTCGTTCTCGAGGATCTGTTCCGACTCGCTGAGCTTCTTCTGTGCCTCCTCGAAGTCGAAGTCAATGTATAGCGCCTTGATGAAGTCGGTGACGGGGTCGCTGTACTCGTAGCCCTCCTGTCGCACTATCCGGATGAGGTCCTTGAGCTGCTTCTGGTAGGCGCCCTGGTTGCGGCCGGCGTTCCGGGCGGTGATGACGGAGGTAGCGAGGTATCTGAGGATCCAGGGGCAGTTTGTCTGGATGGTGTTGATGTAGGCGGGCTGGAACAGGGTCTCGGTGATCTTTTCGCGAGCCTGCTCGTCGTTGAAGAGCGGGAAGAGCGACCAGTGGATCAACCAGGTGCGCTGCTGCAGCTGGGCCAGCGGGTTGGTCATGAGGCGGCCGTCGATGAGCTCCTTGATCTTCTCGATCTCGGCAATGGCCGACTCCCACTCGGTGGAGAGGATTTCGCAGGCGAGCTTGCCCCAGGTGGCCTCGCGCTCTTTGTCGTTGTCGGTCGTCTAGCGGCACGTCAGCACGCGCGCAACCAGAAGCGAAGGAGATAATCATACCAGGATACGGTAGCGCGTCAGTATGTCAGCGGCATCGCCGTACAGGCCGCAGCCGTACTTGAACTGTGCCTCCTCGTAGAGCTGCTCGACCATGGGCACGGTCACGCCGTGCTCCTTCTCCAAGAAGGCCAAGTTCTGCTGCTTGTCGCTGCGCAGGCCGCCGAGCACGGTCTCGTCGGTGAGGAGCTCCATGATCTTGACGGTCGACTCCTCGAGCTCGGCCAGGCGCTTCTTCTCCTGCTCCTGCTTCTGCAGGTACTCGTCGGGAATGCTGTCGAGGTTGTTGATGTTCTGGGCGAGCTGGCCGACGTAGCCCGTCATGTAGGTGGGCTTGAGCAGCTCGAACAGCACCTTCTGCTTCTCGATGGGCTGCTCCTCGTCCTCGGCGGGCGGGGGGAAGTTGAGCAGCGGGTACAGCAGGTGGCGGTCGAAGTGCGGCATCATCTGCGGCAGCAGCGAGTACTTGTCGGCGACGGACTCGCCGTTGGTGGCTGCGGACGCCATGGTGGGCTGTTCTTCGCGGGGCGGTGTCGCGGGGACCGTGTGCGAAGAGGCGCGCGGGTTCGGCTGGTGCAGGCGGTGCGGTGTGGGTGGTGCGGGCGGAAATTCGACGACGTGGTGGGGGAGACAAAATCAAATGTGGAAGCGACCACCCCGGCCGCGCTAAAACTTTGGTGTTGACGCCTCGGGGACCGCACCGCAGACCTTGCATCATTGCACGCGCCCGTCTTCTTGCCTTTCTCGTCGTCTGCTCAGCACACTGTCGCACCCCTTCCCGCCGCAATGCCCCGGACACAGCCCCTGCTGCCGCTCTTCAGACCATTGGCGCTGCCCCGGCGCGCGCCATGCGAGCAGCTCTTCCGCTTCGCGACTGCAGCACGCCTGCGCGCCGACCGTACGTGACGAGACACCCGAAGCACCCAGGAGCTGACCAAAGACCCAAGAACCGCCTGCCAAACGCACTGGCGCTGCGCCGTCCCTCAAGCCATCGCCCAAAACCTCCCCTGAAGCACCAGCGAGCCCCAAAGACGCCGCTCGCGCCGCAGACCTCGCAGCAGCAGAAGCGGCCACCGATGCCGACAACCCGACCGCGCCCGCCCCGAAGCCCACCCTCCCTTCCAAGCGGCCCAAGTCCTCGCCGCCAAAGGCCTCAAGACCAGCCGATGGCGCGCAGGCCCCCGTCGGCGACGCCCTCGACGCCGCCATGAACGCAGAGCCTGGCGCGCCCAAGACCTTCAGAGCGCCCTCGAAAGCCGCCAGGGCCTCGAAACCAAGACCCAGCGCGGCCCAGAAGACGTCGCTGGAACTGCCTCCACCAAAGTACCACGTCGCGCGCTCCTCCTCCAAAAACCTACCCATCTACACAGACTTCAAGCGCGGAGGCAATCTGCACCTGACGACGGTGCGCAAGATCACCGGCGACCTATCCGCGCTGAGAGACGAGCTGCGCGTGTTCCTGAACAAGAAGAACGAGGATGTCAAGATTAACAGCCTGACGTCGCACGTCATCGTTAAGGGCCACCACGTACCGCAGATTACCGAGTTCTTGAAGGCTAGGGGGATGTAAGAGTAGCAACGTAGCTTTGGGTGTACACAAATGTACTATATGTAAGAGATACGGCGGTTCAGTTCGAACGATGACCATCTGTCAGACAATCTTGATTCGCATCAGTGCTTTTTCCATGCATTGCCTGTTCCACGACCAAATTTATTGTGTCTTAGCATCGCTGTCACTTGCCATCTTTTCCCTCGCACCACAGCCTTGGCGTCGGGCCTCGTTCCGGGCTCCTTCTACATTTCACTTGCACAGATTCCATGTTGATACCACGCCAGACACGCAGCGTAGCACTTATTCAGGAGCACGGAGAACGGGTGTATTCATGCAATTTCATTCGGCCAAAGCGACCACTGTGCCAATCCTCCCAAGTCATTCCACGCTCGCCAGCTCGCCAGCAAAAGCCCGCTGTACCCAGTCCATTGGGGTGGGGGAAAGGACAACAAGATAGAGTCATCGTGAGGCACCTAGCTCATAGCAGCCCCGTCCGTCCCAATCCAGGAGTCCAATCATGCCAGGATCATCGCCGTCTCCATCGCACCTGCCGCCGCATCTCGCGCCTAGGGACCAGTCCAGCCGGGGAACGGGCACCACTGGCAACCTCGACACTGAACTATGTCAGTGCATGCTCAACTGATACAGAAGCATCGAAGCGTCATCTTACCTCCGCAATCTTCCTACACTGCCGCGGCGGCACGGTCTTGCAGTGCTCAGCACACCGCACGGCTTCCTGCTCGACTTGACGGGCAGCCTTGGCCGCGGCGTTTACGGCAGCGTCGTCCGCGGAGACATCGTTATCGGCAGCGTCGCCAACCCGCCCCTGGCAGAAATTGCACGAGCGACACGGCGACGGCCGCCAGATGGTCTGGTTGCTAGTGTTGAGCACGCCGCACGCCTCGTCGGCACACGCCGCAGGGACGAGCTTGCAGGCGTTGAACTTGTCGGCGCAGGATGGAGGGCAGAACTTGACGCCGTCGTTGTCGCGGAGGCGGAGGGATAGGGCTGTGGTGAGGGTGACGAAGAGGAGGAAGACGAGCCACTGCATCTTGGCGGGGGAGGGTGGATCAGCGTGTTGTGGTAGCAGACGGAAGGGGTGTGTGTCGTCTCGAGGTCGTGTGGGTGAGTCTGCGTGAAGGAGGCTGAGGTAGCAGAGCGGTTGTGTTTATATAGCCAAGGGTGTAGATGGAGAAGAGAGAAGGCAGGAGCCCCTTCCTCACGGGCGACGCTTAGGCCCGGCAAGAAATCAACATCAATCTCGGAATGCGAGATTCAACCGTAACTAGGTATGGTATAAAATCAGCTACCAAGCATGAATCAAACATCTTCGCACCCTCGTTCGTCACACTTTAATCAGCGATCAGACGTTCCTACGCAGCTAGTCAAGCCCATACTTGCCACACAAGTCCGGCCTACCTAAAATCGCATACAGAGTGAGGAAGCATTATGACATGCCCGCAGCTCGGGGAGGGATTATATCGTCTTGACTTCAGAACTCGCCCTCAAACGCCTGTGGTAAGCGTGCTCTTACCGCGGCCAATTGGTGTCACATCTCTCCGAGAGACAGAGGATGCTATCCCATAGCAACATGTCGACATCCATCTCTCAGAGACTGCCGGGCAGCATTATCCGTCCCGGTTTGTGCGTGTCACGTTTCCCCTCCTCTTTGAGAGACTCATATAGCCAAGGCACAGTGAGACCGGTAGCTGCATGTGCGTCCCCCGCACAAAACAAGATGAAGGCCACAAACGATAGGTGCATGCACAGCGCTGGAAGGGGGTATCACATATCTTATTACAATCATCTGTCCTACTCTCCGCCCGCGTAGCCTCCCCTACACTACACAGCAGCTCTCTTCCGGCCCCCGCCCCTCCGCCAATTCCACAGCGCCTCGGTCGCAAACGTCCGGCTCGTCAAATGGCCCCGCGTCCTATTTGCCTCCTCCGTCAGCGTCTCCACCACCTTGCCCTCCTCCACCTCCTTCCACAGCCCCGCCGCCATCGCACTCCCTGCATCCTCCATGTCAACCTCGATGTCCTCCTCGTCAGCCTCCTCCTCCTGCACGTCCGGGTTCTTGACGACCTGCACCGGCCCATCCGCCTTCCGGCGCACGCGCTCGAACCCAAATTCCCCGCGCCCAAGCCGGTACAGGATCCGCCCGAGCGTCTGGAACGCCACGCAGCGCTGCGCCGCGACGCTGCTGCGCGCCATGACGGCGAGCTCGGCGATGGTGTACCCCGCGGCCTCGGGCGCGTCGGCGTGGTGGTGCAGGCCGTGCGTGACGGGGATCTCGCGGGCGGCGGAAGGCGCGAGCAGCGCGCCTTTGAAATCGAAGCGGAGGTCGCGCGCGTTGAAGGCGCGGTGGGAGGGGTGGTACGGTGAGCGGGTGTCGGACGGGTCAATGGGGGTCATCCAGGAGAGGGTCGAGGGGTCGTAGGCGAGGTTGGGGAAGTACTTCTCGTGGAGGTTTTGGAGGAAGGCGGGGTCGTTGGGGTCGAGGTCGGGGGGCTGGGATGGGCGGGGGAAGTGGAGTGAGCTGTGCGAGTCGGCGAGATCTGCGCCAGGGATGGCGGGCTCTTGAGAGGTGGACGGCGCTGGCTGTGTGAATTGCACTGCCGCTGGTACGTCTCCCGTGTCTGGCTCTGCAAACGAGACTTTCTTCGCAGATGGCGGCTCTGCGAACGAGGCCTTCGTGGGGGACTCTGCCTTTCGTTCCGACTCCTCCACCCTGGGCTTCTCTGGCGCCGGTCCTTCCGGTGCGTCCCAGTCCTTCTCGTTGCTCCCGTCCGCAATGTCGGCCTTTCCCAAGAGCCTCTGTATCAAGCTCGGCGGCAGACTTTCCAGCAACTCCCGCTGCTCCTGCTCGATCTCCTCGGCCGACATGTTGGCCAGCCTCTTTCTGTTTTCCTGGTCGATTTGCCTCTTCTCGTCGTCGCCTTCCCCGCCTGCGCCCTTTGTTCGCGCTCGCTGCTCCTGCAAGTCATCGGTTCGCTGTGGTGCTGTCTGCGTCTGTTCCTTGGCCCTCGCGGCGCCGTTCGCTGCCCTCTCTCTCTTGAACGCAGAGACTCTAGGCGTGCGCTTCTTGTGTGCCGGAAACCCGCCAACGTTTGTCTTGGGGGACGGTGCTACAGGCGGTTGCGTGACCCCTCCAGCGGGGCGCTCGAGGATGTCGCCCACGAAGGCGGACGCGAGCGCGAGCGGCGGCGCATCGTTGCTTTCCGGTTCTGCTCCTGCGGGCTCGATACTCCCACTGTCGAAGTCAAAATACACGCGCTCTCCTCGTGCTAGGGACATGGTTGTCGTGTGAGGGATGCCTGTCAAGCGTTGTTCGAGCGCTCCAAATGTTCTGGCGCACTTCCGAAGCCTCGCCTAAACCTGCCCTTTCACCTGCGCCACCACATTCGGCAAGCGCGCTTTCATTGCAGTGAGCAAGCAGCAATGAGGCGGCCCATCTTCTGGTCGGTAACGGTAAGCGCTTAGTTCGGTCAACCTCGCAATAGAGTATGCCTTATAAGACAGACACGTGCGTCCGGCAGTGAAAGGTACAGTGACCGAGATATAATTCATAGAATCACACATTGAGAATGGTAGAAACCCAGTACACACAGAATCAGAGTGCATATCACAATCCCACAGGCCGTCCCCTCTTCCCATCCCAGCGTGTGCCATCCAATCCCGCTCAAGTGCCCGCAATGCGCCAAAACATCTCTCGTGTCTGCAAACGATATAGCAAATGGTATACAACGAACGCTCAGTTCTCTGCAAGGTAACCGAGCCCACAAAATTGCCGCAAAGCCCTCGCATCCAGTTGATGCATTAGTAAAGCTCCAAGGACCGTTTCCTTTCGGGGCAGGATGTCTGCCTTGACCTTCCAAGTTGTGCCTCCAACGTCAAATTCTTCCATATCATCAAGCCAATCATCGTCGTCGTCGTCATCTGCAGCACCTGTCCCGTTTGTCTCGACGCCTTTTACCAGTGGTTCCGCACCTTTAGATTTGTCGCCCAGGCGCTTAATCATCGACAGAGCTCGATTGACAATGAGGTGGTATCCTTCCCGATCCTGTTCCATGGGTCTTTGTCCGCGGTGGTTAGGCTGCGGCGGCGGCTGTTGCATTCGAGCATCCAGCGAGCAGAGAGACATCGCAAACTTCAACAAGCTGTTCGCCCACCCATCCTCGGCTTCCAGCCACGACCGGCAAACACCGCTTTCGGGCCCAGGGGCAAGCGACGCAAGAATATCCGCGGCAAGCATACCCTGCATCAAGTACGGCTTCCGTGTCTCTGCGATACGTGCTTCATAGTGCTGCACTTCCTTGGGCCGGGTTTCTGCGAGATCGTGGAGTTTTCCTTCCGTTCGATCTGGCACAACGGCAATTGCGAGGGCAAATGCACGAGTGAGGAGATCGTAGGGGGGGTCAGATGTTGCTTCGTTGATGAAGATTTGTTTGTAATATGTCCGGTTTGGATCGTCGATGGCTAGGAGTTTGGCCATGCTGTCGACAGCCGATGGAAGATAGCGATGAATTTTGGGGTTATACGAAGTGAATCGGATAGGGAGGGTTGGGCGCGGGCTAGGTGCGAACGCACACAGAAAGTGAAGCACAGCGTAAGCGTCTTCTCTCGAAGGGAGTGCTATTCTTGTACTGGCATTGGAAAAGAATGTGATCAAATCCTTCATGAAATCCAAGGTATGGATGTAAGACCTGAGAAAGAGCATTCTTGTGCCAACAAGTCGTATCGCATTCGATAGAAACTTGAGTACGGGTGGAGAGGAAAGACGGGCGTGGTTGATTTCGAGAAATGATAAGTTGCGAATGATGGATGTTATCGCTAAGACCCGGTCTGCAGTCCGATCTAGGTCGTATGCTTTGGTGCCAAATTCAGGGAGATCTTGGAGCGCGTTGACTTCTGCCTGGCAGTTGTGTAGGATATCCTCGTATGACATGAGCTCGATGATGTCTGTCACTTCCGGATTGTCGGTGCCTAGTATCTCGAGTTGGTCTTCGGCGTACTCTGCAAGCACATCCACCAGATCATCGCACTGCTCCAGATCCAGTTGAATGTTGTTCTCATGGGTCAATTTGGACAAGGTATCCAGCGCCAGCCTAGTCTCTGCGTGCAGACCAGAGCGAAGACTCATGGTCAGCGCGCGTATGTCGACAATCCCCATCTCCCGGAGTTCTGGAACATTGGGCATCCAATGCAACTTCTTGCTAACCTCTTGAACAAGCTCATCGCTTAGCTCCAAGACTCCCCATGTGTTCTTGATGGTCAGATTTGTTGCGGGTCTGTAGTATATTCCATCCTCTTCCTCTTCGATGTGGCGTTTCTGTTCGAGCGCAGATTGGGCTGCAGCAACGTCTGTTTCTGTTTTGATGGGTGTTCCACTGGGCTGGGCTGGATCTGAGGAAGGAACCGGAGTACCTTCCAATGGACGACTCAAGCTTTTGCGATGTTGAGCTGCCAGATTACTGTCGGCCTGTGGAGTGCTCCGACCATTGGCTAGAGCAGGCGTAGCGTTCGATTGCAGAGGCGTCGATTGCGGTTGCTGTGCCGGTTGTTCGAACTGTTGCGGTGGCTGCTGTAGTCCTGCGTCGGACTGCCGTTGCGCTTGCTGCTGCATCTGCTTTCTCTGCAGTTGCTGCATGTATTCTTGTTGTGCCGCAGCCGCAGCATTATTCGGAGCACTAGGGATCGAGTTCCTTGTTGGCGACATCTGCTGTCCCATCTGGCCCATCTGGCCCATCTGTCCCATTTGCCCCATCTGGCCCATTTGTCCCATAGGATTCTGCTGCTGTGTCTTGCTGCGTATGTACATTTGCTCGTATAGTCCTAGGTTCGCCTCATAGACTTGTCGCAGCTCCTCTGGGGCATTGGGAAATTGTTGTACTGGTATTCCTATGTGCTGTGTGATCCTGGGCCATGCATTATTCGTAGTGACGTTCCTGGAGCCTCTGAACTTGATAACAATTGAATACAGGTTGAAGAGATCGATCGGTCGGCCAGCAACTTGCGGTTGGGGATTGAAAGGCCGACGATTTTGGGCCATGAGAGAATGTACGTTTTTGAGGAAAGTCTGAGGATTGGCCTGGGGGTTCTGCTGCATTTGCCCTGGCATCATCTGGGGCGGCATTCCGGGCTGCCGTGCCGGCGCGCCGGGCGTTTGTCCAGCCTGGTGTCTCTGCTGCGCAGCCATGTTGCTTGCTGCTAGATTCCCGAGCTGCTGCTGTTGCGCTTGCAACCGCATGGCATATGCTCGCTGGGCCTCCTGCTGCTTATGCTGCAGGTTCTGGGACAATTGTATCGATTGAACTGACTGAACCGGAAACTGTCCACCAGCGTTGGGATCAAAGCCCTGGCCCATTTGAGAGCCTTGCGCAAAGTTCATGGGAGACATCTGGGGCGCATGCGGGTTCTGCGCCGGAGAGGCTGTCTGCATGCGTTGCGGCGGCATCTGACCGGGTCGGAAATGCTGGTTCTGCATGGTTGGGGATGGTGTGTGAGCGAAGCCCTGCTGGAAACCGCCCTGCTGGAATTGCGATGGCGTCTGGGAACGCGACATGGTCGCGCCTGTCGAGTCCCGCTTCTGGGGGATCGACGACATTGGGTACGGTCGCGAGCCATTCATCTGGTTGCCAGACATGGCGCTGGGGTCGATGAAGTTGGAGGGATCGTACATGGCGTTTTGCGACGACTGGAAGTCCATGGCGCGCGGTCACCGCGGGCGTGTGCGCTAAGGAGCGAAAGACGTGACGGGGGAGGGAATGAGCGTGGGAGTCGGGGACGTGGTCTCGGGGAGCATGGGCTAGCACGCGAGAGCATCGACCGGCCTGCATAGAAAGACATAAGCAATGCTGTTGTTGATGTCGGGGCAGGCGCGACCACGCGGGCCACGGCGCCTGCCTCGCAGAGTCGGGGGCGGGAGAAGGAGGGAGGGGGCAACCTACGCGTGGGAAAGATGGGCGCTACAGTCGTCTTCTCATCAGGCGTACGGGAGACGGACCGGCTGGGATGCGGGCAGCAGCTTCACGTTACCGCAGGCTCTCGGACGCGATTTGCGGCTATGGGGTGGAGAGAGCAGCAGACATTGAGCCTGGCGCTAATTCGCGCTAGGTCTGAGCGGATCACGTGGCGACTGAGCGCGGCAGCAGCCACCGTGGCCGGGCAGCAGCGACAACGCGCACTCGAGGCAGCGCAACAATTGAAGCTTTGGAGACTCTCACGACAAGCAAGGCGTCTGCATGAGGATCGATCAGAACACGCGTTGGCGCGCGAGCCAGTTGAGTGGCTGCTTTGCCGGATTCGAAAAAGCCTAGTCTAACTTAATCTTACCCTCCGGGAGCCACGGGTCAGGTCGCCGCTGTGTGACTGTGGGAGCACATGTTCTCTCCACTTATTACATCACTGGTAGCCTCCAGCAGACGTTGTGCGGTTATCTTTGCGCTGTGTGTGGACCGAGTTCGAGACCCTCCTTCCCGCGCGCCTGCCCGCTTCTGCCATGCGACCACCACGCCCAGCCTAGCCACCTCGTCGTCTCAACATGCGACCGCTTCTGGGACCGCCGCTCCTTGCTCGGGCGAAGGCCTGGCGCTTTTCAACGTGGCCGTACCGACCTTCCCAGGTTGTCATCAACTCTCCATACCAACGGAGACAAGCCGCTATTCCCAACGAGCCATGCCCTCCCACGCGGGGATGATATGCATACTCGTATTCAACCGAAGGCCATGTCCTCTGGTCCAAATGCCCATCTCTGCGACATGAGCCACAGTGGGAACAGCGAATGCGTGTCTCAGCGCAATGACTGACGTTGGCGGCGACAAGGGTAGTTGTTCTTGAGCTTGTCGTCAACGCTCAAATTACCAGGATCTTTTCTATTGGCAGCCTGCAGTCCCGTCGCAACGGCGCGGGGTGCCACTGTACCCAGTCGTTTCGTTTTCTCGGGGTACTGTATTATCCCGGTCTGCATGGCTCTCGGTAATGATTGAGGAACGGGGCATTCCCTCAGTGGTGGTCGTGCTCAGGGTCCAAGAATTCGGCCCGCCGATGTCCTCTGCGAACTAGCTCGTGCTGGCAAACATGCACGAGCCGAGTCTCGACGTCAAGCAAGAGAATCTTCGACCCGGGAAACGGACGAGCAGCGAATTGCCACATTTGAGGAGCCCCTGTTCTGCATCTTAACCGTGTGTTGCTTTGCTTTAAGTGATATGCGCAAGCAAGCAAGCGGCTCAACAAGACAGGCAGTGGCCCTTGGCATAGGCGGCACTGTCTCACCCAGCCATTCTAATATGTACGAGCCAGAATTGGTGAGCAATACCCAGATAAAAACATTTGCCTCAGACCCTGGACTTCAGTGACGACGAAGTTGCCTGCTAAGCGATACGAAAATGCAGACAGACGAGTCAAGCTTTAGTGTGGGTCTCGATGGCGCGAGCTTTGCTGAGTCGCAGCCGGCCACAGCTTGGGTGCCTAGCTATTCAACCATCTGCAGTGCCAACAAGAGATTTTGCAATCAAGAGCAGAGTTCCATAGTAATCAATATTAATAGAATGAGAGTCTGAATCGGACTATCGCGCTGGGTTAATACGTAACCCTAGACTGTAATGCACTGTACAAGTGGGGCTCAAGTGAAGACTCATATGGCGTTTACCCAGTCAATCACCGTAGCATGGAAATGTGAGCCCAACTCAGCTTCGAAGCGTGTAGTGTGTTGTGTATGGTGTGCAAATGCCCAGGTGAATGAAGCTGCACGTGATATCGGGCTTGGCGGCGTGGTTTCCCGATCGTCACCGTGAGAAGGCGAACGAACAACGTCAACACACGCGCCTCTACAACTACGCTCACTCGAAAGTTACCAACACAAGCTGAAGATCGCTGTCATCACCGCCATAAAGCTCCGCGCACAAAGGCCGACTCCCAGGGAAATTCGCAACCATGGCTGACGCCGCTGTGGAGAACCCGCACAACACAGTACCCCCTCACAAGAAGCAGCTCCCCTCATCGATACCGAATTTCGATACGCTGGAGGGCTTCAGCACGGACGGACAGGATGACTACTCGACCTTCAAGAAGCTCCAGCGACAGCTAGAGTGAGTGCAAATGCTCCGATGAGGCTGCGTGTAGTACGCTAACTGGCGCCAGGTACATCCACCTCCAGGAAGAGTATATCAAGGACGAGCAGCGGAGTCTGAAGCGGGAGCTGGTGCGCGCACAAGAGGAGATTAAGCGCATCCAGAGCGTACCGCTTGTCATAGGCCAGTTCATGGAGGCGATAGACCAGAAGTAGGACACCCATAGGCACTGCTTCCACACAGCTGACATTTGCAGCACCGGCATCGTACAGTCATCAACCGGCTCGAACTATGTCGTCCGCATCCTTTCCACCCTCGATCGCGAGCTGCTCAAGCCTTCTTCCTCGGTCGCTCTTCACCGCCATTCGAATGCCCTAGTAGACATCCTCCCCCCGGAAGCGGATTCCTCCATTGCCATGCTTGGCCAAGACGAGAAGCCCGATGTCACATACGCAGATGTCGGAGGTCTGGACATGCAGAAGCAGGAGATCCGGGAAGCTGTCGAGCTTCCGCTGACACACTTCGACCTGTACAAGCAGATCGGTATCGACCCACCGCGCGGTGTTCTGCTCTACGGGCCCCCAGGAACCGGAAAGACAATGTTGGTGAAGGCCGTGGCCAATAGTACAACGGCATCGTTCATTCGTGTGGTCGGCTCGGAGTTCGTGCAGAAATATCTAGGAGAAGGCCCACGCATGGTGCGTGACGTGTTCCGCATGGCGCGAGAGAACTCCCCGTCTATCATCTTCATCGATGAGATCGACGCTATCGCTACGAAGCGTTTCGACGCGCAGACCGGTGCCGACCGCGAAGTCCAGCGTATCCTCCTCGAGTTGCTCAACCAGATGGACGGTTTCGATCAGACGTCGAACGTGAAGGTCATCATGGCGACCAACCGTGCCGACACGCTCGACCCCGCGCTGCTCCGACCAGGTCGTCTCGACCGAAAGATCGAGTTCCCGTCGCTGCGAGATCGTCGTGAGCGCCGTCTCATCTTCGGCACCGTTGCCAGCAAGATGAGCTTGTCTCCCGAGGTCGACCTTGACAGCTTGATCGTGCGGAACGATCCGTTGTCGGGTGCTGTCATTGCGGCGATCATGCAGGAGGCGGGTTTGAGGGCTGTGCGGAAGAACAGATACAACATCATTCAGAGTGATCTGGAAGAGGCGTACACCAGCCAGGTCAAGGGCGCGACGGAGGCGGACAAGTTCGATTTCTACAAGTAGGCGTGTGGAGATTGATGACGAGCGGGAGGAGATGCTTGCGCTGTGTACACTATGATAGAAGCCTCGCAGAGGGCTTAACACTCTGCACGCATAATCAAGCATTCATCAAGCAATGAACGGGACCATAATCATAGTTTGTGATACATCAGAACCATGAAACTATGTATGTCACCATATGGGTCGGCATCGCAGAGAGGAAACACCGATGGCGATGAACTAGTCTGCATTTCCAAGCCTCGACCTCCAAAAAAGAAACAAGTCGTAATTCGTCGACCTGAACAACGCTAAAGTATTGGTACACGAAGCCGAACACCCTTCATCTCCCGAAACTCTTGTTTTACCATCCATTTCGTGTTAGATGATGCTTCAAGGAAAGGGGATCTAGATCTGGTTTGTTTTGGCCTTGGCCTCGCCCTTGAGCTCCTGTGCCTTGCCCTTGGCCTCGCCAGCGAGTTCGGACGCCTTGCCCTTTGCCTGTCCGGCCAGCTCGTTGGCCTGGCCCTTGGCCTCGCCCTTGGTCTCGGGGGTCGCCTGCTTGACCTTCTCGGCGACTTGCTCTGTTTGCTTGTCAGCACGTGTTCACCAACAACCGGTGGGTTATTATGTTGTGACATACCACCCTTCTCAATGCCCTTCACGGCTGCACCAGAGATCGTGCGGTCCACAGCCTTCGCGGCATCCTTGACGGCCTCGACGGGGCTCTTGCGAGCGATGGGGGAGGTGCTGAAGAGGCGGGCCTGGCGGACGATCTGGGTGCGGAACATGGCTGTGGTTGGGGGAATGTGGTGGTAGTGTTGTGAGGTGAATTGGTACGTGGACGTCTGGTGAGGTGGTAAATTGCTGAGTACTGTGAGATTTGGAGAGCTTGCGCGCAAAGGAGGGTTATAAAGGGTGGAGAAGCTTGCGGTATTGGTTGCAGAGCTGGTAGCAGGTACCATGACGTAGGTATGTCGTGGTGGTGGTCATAGCTCCAAGCACATTCGCGATGCACTGCAAGGTGCGCGATTGCTCGCTCTGCTCGGTGTTCGGCATGTGAACAACATCTCACGCCCGTTTTGGGTACTGTTTAAAGTCTGCAAATGCTGCTGAGATGGTGCAGCTTCACACTCGCGTTGTTCGTCACCCTTCCAGCTCCACGAGAAAGCCTGGTAGAAGTCGAAACGACAATCGGAACTTGTCAGCATAGTGCTAAGTCGTGTGGGTCGATCATGTTTACGTTCAATCATCTCCATTATTGCATTATCTCATACCTCTAGGACGGACCTCTTCCATCACATCCTGAACCCGAGGTGAAGAGCATCTTTTCTGTGCCATTGGGGCCGCAGATGCAGCTGCTCAACGAGATTGCTAATTGTCCTGTAATGTGATGACAGACGTCATCCACTTTTCGATGGCCGATCAAACGATTAGGAGAACCTAGCGACGATGCGCCCTTTACTGTCCGCCAATATGCGGGGGCATGTTTCGTCAAAGCATCACTGCAACCCAGTGATCATCTTGACTGGGAATTGCACAGGGATGGGTCTTGTATACGATAATGGGGCTCACGATCGTTCTTTGCAAGCAGTTGATCCCACAGAAGCGTCCTCCATTTCGAGCCTCGACAAGGCGCTCGAGTTCCTCAAGTCATACGTTCCCGCCTGTATGAACGACATGAACAACGCGATCAAGAGTTCTTCAACGGTGGCGACCCATGGTTCTCAGCTACGATGCAGAAAGGGGTTATCGTGCTAGGGGAAACGCAAGAAGAAGACGTACCGAGCAGATTGGTCCTATTGTATGACTTGGGGTGCACTGGTCGCGTATATACAAGAGCAATTACCCACAGATCCCTAGACGCCGTCGCATCAATGGTCTAGAGACGGGAACGTAGAAGCACCGCGCGATTAGATCTGTTTCGTGAGACTATGAAAGGAATGGTGGCGCTTCTTGAGGTGCAGGAGAACAGTCTGGTCGTCTGTGAACTAGTGCAACACACTTGGCGACTTCGCCGCACTCCGCAAGAAACTTCGCTGCAATAATTGCATTTTGGCTGACGAGAAAACTTGAAGAGAACCTTCGCCAATCACCATATCTGGTCTTTGAGTGCTAAACCTGTGCAGGTCCAATGAACTACATTAATCATTCTCATTATTGCATTATTTCAGATCTAAGACTCTCTAGGAAGCGCACCATGTAGTAGCGATACTACGAGACCAGCCCCTTCTGCCACCAGTTGCAGCGCTTGCTCGCATTGCTATCATGGACCTCCTCGATACCCGTAACATTTAACTCCAAAACCTTCGCATCAGGTCCGTACATCTGGAATTTCATGATTCCCTCTGCCGCCGGTACACCCGTTTTCGCGAAGCTTGTGATGAATTCTTGTAGCGCCACCGCAACAGTCCGGTTCGTCACCCCGGTTGGTAGGCGGCTGGTAGCACCACCGTCGAAGAAGGTGTATGCGATGTCGAAGCCGTGGTAAGCCGGCGGTACAGCGAAGAGGTAGGAATAGGTCTTGTTTTGAAATCCCGTGGAGAGATAGTTTGTGTTGCAGGTGAAGATGCCCTCGGTTACAATGCTGTAGGCTCGCGTATAGTTGTCAGTGTAGCCCTGACTGCCGTCGAAGATTGCGGGATACAGCGTGTCCGTGATGTAGTCGACGGATGATTGAGGTATGCTGGGGATCGTGTGTTTGAGTTGAGTAGCTATCCGCTCAGTGGAGTTCGCGTATGGCGGCGTGAAGTAGGGGCCTTCATTTGTGTTGTGACCAACCATGACACGAACGTCCTTGTCAAATCGGCCTTGAGCGAGAAGCTGACCGGGCAGGAGAGGAGTGAAGAGCCCGTCAACGACCGGGCCGTAGACGTAGCCACCCCATGGCGGGTCGTACGCAATTTGCTGAGCGTTGGCTCGGATGGCAGCCTCAGAAGAGAGCTTGCGGATATCCGCCAGGGAAGAGCTGTTCGTCAGCGACAAAAACTTCTGGTAGGTGTCTTCTTGGTAGGACGAAGATTGCACGGGAGTCCAGCCCGGAGATTGGGGGACTGCCTGTTGGAAGGGAGCAGGTCCTTTGCTACCTCCGTACGCGGTGATCTGGTGCATAATGCTGCCTCCACCTGCACTTTCTCCGAATACAGTGACTCTGTCTTTGTCTCCACCGAACAGATGAATGTTCTTCTGTACCCATTCAAGAGCGAATCGTTGATCGTACAGCGCAAGGTTGCTGACACCTCCCTCCGCGTTGAAGGAAGGACCACTCGTGAATCCGAGCGCACCAAGTCGGTAGTTCAGCGACACATATACAACCTCTGCATCACCAAGCTTTCCGGACTCAGCGAGCAGACCGGCCGGGTTATTATATTTGCTTCCTCCAACGTAACCGCCACCATAGATCCATACTAATACCGGGGCTCCATAACCGGAAGAATTGGCGCGAGCGAGGATTTTCTCCGGGACGAACACATCAAGAAAGAGGCAATCCTCTGTCTCCAAAGGACCAGGTCCAGTGACATTTGAGGTGGAGTTGGCACCTGACGGGGTATAGACAGGAGTGTTGGCAGAACTGATTCCGAGGAACGAGTTGGTGAGGACTTGAGCGGAGAGGGGGCTCCACGCTGGAGAAGCTTGTGGGCAGATTCTACCATCGTCAGCCAAAACATATTACCAGGGACATTGAATGTTGAACATACCGGCCAACACTGCCATCATTTATGGAAGATCTGTTTGTTGCTGGAGCTTCCGGCAGAGCAAGTCTCAAGTCGCCGACTGGTGGTGCAGCATAGCGGATGTTGCTAAAGTTGTAGAAGCGGCCAGTGTCCTGTGTAACGATTGATATCTCTCCTAGCCATGAGAATCACTGAGAAGGTCTTACATTATATCCAGTCGCCCGGTAAATTTCATATCCAAGGTCCACGATTGGCAGGGACGCATTTGCACTATCACCAGTGCTGTACTGTGCGCACACCGCTCCAAGCGCAGCCGCAAAGCCGAAGAGACCCTTCATCTTTGCAACACACAATTAACGTGACAATTGCAGGGCCGAACACCTTGCGCAGACAACAGAAAGCTATGCAAAGCTCTCAGACCAAATCCTTGCAGTGAGACTCGGACAAGGAAAAAAACTGCCACGAGGTACCGGCAGGCACACGACCTTAAAGCAAGCTCATCCCATGCTTGTACACATCACCCCGTCCACTACGGCACGCCAAAAAACGCCATCCAGCTGCGCCCACATAACATCATCCCCAGCCTCGGCGCCCGGGACACCAGGAGTCCCTTTGTATGGACAATGCTCCCAGAAAACCCGGCAAGGCCATCCACGGCACCGAGCCCAGTCGCTAATGACGTACAGCTCGTCGGCGCTTACTGTCCCCGCAGCGACGCGTCGCGAGGACGCGGGGAAAATCGATAAACAACACGGCTGGAGAGACCTTTACAGCCTCGATTGCATGCGGCCACGGCGATTAGTTGCCAGATTTGTGTGTTGAAAGCTGGATGGGGGATGGTAAGTGGAAGGATTAGCTGGGGAAGGTGGCAGGGTTGGTAGCGAGCCGAGGCTGTGGGATCGAGCTAGGAATTGACGTCTTCGAGAAGCCAGCTGGAGATGAAGAGCGCGACTGTTTGATTCATTCAGATGGGAGATCGTGGTGGTCGAATCTCGCTGATAATGTTTCGAAACATTCTACCGGATGCCCTAGGGCTTGATTCCATCAATACGAACGCAGATCAAAGCCCGCAAGGTACACCAGAAGCGCATAATGCTCAACATGCGTACCGGAGGAAGCGCTATCTCCGTCGCGTAGATCTAGCCGCCTCGGCGTTCATGCGTGGAGGGCCAGACGAGCAGCTGAAGAACAGAAGGCACGAGCCTAGGTTATGGGTAATTTCTTCTTACGTCTCCTACTACCATGGTGGTTCAATGCCTAAAACTGCTTCCTGCATGTGACCCAAAAGCGAATCCACGATTCCGCCCAAACCCGGGTATCTGTCTGTCCGCGAACGCCGTTGCTATGCTATAAAGAAAGAAAAACTCCACTCGCCAGCTGGCTTCTGTACCTTACGAATTCGACTTCGGGTCCAAGCACTGACAATCCTCGATATTTCCACCTATGCGATGACCGCTCAGCAACGTCGGACATCTCCATGCGATCTCCATGCTATTGCATTGGAATAGCAAGTTCCACATGCGCTCCATGGTAAAACCGAAAACTGGTGCATTCATCGAATCTGGTCTGCCCTGCAAATATTCTTCCTGGTGCGCCCAATTGTCCTGGTTCACAAACGCGTCGTGTAGATCTTGGTAGATGGCTTTGGAAACACCACGAATGCGTTTCGCCGATGCGATGAACTGGCCTTTGTAGCTGAGTAGCACCTTATCGCACTTGGCAGCACTGTTGATGCGGTTGGAGATCTCGGGGAAAATATGCGCAGTATCCCAGAAATTGAATCGGTCACCGCAGGTATCGCAGTTGCATACCTGGCCAGACCATCCGAGACTCAGCATTCCGGTCCGTCCTGGAACAAAGTAGTCGCGTACGCGAGGATAAAACTCTCGCGGGTTGTGGACATCGGCCTGGAGGAAAATCGTCTCTCGAGCAAGCGTATCCCAGTTGCCTAAGATATGCTTCAAATATGTCTCGCCCTCACGTCCGATGTTAGGCAAAGGCGTCACCTCGTTAGCGCCCGTGGCCCGCTGTACCTCTTCTACGTTCGCATTCATGTCCTTGATATAAATGTGAACCCTAGCATCTCTTCCTACATTGTCCATGGCTTTGAGCGCAGAGACAAGGTGTGCAACTTGATCAGTAGGTTCCTTAAACATGCTAATGACGATCTCAGTGTTCGTATGTGGAGTGTAAGTCAGATCCAGTATCGGTTGCAGTTCGACTGTTTCGTGGCGCATGTGCTGGGAGAAGTTCAGAGTGAAGTACGCGAGCCAAGCTGCAGGAAGAGCCACAGCAATAAGGACGATCCGCAATAAGACGGTCTTGCGATCTTCGAAAGCTGGTGCGACGTATGTGGCATCCGAATTCTCGGATGGCTGCGATAACAAGGTGCCCTCACTGTCCACCGACTGCAAATTGACGTCGCTCGGTACAGCGTCGTACATGGTAACCCATCTGGGTCGATATCTCGCAGCAAGATCGCGACTAGACAACAACACGACTACCAAAGCGAAAAAGGCATACTGCGGCCACGACGTGTACGATCGACGAAGTTTCGAAACCGAAAGTAATCCTCCAATGCCTGTCATTGCCAAAAGAGAGAGCACGTTGCTGGTATTATTTCCATGACCGTCGTCATTCTCCGCAAGGTCGATAGGGACCAGGAACGACTTCCCAATCTGTAAGGCCGCTGCAGTGGCGAGGAGATTGATTGCCAGAAGCGGTAGATATGTGTATTCCAAGGCAGAGCCGAGTCGAGCGATTGTCTCATCACCACGATGGATGATACACGCAATAGCAAGCAGCGATCCGACCAGACTGAGGAGCGCATTGGCCTGTCGAGTAGTTAAAATTGTATCTCGTGAGGAACGGCAAGTCATGGACCAGAAGACTCTTGCAGCTCCAGTCAACAGTACCGCAGGGATGGCGGTCTCGATGTTCTGTGGGAGCAATCTGTATTCGCCTACGAGGATGCCGGCGCAGGAGAGCGTGGCGATAGCGATACGACACAATTCGAGGCGGGATCGCGAGTCGTTGCGAAGGACGGAGAGGAAGATTGCTTCCATGCAATAGCAAGTTGCCTGCCTGGTCAGTATCACCCGCAGTTGTAGTGGACAAGGAAAGGCGCTTACTGTAAGCATCATCAGCGTAGGCACATTCTGAAAGTGTAAAAGAGACTGGAGCCCGAGTAATATGCCTGCAGCCGTCGAGACCAGCGCGAGAGCAAGCTTGGTCCATCCTGCGACGGTGACATTTCGTAGTGGAAGTGACGCTACATCGGACGTGATCGAATATGATATCGCGACACTGGCTGCGAGAGCCGCAAATTGAAAGAGTGACAAGTAGAGTGGGAAATTGACGTTAAGCTCAACGAGCAGGTACCCTGCAGATCCAATGTGTCAGTAAGGGCATCTTCGTCTTGAGATGAAGCTCAGATGGCAAAACAACATACTAATGACAAGTCAGCGTGTGGTTGGTGATTTATGTATCTCGCTGCACGGTTACCAGCCTTGGGCCAGTGCATGCACAACGCGCAAATGTTTTTCGTTGACGAGATAGAACAATAGAGCACTTACCTAGAGCTGGAGACCGACACACTGGCAGCTGCGACCCACAGATACCTTCGTGTTCGAATCGCAGGCACGTTCCCACGGAGCCAACCGCGCGGTTGTTCTTCCTTTCCGAGAGTGTCCATACTGGTGTAGAGATAGAGGGGTGGAAGGGAAGAGCTCAGTTGAAACGCAAAAGGAGGGTTGAATTTGGATTAGTGCATGCTAATTGAGGAGCACAGTTAGGCAGGCAGTCGCAGTCTGACACACAGAAACAGCGAGCGACGACCAACGAACTTTCGGAGGAAAGGAGGCTTCTTCAACCTCGAACACATAGAGGAATTGGAAGCGAGAGGAATTACAATTCGGTCAATGGTGGGACGGACCATCTTCACCTGGATTATGCTGCCTCTACAGCGGTAAAGCACAGCCGTCACGCTCAGGGTCAGTCTCACATTTCTTCGTTGGTGACACGATAGGGGTGCCTTGCCAAGAGAGGGCTGAAGCGCATGGAAGTGGAGGTGGACTGAACGTTTCTGGTGGTCGTGTCGCAGATCATCAAATCACAGCACCTCCACAAATGTTGCCTTACAGCGCGTGCAAACAAGCGGAGACAGGGACAAAGTCAATTCGACTGTTCTAGCTAGCCTTTGTAGCTCTAGGAGGTGTCATCAACGGGCCCGAGCCCTGCTTTATGCTGCGCTGCGCCGCACCATACTCTCGGTATTCTTTTCCGCTTTGTTGCCTGCGTGACATTTCGTTTAGGGCTCGGGAGTCACCGATTCGTCCTTTCCATACTAGCAAAGGTTGCCTAAATGGGGAATTTGAGATTTTTCTGTTCAATCTCGAAAATTATTTTGAATGCATGTCCATACAAATACCCGAACAGGCTCTGCAGTTGTCAATATTCTCCATTGCTCACGCAAGTCTTAAATCACACTCAAGCTACCTTCTAGTGGAATTACTTGTATGAGCACCGGGATTATCAACTACGACGCAGCAAGACGCGTGAGTGCGTGACGTCCGCCAGGGAATTAATGAAACTAGGATGTGGGCTGAGGTTCACTTAGCCTACGCGGCCATATCAACAACTACTTCCATCGTGGTTAGAGGCTCACAGGATATCAAGCTAACTTTCCCGGACCCTTTTCCAAGGCTATCTAGGTCTTTGGGGAGGAGGCCGGTGCATTTGGTCTCATGTCCGCCTCACAAGGCATCCACGCGCCGTGTTTTGCACGCAGCAGTTAGTAGGGGTATCGATCCTTCGCGTACCCACAGGCACAAATTCTACTGTTTGCGCGAGCCTTGTATGAACAACAACATTGCATTTAAAAAGGTGGACATTATATGTAGATGTTAGGATGACCTCGTTGTACATGTGGGAAATTGCGATCATATGTCTTACTCCTATTGCAAGAGATGGAGCACTCGATCTCAGAACACGCGTGTTCATCTGCTAAGCTGGGCCCGAGTCGGGCGTAAGCTGGATGGGGCGCTGCTCTTGGCATGGGGTCGCAAATAGCCGCATCCACGAATCGTGCCTCTTAGCTCTGCGCTTCGAAAAAAAGCTTGCACCTTCTGTGGGTCAAATTCGGATCGCGGAACGAGGCCAAGGAATCCTTCCTGAACGAGCGCAAGACATGCCAGCGAAGCGTGCCGCGGCCCCTACTGATCCAATTCAAATGACACTGCCCTTTAGCGATACCGTACCTGCTGCTGATGCATCAAGCCTTTGATGTATTTCTCCCGAGCTATAATTTTCTCCCTTGGACGGTTGGATTTCAAGATGGTGGTTGAGTACATTGGAACCACATGCGTTTCCTTGCGCGATCGTCTCCAACGACATCGGCCTGCCTTGTGGTCAATGACAACCGAAGGTCTGCACGTGCTCGAGTATCACAGAACAGCGAGTCTTTGACGGTGAGCATCTAGGTACTGTGCGTACAGTGGAGCGCTTTCTATACCAGCCAAAGTTGCGCTGAGTGTATAGCGTCATTGCGACTGGACTCAGCAAAGAAATCGGTAGGCCATATGCATTTCGACAGGTATAGCTCGTCGTCCATGCCCGATCTTGACTGTATTGGACAAGAAAGCACAGCGCCTCCTACTGCTCGGAAGGATCCCATTGGTAGATGTCGCAACATTGGAGGCGAATAGAGTCCTATCGGCATACACAGCCGCCTCGTACACGGAGTGGTGCGTATGACTAGAGCGGGAATGGTCGAATTCTCCTTGGACTGGAAGACTGAAATTGAATCCAAAATGAGCTGATCGCGTTTTGGGATGCTGGTGCTGGTGATTTCGTAGAAGCAGGCGTTCTGGCCAGGCATTTGCTCACGGAATCAAGTTTTCCCTGCCATCGCTTCGAAAAGAGCATCGCGAAGACGGAAGTCATTATCCCATGAGTTGCTAAATAACTATCTGGGCGATACTGTAAAAAGCGTCCCCGAGCGCGTCGGTCATATCTGCTAGGATATCCAAGAGCGATACAAGAATTTGAGCCAGAACATTCGTCTCCGAGACCCACCAGGTCCTGTAGTTGTGGCTCACTTCATAGTAAAGCTTCATGAGTGCACGAAAGAAACTATCGAGGTTGTCAGCGATGGCCACAATGGATCCGACACCATCGATGCGCACGAACAGCCCTTCGGTGGGTTTGTGCGACATGCTCGCACAGCAGAATCCCGACGCCAGAAGCATTCTGTGTTAGTCGTGTTGGACATGGCTGACAACTCTCAATGATCTTCCCTCGAGACCTCAACATCCACGTTCCGGCGACCACGACTTTCTGGGCATCGGCATCAGTTGGCAATCAGGAACCTGTCGATCTGTGAGTGCATTATGGGTGATAAGGATTTGGACCCGAACCCAAGATGTCCGGTCGGGAGAAACATCAGAACTAGCATGCTCGGCAACTGCCTGCAATAGTTGTTTGATCCGACCCGCCCTAACGCAAGCAAAGGCGAACGCATGGTAAGTGTCTTTCATATTGAGGGAATAATCGACTGCAAATGGTATGCGCGGCAGCATGTAGTTTGGGCCTGCGATGCTCTTCGAGCGTTCTAGATCGGTGGCCATGTTGTGCAAGGCATGTCTGCAGTCGCGAGGATCCGAGCACTTATAATCAGCAAATCGCCGTAGCATGTCTGAAAGTTGGAAGTAATGCTGTCTGTCCCCTAGCTCCGAGTCAACAAACTGCATTCAGATTGGAAAATCCGGTGTCTATGAATTCATTCACTCGTAAACTGCTTTTCTGGCATGAATGAGATGATCTTCATTGCGAGTGTAATATCATCACTCGCTACACGTAATCGACAGTGTCAACCAGTACTAGAGATCTGACCTCGGCCGTAGTGATTGCAGGGCGTACTCACCGGACATAGAATGCAGCTTCCACGACTTCGAAATCATAGCGATGGCTTCCAACTGCTCATCCAATCTTCCACAACGTTTCATTGCATCTCGAAGCTTGTTGTAGAAGATCAGTGCCGTACTAAATCTGACCTATGAAATTGTACCACTGCCGTGTATCAAGGTAATATCTATGTTGAGAACTACCTCTTGAATGACCCACATGCGAGTAAACCTAGCGGTCACAGAATTGTAAGCACGGATCCAGAAAATGCTGGACAAGTTTACCATGCTAGATTTAAGAGAGCTGTAACATCCTTCTCTCTTGTGTTCTCCCGCAGTTTCTCGAGGACCACTTGATCCTCAAAGTTCTCTCACTGAGTACTAGAAAGCCACGATAAGCGCGTCGATCCGACTTCGTCGGATTTCCCACCTGCGCCTAGCCAAGCGAGTACAACTTTTGCCGACCGAAAGATCTCATGCATGAGAAGAATTTGGTGCGACTCTTCTGTATCGTCGGACGAATTAATGCATAATACATAGTGCATCAACCCACAGCCTCCTCTGCTCATTCTGTGAATGTAGTGTTCGAAGCACCTGGTCTATTATCTGTAATTCATAACGTAGAGGCGCCGTCGACGACAACCGGATGAGTCGTTCTTGGTTCTCCTCAGGCATGCGATAGCGCCTCGAAAGCATTGTGAAACGATTCGTCATTGTATATGGACGCTTTCTGAAAAGAAATGTTCAGTGATGATGCGTGCTCCCACGAAGGCTCGAGGGTCAGGATCCACATCTCCTCAGCCTCAGCCTGCAGAGGTTTATATTGGTAGACAGCAAGGATGGTATCTGACTAAAGCCCCCGAGTCGCTTGCTCGTGACGTCCATCGAGTGTGTTGAGGACGGTATCCTCGTGGTAGATGGTGAGTTTGAGTGAGACAGCCCCACCAAGGTGCACCACCTTCACTACTCCCGGCTAAGTGTTCCGAAACGGGGAGATGGAAGACATTAATGTTTCATTGAGCGTGTAGCACGTCGACATTCAATTTCACTCGAATCGATCTATGACTGTAAAGCCCCAAGTGAAAGCCTGCCCGGAAAAGGAAAGAACAATCTTGAGAATGAAAGAGCGGCGGTCCCGTGCGGCAGGTGCGATCCGGGCCTGATGACATAAGAATGCTTGGCGGTCAGGTGGCGAGGTTCGCAACACAGCCCGCACCGGAGCCCCTCTTAACCTGACTTCTCCCACGACTCCACCCGCACCCTCAGCCGACACCACCACCGCGCCCGTACACCAAACGTACTCCCTCAAACCGCGCTTCAGCAGAGGACTCGTCAACCAGATTCATGACCACGGACATCCAGAACCTCAAGTCCTTCGACCCGTTCGCGGAGGCCGAAGACTCAGTCGGCGACGTCAAGACAACTAGTCAGAATTACATTCACATCCGTATCCAGCGCAAGTGACCCCCCGCACCTCTCCGCGTGCTTTCGCGTCGTGTCGCACCCGCTAACGAGCAACAGAGCGCAATGGCCGCAAGACGTTGACCACGGTCCAAGGCCTGCCTAAGAAATTCGACCAAAAGAAGATCCTCAAGGTGATCAAGAAGAAGTTCGCCTGCAATGGCACCGTCGTCACCGACAGCGAGATGGGCGAGGTGATCCAGCTGCAGGGCGACCAGCGCAAGGATGTCCAAGAGTTCCTCACCGACAAGAAGGAGGGGCTGGGCCTCGATGCCAAAACCATAAAGGTCCACGGTTTCTAAGAAGCCTCTGCCGACGCGCGCAGCATCCCCGCCGTCACCGTTGCCGCTCAAAACAACAGGGCTTTGACCCCGATAACGATATTGAGGCGGCTGGTCACAAGGCTGGAGGCACAGTCAGCCGCGGGGTTGATCATGCGGCGCCGCGCCGGTAGATACCCATTTTGTACGACTCTTTCCTCACGACTTAGGCTCTGCTTTGGGAATGCGACGGAAGGAGGACACGTATTTCTCTCGAGTCATGTTTTTTTCACTCGGAATATGACTTATGGTTTGCAAATGGCGGGCTTGTGTAGAGCAGCCGCCTGCCCCTGGGGGCCAGCCTTCTCGATAATCAAATTAACAGGTTCGCTATGCTATGCGCTTTGTCTACTGTGTGACTGGTGTTATTTTGCGCTGTGACTCTGACACTTTCCGTTATCTGTGTGTTGACTGTGCGATGCGCAGACCTTGGAAGGTGCGCCCGTGGTTCCGCCTGGGTCCCGCTTTCCGGTACTTGCCCAACCGCATGCCATCATAGCATCACCCCACCGTCTACATCACAGTCGGTAAGTATTGGGTAGCTATCACGAGATGCGTTGTGTTATCGCATCCACATGGTCGAATTTGCATAGAAATTTAGGGTATCTTATTCCTCGTCGCCTTCCTCAGCCTCATTTCCTTTGTTCTCCGCTGGCGCCCTCGCCTCCTGCTTCCTGTACAGCTCAGCGAGGTATCCCGCCTCGGTCGCCTCATCAATCCCCTTATCCTCCCTCACCTTCAGGAACCTTGGAAATCTGGTGCTCAGCCCCCTCTCCTCGCTCACTAGCCCGATCGCAGCCGTGTACGTCGGACTGAGCGTCAAGTCGGCAAACGCGACTTCCCACACTTCCTGTGGCTCGAACCAGACATCCGGCGTCCCGGCCCCGCCATTGTACTCGACATAGCTCGGTTTCCCGCTAAACAGCACATTCGTGCACTCTGGGTCGTCCTTGTCGTACTTTGCGCGGTTGGCTTTGTAGAAGGCGTCAGTGAAGCCGCTCATACACTTGGTGACGGCTTCCAGCTGCCCGGTCTCGGCGTTGCGGATTGCGAGCAGGATGGGCGACCACCACGCGGCTTTGCGGCCCGAGCCGTGGAAGGCAGCGATGGGGATAAGGTCGAGGGTCTCGGAGGTGGTGTTGTAGTCCTTTTTCACTTTGAGCCAGGAGTCGAGGCGTTTGTCCGGCTCGTAGGTGGAGAGGAGGGCTTTGCGACGGCCGTGTGAGGGCTTGGAGGGCTCCTCTGGTGCGGCATCGGACGTGCTTGTGGCTTTTGAGGCCTTCGATTTGGGCCGGCCCTTTTTCTTCGGGGTAGGGGGCTCGGAGGCGGCATCGGGAGGTAAGTCGAGGTCAGCTTGTAGATCGGGATTGGGCAGGTTGTCGAGGACTTTGACCATGATGCCTTCGCATTTGATGTCGAGAGCGCTCTTGAAGAAGGCTTGCACAGTCTCTACATCGGCAGAGGTGGCGTCGAGGCTCTTGACCCACGTAAAGTGATGTGGTATCTCCACGAAGAGACTCCGAAGCAGGTTTCTGCGCTCCCGGAAGGGTCGATTGAGCAGTTCCTCGCCGTTAAGATACATGAGGTCGAAGGAGAAAAGGCATACGTCGATGGTGACGCTGCCTATGACCACGTCTTTTCTTGCCCGGTTTGCTAGCGTCTGGAACGTCTTCAGATCGCCAGACTCGCGGTCGATAGCTACGACTTCGCCTTCTAGAACGAAGCTTGATACACCTTCACCGCGTATCTTAGGCACTAGAGCGACCAGATCTGGATACTTGTCCGTCATGACCTCTAAATGCCGTGAGAAGATCGTCACCTTGCCGTGTTCATCACAATGCACTTGCGCCCTCTGCCCGTCGTATTTGTACTCGCAACTGAAATCTCGACTCTGCAATTTGGTGAGCATCTCACCCAAGTCGCGCGTTATCGATCCCAACATGGGACGTAGGGGTATATGTAGGGCTAAGCCGCATCGCACGAGGAGTTCGTCGCAGACACCAATCTCGAGGAGTGATGGGATGAGGTCGGTGTAGTTAGGACGCCGGGCAAAGCAGGCTTTGACGATCTCTTCGTTCCTTGCATAGATCTCAGCCAAATCTTCCTTCTTCAGCTTTTGCAAAGCCTTCCGATCGCGGGTCTCGAACTCAGCATTTGGAGGCTTGGAGAGCATGAAAGCTCGCGAGAGAGCAATGAGCATGGTCGTCTTGACAGCACCAATTCTCAAATGCTGTACTAGAGTTCTTACAATGTATCGACTCTCCTCTGCGCCTCTCGCGTCCTGAACAAGCCTTTCCACGATCCTCTGTTTGTTCTCCACGCTGCCATGTCCCTTGCTATTCGCAATCTTGACGAGCGAATCAAACACGCTCCTGATGGTGAGCGGCTTCGGCTTCCGCAGCGTGAACGACTGCCGCTTCTTTGCCTCGAAGGCCACGTCGCCCGGATCGCCGTATTTGTTGTGCAGAGTCTTCAGACCCGCGTTGTCCAACCCACAGACCTTCTTCAAAGCCTTGGAGATAGCTGATCCGCCCAGTCCCAGTTCGAGGTCGATGTACGGCGGTGAGATGGCGTTCGTCGCTAGCCACACTGCAGGAAGCAGACTCTCCGGATCGCCCTCAATTATTGTTCGTAGCAGATTGACGAGCGTATCCACAATCTTGATGCGACTCGTGGTGCTGTTGACGAGCACGAAGCAGCGCGTAAGCAGCGCGTATGTCGCGTGGCCACCCTCTGCTGCCCAGTGTGTCTGCAAGTCCGATATGTAGGTAGACGGATCGAACTCGAGGGGGCTTTCGTCGAAGGGTATGTTCGCGGAAACCGTGTCTTCGGCAGCGGCGGCAGACTGGAGCGAGAGCGTGTTCTTCCTGGGTGCTGCATTGATGGAAACCTCCGCGGCAAGCTTGTCATCGTCGTTGGGTGGAGTGCGCGTGCCCTGGTTTCCGATTGCATCGCCATTTGTCGCTAGATTTATCGCTAGATTCGTCGCTGGCTCCACAGCCTTCTCGGGCTTGTCGTAGAGATCGCTGGAGGTGGGTGCTTTGGCGCTTGCTTGCTGGTCTTGTTCGTTCCACTCTGCCTGCAACTTCCGCGCAAGCTCCTCGTCCGTAAGAGTGGATGTGTCTTGCTCGCCATTCGGAGTATCGCTGGCCTCTATAACCTTGACATCCGCCTCCCTTGTCGGTTTCGCCGCATCCTGCTTCTGCTTCGCGAAGAAGTAGTCCAGGCTGCGGACAGGCTGGCTGGAGCCATCATTCTTCTTGCGACGCTTGGTCGGGGTACTCATCTTCGAGACGAGGTGGCCGTGGGTGCCAATCAGTCATGATTAAGCCGGCATGACACAGCGGTTTTCGGTATGGCGGTAGCACTCATTCACGTCATGACGCGCTCGGACCACCGCCTATCCTCCTCTTCGCGTTACGCGACGCGACAAGTCACGCCCTGTATCTTCTTTCACAAAGCCTCCTAACAGTGAGACTTGTCCGAACGCGTCTTTCCTTATCCGCAAGCCGGATGTCTGCTTCTACTGCCAGCTTCGCCTGATTACATAGCCCAGACACTGGGATTGGGATGTTCTGACCCAGATTCGGTCTAGTGGCGTCATCTTAGTCCACTTTGTTTACTGTACCCCTAGTGGAGTGGTCTCGTATCAACTATGGTCCGACCGCAAAGGGTTCGTGCTTTCGACGAAGCCACAGGGCAAGTGTATGAAGAAACGCAAGTTCCGGTCACGTCGATGGTCTCAGCTTGTAAGCAATGGCCGAACCATAGTGCAGCTCAATCCTTGCTTACTTCACACACATTCAGGGCCAGACAAATGTAATGGTAGGAAGACGAAGCCACAGTCTTATCGTCATCGCGGACTGGGAGCCTCTTCACTGTACGATATGGCAATGCGATCATGTGCTTGGCACATCAACTTGTTCATGCCCAGCGATTTGCAATCTGCGGAATGGCATTTTGCTCACAGGATATACGAACACCTGCAGAAGAATCAGAACTTGACTGCGAATGCCTGGTCCCTCTTTCAGCAAGCATTTCCCGGCGAGGCTGAGCTCAACCGCACTTATCCAATTCGCATACCAGCTCTTTATGGCCAATCCGCCTCCGAATTACCATCCATCCAGCAGTGGCTCCGGCTGCTCCCCTTCTCACATTTATTATTGCTCAACATACAATGTCTCTGTCTCCGTCTTGATGACCTGATCACCCTAACAACGCTTCCTAATCTCGGCGTCCTGCTGATGCGGTTTGCCTATGATAAATTGCCGCAAGAACTCGATGACAAGGCGATGAGAGACTGGAGTCGGGCCGTGAAAGAGAAGGGCGCTTTCACACAGTTGCGCGTAGTTGGCCTCCATCATCACGCAGCAAGTCTACCAGCTACTTTGAAGGGACTGTCTCAATTCCCAGCACTCCGAATCTGCACTGTTGAGCCTCAACCTCCCTTGGCCTCTTCGCAAGCTGCTATATCACAGATTGCGAGTGCCGCGCTGCCGTTTGAACTACTTGTCGATGACTACACAGGTACTGCCGACAGCGATACCCCCGAGGCCGTTTGGTCGAAGGGAAACTTGCCCGGTAAGTTATCTGCGTAAGAAATAAAAGGCCGAGGTCGTTATTTGTACAGAACCGCATTCCGCAACCCGGTGTACGGCAAGGGTGCTCGGTTTACTGCTGCTTTGCCTAGAACCAAATCACACGCTGACTGTTCAGGAGTACATAGCTCCTGGACAGGCTCAGCACTGCATCCCGAACTGTTCTAGACAACTTCTCACCTTGCTCCCGCCCAAAAGAGCCCATCGACTTGGCTTCATTTCCTTGCCCATCCCCACGCCGACCATCGCTAACCCTACAGGAATTCTAGGCCATGTCAAGATGAAGATGCTATACGACTTAGCCGGCCGAATGCACCCAGATCAAGCTCCCGAAGACGTACCCGATTCGGCTGTACTCTCGGTATACTACGGCGCAGAACGAAATCTTGCATACAACAGATACCCACTCTGGTTCAAGCGACTTGGATCTGTCGAGACAGAGTATGAGGCTGGCCGCCAACCGAAGCGATACCAGGATGACCAAGGAGGGGAAGAAAGGACTGGTGGAGGGAAGAAGCCAAGAAGGCTTAGGGAAGGGAAGCAGATGGACATTGGGTCGTTATTGGGAGGGTTTGGATAAGGTGATGGAATGATACACACGAGATTTGATGTGGAGAATCCATAATAGGTACAAAATAATCTTGGGACGTATGGTCAACGACACTGATCAGTTTTCGTTTTTTCTTGCACCCAACCCTTGAGCTGTTTCTCAATGTAGAGTAAGTTACAACAGCATTAGCTTACCAGAGGTCCAGTCTGTTATGTCAGCCACTATGATAAGACATGATTCATTATTCGTTACTACATCACTCAATTACCCGGCCCCGTAAAGTTCCCGATAAACACGACCAAGATTGCACAATAAGCTGCACTCGCAGCGAAAAGCTCGTGTCTCGCCGCTTTCGTCAACAACGACATCGCCGCGCTGAAAAGCAGCGTAAACACAATCAACAACCCAACCGCGTTCAGCGTATCCCGTGTGTTAGAGTCCAAGGGAGAAACGGCTGAGGAACTCGAGAGACCCGACCCGGTGCCGGTGTGCACGTTCGTGGAAGTAAGCAGGTACATGGCAACGACGGGGACTACGAGCAGGGCGAAGATGACAAGAGTGATGAGGATATTGGCGAGCTTGTCGATGCGAGTTGAGCTGTATAGGGTGATGTATTTATTGGTTGTTTTGGCGCGGAGTTCAGGGGATTGGAAGTATTGCTTTGCATATGTCAATTACTTTGGTCTGGTGGCTTGAGAAGAAAAGAAAAGTATTTTGGACATGACATACCCCGAGCGGCGAGTGGACATCGGTGACTCCAAAGTTTTTAATGATACGCTTGAGCCACTCATCGATCTTGAAGATGGTCTTTTCGAGGCCGCCGTCGAAGCTGCCGCCCTCACGACCACTGTTACGCAGCGAGACGGTATCTTCCTTGCTGCGGATCGATTCCGTCTCGGCGTCCATGAGCGGCTTGTGGTTGTGGTGGAAGCGGCGCACGCTGCGGTAATTGCGGTCGCTCGGTTTCTGGAAGCTGTCTAGAGTTCGAGCTTTGATGAGGACTTTATCGTACTCCATTAATTTTGCTTTGATTTCCCGCAGAATGACTCTTCTGTTACGAGTGTCGCCTTCATCTTGGGCTTTTGCGACGTCGATCTCACGTGAACGCAGCCTGTCGGGGTTTTCGTCGAAGTCGTCCCAGTCGATGTCGTCGAGTTCTTTTTCTAGGGTCGTGATTTCGTCCTGTAGATCAAGCAGGACGCGGGAATGGAGATAGGTAAATGAGCGATAGAGAGAGAAGTTGGACTCGGATGCTTGAAAAGCTGCGAGTCTCGGAAAGCCGTTGGGCGTGTTGTCCACTGGGGTTATTAGGCAATGGATTGTGTTGACCAGCAACCAGAGGCTTACATTGGCGTGTTTTTATTTCCGTCACACCGACTGGTTCCGGCTCAGATTTGAAAGAGCCAGTCACGCGTCGTAGGAAAGTTGGTCTTTGCTTCTCGTTTTCTGCATGTGTCTTAGCAGGAGCTTCATGTCTTTTCTGGAGGCCGGGACACTCTAGACAATAGTCGCTGTGAAGGTGCGCGAGTTCACTCTGCACACACCGTGTGCGGAGTTGTTGCGACCCAGACCTACGGAGGTGTGATACATACGAGGAGGCTGTGCAGGCACGGCATATCCCGACGAGCGCGAGCTGGACTCGGACGAAGAACGGATCGTGGAGGCACCATCCTCTTCACCGATTTCGATGATGGCATCGCCCCCAATGGTTCGTTCGGTATCGGTGGGAGACTGTGGACCCATTTCAACATCATTGAGGACAGTGTCTCCCGTCATGGTGCGTGTGGGGGCCATAGGAGAGGCTGAGCGACCCGCGCGACAACACGAATCAGCGAAAACGACAAACTTTTGGACTCCGGTGGAATGAAACGAAATTTAGGCCGTCATTGAAGTGAAATCACAAATCTAGAAGTGGCTGAACTGCAGATGAGGAGTGTGGCGGGTGAGCAGTCTATGTACATGAATGATGCGCAAAAGCCCCCGGTGAGCGCCCGTAGCGATCGCCGGCTCCGTCCGCCAAAACGCCAGACCCCAATCGAATTCAGCTGCCTGAATCACAATCTAACCGTTCAGAGTCACATGCGCCACACTTCGCATTGACATAGCCACAACCAGGGTTACATTCAGCGCCTCTGTGTACTTTCTGCCTTCAACTCCTTCTCGCGGACCCATTCGCCATCCTTGTACAGCTTACCGTGGCCGTCGATTATCGATAGCTGATATTCCCAATAGCCGTATGGACTGATTCGAGCCTTTTTGATCGTGAAGGTGCCTTTCGTGCGCGCACCGTGCTCGATCACTGACATGTGCACTGTCTTGTTCTTCTCGAATTTCGCGGGAGCCTATCTGACATGAGACCTTGGAATGACTCAAAGGCGATATGCGACCTACATGTCTTGCCATCGGGTCTACGTACACGCCTGACTTTTCCATTGGCACAATATGCTGTCGCTCTGGAAGCTCCTCTTCCGACCACGCAGGATCCACTTCTCTCTGTGCGTAAAAATTGTCAGTCTGCTGTGGCAAGGTCTCTGGCGGCGTGCCCGACTTACACGTTGCACCGGAGCGGGCTGAACTTCGTCTTGGAGGGAGGCCATGTTCTCAGGGCGTGAATGAGGCGAGAGGCGCGGGGTAGCAGGTGCAATATGAAAGGCTGAAGAAAATGCGATGCGTGCAGACAAGGCTGCGACGATAATAATATGTACTCAGTGACTCGTTTGGTGCAGGCCTCCTGGACGCTCGCTGCCTTGCACCTTTAGAACTGACCGTTCGCGAAAGGAGGCTGATTGTGAGATACCCTGCACAGACGCAAGGGTTGTTGGTCTCATCAGGGCCAGCGCCCGCGGCACCAGAGCTGCTCAGCATCTACGATGTCGGCTGACATCTGTTCCCGTCGGAGGGTCCTCATCATTACTCAGTGAATAAAAATGGGACTACTCCACCCAGAATCTGAATTGTTTTTTTTAGTAATGCTACTCGTTGTCTCTGAATCTGCTGCAAGTAGAAAGAGGAGCGGATGGAAGGAGGATGGTTGGCCCCCAAATCGGACTGAAGTTAGTCAGCGAAGATTGCCTCGTCTAGACTGCTTCTGTGCCGTGCTCCTAGCGGCCCGTCCCACCATTATGGGGGCTGAACTGCTGGAGAGTAGTGCGCAAGATGCGTGCAGCTGTGCTGTTGCGAACACTCCTATCCTTAAATCCCGCCGCGCACCATGGCTCTGTGGACGCGTGCCCCTCAAGCGGTCGTTGACGCAACCATGGAATCCCTTATCGCGCCGCGCATTCCTCCTTCCGTGGATCTAAGAGATAAGGTCTTCCACCTCAAAACGCAGATCGAGTCGGTCGAAGATGCTCCTGGACACAGCTCAGACATCACCGGCGGGGCCGAGTTGATTGTTGAGAGCGATGCCGGCCCTCATGATGCTGCGCAGCAGAAGCGTGCTGCAGAGATGCAGATGTGGTGGGATGAAGCGATCGTGCGGAATATGGATTTGCCCGACGGATACGCAAAAGTTGCTGTGTTACTGGTGAAGTGGGAGGACGAGCTGGACGAGCTCAAGACAAGAGCGGAGGTGCGAATTGCCATATTGTTTATGGAGAATACTTCTGACCAATGCGCAGGCCGAAGAACTCTCCGCTGTCTTTCGCGATCGTTTCCATTTCGTCACCGAAACGGTTGAGCTCAACGTCTCATCTAAGCCGCAACAACAGATGCGCACCTACATGAGTGCATTCATACAGAAGCATGACGGACCACACAATCTTTTGATCGTGTACTATACAGGACACGGCATGTACCAGGAGGATCAGAAATACCTCGAACTCACCGCGAGTCTAAGACCTATGGACAGACGCGGCTTCCAGAAGGAAGCCAAGTGCAATTGGAACAAGATCCAAGAACTCCTCCAGGAGGAGGATGTAGAATCAGTAAGAAGTCCCGGGGTGCGAAGTAGTTGGCTCCGCCGTTTTCACTGTCTGGAAATGTCAGACGTTAGGAACAGACTAAAGCTAGAACGACCTACTTCTACCAAATCATCCTTATGTTTGAGAGCGTTTCACTGACTTTGTGCCCACAAGGATGTGTACGATACTCCCCAGTACAAATTTGCTGAGTCTGAGACATTGCAATTTCGTACACAATCCCACCTTGGAGACTTAAGCTGACTTTGTAGGCTTACGATACTCGACACTTGCTATGCTAGCAACCTGACAAAAGGTGGGAAGGAAGAGACCAGGACCTTCGAACTTCTAAGCGCTTGTGCCATCGACTCGACGACGGCTGCGCCGGGTGACAATAGCTTCACTCGCGCACTCATCGATACATTAAAGAGGCTTCACGGGCAATACGGCGAGAAGGGCTTTACTACGTTCCACCTGAACCAAGGTATTGCCCTTGACAAGAGACGCCATGACACGCCGCCCCAATTATGGTCCCTCAAGCAGCATCTTGGACGGCACATACATCTTGCCCCTCTCAAGCCACAACAAACGTGCGAGCTGAAAGCTCGGCGACTACATCATGTACCACGAGGCTACCTCACACTTCGGTTTGCGCTGCGGGATGAATCACTCACGCAGGAACAAATCGAGTTTCTGACGCTGCAGCTGTCTAAAGCGTTTAACAACAAGCTGCTCGTTGGCCTGAGTCGCATAGACTGGCTCGGGATCAAGCCCGCGCGTACTACCAACTTTCGCCGGGCAGCACTCGCAATGTACGTGGTGCGAAAATGGAAGAGGATTTGCGAACGCCAAAGGAAAAGACAGGTGGATGGAGTTGGCTTACCCGATGGTTCAACAACCGATGCGCCGGCTGCAACTCGTCGGAAACGTCCCCGCGACAGCTTCACCAACTCCCCTACGCCTGAGCGAAAACGTGACTATCTCGCGGCCTCACAGCCACCCTCACCCCCGGTATCCAATTCTTCGAAGGCCTAGCATGGCACACATGGCGCTATCTAATAACAACGCAACTTTTTCGATTGATCACAACTAGATGTCCCTTGAAACGGAGCGTTTGCGCTAGGATTGGGGTCATCCAACTCTGTCCATATCTCGATGTAGCCATCGTGAGTACCCAGATTGCTCCGAACCTCCAACCGAATTTCATGATCACATTCTCGAGCCATTAACTGTTAGAGAGGCGGCCCAGAAGTTTGTTGAGTCTGTTCGCTGCAGAACCTATCCCATCTCTGAGCTCAAGCGCTGACAACATGACGTTTTCAGGGCCCTTGTGAGATCCCCCTCACATCGGGGTGTGCGCCCGCCCGATTGTCCAGATTGCCTGCCGTACCTGCCCACATTTACCCCACAATTTCAACTCGATCGGCCAACGCCCGTCATCTTCTCAATTGGTTGGCCCCGAATTCACCGCGTTGGGCCACGCAAGCTTGCCCCGACTTTGGTTCAAGGTACGACATCGATTATGGCCTAGTACCTAGCTGCGGTCACGCCCAAACGTCGTGACAAGAAAGAACTGGAGAAAAGCCCAGTCTTACTAGACGCATGAGGGGCATATATTCGGGGCCTAGTCCCAAGGACATTACTCGATGTTGTCGCGATGTACCTCTGTTAGCTCCAGGAGCAAAGTTCGAGACTCCGATACAGGTGCGATAGTTCTGCTTGGAGTCTCCACAACTACTGAAATCTCCAGACTTGCTGCATACCGATGGCTACTTCTGTCAATGTTGGGTAGTCGGTTCTGCACGGCATCGCCAAGCGCCTTCCATCGCGAGATCGCGGCTCCGCATGGCATCAGACGCCCAGGTCCGCGGCCTGTCTGTCCCTAAACTCCCGTCTTTGAGCACCAGTGTTCGAGCACCGCGGTCCAACGAGACCTTTCGGAAGACTGAGAGGTGACTCTCGGTGTCATGCATCCATCCCAATCTTTCGTAGCATCGAGTCCGTTACATGTAGCCCTTTGCTATGCTTAGGGCATATTCTCAAATGAAGCTGTACGTAAAGGAAATGGAGTTCCAGACCAAGACTAGAGCGGGATGGCAATAATGATGCAAAAAGATGACGCTGTGCATTACGCCAGCTCGCTCGCTGGAGGAGTATATAGAACCTGAGGCTTTCCAATCCAAACAAGCCACCAATCTCACGAACCTAGTCATCATCAATGTTCAGGGGTTGCATGACGTGAACTTTGTTCGATACAGATCACGTTGACCTTCTTACTCGTTCACTCACACGTTCTAATTCACCCACTCGCTCATCAACATGCGTCTCACCCAGGCCGCCGTCATTGCTATCCTCGCATTCACCGGAGCTGCTGCTCCTGTGGTCAACGCGAACACTCTCGCTATCCGCGGTGGTGGGAGCGCCCCAGATAGTGATGCTAGCCAGTCATGGTCCGGCTCAGGTTCTTCCAAGGGAGGCGCATCCGGCTCTGGCTCCGATAGCTGGGGTTTCTCGGGTTCGTCAGGCTCCGGTAGAGAAGCAGGAAAGGGTGGAAACGGGGAGCAAGAAAAGGGCAGCAAGGACGCAAAAGGAGTTGCTGGGGGTGCTAAATCCAGCGCAGATGTCAACAAAGGCGGGAGTGGAGCAGAAGCAGCCAAGGGCGGAAAAGGAGAAGAGGCAGCCAAGGGCGGCAATGGAGGAGAAACTGCTAAGGGCGACAATGGAGGTGCCGCGAAAGGTGGGAATGGAGGAGAAGCAGCCAAGGGGGGCAATGGAGGAGAAGCAGCCAAGGGCGGCAATGGAGGAGAAGCAGCCAAGGGCGGCAATGGAGGAGAAGCAGCCAAGGGCGGCAATGGAGGAGAAGCAGTCAAGGGCGGCAATGGAGAAGACGCCGCGAAAGATGGTGAGGCAGGAAAGGGTAATAACGGCGGTGGAGAATCAGCGAAAGGTGGTGAGGCAGCAAAAGGAGGCGCCTCCGGCGGGGCAAGTGTCTCTGGACCTAAGTCTTCCTCCTCGGATTCTAAGGCTTCCACTGGAGGTGGCTGGAAGCTGTTGAAGGCCTAAGCATGACATAGCCAACCTTAAGGCCTTGTGTTGCACCTCTACATGAGTCTGCGCTACGCCATAGGAACTGTTACGAAGCTAAAAATTACGCCAGCCATCGAGATCGCAGGCCAACCAGATATATATGTACTTTACATATTTGACGATGACACGCTCCTTTCCTTTTCAAAAAACTTAGGTACCTCAAATGAACATGATGTGGTTGCAATGTTTCCTCGGGTCTCCTAAAACATTGTACTGCTCAGTCTCCACATCCACTTGCTCATATGCGACTTCGATGTCTTTCACCTCAAGCACTTACAACATCTTTCCGTGAATTATTCCTCGACCGCGGCAAGATGTTCTCATGGGCATTTTGCATAGAAACAGATTCCAAATTAGAGACCGCGAGTATGCTGGAATAATTTGATCATTCAATGTACGCACCGTTTTCTGCTGTTCTTGTTCAGCATAGGGAAGACGGAAACACTGCCTATTTTGCACTAGCTTACTATTGGCATTCTCAACCTTCCCTCACGCAAACATCGAGGTGCCCCCGCGAAGACCCCACAAACTGTGCCGTCTCCCAGTTGCGGTCTAACGTCCTTGAGGCTCTCATCGGCTGCGAATCAGAAGACTGGGCGGCGCAGGAACGCCAATAATCTACCAATTAAAATCGCCGGAGATTTGACCGTCCACAGGACCCCGCAAAGCCTCGCAGTGTTTCTCGGAACGCGTCGCAAGCTCGAAGCAAGATGACGACCCATCGGGCCCTTCTCTCAAGAGGGAAATGCTTACAACAGCGCACTCCCGAAGCGGATCGCAGCGGAGTATGCTGGTAGAGTGGAGGAAGTCATAAACCTCCAAAGTATATATACCAGCCTCCTAGTAGCGAGACACAATATCCATCGGAACGACCGAAAGCTCCCAAAAGTGACCTAGCAGCAGCCGTTTCGAATTCTCAAGATGTATCGGGCGACCCAACTGCTGACCGCAGCAACTTTGCTAGGCGCAACGACTGCATACAATCAGCGCAGATACATTGACAACTCGTCTGGTACTCCCGAAGTGATCATCCCAGGGGCATCATCGTACAACGGTCTTAACCTCGTCCCGCAGATGGGATGGAACACCTGGAACGCATTCGGCTGTGATGCGGATGAGGAGTTATTACTTTCTTCGGCACGGCACCTCGTCGATTTCGGATTGCGCGACCTAGGCTATAATATCATTTCTCTGGATGACTGCTGGTCTATAGGGAGAAACTCCAGCGGATACCTGGTTGAGAGTCGTATGTATAAGACTTGCCATACGGCGACGGACACTGACAATACCTAGCTATCAAGTTCCCCTCGGGCATGGCATCTGTTATATCCCGACTTCATGATATGGGCTTCAAGTTCGGTATATATTCATCGGCGGGTACATTCACGTGCGCAAGATATCCTGGATCGCTTGGCTATGAAACGCAAGATGCAGAACTCTGGGCCAGCTGGGGGGTAAGGTACTCTCACCGCTGCGAGCCAGAGCTTGCTGACACCTCATTTTCAGGTGGACTACCTCAAATACGACAACTGCTTTAATCAAGGACAGTCTGGAACACCGAAAATCTCCTATGATAGGTACAACGTTATGTCTCAAGCTCTGAACAAGACGAATCGCGAGATCATATACGCCATGTGCAATTGGGGGAACGACGATCCGTACGACTGGGCATACCTGATCGCAAACTCTGGACGTATGTCTGGTGATATATATGACAGCTTTAACCGTCCAGATGATCGTTGCCCATGCACCGAGGCCCCTGGCTGCGCGTGGCCTGGTTTCCATTGTAAGTACAAAACCAAATACAGATGATAGTCGAGACAGTTGGCTGACTCCTCGTTCTCGGCAGGTTCCATCATGAATATCTTAAATAAGATGCCATCCATAACCAGCCGCACCATGTCTGGCTACTTCAACGTAAGAACTCCGGGAGTACAATGTGGCTGTTTTCTGCTATTATAATTGTCTGAAGTTGCCGGACTTTAGTAATAAGCTGAATCAAGACGGCCACTTGTACTCAAGCATCTCAAGTTTTGAGCATCTCACTGACGTTCTACCCTACCCTTCAGGACATGGATGGTCTCGAAGTAGGCAATGGGGGACAAGACGACAACGAATACGTTACGCACTTCTCCATGTGGGCTATGAATTCGTCTCCTTTGATGATCGGCACCAACATCGACACTCTTTCGCCTCAAAATCTAGCCATACTCTCAAATCCAGCGGTCATAGCACTGAACCAAGACCCATCAGCCGGAGCAGCAATCAGGAAATGGCGCTACTTCGTGGATTTCGACGATTATGGCCAAGGAGAGATCTCTTTGTGGACCAGAGTCCTTGATAATGGTGATACGGTCATTGCGCTTCTCAATGCGGGTAACTCGAGCAGGACGATGAACGCTACAATGGACGACATTTTCCTTGACCAGCGCACTGCGGGTGCGTACAAAGCGCCGCCTGAGCTAAGTGAGACGTGGGATGTGTATGACCTGTGGGCAAACCGCATGTCGAATGAAGAAGCTCAAGCAATTCTTGATGGTGGTGGCAATGCCACAGTCAGTAATGCAACGAGGACGGAAACATACAATGCTACGGCGACGAGCTATGCTGATGGACTGAGTAACAACGTTACAGCGTTGTATGGTGCTCATATAGGCAGTATTGCACCGAGCGGGACATTCACCGCGGAGATTGCGAGGCATTCAGTTGGTGTGTATCGCTTGAGGTCTCAAGGGAGTGGAAGCCTGAGGAAGAGAGATGAGCTATAGTAGCGAGATCTTCGTGTTCCAACGAGGGTTATGTAACCAAATGCATCATGCGTTTCTATATTATGAATCTTCGAACTGCCCGCCATTCCACGAGTTTGGCTACATAGATCTCTGGAATCCTTCAACTTCGACATCCCAATCCTCTGGAAAGACAGACCCTGCAAGGCCATCCCATCCTCCAGCCATCATTCCGACAGCAAGCAGCATCCCTGCACTAGCAGGGAAATATGGCGTTGCGACTCTGTTCCCTCCCTCGGGCATGCCGAGCTCATTGACCTGGTTGTTCACGTCTAACAGCCATCGAACTGCTTGCTCGCCGTCACCCAATCTAGCTGCTGCCATGGCCATAAGCGGGAAATCCCAGCCATAGAGGTTCGCCAAGTCCCACGAAGCGTACACTTTGTCCACAGTGTTCTGGAACACTGTCAAGTTGAGGCGAGGGTCCGGTGGTAGCCAACCGTAGAGACCTAAGAACCCCGGATGATCTGATGCTATTTCGGGTGATGTCCACATGTCCTCAACGCCTTCATAGAGAACGTATGCGTTGTCTTGGATCGGAAATGAGGCAAGGTTGTCCTTTACGGTACGCCAGCTTGCGGGTACGACCTGATGTTGCCGCTCCTTCCATTTCGCCGCAACATCCAGACCAAAGCGCCAATACGCCAATTCAAATGTTGGGTTGACCGTTTGGTTAGGGTTGGTGTTCTCCGAGACTGGGTACATTGCTGGATTGTATTCGCATTAGCTAAAGCCACGTTTCAGGGTCTGCAGAGTGCTTACGCGGCCCCAGGTCATACACTTTCGTAGACTGATTGTACCAGGCATAGCTGGCCATGAAGTCAGCCACGCCAGCCAAGACCCTGTCCCACTTCTGGAGTGTCTTCTGCGTCGGAGATTTTCTGTACTCCATCTCTGCAAACCACATCTATCTAGGTCAGTACCCTATCTCACTGGGCTTCTATTGGGCTCCACAAAAGGGCACTGAACTTACCGGATGGGGCTGCTGCCAGATCAGGAGGGAATTGATCTCGCCAGGTGCGGACCAACCACTTGGGTTATCATCTTGCATCTTGCCTATGCGTGCCCCTTGGTAGCCTTGATGCTTTGCTCGGTCGTAACTAGATGGCAAGAATCTTTCATAGACTCCAATAGTGCGATTATAAAGGTCCCACTTGTTCCATACAGTCCAATGAGCGAGATGCCTGAAGTTCTCTTTAGCTCACGTGTACACCTCGGTGACTCTGTGCGGTTCTTCCTTACCAGAAGATCATTTCACAATGGTACTTGCCGTACCAACCGTTGTTGACAAGTCCGGACTCTTGTGCAGGGTCTTTACCAGCCCCATTCACAGCCAGCAGATATTGCGTCAACACAATGCGGCGCTGCAATTCTTTGGCCGAAGAATTCGTCGCACTTGGAAGAGAGATAAAGGCGCCAGTAGACCAGTACTTCTTCCACCAATCTTTCGCACTTTTCTTCACGTCTCGGAATGACCCTTGACTGTTTGCCGCCTTGGGCGCAAAGGTCGCGGTAAAAGCGAACGTTTCAGAGTCCTTCCCAGTGAGCACGTAGGAATGGGTTTCGTTATTTGTCCGCTGTATGCGACCTTCGCTTTCCCATCGAATCTCTGTGTCATACGTAGTTGCGTCAAGCGTATGCGTGATGGTGGCGCTGTTCTTCCTAGACGTCAACGTCGTAGTGTGGTTGGACGTGGCATTGAACAGTCCCACGAAGGGCGCGTCAAATTTGTTTTTCCCGCTGGCGTACGGGAAGTCAAAAAAGACACCCAATTCTCCGTTGCCCAAAAGCTCAGAAGTGATCGTTACAGCAATCGTGTCTATTTCCGGGCTGGCAATGGTCTTTACTGTCACGCTCTTGCCGTGCCACGAGAAAGAAGACGAGATTGTTCCCTCCCAAAGGTCCAGTGTCTGAGTTCGCTCTGTGAGCTCGTCTTCTGTTACATTCTTGCCTCCGAACCAAAGTCCGATCCTTCCAAGATTGATACGATGCGGGTTCGCGATGAGCCACTGACTAATGTCTTTCTCCGCAGGGTTGGGTTGGTTGTAGTTCACGAGTCGACCATGTGTCCACCAGTCCTGACCAGTAAAGTCGGAAATCGCGGTCTGGTTAGGCGTAGTTGGCAGAGACGAGTTGTGCCAACCCCACGATGACAGCGTGTTGTGCGGGAGGAACGTCTGCAGACCTGAGACGTCGGCACCAAAGGCAAAGTTGCCGTTCCCAACTTGGACTGGGCTATATGCGTGTGACTGGTTCAGTCGCAGATTGAACTGTCGTATAATAGACTCGCGATCGATCTTACAGTCGACGACGGCCACCAGCGCGGCCAAAAGCCATGTTGATGCCAGCGAATGGGAGGCCAGCATCGTGATAATGGACTTGAAGAGCTCGTGCAGCTACAGACACCATCTTGTACTCTCAAGGATACGAATATGGCATCATCACAGTGTTTCCGGCAGTCTCTTAGTCGTTCCTTACATTGATGGATAAATTGCCGGTTGATCATTCCCGAGGTCTAGTGGCGCGCCAACTCCAGCGGGGTGTCGCGATCGACAGATCTACTGCAACGCGCGGGGGAATGTACCCCGAATTTACAAACAATACAGTCCAGCGATCGTCGAAATTTCATGATTCGCTACACCTCGTGGAGAAAGATGGCAGGAGTGCTCCAAGCGGATAGGTACGCTTTCTGATGGGCTTAATGCATCCGGCCAATCAGCGTGCAAGCCAAGGCTTGCCTTATCGATAACAACAGTCGAAAAAAGTTCCAGCCCAGCGTTCAGGCAACGCGACTAACAACATGTCGAAAAAGCAAAATGAGGAGGCTCACAATGGAGGGGACACCCAGAATGCAGAGATTACAAGAGGCAAAAAGAGAAAGAGGAAAGGCGGGGATGCCGGTGTCGATTTGAGGAAAGGTGCTGGGAAAGTGACGAAGTTTGACGACGGCGGCAAACAACCGATTGAGGAAGTACTCAGCGCTGTTCCTACCACTTCAACAAAGACGCCGAAGCCCACTGAGCCCAAAAGTTTTTCACGTGTCGAAGAAGGCGAAGCACCGGAGGTTGAGCAGCGCCTGAAGGGACCCCGACCAGATCAGCCAAGAGGGAAATACGAAAAGCGACCTGAAAATGTCCGGGATGACCCCGAACAGCAAAGAGAACAGCCTAAAAAGGCTCTTTCGAGACCAAGGAAGACTCCAAACGGTGAGCAAACCACTCACCGAAGTCCTTACCTGATCAAGAAACGCGACGAACTTCTTCCAAAACGCAAAGCATTACCCATCTGGTCTCAGGCAGATGCTATCCGACAGCGCTTGAGGGAAAACAATGTACTTGTGCTCACCGGTGAGACGGGTTCCGGTAAATCCACGCAGGTACCACAATTTCTGCAATCTGAGGATTGGTGTACTAAGACTATTGCAATCACGCAACCGCGCCGTGTGGCCGCGATCTCGCTCGCCAGACGAGTTGCCGAGGAGATGGGAAGCTTGTTCGGCGCACAGAGTCCCGCGGCCAAGGTCGGATACAGTGTTCGCTTTGATAATGCTGCCGGCCCCAACACAAAAATCAAGTTCTTGACCGAGGGTATGCTGCTCCAAGAAATGCTGCGAGATCCAGATATGAAGCAGTACAGCGCGGTGGTTGTTGATGAAGTCCATGAGAGGAGCGTCAATGTCGATCTGATCCTTGGTTTCCTGAGAAACCTGGTCTCGAGGATTGGGCGTGGCAAGGGAGTACGGAAGCACCCGCTGAAAGTAGTCGTCATGAGTGCCACAGCTGATGTAGAGGGTCTCGTGAATTTCTTCGCCGAGGGTTTGGATGAAGACCTAAAAGCTCCCGAGACCTCGGGCGGACCTACAACAGTATCACAAGCAGCGCGCGATCGCATCTCAACCTGCTTTGTCGAAGGCCGCCAATTTCCCGTCAAGACTACATACCTACCCGAGCCGACCTTAGATTGGGTCGAATCCGCGTTGAAAATCATCTTTCAGATTCACTATAAGGAGCCTTTACCTGGCGATGTTCTTGTTTTTCTAACGGGACAAGATAAAATCGAAGCTCTGGAGAAACTAGTGAACGACTATGCGGCAGCAATGGACAAAGACATGCCGAAGCTGCTTGCACTCCCTCTGTTTGCCGCTTTGCCCCAGCAAGCTCAGCAGCGCATCTTCCAACCGACCCCTTACCGGACTCGCAAGGTTATCCTAGCTACGAACATCGCCGAAACATCGGTCACTGTACCCGGTGTGCGTTTTGTTGTTGATTGTGGAAAGTCGAAGATTAAGCAGTATCGCAGTAACTTGGGACTGGAGTCGCTCTTAGCAAAACCAATCTCTAAGTCGGCCGCGATCCAGCGTCAAGGTCGTGCTGGCCGTGAGGCGCCCGGGCAGTGTTACCGACTTTATACCGAGAACGACTTCAAGACACTGGAAGAGCGAACAATGCCAGAGATTCTTCGTTGCGACCTCAGCCAGTCCTTACTCACCATGAAGGCGCGCGGAGTTAACGACGTGCTGCACTTTCCTTTCCTAGACCGACCACCACGAGAAACCCTCGGCAAGGCCCTCATGCAGCTTTTCCACCTCGGCGCTTTGAATGAGGACGGAACGGTCAACGATTTGGGTATCAAGATGGCTAAGCTACCCGTCACACCAACGCTTGCCCGCATTATCGTAGAAGCTGCGAAGCCGGAACATGACTGTCTACATGACGTGATTGATATCATTTCAGCTCTTAGCACCGAAGACAGCATATTTTTCAACATCGCCACCGAGGAGAAGAGAGAGCGAGCCGAAGAAGCGAGAAGGAACCTGTATCGCCGTGAAGGCGATCACATGACGTTCTTAGTAACAGTCCAGCAATACGCCGAGGAGCAGACAGACCGGAAGGCATGGTGTGAGAGACACTTTGTATCTCACCGCGCTATGCAGAGCGTCATGGTAAGATCTAACCCAAATCTTAAATCCTTGTCTTGGGACGATACGAAGTATTCACACATCACAGAACATCCGCAAGCAACTCCGCCAGCAATGCACCCAACTCAAACTTCTCTCATCGGAAGCACCGACGTCCAGTTCATCGCCAAACACCGACGCAATACTTGCCTGCATATTGCGAGGCTTCGTCTCAAATACTGCGCGATTGTGCCCTGATGGCAGCTACAAGACCTTCTTCCACAATCAACTTGTAGCTGTCCATCCTAGTAGCGTGATGCATGGACGCAAGATCAAAGCTGAAGCGATTGTGTTTAGCGAGTTTCTTTTCACGAATAAGTCATATGCGAAGAAGGTGAGCGCAGTACAGATGAATTGGGTAGGGGACGTAATGAAGGAGGTCGTACCTATGTGAGGAAATATCGAACTATTGACTATATATACACATTTGAAACGGCCTATTCACACCTGCCAATACTTTCGAAGTGAATGTAGGCTAAGTTGACTGGTTCAGTAGACTGATGAGCATGTTGGCGACATCCGAAGTGGGATAGACGTAACAAGCCTAGCGCAATCGCAACCACCCCTGCGCAAATCCTCCACAACTGTTCCCCTCGGACAATACAGGCACTGCCATTGGTCTATTTGTTTCTCTAGAGGGTCTGCTATGTCTGTAGTATCTGGCGATCAGGAGCGATTTCAAGCTCCCTCGATACCACCTTTTGAAGGTCGACAGATGTCTTGATGACGTATATGACTACACAGCGCACAAAGGTAGCGGAGCTGGCATAACTCAAGACTACAACATCGCGACCATGGCTTTGACGGAGGCATACAACACCTTCAGAAAGGCCATCTGCACCGCACCCCCTGCAGATGCATACTTCAGATGGGACGCACCAGGTGTCGAATCCTCGAAGCCCAATGAAGAAGACACATCACGCAAAATTGGCGAAACAATGAACAAGATGCAACAGCACAACTTCGACAAGCATCGGCATACATACCGCGCGACTCATGTCAAGATGCAAGGTATTGTCAAAAGAAAACTCACGGTCCTGCCTGACCTTTCAAAACATCTCCAGCACAGCCTCTTCAAAGAACCGGGGAAGACGTACGACGTTGCAGCTCGCTACGCAAATGAGCCAGTCTTCCTTCAAGCAGACCAAGACCCGGGGCTGCGCGGTCTATCTATGAGGGTATTCGATGTTTGAAGGAGAGCGCCTGCCCGCCGCCAATCCCGGCACCACGTAGGATTTCTTCGACAACGCACCCAGCATCGAGTTAACAGACGTGAACACTTGTCTGGGGCGTTATGCAGATGCGGGAAAATTACTTTGCCAGCCCGACTAAGCTTGCTGCAGCTACGAGGTTGCGGACCGATGGTTTGAAGTAGGTTGCGCCGTTCCAGCTGCCAAACACTAATATGATAAGCCTCATTGATGTGCAGCCGCCCTTTGAAGAATAACACCCCAACGAAGATTCTTGCGCCTATACTCTTCATAACTCAAGCACGCTCCGCTATCAACCATACCAGGAAAATTTCGATTTCCATCGCCTCAGAGCACGAGAGCGAGGAGTCTAGGATCTACGCTAAGATCGACGCTGAAATGGAGTCTGAGACTGACACTGCACGTCGAAGCGGCCAAGTCATAGCAGTGCGTACAAAGGCCCAACGCAGCGATCCAGACAAGGACAACGGGAAACGAGCGCTGTCTAGGAAGGCTTGTCGAATCGATGCCAGACGGCACGTGGGCTGAATGCTGCAACTCCTTCCGACCATTCTATTGCAGGAAGCTAGGCAGGCTGACCCGCAAATCGCGCTGGCCATTGATCGATGGCTTACCAGTGTGGCGGTTACAACTGCCCCTCCGAGAAGCATCAACATATTCTCGAATGGCAGAACACGTGGTAGGTACTTTTCGTCTACGAATGCTCACAAGAAGAGTAGGGAAAACTCTATAATGGTGAGCTGGATGGCTCACATATGTGTGGCAATGGTGGATGTACCGAGCGAAAGCATTTCGTATCGAAGATCGCCAGAAGCACCTCGCTCGCAACAACTGCGTTCGCAATGGCCATTGTCTAGGCTGCAACCCGCCATGAATGACTCAACTGAAACTTAGCAATTCCGAAGCCTCCAAATCGTGTGGTTCAGTGGTTGAGAAGAAAAAAGAGGTCATCTGGTTATGCCCTTACAGCGGGCTGTTCTGGGTCGCAGTGAAGTTGTGGCCAAACCTCACAGGCATCGCTCAAGAGAGGCTCAGGCACATGCAGCTGCAGCTTTCCTAGCACGACATAGGCCATTCCGTTCTCCCACAAGGAAAATCTTGATGGAAAGTCAGGCCAATCAGTGTGGTTTCGATGTCTAGCACCATCCACAGACGTTCACGTCACCCCTTTTTCTGTATATTCGTCTAATTCACGCGCTATTTCCACGCTAGTGCAAAGCGCTACTCCACACGAGCATTTTGCCTTCCATGGCAACCCCACGACACTGCATGTTACCACCTTCCTTTACGAGCTTACCCCGCACTTTTTGTACAGTGGACTCTTCAAATGTCGATTTTAATATTGCTCAAGTCGCTCCAGAGGAGCTAAGCCTTTTGCCAGCCCGGAATGATGTCAAGTTTGACTAGAGCGAAGCGCTGATGTATCCTTTGAATTTTTATTTTTTTAGTTCATCTACCACATTGATTTTGTCGCACTCGCGAGGACCACACATCAGCACACATCAGCAGCATCGCGTTCTCTACGGATCGCTGAGTGTAGGACTAGAGAGTGCGGGCTGGCCTCAGCTAGTGCTAGAGTACCCCGGATAGTCTACGTTGTTTCCTGGGGTTGTGAGTAGGTTACTCATCATCCGCGTGATCCTACTAGCGAATAAGGACTATCCAAACCCCCGTTTCTAGAAGGTAACTTCAGCGCGGGAAATGGCTTGGATTATGGCAGGGGCGAATTGTTTTCGTGGATCACCTGCTGTGCTTTGCTTTTGGCTACGGCTGGCTGGAGGCTGGAGAGGGTTCGCATTGGTGGAGATGGCTGAGACAGAGCTGAGTGGGCAAGGGAGAGTATCATATATAAGGATTGTGCTTGGCTCAAAAATATGGGTATAAGATCGTTGGCTTTGAGCTGTGTCGGAGCGTTGTTCATTTGTTGACTTTCAAGATGAGGTGGTCGACTCTCCTCCCCGTGCTGCTGGCCGCTAGTGCTCACGCATGGATGCCTCAAGACCGAAACCTCGCCGCTTTCAACCGCAACTACAACGCACACGGAAAACGTGTTGCCGCGCTGCCGAACAAAATCCGAGGTGTCAATCTCGGCGGCTGGCTCGTCTCGGAGCCGTGGCTAATGAAGAACGAATGGACTCAAGTCATTGGATGCCCAGCCTGCTCGGACTGTAATAGCAATGGAGGGAAGTGCTCAGAGTTCGACTGCGTGAGCGCAATAGGGCAATCTGCGGCTGATTCGGGGTTCAACAAGCACTATACGGGATGGATTACACCTGCGGATATACAGGACATTCATGATGCGGGACTGAACACGATACGGATACCGATTGGGTACTGGAGTCTGCGGGAGCTTGTGGATAGTAGTGAGCATTTTCCCAACATGGGGGATCTGAAGTATCTAGATGCAGTGATCCAAAAGGCGGCGGATCTGGGCATGTTTGTGGTCATGGATCTGCATGCTGCTCCCGGCGCGCAGAAGACAAACGATGCGTTCACTGGACAGGTGAGGCGGACTGAGCTCATGATGAACCACATCTTATACCTGACTGTATACAGTGTCTTCCACCCGCATGGCTACCTGGGTTTTTTATCCAGAGGAACTACGACCGAGCCAGCAAATGGCTTTCCTGGATGACGCAGCGAATCCATAACACGCCATCCTACGCGCAGACCGTTGGAATCATTGAGGTCGTCAACGAGCCGCAGTCCTCCCGCGAAGGGATGCCTGCCGAAGAAGTTAACACCTTCACGCAAGTCTACTACCCGCAAGCGCTAAAGGCCGTGCGCGACGCTGAAGCCGCGCTCAACGTGCCCGCCAGTGATCGGCTCCACGTCCAGTTCATGGACAAGCTCTGGAGCTCCGGCGACCCGAAAGCGCACCTCCCCTCCGACTCCGCCATCATCTTCGACGACCACAACTACGTGGGCGGCGCCGTCGGAGCTATCAGCCACCCCGGCAAGCCCCAGGATGTCAAACAGGCCGACTACATGTGGTACACGTGCTACACAGACGACAGGCTCTCGGACGGCGACGTGCCCAAAGTCGTTCAAGAGTTCAGTCTTACAGTCGACGGGGCGGTCGAGGGGAACAATGAGTTCGCTTGGGATGCGAGCCAAAATCAGGCGTTCTATACACAGTGGTGGAATGCGCAGCAGCGGCTGTACGAGCAAACGAACGGGTGGATATTCTGGACGTGGAAGGTTGGCAATGAATTGAATAATCCACGTTGGTCGTATCAACAGGCGGTCGCGCGGAAATGGATTCCTGGGAGTGCGGCAGGACTGGAAGGGACGAGGGCAAACGATGTGTGTAAGACGTACTTTGGGACGAGTGATGGGAGAAATTAGGTGAGATTACGGCACTCCCAGCAGCATTCGATTGATGCTTCTGTGAGAGGAACCTCATGTTTGTGACGTGGTAGTTGCAAAAGACCTGAATTCACGCCGGCTGACACGACATTCGGAAACGTAGGTGCGTACCTCATCCTGTGTTAACTCATTCTACTACACGTTCATGAACTTGTCGTGTAACAAGTTAGGGTGGATATGCACAATAGGGTCCGCCTAACGGATGTCTACCATTCTGTTGTGATATGGCTGCTAACTTCAATAATTTTGGTTCTACTGTAGATGCCCAATGCGTTCGTACCCAAATCACGTTGCGAATGCCTATCCGATCATGCTCGCCCCGCCACTAGGGTGAAGAAAGACAGACTTCTCAATGCTGAACTCATTGATCCCCCAGATGCTATTAGAACTTCCCCACCCAGAGCCCTTCACACCTTTGATAGGAGCTCCCGGCGCGTCCGAGCAGGTCACGTTGTTGATGTGCACCTGGCCGTACTCCAATCGCTTCGCAATCTCATAACCACGCTCCCAACTCTTGCTATGCACCGCCGCATTGAGGCCGTAGGCCGAGTCATTTGCCTTTTCGACTGCATCGTCGTCATCTTCTGCCATGTAGACCGTTGCTGTAGGACCGAACGTTTCTTCGTCGAAGATACGAGCATCGCGGGATACGTTGGTGACGAGGGTAGGCTTGAGGCTCGTCTCGCTGAGATACTCGAGCCCGCCCACTAGGAAGGTGGCGCCCTTGTCTTGTGCGTCACTGAGGACATCGTAGGCATGCTGTATAGTATAAGCAACAAGCATCGGTGCGGCCACGTAGGCGAATTAGAGCACAGGCTTGCCTTTGCGGATTCCTTGGTGACAGCGTCACCGGCAGTGGGAATGTGAGAGAAGATCGCGGTAAGGTACTTCACGAACTCATCATAGACGGCGCGATGAACGATAATGCGCTCCGTCGAGAAACATAGCTGGCCATGATCCGCCACCGCTAGACGCGACACGTTAGCACTCCTTGTTGCGAGATATACCGAAACGACCTACCACCCATGGCACACATCTTGGCCGCCTGTTGAAGATCGGCGTCCTCGAGAACAACAGCTGGCCCCTTGCCACCAAGCTCCATCAAGACAGGCTTGAGATATTTTGCGCAAAGCTGACCAATCTTGCTACCCACGGCAGCACTGCCGATAAAGTCCACTTTTCGAAGTGACTTGTGTGCGACGATGGCTTCAGTGACGGCGGCAGCATCCTCTCGCCTCGCTTGAATCATGTTGATGACGCCGGATGGAATGCCCGCTTCTTCAAACGCCTCAAGCAACAAGTGGTGTGTCCGTGGCGACAACTCCGAGGCCTTCACTACAACAGTGCAGCCAGCTGCGAGCGCCATGCTCAGTGCTCGGACCGGAAGTATCACGGCACCGTTCCACCTTTCATGATCAGTCTATCGTGGATAATGCTTCAAGTGCTGACTCACGGTGGAATGATCATCACTACCCCGACTGGTTCTCTAACCGTGACTGTCAGGCCGCCCACGTCCGCGCCGCCCTCTCCAGTCGCGTTTTGCGTCACCACGCCCCTTATCTCGGTCGTGGCAGAGGCTATCTCTCGCATCCATGCTACGGATCCCATGTTGAACTTTGCAAACATCTCCGGGCAGCTGGTTTCCGCCACCTGTGCTTGCATCACTTCCTTACTTTTCTTCTCCAGTACATCGGCAGCTTTCAGAATAAGTGATCGGCGGTGCGCAGGTGTTGTCTTTCGCCATTCAACGAGAGCTGTAGCGGCAGCTTCGACAGCCAGGACAGCGACCTTTGGCGAAGCAGAGACGGCGTAGTGGATAGGCTTGTCTTGAACGGAGGAGATGACAGGAAACAGGATTTCATCTTCAGAAGAAGGATGTGCTTTGCCATTGATCCAAAGCGGAACTACCGGAAGGCTGTCGGGCGACAGTGGATGTGTGATAAAAGGCATAGTTTTCCTTTTTTTACTTGAGACGTTCCGATATGGGCACAATGCTCTGAACGTGCAGAAGAACCTTCGGTGGTTAGGATAACATTTGCTGGATAGCATCTCAAATGATTTATATAAGAAGGTTTGTGTGCCCGAGACGCCGTAAGCAAGCGCTCTCCCGGCCTTAGCATCTGCCACATCTCCGCTGATCCTACATTGCACACACTTCGCCGAAAGAAGGTACCTTTTCGTGCAGCATGACGTTAGCACCACGACTTCAGGAAGAGTTCTGAGCCATAGGCGTTAAGCTCAGTCGCATGCCCGACCATAACTACATGCGTTTCGAGAAGGTACATTGGCCAAGAGGGAAGCGCGATCAAGTAGCCAGCTTTGGATTACAGTGTCTGACCTGAAGACCGTACTTCTAGATCACACCTCGTCCTGTTGGAACCCACTGCCATATAAGGTTATGAAAATACCCGTTGATGGTTTATCTTCAATTCTTACTGCTACAAAATTCCAAGTTTTATTGTCGGCCAGTGGATGTTTCTGAATGCTCTAACCGATTTGGGCAGGGTTCGGGCTCCCGTCAATTCGGGGAATCGATGTTGAAGTGGGGACGATAGGCGGCGTGCCTTAATATGCACTTTGGCCGTCTTACGTCACAGGAAACTTAGGTATATACGACCAAGGTGCACATCCGAAAGATGTTCTCGCCATTCCGTAGCGTTTCGTTCTCCTGCATTGCTCGCAGGCTTCTCTTTGTCTCCAGAAGGGAATCTGCCTTGGACCGAACTACGCCGCATCGCAACGCCCGGCTTACATGATTCACATCAACACCATGCATGACCGCCTATCAGACCGCACGACTTAGACTTCGCGATCACAACTTTTCTCGCTTTCAGCTCCGTGGCTGCGATGAATCACATGTGTTGTCTTTGTAGGGAAAGAGCTGACTACACTATCACCCTGGTGGCGCTGCTTCCCTTGTTCACTTGCGACTAGAGAAGCCACACTCGGGGTACCTTACTTCCACCATGGCGACCTTCGTGCTTATGCATGGCGCTTTACTCTTTTTGCAGTCTCACCTTCATCTTCACCTCGACCGCGGAGCTGAAGTGGGTCTAAAATAAGAGAACGAACCTACAAATCTTCACGACTCTCGAACACGTCTTTCCACCAATTCGCTCACCCGTCGCACACGAATTCTCACGTCCGCTGTACACATCGTAAACATGCAGTTCTCACTCTCCATCCCGGTCTTCGTGTGCGCCTTCCTTGATGTGATTTTGGCGGCAGATGTGCGTTCGAGCAACCCCGCGATTATCATGGTCCCTGGAGCCTTCCACTCGCCCCAAGTTTTCGACAAGGTGAAACATCAGCTCTCTCAAGACAAGTTCCTCGATCCCATTGCTCTGCCCTCAGTTGGGCATGTGGTTGGTCGACAACCCGACATTGAAGCTGTCAAGTCGGTTCTCTGTGAGAATTCCAGGACTTTTTTCCTACTTCTTCCCTAACTCTGCCCAGACAAGCATCTCAATGCGGGCCGGGATGTGGTTTTGGTTGGTAACAGTAAGTCATAGTCCACGGACGCGCTATATAGCTTAACGGGTCACTGATGTTGGACAGGCTACGGTTGCACTGTTATTGGAGAAGCTGTCAAGGGCGCTCCTCGCTACTCAGCCTCATCATCCAGCGCTCTTGTTGCCGGATCCAAAGCCCGCGGTCGCATCGTCTCGCTCATATATCTTGCCGGCTACATCCCCACCATCCAGGAAGTGGATCATCCCGAGACCAAGCAGGATATACACTTCGTTTCTCCCGCATTATTCAAATACCACGACAACACGGGCGAAGTCACGTCGGACGGCGACAAAGACCTTCCTCCCCAGAAAGCCTTCTACAACCTTTTGCCGACGAAGGAGGCTGATTACTGGACTAGCAAGCTCAGCTTCTCCTCGTTTGACGCCTTGAACGCTACTGCGACATACATCCCATATGCGGGAGACTTTAACGTGGTTTACGTTGTCGGAAGTCAGGACAAGTCGGTTCCACCTGCGTGGGCGCAGACTTTTATCGATCAGCCGGGTGCCAGGTTCACCGTTGAGCATCTTGACGCGGACCACGTTTCGATGTTGAGCAAACCAAAGGAGGTAACCGACCTAATTGTTAAATACTCCAAACATTCCGTATTTAGGCACTATTACGATACAATTGGGTGATATAGACCATGACGTCTCGTACATAATGTGATGGAGAAACCGGAAGGAGAAGACACATGTGGATGCGGTTAGGTGATCTGTACACTTAGTTGGAAGTTTTGATAATGGGATGTGGAAGAGAATTTGAGTTTGGAACCAAAAGGTACATTTATATCCATGCCTTCTGTGTGCAGCCCGTGCCTTCTCGAAGGATGTGAATCCATGCCACACGCACGGTTCGAGCTCTCAAGCTGCCTAGGGGTCCTCGGTTGCAACGCTGCATTCACAAACCGTTTAACACGGCATTACGAATTAGTTGAAGCCAGAGGCTTGCATGCCAAGGTTTAGCAACTCTAGCTGCCCTAGCTTATCATTTGCTGATCTGCAGGGCGTGCTTCCGATGATAAAGAGAGAAAGCCGCGCTATCCGTTTCTTTCAACGGAACAGACGATTAATCCCTGCTACGATCGGTGGATTATTGTGTGGCGTATTGTCGACAGCAGAGCAAACAAGTTTGTTAGAGTAGGATGAGGGAATAGTTATCGACTACAGAGAAGCAATGAGCACGATTTGAACTCAGTTTCCCGATGAAGTACGAATGGAATTCAGAAGCCATGCACGCAGATGACGGTGGTAAAGGAAGAAAAGTCTAGAGAAGAGAATGCAAACCCCGCGCACACGTTTCTCTCGGCACTCTCGCCGTCATCTTCCCATGAAGACATCACCACAGGCCTCTGTCTCCTTGTGCTCATGGTACACCACGCACCTGCTCCCCCTCCACGGCTTGCAGCTCTCCCACCGCCGCCCATAACACGCCTTCCTCCTCCTCGCCACACCCTTTCCTTCGTCCCCCCCATCCAGCACTCCGCCCCTTCCATCCTCCCAACTCGCCACCCCAACCCCCTCCTCGTAACATCGTATACACCACGCACAACAACACTCATCGCACCCCACCGCCCCAATCCTCGGCGGCAGCACAGCCCTGCAGTTTTCACATGACCGCGTCGTATGCCAGCTCAGCGGCAAGAACCCCCTCAGGCGATGTCTCTGCATGGCCTGGCTGCACGGCTTCTTCAACCGTACGCACAAGTCGCGCAGGAACTTGGCATGCCAGGTATCCGCATGCGTCGCGAGAAGCTTGTCCGTCTTCTTGAACGCAAACAGGTCGAGCACGAGCTGGCGGATCTTGGCACCCTCGTCGATGTCGTTGTACAGGATGCGCGTGTCCGACGGCGTGAGCACGCTGTTGGTCGAGTCAGCGAGGTCCGCCATCATATCCACAATGTGGTTGCGCAGGCCCTCGAAGCAGAAGCGGTCCGCGAGGATGTATAGATGCAGCAGCGTGTAGTAGGCGGGTTTGCCGTCTTTGAAAGGGACCGGCTTGATGGCGCCTGTGTAGAGCCAGCTGACGAGGAGCTCGAAGATTTCCACGGACACGTCATCGAAGCGGATAGACTGGTCTGTGGCTTCGAGGAAGGGGCCTGTGAGGGCGACGCGGAAGTAGGGAGATTGCTGGGTGAGCAGCGAGGTATGCAAGAGGAAGCGCGTTGACTTTGAGCCAGTTCCGACAAGGATCTCGGACGTCTTGGTGAAGTGGTCGGCCGTTGGTCTGAGGATTGTTAGTCTTGTAAACAGGCGAGTAGTATATTAGTTGCGGTGGCGCCACTCTCCGACCTTGCGGAAGGTGGCACATCCCTTGCAGGCAAACTCACCTTATAGATCCAGCGGGTGTACCAGGAAGCGCCGTGTATGGCGGCGGCAATGTTGTCGGAACCCGTGTCATCTTACCTTTCAATTATACGGCTTGTAGGTAGGGACAGTACTTGAGAAGCTGAGCGCTGAACAGGGTCGCAGCAGGTCACGAGAGGAGCGGATAGGTCCGTCGAATGAGGTACCTTGGGGACCCGACTCCATTTGAGGACTCTCATATACCCCGTTCGCGTGCGGCAGTCTTTCAACACCTAAGGAATGTATCGCCAAATATATCAAAGACAATCGCGTTTGTTGTCCAGTGGCCTCCGGTGTGGTCGACCGCGCGCAGCTGTGATCCAGAGGACAAAGAATGGAGCGTCCACGCTAATACGGTTCCGGGAATGGAGTGGCACGCTCAACACAGCAGCTCGCAATTCTAAGCCACCACCAACATTAGAAGAGAAAATAGAAGGGCGCAGAGAGGCAGTGTGGTGACAATGTCAAAAGAGTTAGAATATCGAGAAGCCCGGGCGCATAGGCAATCTGAGCGACAAGGCTCACCCACCAGCTAAAATACAATGTTCTTCTTCGATAGCTACTACCTCTCCCTAAATACTGGAGACCTAGGCATTCAAGCCGTGAGAACTAGGCATTTGCCAAACGGTACTGAAGTGAGAAACGGGCATACTAAAGATGCCGAACCAGAACCTTATACGCCGTGCTACCAGGTACATCCAGGGTCTCTATTGAGACATGACAGGCCAGTCAATCTCGTTCTTCGGAACTGAAAATGCTCACAGACGTTGGGTAATTGAGGGTTCCGTTCACACTCAGATCCGGTGCTTTTCCGATTCTAGCTTGAGTAAGCTTCAACGACCGTAGCCGGGCTGTCCGGGGACCTCACCAAGGCGCGAATAGAGCATATATAATGCCATTTGGTTGCATTCCTGGGTCCCGGTGATCGTGACAAGGCGCTCGTTGCTGTTGTCGGTCGGTTCGTTGATCTTGATGACGCTACCGCTCAATTGTCTAATTTCGTTGATCTTAGCACCACCCTTACCAATGATGGCTCCAACCATGTCGTTGGGAATATAAATCTGTTGTGTGAGTGGCTACGACCATGTCAGCGATGTTCTCGTTCTCTTGGTGTTCATGTTGCCATTCTTGGGGGGCTCCGAAATAACTTACCTGACCAGGTACCTGAACGGGGGTTTGGGCGGGCACTGCACCGTGGCCATGTGCAACTGGGGCAGCAGGATGTCCGCCATAGGGACCAGGCTGCGGCGTAGGAGCGCCGTAATGAGCACGCGCGGGCGATCCAGCGCCATACGGCATGGCTGGTTGGCCGTATGCTTGCTGCGGAGCCTGTGTATGCATACCATACTGACCTGGGTGCTGACCATGTACTGGAGTGCGCTGGGCAGGATGGGCCTGCTGCCGACGGTAGTTGTCAGGGTAGTTGTACTGACCACCGGCAGGCTGAGGAACGTAGGGCTGAACGGACATGCCGCCAGGAACAACGTTCGCTGCAGTACCACTGCGAGTGGCATATTGGGAGGCTGCTGGGCCACCGAAACGCTCCGTCAGCTGCTCTACAAGAGTTTGTGCAACATAGTAGACTGCAATGTGCACAGCATCCGCGACACCCAGCACGACAAGAGAGCGTTCGCCGGAGTTGGGCAGCATGGTATCTGAAGCGTTTAGCTTGGCATTGGACGCTTCCTGAATCTCGCGTATGCGGACCCCACCCTTGCCGATGATGGAGCCGATGAGGATGTGAGGAATCAGCAAACGCATGGGGTAGCTCTTTGAAGTGCCAGTGGAAGCAGTCTCAAGATCCTCTTGGTTGAGGGTACGCACAATGAGGCCAAAAGCCTATATATGTTAGCTGTGGTTGGAATGTGGCATTACGGGGAGAAATACCTTTGATACAGCATCCACCTGGCCACTAACCGTCAGGATGCGCTCTACAGCACCCCGCGAGTAGTCGCTGACGGTGCACTTGGCGCCGGAGAGACGTCGGATCTGGGTAACATTTTCGCCACCCTTTCCGATGATGGTGGCAGCCTCGCTGGTGCCAATGCAAGCGCGCAGGTGCAGCCAGTTGGTCTCGTCTTGGTGCTGGGTGTTGCTAGCGGGACGGCCATTGGCACCGGATGTGGACTGGATGGGCTGGGTGTCAAGCGAGGGAACGACGGCGGGTGCATCTGGGAGCACAGTGTCCGTCTGGGCGTCTTCCTTAGCACCATTCTCGTTGGGCAAGGCTCCTTCGGCATTTACCTCGGCGCTAGCATCGCCGTCGGCCTTTATGTTCTCGGGCGCAATGTCCTCAGCCTTCACTGGCTGTGCCGTGTTGATGTCCTCGGCAGCAGGCTCGTTGACGACCTTGTCCAGCGCAGGGCGCTTGGCGTCGGGCTGGTCATTGGGGCCGGAGGGCGACGAGGGTTCCTCGAGGGGCCGCTTGGTGGAGGTCGCAATGGTTGGTGAAGCAGACATGGTCGCTGGAGAGTTGCTGCAGCCAGCTACTTTTGGTAATTCTTCACGAGCTCAAGCGAGGCTGGAATTGGTATGATTGAATTGATTCGATTCTTAGCCACGTTATGTACAGCGGGGGCTGCTAAGGAAAACGTGCTGGTGCTGGCGAGGGATGGGACTGCGACAGGGCGAGGGGCGGAAGGCAGGGTCGTCGGAAGCTGGGCTAGGCTGGGAAGCGTGCTGGAGCGGACGGAGAGAAGTCGGATGAGAGAGCAGCGTCTCGATGAGAGGTGCCGCGGGAGCTTGTGCAGTGCAGCGAAGTGTCGAAGGGAGAGGTGTAGCTTGCTTGGGACGTGCGTCGATGGTGAGGAGAAATTGGCCTAAGTAAAGAGAAAGCTCGCTCGTCAAACCTTCCTGTGGGACAAGCAGCCGGCGTCTCAGATGTGAGGGCGCGTCTGCGTCTGCGCAGTGCTCGAGGCAGGAGCTGGCAGATATGGGGAAGGAAGCGAAGGCAAGCGCGAACGGGGAGGGGTCAGTGGAGAGCAGGTGGAGTGCAACGAAAAGAAGAGTCGTCGCTGCCGTCCCAGCCAAAAGCGAAGCGGAGGCGGCAGCTGCTAGCCTAGCGCGGCCCTAGCGCCTCGGCGGGCTGCACACGTCATGTGACCATCTTTTCGCGGGCTCTCACGGTGTGCGTGCTATCACCTCACTGTAGCACTGATCGCTAATCGCACTGCAAATCTGCGCTCTACTGGCTTGCGACGGAACACGTTACGGTGATCAAGGACGAATGCAGACCGGTTGCACGCCTCGCCCGGTCGCGACTTCCTTTCGCGGCAACAACACGCACTCTGCTCTGGCCTCACTCCTCTCCGCAAGATGGCGCAGTTACACGCCGATGTCATTGCCCGTATACGGAAGTCCATGGCGGAGACGCGCGATTTGCAGTCTGCTACCATGGATGTTGACGCGTCTGGCACTGAAGCGCGTCTCGACCAGACCGTGCGGGAGCTGCAAGCACGCGTCAACGAGCAGCACGCCGCTCTGGAGCAGGTGAGAGGACATTGCCGAGTCGTGAATGGAGAATCGCTGATGTACCGAAGCTACGCCGCTCTTCGCAAGTCACTATCCAGCAGGCAGCCTACGCGTCTGACGAGCCACGTGAGAAACTGAAGCAGCTGCGCGCAGTGAAGGAAGCGTATGCAAATTTAACACCGACTGCGCCGTACCTTCCATCACCAGACTCAGTGCTGCCCGCCTTGATTGCAGCACGCACGCTGCAGCAGAACGTGCAGGGCACCAAACAAGCCATTGCCAGCACTGAGGCACAGATCACATCTGCTGAAGCTCTGCTCAGAAACGAAGAGGCCAATCTTCATGACGCGAACCTGATCCGGCAAGCTCTCGGTGGCCGGACAGTGAGACTGGAAGCTCAAATCGAAGACCGGTCACAGAAAGCACCTGCACAGCTTGCGAAAGAACTCATGGCTGCGAAACGTGCCCAAAAGAAAGCGTACGATGACGAGACGCAGCGCTTGGGAGATGCCCTCAATGATTTCATCGACAACTATCTCTCCGCTATGCTTGCTGCAGAAGAGCTTGGCGGTCCTGTCGTTGGAGATATGCTGAACGTCGAAAACGAAACCCTCGCAGCCGGCTTCACAAAGAAAGGCAAGGCAAAAGCTACGAAGAAGCCAGTGTCTGAGAAGACGCGGCAGCGTAGGATCGACCAGATTTGGGGCAACAAAACGGCTATTGACGAGGAAGAGGATCCGACGACTGAAGCCGAAGCTGCCGACGCCGAGATGCGTGAGCTCATTGGAATACTATTCGGGACTTTAATTGGGCCGCGCGGCGGCAGAGCCTATCACCAGCTGGAGAGGGACTCTGCTGCCTCGCGCTTCCTCGTGAGGGCCAAGATCGCCCAGTTCCATCCGAGAGATGCGCAGAAGCTGCGACTTATCGACTTTGGAAGGGAGCTTGATGATTAAGAGCCACGTTGTAAAGTGCGCGACACAGTTCAAGCCCCGCCTTTAAGGACGAAGCAGCCCGGAGTGCTTGCAGAACGAAGGCAGCGGCCAGCCCTGACCTTGCCAGTCTCATCAGCCTCCCAAAGGGCGCAAAGGCAGTAGCATGGGAAATGGGTCCACTAGCTAGGCGTCACGATTCAATATACACTACAAATCCTTGGTATCAGTCACCAAAATTCTCCATATCTCGGCCCTATGAAAAATGCACGTTTGCGTCATCAATCTGTGGTGTATGATGATGCGCTTGGTGATCACAATCTGCATATCAAAGATAAATAATCGCCTTTCTCGAGCTGGGATTTCTTCTTCACACTTCACCTTCCAGTTGCTTGACTAGAAGAAATAATCGGGAGAGCTGGTAGGCTGTGAGATTGTGGTTCGAAAGAAAGCAGGAACGTCTAATGGGGAGTGAGGCGACCCTCGAAGTCTCAAAGACTCGACATCTTACTGGTATAGATGCACGTTAACATGACGATTCTTGGGCTATGGTCATATGTCTCATCGATCCTGCCGCCATCAAGATTAATCCTTCGTGTCATGTCCCCATAGACGAAGGTATATGAGCTCTCCTGGAATCTTCAGGCAATGTTTTGCTTGCTGATGGCGGCAAGGAAAGCGATCAATCCATCAAGCGGTTGCAGGCTTTCAAGAATCGCTTGTTGCTATTGGGAATGGATACAAAAATGATTTGCTGAAGTCGCGGTGGAAGAGAAAATATCGTAGATGGCAACTGGCATTGAGCGTCTCTGGGCGGGCTGTGGCTGTGCATGTGGCTGGCTGTGGCTTTCAAAATCGAAAGCGGCAAAGCGTGAGGATGAGGTTGCCACTCTCAACCAGTTCTCAATTCCGATCCCACTTTCTAACTATCTCCACATGATCACGAAAACACCTCCTTCATCGGCTATGTGAACGAGTTAGCCTCTGGACATGCTTCTGATGCACGTGACGGGGCCTAGACTCCGGTGGGGGTTCTTCTTCCATCCTGTGTCTCAGAACCAGTCTGAGCATCGTTTCAAAGATGCCCGGGCAGGCACGATCTACAGAAACACTGCCAACTCGTCCTAGCTCTGAGATACAAGCTTTGACTAACGACGATCACGGGAAGAACCAGAATGACAGTAAACCGCTGTGAGTAGAGACAATTCGCAAAGAACGAAGTCATGCCCCAACAAGTGACTTTCCTTTGTATTTGGCTGGGGAACCTGAGGCTTCCTAGCACGTTTCATCCAGCCTCTCTCAGCCAGCGCGCGGTTCAGTGTCTCTTGCAGAAGCGACGGACCGAATTTGAATTTCCCCAGCCGTCCCTCTTACGCGTCGCAATGATGAACTCCGCCCCACCTGAGGCATCCCCGGACCAATCTCAGGACTTGGCGAGCTATGAGGCGGTTATCTGCGCTGGCGATCCCCGTGCACAGTTCCCTATGCGGCGGTAACCATGCTCAGGAATCACGACCATCCGGTTTCAGTATGAGCCTCTTGTTCCAGGCATACATCATTTGCACAAGCAGTATGATGCTTGTCCGTATGGCCCTCCTCGACGACGGGTGACATGGTATTAAAGGCAGAGACGCCCAGCTATTCCAGCTGTATCCAACTGCTCCGTTCTTGAACAACAACCAAATCATTTTTAATTTACAATTTCCTTGCTACACTCCTTTGTCGCCGGGCGACTTGCTTTCTCTACAAAATCACGAACTTTGATACCCAATCTTCCACATAATCATCATGAAGTTCACCGCCGCCATCGCTGCCATTCTTTCCATGGCCGTCGTCACCATCGCCGCGCCGGTCGCTGTTGCCGAGGCAGAGGGTACGTTCAGATCGGTCGATGGTCGTTTTGCTCATCTTGCTGACCCGCTGCATAGCCCAAAACCACGGAATGTGCGTCTCAAGTGACGGCACAACCGTCACCCAGATTACGGGCTGCTAGACCAATCTGGAGGTGCGGCGTGTGATGCTACCAGCCGAACAAATACACACGAATGTATAAGAGGTTGCTGAGACGAGCGGATCAATCCATCTGATCAGCAAATCCTTGAGTGATGGGTGTAGCAACGCTGAGCACTCGACCGAGCATCGTCATCTGGACACAGGGGAAGTTGCAAGTGCGGCTGGAGATACACAATGAATGAATAATAAAAATAATATGCACCTCCACCCATTCTCTCTATGAAGATCGGGATGTGCATTGATGAACGTAATCAAGGCAGTGTTATCAGGCGTAACGCTCTATTAAGACCATATCTATTGGTAAGCCTGCAACTTCATGTAGCTTGCAACGTGTGCAGTGTGTGAGAGATTGGTGGTGGTAGTTGCGAAGCGTCCGGGTAGCCTAATCCCGATTCGGCAGTGACGTACACACGCCTTGTTTCGCTAAAGACTGTTGACACTGTCTGCCAAATTTTAATCGAAGGCAGTTGGTCCTCTGTTAGACTTTCTGTGAAGGTGGCTTGTATACGGTTGATGAGCGTGCGTGTGGTCCTGGAGATCGATCTTTGACGGTGGATCGAATGGTCGAAGCCTGCATTGCGTCATGGCCGCACGCACCGTGCCCCCCCATGACTGTCCAGGTTTCTCGACAATATATCGCCGTGGTCTTGATCATTGTAGTGTCTACAATTGGTGTCTGCAATTGCTTAAACTCGCGTTTCTTCTCATCGTTCTCTCACAGCCATCGAAAAACAGTTGACCCTTGCTTTGCGCTGCACAGTACTACTGTCAGGCAGCTGGAGCGGATACTATTCACTTTTTCGTGCAAAGATACATGAATGGGCCTGGATTTCCGGGCTACGCGCTCCATGAAAGGCTCTTTCGTGATGGGAACTGCCCTAGTGCAGTATGCAAGACGTGCCAGACCACGCCTTCCGTTTTCACCGGAGACATCCGGATCAGACGCGTAAACGCGTGACCAAACAGGCAACAAGGATTGACCTCGAAACTCTGGACGCTGGGAGAACCATAGGTGGCCTTGCAGTGAAACGATGGAATGCTCTTGAGCGACTCGAGGCATGTGTGTAGGCGAGTGCCCACGGTCGAAGAGCGTCGATTCGAGCGAGCTATGAAATCTGCACTCGAGCGGGCACGTTATAGTAGGGAAACTGTCGAAGGGTAAAAGGAGCGCTCTTGCCGTTTGTTTTCGCAAGATGTCACCTGGCGTCTAGAGCACGGCAGGCGCAACGCGTTGACCTGATCATCGAACTTTCAACAAACTTCACCTTCACCTCTCTCTGATCTACAAACTTCTCGCGCAGCACGGAAACCACATTCATCCTCCTCGAAGCCATCTACGGATACATCCTTAAGGATAACCGCTACATTGGCGTCATGAGCGGCGGTGTCGGATGGCGCAAAAGAAGTGAGTGGCCACGCGGTTTTAGCGATTTCCCTCACATATATATACTCATCACCTGTTCCCTAGTACATTCTCGACCGGGTGCTGCAAAATTGAATCAAGAAGATCGCGCCTTACCCGATACAGATACAGACAGCCTCCGCCCTCCGTCAGAGCGGTCAAACTGGAGAAACACCTTCCACAGTCGTCCAGGAACACCCAGCAGAGCCCCGACACCAACAATCTTCCACGTCGATACGGATGACGTCCGCCGGGACATTACACTGGATGTGCCCAACCCACGCAAAGCGACAAAGCCTAAGCTAGCACGTTATCTTTCGGGTTACCTGGCAGTAAAAGATGTATCAAAGGAGCCCGAGTTTAGTGTGCCCTGGCTTGAGATACCACCGGCTTCTAGAGAATATGTGGATCCCATGGCTTCTCTTCAGTCTGTTTTTTCGCATATGACAACCAACCCATCTTGCCCAATACCACTCCATTACAACAACGGCATCTTCCGCGTGTTCGAAGATTATCGAAAGGTTAGGGACGAGAAAGAGCGTTTGGACGATCTCCTGCATGAGACTTTTGAGGGGTATCGAGCGGTGGAGAGGTTTTTCGAGAAAGCCGAGGCTGAATACCAAGCGGAAATTCGTCGACTAGAGCTTCTCATTGCTCGCGGTACATCTGGCATGGATGGGTAAGCGATTGCCTATGTGTCACGAAGATCATGCTAACTATGACGCAGTGTGATCAAAGCACGGCGCGATTCTACCGTGAGGAGAATGATAGCTCACAAAAAGACAGCGTCGGAGGATTCTGCACTGGTATCTTTGGAGAATACTCCCACGGCACAGTTGGATGATCAAATCCGTATACGGAGCCAACAAGGTATGTACACGTTGTCAAATTTGGTTACGTCAAGGACATTTACGCTTCGAGTTGCTCGATGGTCGGGAACTAACGAAGTTTTTCCGCTCTCTACGGACCAGCTTACTTTCATCACAGGCCTTCTACATAGACCAGTGTCTCCGTCCAGCAAAATGGCGATGTTGTCCAGACGCTTGGAGAATACTCAGTCCACGAGCGACTTTATTGTTGGCACGCCACCTATCCAGGAGAGAAAAGTCACATTGTCCCGTAAATTGCAAAGCGAGCTCGACCTTGCGCGCCTTGCAGATCCTGGCATTAACGGCTCAGTTCCGCGCTCGGTCGACTCTGGATTTTCCGGTAACGGTGACCCATTGCCAGACGAAGTGGATCCTCAACTGACCATGGTGGGGCCTGCGATCGATCTGGAGGCATTTGTGGCTTTGAAGGAGCTTGGAAGCTTGGTTGCACGGAAGCGAGGGATTGATACAAACAGATTCCTCACGGGACTGATGCAACTATTTTCGATGGGCTCGGAGCATGGCCAATACGAGCTCCGCCATGGAGGTTTTGACGAAGAGATCAATACAAGCTCTTTCGATGCCGTTAATAACCCCGTCGAGGCTCCAACCACCCCGGAGCACATCGTGCGGCACGTTCGCTCACAACCTCTACTCTGGTCTGCGCAACGGTCCCGAAGACATTTCTCGTTCGAACCTGGAGATGATCAGCTCGCGGCGCTCGAAAGGGAGCTAAAAGCACATGGAATGGACGGCTCGTCTAACTCAAACGAAGTGGACGCTGCCTCCGGTGGACAAGCGTTACCTTCACAAAATAGTGTGTCGCACAATGCAGACACGCAAAAGCCTCCTAGGATACCATCTCCCATGCAATGGCCAGGGCTGAAGACCGTTCGACGCGGAAGTTCAAACTCCAGCATAAGGACTACGCTGCAAAATCCAGACACTAGAGAGCGGCGCAGCAGTCGGTCGAGCGTGTTGACTGCATTTCGTCAAGAATCTAACGGTAGCTCGCGACCTGTTGCACAGAGCAGAAGTAGTTCTGTGAATGCCTTACGACACGTCGAGGCATATTCGTCTGGCTCCGCTGGTGGCCTCGGGGCGCGATGCAATTTCGCAACTGTGGCGGCAGTCAGAGCAGTTGAGCAGGCGGATAATTTGGTGTCAAAAACCATTGCAGCCCAGTCCGCGTCGATAGCTCCCGCCTCTGGGTCATCCGCATGAGCTAGTCGTCTATCCGAAAAGGCACAAACAGAGAATTTTGCCTTATGAGCACGTATGACAGCATCCGGAAGATGCCAAATCATCAACTACCTGATCTATACCAATTCAGGATGCCAGGTTGATGAGGAAGAGTTAGGTGTTGACGAATAATCGCGCTTCCGTCAGATTCAACGAGGGGACCTTCCTAACCTACCTAGCTTAAAGATGTAACCACGGAACCATAACGCCGCGTCGTGAAAGCCGCTGGCTTAGTTTCATCACGTTGCACAAATCTCTCTTGGTTCAGCTGTATTCCTCCGCACATCCACTGTTACCCCGTACGAATGCTATAGCCGGGGTATGCGTCATATTTGGGGTATAGCCTATGGCGAGCAGAACAGAAGCAGCTTATTCGACCGCGTCGGAAGATTGGCATGTACCCGGTAACGAGATTGGAGTTCAGTGTTTTCAAACAGATTAAATTTCACATCTCACATCAGCAACTCTGATTTACCGCTCTGTGGTGCATCCGGTGGAGAGTAACATCTGCGCACTCTGGACGGCGATCTGAACAACCCTCCAGGAAGCCACTTACTTTATCGGCCCTTTGACTGGGTGGAGAGATTGGTGATCACATATCACAGTATGAGTTGCTAACAGATGGTGAGGTCCACGATTGCACGTTTCCGGCGCCGTTGTACCAAACCGGCACATTAGTCCCCTCTTCGGCTGATGCATCTTTCGTGCTTGGCGTCCTAACATGCACTAGAAACGATGAACGTCTGGTCATGGTGGCTGGGGCATTCAACTCGAGTGTTCTCGCAGCATCGATTACCCGTTCCACGAGCACACGCGTTCTTTCGAGGCCTGGACGAATGATCTTCACGGAGGAAACGTTTTGCGCCACCGTTCCCGTGTCGATCAACGCCACAGAGTGTGGCGTTGGGTGTCGGCTAAATGTTCGGCGGGAGGAAAGCGACAGCCGTGCCACACGTCGCGCCCTGAGCGAGTCTGCAGCGTCTCATCGCGTGATGATGCGCAACACATTGCGCTCATCAATTGCTTCATCCGACAAGCTACCTCGAGCTCTCGCCACACTTATTTTTAAGCACACGGCTCGGGTCTGACTCCGGCGCACACAGGCGGTAATTGCCGGTCTCCATGATGCGAGAGTCGGTGTGACGATGGCAGCTTTGCTGGCGGTCATGGGATTGCTGTGCGGTTGAATCACGGAAACACGAAGCCCATCACGATGACGCAAGAGATGTCGGCTGTAGACGTTGCTAATGCTAACGTAACAAACTGGTGGTTCTGCATGGCGACGGGAATGCGCACGTTTGGAGCTCCTTAATCTCGGCTCACTGGTGTATGGGAGCGTGTTGTGTGTTTTCGGGCGGCTAGGCGCGTAGTGGGCGAGTTGCCTACTCGCAAGCGATATGGCTGGCTTAGTTTCCACCCGCGCAAGCCACCAGATTGGCTGTTAGCAGAGCTTCCGTGGCCCAATCTGAAGGCTCGCCAGCGCGCATGCAGGGGACATTTGGCTCGAGGCTCTTTGGGGAACGGGACGCTTCACGGTACTGCGTGCCAGCAAAGGCGAGATGCTGCGCAGGTATAGCGGGCGAGACGAGTCAAGGTCACGGCGATGGCCGGGGGTTGAGGCTGGAGACGAGGTCGGTCTGCCGTCAGGTGGCAGATGTCATGGAGTGCCAGCGCACATGGTACGCCGCCGCTTTGATACGTACCGCTGGTTCCTTGGGGTTAGTGGGCCTCGGAAGGGCTGCTTTGGGGGAATAATTACCGGAGACACAGGATTGGCGTGCCACGGAGCTAATGGCGACAAAAGCCTCGTACAAACAACATTGTGTGGCAGCATTCGAGGGATTCTACGAAACGATGGGGGTGCCGCGTGGCACAGGCCTCGGTGCGGGCGCGACGACTATCAGCACCTGTTTGGGCGGGCGCGGGCTTCCAGAGCTTCGCGGAAGACGTAGGGCAGTGGCTGTGCACTGCACGTCGCCATCGCATAGGGACGTCAGGCGTGGTGTTCTTGGCCTAGCGGGCCCGCGAAAGAAAAGGTGCAGCGGCAGCGTACGCAGGGAGCACGGCCAGGCCTCAGACTGTCGCTGCGCGCCGCTTTTATCGTGCGGCGGCCTCGTCCAGCAGACGCCATGACCGGGCCCCCAAGCGCTGCCGTTTGATCCAGTGAAAGCTCGGTCGCCTAGCCTCATAAAAAGACGCCTGACCTCGCAGCCCATGCGCCGGCCCTATAGACACCTGTGGCTTGACCCCTGCGACATCTCTCCCGTTTCATCAAGTCACCTCTGGAGCTTCCCATCTCCCAACCTCACCTCTCTCGATGCTCGTAGACAGCCTGCGCTGCTCTGAGCTTCCCCGCGATGTTTCGCAACCGGTACGTTGAGCCTTCCGCCTGATGCCCGCAGACGACCTGCGTTGCGTGCGCGCGACGCGCCCGCCCGCCCAGCTCCCACTGTGTACCATTGCTGACCGCTCCGCAGAGCCAATTCGCAGAAGCCCAATGAAGAGCTTATCGAGACCTTCAGAGCGACCTTCCCTCATCTTGCTTCAACCTCGCGCTCGCATTCCCTCAATAATGTCCAAGGACCCTCTCTGACCGATGCGCTCGACGTAGCTCACACAGCCCGGTACGTTTCCGCCCCGGCGCGCCAGCGTTCGACCTCGCGATGCGCTGCCGACCACCCTTGTATCCCACTCTTGCATCGCGTTCCAGGACTCTACTAACGAAGCTTCACCTACAGTACTTTCGGCGACCACGAGGATATCAAGGATGCAGACCCGACGCCGCGCGGGAACAACGAACCATGGCGCTTCACCCCCTCTCTGCTCGACCCAAATAGCTTCGCATTCACCACCTTTGCTAACCAGCCACCGGGATACTACACTCCCACCCCCGGCGGAACCAACACTCTCTACCACAGCCAGGCTGGCGACCTGCACACTCCCGGATTCAGTTTCGGCCTAGGTACACCGCTATCTCTCCCCACTTCAGAAGGCGGCTTGCATGCTGGACAAGCAGCGCCTACCACGCAACTCCATGGCTTCAACCCGCACGCTCTCAGCAACCACCACCACTTCAGCAATCAGAATCCTTTTGCCATCCAGGCGCAACATGCGCCTGCTTTCGCACCACATCAATTTACCCACCAGCCTTCCGTCTTCGAACAACAACATGCGCCACTTGCGCAGACGCACGAGAACTCCCCCATGGACAACATCGTACCCGACGTAGAAATGCAGGAACAATCACCTCTGATTGGCTACGCACCGCAGACGTTCGAGGACCATGCTCCTGCTCCGGCTGCGCCGCTACCTGGAGAGAAGTAAGTATACATGATTGCTCTGACTCGTTTGGTCACGTTTGGCTGACGGAAAATAGTTTCCGGTATCACGTTACTTTGAATGCGCCAACTGCGATGATCAAGCACGCAGATGAGATTCCAGTGACATACCTCAATAAGGGACAAGCTTATACCATCTCCCTTGTTGATACGCAACCCATTCAGAACTCGTCAACTCCTGTCAAGTACCGGACCTTCATCCGGATTTCTTTCGAAGATGAACAACAACGACAACGTCCAGCTTCGTGTTGGCAGCTTTGGAAGGAGGGCCGCGGGACTAATGAGGCACATCAAAGAGGTGGCCGTTTGCAAGCCGTTGAGTTCGTCGATCCAAGCCAGGTGGGCGGCGGTGACATGCAAGGACGCCCCAAGATCGAGCTCGACACCGCTTCCTTTGATGGCTTCGCTGTTACGTGGTCGCCCGTCCACAACACCGCACCCGAATGTTCGCTTGCTGTTCGCTTCAATTTTCTTTCAACGGATTTCAGCCACTCCAAGGGTGTCAAAGGCATCCCAGTCCGACTATGCGCCAAGACTGAGTTGGTAACGAACGCGCCTGGGTCTCCGGGGAGCGGCAAGCAGAATGAACTTTGCTATTGCAAGGTGAAGCTGTTCCGCGACCACGGTGCGGAAAGAAAGCTGTCCAACGATGTCGCACACGTTAAGAAAACCATCGACAAATTGAAACAACAGATTGCTCAGGTTGAATCAGGCATGAAGGACTTTGGAAAGCGAAAGCGTAGTGGTTCGATATCCAAGGGCGCCCCAAGTCAAAGACCGGGAAAGGTGCAAAAACACAAGCGAACATGGTCTATGTCATCCAACAGCGAGTCTGGAGGTCGGCCAGCTGCTGAAGAGGACCTACACCTTAAGCTGGCCAGCCTACAGGACATGTTCAGTTCCACGAGGCCAGTCAGCGTGCTATACCTCAAGGGAGAAGAAAGCGATGATCCGGATCTTCATCCAGTACAGCTCACAGGCTCACCACCGACTCTCCAGAGAATAGATACGAACGTGAGTACCGACACGCAAATGTGGGAAAGACAGAGCGCGCACACTGGAGCCACGTCCTCAGTCGTCTCGCCAACTCCCAGCCATCAATCTATACACTCCGAAAAACGCAGAGGCTCGGCTTTTAAACATCCCACGCCATTCCCGCCCTCTCGAATGTCATCGAATGAATGGCGGAATCTCCCTCAGACTGCGATAGGCGACCTCAAACCGCAAGGTGTTACCGCTGGTTCTGATGTTCCCACCAAGGTCCAACGACCGTACGGCGACGATCATGCCCTTTCTGGGTGGATCGAAGCTTTAGGGGTCGATCAAACCTACCAACCGCCACCCGAGCCAATAATCAAGCCAGGTAAGTAACGATCATCGCTTCATACATCATATGCTAATTAAAGTGTCAAGTGGCATGTTTCTTCGTGCAGCCTCGCATTGCGGGTAAACAACCCGACGACAATTACTTCCGGGCCGTTTATCTCATGGACCGCACCCTCAAAGAACTCGTCGCCGGTATCGCGCGGAAGATCAACATCGAACCCACACAGGTCACTCGCACTATCCGAATTAATCAGAAGGGCTTGCAAATTCTTCTCGATGACGCTGGTGTGCAGGACATCCCGGAGCAGCAAGACATGGCTGCGGAATTCCAGGAGATCACACCTCCGACTCAACCCGTGAAACGAGAATGGGACGCAGGCCCAACGGACATCCAAGTCGATGGTGATATTCACGTAATCGAGAACGTAAACTCTACCGGCTACGAGCTCCGACTCCTTTACTGAACGCCAGCCATTCATGGCCTTGTTTGGCCTTGTTGCGGTCTTTATACTCGACCTCAAACTTACCATCCTAATGATCCCACGTAATGATATTGTACTATCTGTACACACTCGGAGTGTTGGCGGCAACATTTGGAGACTCCACACTGGTCCATTTCGATTCACTTCTACCTGACCACCTTTGGCGTTTCTACATCTTTTCCAAGATACCACAGCTCCCTCGCGAGCCTTTGTTACCTTTCTTTTGTTGCCTCGTTTTACGATACCCATTATTCTCCTCGTGAGAAACTTGCTTCGGATGAGATTGGATTTGAAGAGCGATATACACGCGGACAGATCTTGGCTTGAACTTATTACCCATACATACGATTTGGAGCGCGAATGGATGTGGTGTTTGTTAATGAAAGGGCGAGAGGAAAGGGAAGGGAAGGGAATATACACGCATGGATCGTACACGTAGTCCGTGGAGATGGACTTTTCGCTATGAAGCGGTACTCAGTTACTTTGGCAGAGATTGTCTCTTCCTGCTGAAATCTATCAAATACATCACCATCATACTTCACACTCTTCAGCTCATACTTCGCTAACTGCAGTTCGCACCACCAGAGCAGTAATCTACCGCCACCTCGAAGCGAGCCAAAGAATATAACCTCCCGTACTTCCGATAAGTTTCGGATAAGTCGCAATCACGTCGGATTCGCAAGCAAACGGCCCGCCCGCTCCCCAGCGCCAACTGCCCACACGGCCGGCCCTCCCACCTCAAAACGTATAGTGGCCCTTTCGGCCCATCCAGCCCAGCGCATATACCAACCCACGAGTCAAGCGCGAGAACCCCGGCCGCAGGCCCAAATTCCCATTGCGCAATTTCACACAAAATCGGAGCGCCATACCGAAGTCTAATAAGCATTGAAGTCGTGCATATCACACCAGGCATACATGGGAAGAGGTTGGGATGTCGAGGGCTTCGCACCGAGGTCGGCCCGCAAGGGGCTCGGCATGGGCTTTCTCTTGCAGGTGAAGGAATTGCGGATGGAGAGGTTTTATTCGGTGTGGCTGGGGAGGTTGGGATTAGGATTGGAGGGGTTCCCTAGCGCGGACGCTGGTGGGGATGTGAAGGGCCGCTGGTGGGGAACTTGGAGGAAACCTTCGTCGGATGCAACGAGACTTGATGTCATCCTGCAGCACGCCACTGACCACTCAGACGGGTGAAGTAGCGTTTCGGATGGGGGATGCGCTGGCGTCTCGGTGCTGTTGCGCGGTCGCGGGAGCGTCTCGTGTCAACTTTGGGCGAGTGGGTAAATTGGATTGGGATCGCGATTGCGATTTGCACGAGAAGTCACCCGCTTTTCTGCTGCCGCTTGAGACAGGTCGAGGGCCGGAATAAGCAACGGCATCAAGCACCTGGTGTGTGCCGGCGCTTCCAATGTTTCCCCGGCGTCAAAAGTGTCGTCTGCTTCATGCCGTGCGAACGCGTAGAGAGACACCGGTGGTGCTTAGTACTGCGGTATGGCAGATGGCAATTTCCAGTGCCTTTCGAGTTTGAGCCTAGAATGGTCAAGCCACTGCAAGGGTGTACCAGGTACATGTGCTGTGAGAGGTGACGGTGTGCTGAGCCGGCGCTTTCCAGAGCAGTCCGGTGAGGGCCAGCGTCGTCTCCTACTGCCCCGTGCGGGCTGCTGAATCGGTACGCTTTACATCATGCATCTACACATTACAATTCTCCTTTGCCCTGCAGCGGCAGCCGAGGACTAGGGATCTCGGGGGAAGTTCTCGCTGAGAGTGGCACGCGTTCGCCGAAGTGACACGGAGTTGCCTCCTAGATGCGGACACTGGTACATGAACGCAGAGTCTCCCTGCCAGCGTGAGGCCTGTGTAGAGCATTTCGCCAATGAGAGCAGAGCTGGCACAAATGCCCGGCAGCTTCTCAGTGGTCAAAGATGGGAATTTGAGATGCCGATCTTGAAGATCTTCCTGCTGTGCCACAGTCAGTTCGCCACCCTAGAGGCGCGGGAACTGTGGCGAGTAATCCTGCACTCGCCACAGCGGGCTCGGGATACTGAGCCGTTCGCGCATGTGAGTGTGACTCAGTTCTACATGCATGTATGGCGGTGCATGTGCGGTGAATTGCATTGGTGAATGGACGGCCAAGTAGGCCTCTCGGTTACAGCACGCTTACAACGACGTGCTACACTGAGAGCTGAGAGCGCATTGCCTACGCGTACTTTTCGCCACATGGTCACCGTGATGCTCTCCGCGATAAGCAATCATACGATTTCTTCGCAGCAAATGCATAGAGTAGGCGGTGTGATTCGGTGAGCTGTTCAGGATACCTTTACCGAGCTTTGCTGTGATGGTCTACATTAGGGAAAGCGCAATGCTTTTCTTGAAGTGACGATACCACGCGAGCAAAGCGACCCGAATATGTGGACGTACGTGGGGATAAGCTCAAGGCGTGAGGGAGCTAGACTGGCACGGGAAAGTGATGTTCGAAACGACTTGTGCTCGTCCCAAAGGCGTATCTGCACTGCCACACGACGTTCTGGTTCGCCGGCAGCCAGTCTGACCCGCAGACGCTTGAAAGAGGGGTGCATGATGGCAGAGATGACCCTTCGGGATGCCCGTGGAAAGAGCTAGACATGGGCTATTGTAGCCCTGCATGCGCGCAATTTGTCCTTTGTTTTCGGCGCCTCTATCGACAGCAGAAGTAGGATTCGTGCGGGAATCTAGCGATATTTGCGAGCGAGGTTCACGCCGAAAAGTGACATGGGGTTAGACCACGCACGGCTCCCGATGGCCGCTTTCGGGTCGGCGAGATCACCGATCGCAGGTCCATATCCGCATCGTTGGACGCATCCCTGCAGCAGCGCTGCTTTAATAACCGCGCCCAGGGCAAGCGTTTGATGGGTCCCGTGACTCGTCGCGTTGGCGCCCTTGCCAAAGCTCATTTCACCGCGCAGCGCAGGGGGCGTCGTAAGCTTCTCTTGTCGCCGTTGTTCTGCGTTTTGGATGCTGATTGTTTCTCAGGGCTTCTGCCCCTGTCTTTTGGCTCCAGTTGTAGAGTGCAACCGCGTCGAGCTTGGCTGTCTGCAATGCTGCTGCCGCTGGCATGGGTCGATCGCGGGGATGCGATGCATGCGTACATCATTCACCAGCCTGCAGCGTTTGACGTGCAAGCTCGTGCCTGGCTGCACGGCGCTGCAGCAGTGCACTCGGCGCCCGTCCGGCCCGCCAGCTCAGCGTTTCAGATGCCCTCGTCGTCGACCGCACTCGCGTCGCAAAGCTGGTTTTTTTCCGACCGCGTATTGAAGAAGGAAAATGGCATCGTGGCCCAATCGGAAAACTCTCATCAAAAGCAAATTCCATAAATTCATCCGCGGCTTGCAGGGCCGCATACGCTGGCGTGGCGTCGACGCTGGTCTGCATGCGCTCAGACGCAGCCCGGCGTGCAGGGTGAGCTGGGGGTGAGCTGGAATGCTGCCGGTTGGTCAAGAAGGTTTCTGTGGCCTCCAAGACGGCATTATTGATTCCACCGGAAGTGCATGAACGGTAACATCCATGTGGAAAGGCTGGTCGCTCGCTCAGGGCAAGACATAGTCTGTAGAGCATCGTTCGGACCTTTGTCGCCGGTGTTGCTGCTCGAACAAGAGCTTACGTGCGCGTCGTGATGCTTGCCATCAGAACTCTAACGCTTCCAATGATGCTGAGGCGGTAATGGTATGATGGTTGTAGCCGGTGCGCCGGACGCGGCTCGGGAGAGGCTTGCCCGATTGAGGGTATAAGCGATGAGATAAGACCCTTAGAAGAAAGGTCTTGGTACGGAGCATTTTCGCGATTGATTTGTGGCGCAAACTACATGATATGCACCAACGGGATAGGAAGGTATCGACTTACTCGATATGTTGGATGTCTATTGCCAATAGTTGATCCCATTGTAGAGTTGAGAAAGTACTCCGTGTGATGAGATAAATCCTTCGAGAGTAATCGGACCGCCAGAAAAGGATTGCCGTGACTAGATACTTTGCTTGCGAGAAGGACCCAAGGAAATATTGATAAAACGTTTGTTAAGTGGCGGATACTCCATGGTATGGAAAGTTCCTGGTCCTCGGTAGAGTCACGATTCAGTGCGTGGAACACTGGACGGTAAGCTTACCGCATGGAGAATTCAATACCAAGATCTTCCGACCCGCATGCTGTGGCTGAGATGTGAATCAACAAGTGCTTGCAATTGGGTCGTACAGTGGGATTAGATGCACAATAATGAGTGACACCATCGTCGCGACCAGTAACCACCGTATGTACAGTACAGTTGAGTAAACTTGGGCCGTGGGACCAAGATCATGAACTGTTGATATGGAAACCTACGCACGACAGCTTAAAGACCAGCTACAGCCCCTATGACTGCAATCGAGTACCCAATTTAAGTAACATCCGACTGCCCATGCCTCTGGGCACAGTACGTTTTAGTGAGCAAGAATAAGAAGATGAGTGTGAAGTGAATCTTCGCAGTGTAGAAAATCGAGATGATACACTCGAGAGATCTTCTTCCTACATGTCGATAACATTACCCAATTTCCTGAGCAGGGCGCGAATAGAAATTTGCCCCATAGGCAGCAAGATGCATCTTTCTCAACCCACTCCTCGCCTCCATGTGGATGCTTCTAAGCCAATTTCTGGATGTGACGGGACCAACCTGCTGTTGAGAAACAGCAGGCACAGTCCCATGCAAGGGGGAACGTGCAGCTTTTAGACCGCACCCCTACAGCATATACCAGGGTCCCCCCCCCCCCCCCCAGTTTTTAAAACGTTGGACAATGTTTCTAGGCTCGATATTCTGGAGAGAAGAAGACTTCATTTCCTCGACGCACCACAATCTTAGAGAGCGGCTTCCTTGCTCATGAGTACCTCGAATTGAACTTGTGTGCGAAGATCAGGTCAAAGTCGTCCGGAAAGGTCTACTTGTACCTTCTTTCCTGATTTCAGTCTTAGATTGGATATCTCAGCATGATTCTGGCGACGATGAAGCTCACCACCGAATGGCCTGGGCCAAACATGAAATATTTACTTCATTATTTGACCACAGCTGCGCTTGATCTAATCTTTTGGTGATGATGGAGCTCATCCATGTATTATACGCCAAACCATGTGCCATGGATATGTCTGTCCTTGGGATTCTGTCGGACTTCGGAGCGCCACAAATTAATCATGGGCACATCTGGATGGGATTTCTCGACCAGTCTCGCATCCCATATATTGGTAGCCGGAGTATTGTCAGAGTAGAGCTCGATGGCAAAGTGCACAAAAAAGCGAAGCGAAATTATAGTACTTAGACTCTCATGTGGAATTATTGCCTCATCCTTTACCGTCATTCGCAGCGTCTCGTCCATGAAGGCGTCCCTTTTGCAATATTTGTGCTAGAAAGCCCCCGCAACACGGCAAGTCCGCTCACCGCGTCTATAAATCGTCCTCGCTTCGCCAACTACGGCCTTGTGGCCCAGGAGACACAGCTGGAAGCTCCACGCCGGCTAGGCGTGTACGGTACATCACCTGCCGGGTTCTTTTCCTAAAGTGACTGGCGAATCAATGACCAGCAAAGGTGAAACGCTCTCGGGTCTTAACAAGGCACTGAGGGCAGAAACACCGTTTAGCTCCACCGTACTTAAGACAAATAGCATATTCTTTGTCATTGGTGGAGTGTTATCGCCGCTATACGATCGCAAGCAAGACCACAATATGCGCCGCGACTCAACAAACTGTATGCAGGCAACTTTGTGAACAGGACGTCCGAGACATGTATCGTTATAGTTGGAGAGAATCATACTTATGAGCGTTGTATGATATGCAATCTCTACGTACAACACTATGCATTCCAAGAACGAGGTTTAACGCGATTGCGAAAAAAGGTCCTCTGGAAATACCACAAGCAGCCTTCTCCCGGAAACAGTGCCTCTCTTCAACCGGTTCAATCCTTCCAAAATGCTTCCCAACGTGTGCCCTACTACTTCAACAGGATTTGATTTGATCTTGCTCATTTCTAAGCACTATTGATACATATGATGAAGTTGGATAGCTTTCTGGCGTTTTGCTGCGCTTTCTGGGCATGTTGGCATCATGCAGTCCATGCGTAACGGAGGTCAACCGCCTCGCAGTGCCGTGCCGCAATATGGATAAGTGTTCATGGGGCCAGAAGCTTCTCGATGCCTGATCACCGTCAAATCCAGCCCGACCGGGTCCGAAAATTGCAGGGGTCGGTAAATGATCCTGTATTGGGGCCTGCCTTTCTGCGTCGCTGCAGTCTGTCAAGCTCGGCGGTAGTGTATTGATTTATTCTTTAGAAGCGTGGGCTCGATTTTCCGAATGATTGGCATATATATGTGGAGCAACCTGCACGTAGCCTCGCGCCTTGTTATATTCAGCGCGCGGTGAGATCTAAAATCATAGCTTGGGCTCGTAGACCCGAAATCGTAGCATCCCCGATGAAGTTCTGTATAAGCGCACGTACCTAAAGGCCGGATAGAGGTGGTGTGAGTGTGAAAGTGCAATGACCTCTGTCCAGAAGGATTATGGTAAAGGTTAAAAAGAGATATGAGAGTATCCGAAATTTGAACGTTATCGAACGTCCCAGACCAGAGAATGAGTGATCAGTGAAAGCCTCTCCCAGACACAGAGCAGCAAAACGTTGCCTAGTGGACCTGATCGTTTGAACCTAGTCATATGCTAGATGGAGCCATTGCACAATATGTTGTTCGTGAAATAGTGTCACTCCATAAGGGGCTTCTCACTGGGAAAATTTACGTTAAGGTGTTGTCCTATGAGAGATTGAAATTTCTTGTCTGAGAATTATCGATACAAAGTCAAGAAGGACAATCGGACTGAGCGGAGACCAGAATGCTTAGGAAGAAGAAGCACCCTCCATCGCTCCACCACAGTTGCAGCATGTAAGCATGCTTTCCCTCCTCTTCAGACTGCCTGCTTTGTCTCAGCAACCGCATCGCGCTAAGATCCATCTTCGTCTCCTCGTCTCCTCGTTGACCTGCGTTCGCCTCTCTTTGGTCGCCTCTTCAGCCAACCCGTGTTTGGTGTCGAGATGCTGCCTTACCTGGCACAGGAACAGAACACACGCCAAACAGTCTATACCCACGGCTACGAAAAAGATGACACGTAGCGCTTCCTGGTACACGTACCTGATCTCACTGATTGTCGGCTCCGAGAACCTACGATGCACGCGAAGCCTTCCGTGCAGGCGGAGCGTATGAACACGCATCCGCCGTCTTCAGAAGAGTCCGATATGGTCCAAGAAAGAGCTGAGATGCGGATATGGAGGATGGTTGCGGGTATAGCAACCCCAAGATGACGCCTAAGGTGCGGATGAAGGCCCATGTTGAAGTGGCAGAGGCTGGGTCCTCTGACAGCTTCATCTCCTTGTCATAGCCGACGTGCAGGTACATGAAGAGGACTAGCAATGCGACGTCGCCAATTGGTACGTTCAGCCAGAAGACCTATCGCTCCGTATGTCAGGCTTTATTATAAGAAAAGCACACAGCCAGCCAATGATGCATCTGCTTGGCCGGTTCAACGTACCCATCTCCAGGATCCAGAATCGACAACAGCGCCACCAACAATTCGTCCTGCTGTCATGCCAACTGTGTAAGATATCATTACAATCGCGAGGTAATAGCTCCTTTGGCGTCAAGGCACTGAATCTCCGAGGATGATACCTTGAAGTGCATTTTGGTGAGTGACGTTTCCGCTGTCATCCATGCTAAGTCGGTGCAACTGACCTGAGATCATGACCATGCCGCCGGAACCTGCGCATTGAATCCCACGACCCGCTATGAGCATGCTGCTGTTGACAGCTCCGCCGCAAATTCCTGACCCAAGCGTGAACAGTGCCGTTGCACCTAACATACGCCAACAGCGGCCAAAATTGTTACACGGCTGGCCAAATAGAGGCTGAACAGCGGCACTTCATGATGGAGATAGTGAGCGTAAGATAACCCAAAGAGGTAGCTTGACACGTACCAGCAGATACAGAATGCATTGGTGATCTAGATGTACTCTTCTCTCATGTCAAGGTACTATGGCGGGACCACCTGTGACGACGATGCTATTCTCGAATCTATGCGAGTTTAGCGTTACCCTAGAACGGCCATTCTCTGCGCATGTCTGTTGCTGCCCTTCCAGTAACCTTATGTCTCTCTGGACCAAATCGCTCCAGGTCCGGATATGGGTCCTTACCTTTCATGGTTCTATATGATGACCGTCGATAAGAGACAGGGTGTGCGCATCGACTCGACTAAAACTCCTTCCAGCAAAGGAGGGTTTGTCAGGTCAAGGCTGGGATCTTCTACCACAGTTCTTAACTTTTGACGGAGAGCGGGGAGATATTCAGGATGGGTGAATGTGTCTTGGATGAGCTGCGTAGCAATCTGGTATGGTCAGTGCTTTTCTACTGCACGAGGTTCAGAGTTCGTACGACCGGTTTAGCCGTAGTAGAAGAGACGAACGTAATATTCATGTCATGCAATATGCGGCTATGCGATGCCTCGGGAAGATTCCGAATTAGATCTTGCAGAATCGAACGCTACTATACATCAGAGAGATAGGCTCGGAACAAGGAGCGTGAAAGCACACACCGTTTTAGTGTCCTGGTTATCGTTAGCATGATACCCGTTGATTTCAGCTGCTATCGATTGATGAATGTACTTTTGGCTCAAATTGCGTCCCGTGGCCAACCAACCGAGGCAAGCCTCAACGGTCAGCATCGTGGGATTGATCCAAGAGGTAAACATACGGTACCGAGAACGCTGGAAAGCCTTTTGCGGCCTCTGACACAAATGTCACTTCGTCAATGTATTTCAAGCCACGATCCACGAACTCTGGGGTGTTTGCTTGCGAGTGTCAGCGACTACTCTAGACAATGAAGCCGATGATATTACCGAATTCAGCGCCAAACAATATGAGTATGTTCATTCGCGAGGCGAAAGCCTCACGGTTTCCCAAAGTGATATTTTGCCGGAACCTGCGTCAACATGAGCCGGGTCCGTTGCCGTGCAAGTCATTAGCTACCATCGTCGAGAGCACTCTTGCGTAGTGCCTCGTTCATTTCTTCTTCCATGATAACAATGAATGTTTGGTCTCCAAGAGAAAAATTGGTTTGTCACGGTTCGTATGGCACACACTACAGGCATACCGTCCTCATCGCGTCGGTCCGGCCACTCATAACCGAATACATGCTTCAGTTGGAAATGCTCTTTGGACCAAGTATGGCTTGAAAGGATAGTAATGCTTGTTCTGTTGAGCTCGTCCCAGTGGTCTTTGCTAGACACAAGATGAAGATGATTTCCGGGAATCAACATTAAATATAGCCCTCCTTTGTGTTGTGGGACGTCAAGTCCTGCTATCCCCTGAGTGTAGTAGAAGCTCAACTGCTCTGCTCGGTCTATCAACATACGCCTCCCATTCAGAAGGAACCGCCATTGCTCCGGAATGTGCAACCTAAGGCCCAAATACAGAAAGACAAAAAGAAGCGAGAGCAACAACACGATGGCTACAACCATGACTGTTGGATGACGATGATGAAACTGTCTGAAACTGTCTTTAGATACGAATGCAATGTCGGAGGAACCTGCGAATCTCCGTAGTCGAGAAAGCAAAGTACTGACAGAGCGCTGCGTCTGGTGCTGGCTGTGTCGCATACATACTCAGGCAGGCAGAATAGGACTCATGCTGCGCCGCCCTCGAGCTCCGCCTTGTGTTAGACGACAACGGCAGGACCTTGCAACTCAAACATTTCGCTGGGTCCTCGCTTCACCCAGGAGTGGCAAAATAGAGAGGCGCCACACCTAGGGCCTACCGAACATAGATGTCATCAAGAACCTTACATAGCTGGTATAACTGTGTTTCAGATCAAGGATGTTCTTGCGTCGCAACAGCAACTCCATACATCGCCGCGAGAACAAAAACGCTGATCGAGGACGAAGCCTAGTAATCGATGATCTCCACGATATAACCAACCCAAACCCCGCAGAACCTACTCCCATCATCCCCTCTCCCGAGCACTCTGTCCGCCCCAGAACCACCGCATCCCCACAGTTAGTCTCCATGTCTTGCCCACCCGCCACTCCAACGAAGCCATACCTCCACCGTTCACAGCACTCCTTAGTCCTTGCATCACACATCGCATCTAGCACCTCCCTCCCTAGCACAAAACCCATAGCCACCAGCACTAGTATTCGTAGACATAAGCAGCATACATTAACAAGGATATAAGAGACTAAATCGCATGCACAAAGCACCATTACTACCAACCATCCTCCCAAACCCACCGAGTCCCAAATTCCCACTAGAGCCGTACCGTACCGTACCGAACCGTGTCTTCGTCATGTACACAGATGCCCAAACCCATCCCGTCCCCAATCCAGCCCAAGAAATCCTCCGAGACCCAGCGCCAACGTAGACTCACGCAAAGCAGAGACCTGACACAGCCCAAAGCAACCATTGCAAACGACGCCTACACAGCCTTCTGCTTCGGATACTCCCCCGGCACGTGTAAATCGCTCACACTGAAGTCGGTATTCTGCCTCCTCACGCCAGGCACAACATTCACCTCACCACTGCCTCCGCCAACAACCTCACCATTCGCACTGCCGATATGCTTCCCCTCCTCCGCAGCCACCAGCCCGGGCGTCGCCTGCGGGAAGTCGCGCGCGCTCGACTCAGGCTCAGGGATGCGCTCCGCAGTCCTGACCACGGGCGCCGCCACGCCGACAACAGCCTCGCGGGCGACAGCGGATGTCTGGCCCTCCGTCGTCACCATCACGGGATTGCTCACGCCCGAGAACGCCTCGTGGCCTTCGTCGTCGAGGCCGTGTCCGGAGCGTGGGGGGATGGGCACGGCGCCGCCTACGAGCGCGGCGTTTCCGTGCTGCGAGACGAGTTGGGACGCGGGGTGCGAGGCGTAGTCTTGAGGTGCGGAGGTTGAGGTTGGGCCGGCGAGCGCGGCGTTGGTTTCATTTTCTTGGTCTGGAGCCTCGCGGTGGCGGTGGAGGGCTTCGGCACCGACGGCGCCTGCGGCAAGGCCGCCTGCTCCGGCGGCGGCGGGGGCCATCCAGTCACCATAGTTACTTACTACGCGCTGGGTCTGGATCTGGGGCTGGCCCTGGCCGAAGGTAGGGTATTGCTTTTGAGGTTGTTGCTGAGGGACGGGGGTTTGGGCACCAGTGGAAGGTTGGTAGGGCTGGTAGGGTACAGGTTGGATAGCAGATTGGCTGGCGTTCTGATTAGGATACGGCGGGTTTGCAGCACCCTGGCCCGGGGTTTCCGGTGCATTGTTCGCAAAGTACGAGGTCTCCCGCTGGAACTGCTGCTGCGGGTTGTCCGGGTGATACTCGTAGGGATTGCCAGGACCGTACGCTGCGTCATACGGGGTGCGGTCATCGTATGCGTTTGGATAGCTAGCATGTGCCATCTGGGGGCCTCCGGCTGCGGTTGCTAGATCAAGACCGACTTCCGATGAGCTGCCACTGGAAGGGCCACGCGCCTGTAAGCTTCGGTCGACCTGGAGATCACTTGGGAATCGCCCACCTGGACTGGGTCGAGACGGACGCTCGGACTCTGCGACGCCTTGGTTCTGGACCGATTGTGCTGCGGAGAAGGGAACATGGTCTGCCTCGTCCTCTTCTAGGCCTCCATCGGAGCTGACTGAGCGGGTGCTGCCGGTACTCATGCTGCGTTTGTGGCGCGTGACGAAGGCGTTTCGCTCGTCGCCGGTCTTGTCTATCAGACTGTTGATGTCGTCGTACCAGGCCAACATGGTATCATACGTTTCGGCCCTGCTACGTGTCAGTGATCAATCTGAACTGAGTTGTTGCACTTACCTGAAAATCCATGTATGTCCTCTGTGCATCGAGCCAGTCTGACGGCCTTTGATCACTGCGAAACTTAGCAACGTCAACCCTTTTTCCTGAAACTCGACTTACCGAACTTGTACGAGCTGCTGTTGGGCTGAGCGTGGCTCCCCAACTTCTGATCAGACAGGAGCAGGGACATAACCGGCGGTTGAGTATAGATACGGTCCGCGCTCTTGAACTCATGCAGATGAGTAGGCGATAAGACGTACCTGCCAGACATCAGTACAGAAAGGACCGTGAAAACTAATATGGCAACACTCACCAGCCTGGCGTATAGCTCTTGAGATACTTTGACTTGCGCTCTAACATCCCCGCTCTCACCTCAGCCGCAGCAGGATGGTGCTTGCCTGGGTACTCAATGTCCTCCAGCCTCCTCAGAGGCAGGTTGGGGTTCACAAAATGCGGGTCGTGCGTCACGAATTCGTTCCACTCCAGATCACGAGACATGCCCACAGGCCCGCTTCGCAGCTTTTCGATGGTGGAGTAATTCTCGTCAGCCTCGTGCTTCATGATGCTCGCGAGCGCATTGTACGCTTTCTGAATCTCGCCCACAACGATCGACTCCAGTTCGCGTCCAGAGTGCTCAAGGTTGAGATAGGCGCGGTGCAGGTAGTTCTCCTCATCAATCTGGCGCTCGACCTGTCGTTCCACACCCAAGCGGACCACGAATGGGTCGCCTTTGCCAGCTACGGCCGCTGGATCGGAGTCTATCAGGGCAAGCGACTCCTCCAGTGCACCCACAGCTTTGCGGGTGTTTTCTTTCTCTTTGTCCACCGAGTTCTTGAAGTCGCCGCTCAGGGACTTGATTTCCTTGATCTTCTGGCTCAGGTCTGCCCGGAGCCCGGAGAGCTGGTTGACAACCTCGCTCTCAATCTCCTTGGCCTTGTTCGACTCGGACAGAGCCTGCTTGTGGTAGTCGCGCAGGATCTTGTTTGCGTCGTTCAGGCCGCCGTCGGCAAGGAACAGCGCGGGGGCGTTGGTGTTGTTGACGACATTGGAGACCTTAAGCAGGGCCTTGGAGCGGTGTTCGTAGGAGGCGCCGACTTCGCGAAAGTAGGTAATGAGGTCTTTGAGCAGTTTCCGCCACGCTGTGAAGAGGTTAGTGATGTGTAGATTGGTGTCATATAGCGCAGGCAGGCGTACCTTGGAAGCGGTTTGCAAGGATGTCGGTGGGGGACCCTGAAGTTGGGACGGGGGTATAAAAGACGCTGTTGTGCTTAACACCACTGCCATCCTCGTCCGCGAACTCGACGCCCTTGATGCTCCCCGCACGCACGCTGCGTCTGCTGCTGCTGCGCTTCAGACTGCCGCTCCTCTTGACGGACGCGCGCTTCTTTAGGGTGCCGCTGCGCGAGGGAGTGCCTGAAGCTGTCCCTGATGCACCGTGGCCCACGGTAGACGCTCGCGAGGCGGACCGGGCGGGCACGTGTTCGCCGTCTCCGAGTACTGAGGAACCGCGCGTTCGCGCGTCGAAGTTCTCCTCGAACCTGCCCAACCTGTCGCCGTCGTAGCGGTTCAGCGATTGCGACAGCGGCGAAGATTCCACCGGCGCAGAGGGCGTGTTCGCAAAGTCGTTGCCGTCGACATTGAGGTGCGAATTGGCACCATATCCTCTGCTCAGATGCGCAGGGTCTTGGGGCGGGGGGATGCCATTGTAGCCACCCGAGGGCGTGACAGGTCGCTGAGACGCCATTGCGAGCACTTGTCGCAACGCTTACGGAAAGGCCTTGGGGAATATCGGGGACGGTGCAGCAGAATTGTGGTGCTGTAGGTCGCAAGCTCCAGCTGCTGCTGCGGAGACCTCGGGAATGACGTTTGCACGGGCGTCTGCAGCTCAAAAGGAGAAGCCCGAGGCGGAGCAGTCAATCAGACGATGCCCAAGTGCGCAGCGAGGTTACTACCAGTTAGGCGCGTAGATCACTCCGACTAGGAACTGCGCGCGGGGCAGAAATGGCTCTTGGGCGCTGAAACAAATGCCAAAGGGGAAGCTGCCGCCCACAAGAGACCTTTTGTTGTCGCCAAACAGGCATAAGGGCACCGGTGATGTCATGCACACAGCTTGCGCTCTGCGCCTTGGCAACTGGTTCAACACCAAAGATCGTCATCGGTAGCACCATCCACCCAACTCGTCGCGCGCCGCTCCCTAGCCCGTTTGGGCAACGTCGTTCTCCTATGATTTGGCATTGGCGCGTCTCCGGGCGCATCGCACCCCTTTACAACCTTTCATGACGGCGCAGGTGGAACTTGATGCTTGTCACATGTTGAAAGCGCCGCCCGCCTGGCCTCGTGGCATTCACAAACCAAGGCGCGGGGTGCTCGTAGCCCTTGAACTAAACCGCCATATCTGGTCCCCAGGGTGTCACTAGCCACACCTTTCACAATTGAATGCAGACTGTACGTGCTAGCGCGCATCTAGCTGTGGAGATGATCTGCCGGCTCTGCCGGGATCTGACGACAGCCTTGCAGACACTGAGGCTTCCGCCCAGCCCGCGAAATCTCCCGACTGCAACCTTGAACCATGTTTTGGAGCCTTTAGCGCATCGATGACAGATACCGAGGATCGTCGCGATCTTGGGACTCATTTGTCGCCAGCCTCGCCGACTGCAATGCTGCCTTGATCGAGGCCGGTCACTCCTAGAATCCTGTCCCCAAGACGCCTGCGAAAACACTTTGAAGAACGCAAGGCAATCCACAGCGTAACACTTTCCGAATGTTTATGATTTCCATATGCTACGTCCATTCCAAGGTCTAGCGGAGTTTTTGAACATGAAGTGAATTCCTTTCTGCCTCTTCTCTTGCAGACAGTCTCTGCGGCCGTGGCCGTGGCCCTCATGCCTCACACTCAGTCCATCCCACCCAGCATTCATCCCCATGCGCCAAAAGCCCAATGCGATCCGTCTATCATGCAGTTCGTATGGTATCGTAGTCTAAGTCGCTTCCACGCTCGTGTTCCCAGGATATCATGCTTATTTGACCGGGCTCCACACCTTCTCGAGCAGACCGCTCTGCTGCGCCAGCCTGTTCAGCGAGTCGTCGGCCTCGCCCATTGCGCGCACGAATCCGCAGAGCGCGAAGGAGGTGTTGTCGCCGGGGATGGCGCGGCCATTGGCATCGACGTTGGCGATGGAGATCTGGACCGAGCCGTGGTCGTCGGGGCGAATGAGGCGGTTGGTTGCGCTGCACTTGCGCGGGATGTAGCTGCGAGGTAGATTATTAGACATGTATCTAGGGTTTCGCAGAGGGCCAATGGTGGCTTACAGATCTACGAGCTCGCCTCTTTCGTTCTCCATTGTGTCGGATTTGGGGGATTAGGTGCGCTGCAATCAACGTGAGCAGTGCGACAAATCTGGCAGCGCTGAATCTTACGTAGGGTGATTGGGAGCGTGTAGCGTGTGTGGTGTTCTGAATTTCCAATGTTGTTTTCGGTCGGTGAGTGCGGAAAAAAGATAAGATAAGCGAGATTCTCACCGCCACAAAACCTTTCAGCCACACTTTCGTGTCGCAACTTCAATGCATGCAGTCTTGCTCGAAGCTCAGAGGTCTCGTGATTTGTATAGTGTCATGCAAAGCAGGGGTATCTACAGAGTCGCAATGCAGCTCTCGCGCGCTGCCTAATACCATGATCATCCCATCCCATGCCCGCTGCTATCAATTCGCTATGCGACAAGGCACTGCAAACCAATGTCTATCTACACTGCAAATAATGTTTCAAAACCATGCTTGAACAATGCATGCAAACTAAAAGAAAACGGACCATGCTTGCGCCAACAGGATGAACGCGCAATTGGTCGTCGCCTAAAATTGCAGATGCTTGAGCCACGGTGCACTTTTCATCAGCGCAATCTGTGCCATCATCCCCTGCAACATCGTCTCTTCAACCCCACGTATCAATTCGTCTTCTTGGGCCGCCTGCCCAACTTCCTCAATGAGAGCCTCCCCCAGAATCCCATACTCTGTTTCGCCAGCGCAATCTCTTCGCTCATCTTCTGCATCATCTGACCTTCGGACCCGTGCACCATTTCCTCTTCGTTGGTCTCTCTGAATGTGCCTTGGGCCACCTATCGGGTTTCGTCTCTAATTTCCTCCGCGAGGAACCCGCTTTTCTTACTCTCCTAGAATCGCACTTTGTTTGGAAGTAACACACTCTTTGTGATGGTCCCCCTCTGCATGGTCATTTCCTTGATCGCCTGCTTGATTGAATCCTTGATCATCTCCTCGGCATTCCCCTTGCAACCCTGAATCTGCACGAGAGCCTTCTGGTAAACCCCATCGTCACCTTCTTCGATACCATACGTCTCCTCGGTTTCTTGGTATCGCGCTTTCTTCGGAAGCATCTCATTGAAAGCATTCACCGTTGTCGTGAGCTCCCTGCTTTCCTCACTTTGTTGGGATCGCGCTTTCTTTTGAAGTTCTAGCACTTCTTTCAAAGCATTTTCTGCTCTCCTGTGTTCTTGGGATTGCGCTCTCTTCTGATGCTCTTCTATGAAAGCATTCTCCGCTGTTCTGGTTTCCACACTCTCTCGGGACTGTACTTTCTTCGGAAGCTCTTCTCTGAAAGCATTCTCCGCAATCTTGGCTTTCTTGTCTGGTGAGCTCGGACAAAGTGAGGTAAAGTCTCGGGCGATCCGCTTGTTGCGAGGTTTCGGAAAATGCCAGACTGTCGGGGTATTGCCAGATCTTCGATCGAGCTGAACTGCTTGAACCATCCTGTTCAGCGAGTGGCATGCGTCAAAATCACGGCCCTCAGGTCGTGGAGGAGACTGGCCATTCGGGGAACTAGACGCATCAGAATCATAATAGATGAGGTGGCCATTTTTAGTGAGCCTAAGGGAGGGAGGAGAGTCAACTTGAGAATCGGGTGAACTAAGTGGGGTGGGCCTAACGAGTACGATTAGCACAGCAAGAAGGTGCTAATCGTGCTTCATGCCACAAGGGCAGATCGAGGCGTATGCCTTGCGACCCTTACATCTCCCGTCCTTCAACGACCTCAAGATTCGTGTAATCGTCCATGTTCACCACATTCGTTGACGGAGTATCCATCATCTCTACGTCACCATGCTGAGTCTCGCCACTCTGCGAGCCTTTGACTTCCTGCAGGTCACGGTGCAAGGCTTCGGTGTACTCAGTGGCCACATCGTCGCGGACGTACACGATACCGGTGCTTGTGGGTGGTCGAACCTGGACAACCTTCTTGAGGATGGTCTCTTCGGATTCCAGAGTGACCGTTTCGTCGTTATATTTGCGCCAAATGTCGTTCTGGAAATCGTAGATGTAAATCCAATAATGGCCACCGCTGTGGGAGCCTGCATGCATGAATATGGCATGTAGTCTATACGGGTGATCTTTGCAATCCTCAAAGACGGAATCGATCTGCTTCTCCAGCTTCTCCATGCGATCGTGGATGTCGGTGAGCTCGGGACGGAGTTCATCGGCGCGCTTATTGAGCTGGTCCGCGATTCCCTCCTGAGGTACCGGGCTGGGGTCGCGCTGCTCTAGAGATGCCTGCAGAGATTCACCAGCGGCCTCTGGCGACGAACCCTCGAGCTTTGTAACGAGGCAAGCAGTCTCGTCTAGAACACCGGGGAGATCAACGTCCTTGAAGTCGGTCTCTTTGAGTAGCTTCTTGCGGGTTTCGAGAGCTCTCAGCTCAGCCTGGAGTTGCCACTGCTGGTTCCGAAGCTCTTGTAACTGCTCTTCTGAAAGTGATTTGGTTGACTTCAAGTATCTGTCCAAATATAGAATCTTGTCCAGCGCTAGATGTGATTCATCTTTTCGAGCGCGGCCATTCTCAAACTGCAGGCGTCGAACGTTGATGATTTGGATTGGGGCAGCTGTATCGAAGATCTCGTATTTGGTGACGCCACCTTCGAGTTCGGTAAGGCCGAACTCATCGTCCAGGGCGGCACAAATCGACCGGTCTCTACCCTTCGTCGATACGAGAACATTGTCTTGAAGATCGGACTTTGGAATGTCCTTGTCCTTAGTTCTACGCACAGTTGTGACGTTTGAGAAGAAAGTCCTCTTGATTAAGTCTAATTGCTCGCCATCCTGCAGCACATCTTCTCCCTGGAAAGCGCATGAGAGTAGGTCAAAGACGTTGTTCAGGATCTCAGCGGCGTCCTGCTGTTGGGCTACGTCTTCCAGCTTTTTGAGACCAATGTCAGCCGTAGCTTGTGGCCGAGGAGGAATTGGAGGAGGACGCGAAGGTGGTTCTAGTCGGGTGGACATGGTGTTGTCTGGCTTGTCTGATGATGCTGTCAAGTCCATAGCCTTCATACTATCAGCATCGCCTTCAGCATCACCCATGACCGAATCAGCCGGAGAGGGCGGCATCGACGTATTCTGGAAGCCCGGTGGAAGCATAGGCCCACTGACCGGCATGTCTCCGATCTTGCCCAGCCTTGAGGACGGACGGGTGGGTGGTTTACTCTCGCTCGCAATGTTCGTGCTTTCACCCCTCGTAAGTGCCAAAGCAGCTAGAGATCGCTCGGGGCGGATGTTATGTTCTCTTGCCGTGATCATGTGCTTGAACAAGCCTTGCAGTTCTCGGACAACTATCATCGTCAGTACTACATCCAAGTTTACAAGCTGGTGTCTATGCCCTGAACTCACATTGCTGGCCAGTCTCGGCCCTCGCACGGGTAACGGCAGTCCGTCCCACGCGCTTCGGCCCCAGAGCTTCGGGCGACAGGTCCTGGAAGTGCTTGTCGCAGTCGATGACCATGTCACGCAAGGGCTTGATGGTAAACAAGAACTGCAATACGCTATTCAGGTAGCAAGTATTCCCAATGTTGCAACAACCCACTGGCCATTCGTGCAACTCAAAATTATGACCGCTGGGTTGTTGCTGCTCGCTCCCATACGAATTTTCCTGGTCTTGCCGGACCTTTTGGAGAGCAGTCTCCAGCCGCTGTGCGTTCTCTGGAGAATCCGACAGCATCCCCTCATACAGCGTTTGCAGCACGCTTGGGTCAAGTTTCGACGATCTGTCAGTGATGCCCAAGGTGGCATAAGCTTCAGCAGCGTCCATCTCAGCGGCGTCCATTTGTCCCGTCTCCAGCCATTGCCGCAATCGCTGGCTCTTGCGATGGTCTGCAATGATTTTGACTGCCATTCGTCCTGTTTCGGCTTCCTGGGGACTGTCGTTCACTTTGGATGTGTACATGGTAATGACGAAGTCATCTCCAGAAAGTTCCACAGAATCCGGAAGATTCAGCCAAGCGAGCGCTTCCGCGTACGTTTCTATTGAGTCTGACGCCGCTCGTTGTAACATGTCGCTACCCCTGGCAAGGCCAATTATTCGTAGGGCGCTCCTTGCTTCCTCAACCTGTCTGGGGCCGATGTCTGACAACCTAGCTTTGAACTGGTTTGTGATGATGTTGTCGCTAAGAGCTGGTCCATGGGACGGATCTATACCGAGCGTGCGGTATGCCTGGGTAACATCTTGCCGGGTGAACAATCCTTGTGACTCAAGGATTGCACTTTGTGTATCCAGCGTCTCACTATTGCGGCCCTTAGCCAGATCCTTCAAGCATTCGAAATAGTAGGGTGTGTTAACTGGGTCATTTGCGACTTGACGATCGTATGCGAAGATTAACAGCCGGTCAGCGAAATCAGACAAAGCGCCGAGGCCAGCGTAGTAAGGATGGTCTTCCTCGCGGTGTGAGTTCCGGGTTTCCCTCCGGCCGCCCTCCCTGAGCTCGTAGTCGTCGCAGCCTAAAGCCAGCTCGATGTAGTTGCGTGCAGGGACAAGGGCCAGTGGATTGCGACGCGCAGTCGCGCGCTCCGATTCGGGAAAGCTTAGGATTATGGCGTTGAGTTCATAACGCGCATCCTCGATAATGTTGCGAGTTGTCGTCTCGAGACTATCCAAAGGATGCTGAGCCTCCGAAGGCCTTGGCAAATACCATCCATCTGTACTGTTGCCCTCTGCATCCACTTCCACCGCAAATGTAAACCCTAGCTTCTTGAGCATGTCGTCGCAGTCTCGTCCAAAAGTCTTGAGGAACTTCCGGTTCAGAAGAGGTATCCTAGGCTTTGCTTTTGTTGAATTGAAACTGTCAAAGAGGTACGTGTTCAGGTAATTGGGTCCCTCGATTGGCTGGGCCATGTCAGGATCGGCGCGGGCTCCGTCGATTTCCTTTGCACGCTCCCATCGCCTACGCAGGTTCGCCGGATCCGTGAGTAGGGCAATATCGGAGTCAGAGAGGCGGGGCGGCGATATGCGTATCCGCAGGGTGACGGGGCATTTGTCCGCTGAACAATAGAAGGTGTACGACCGCGGTTTGGTATGGCCGCCTAGACTTCCAGATCTTGACGGGTCTTCCTCGCCGGAAAACAAGAAGTGATGGAGCGGGGACTCAAGGTCTGTCTTCCTGCATGGGTGGTCCTGGAGGCCATTATCACGGAAGTCGACCCAGATGTCGAAGTGCCATCGGCAGATCCTGCAGTAAACAGCAACCCTGTAAACCGTGTTCTCATCCGGATCTACCCCTTTCTGTGGAAGCTCACTCTGCTCTTCCTTGAGCTGCACATCGTGGCGACAGTTCCGACGCGGGACGGAGGAGGTCGGAGCAGCATGGGGGTCATAATGCGGCGGCGGTGAGGTCAGCAGGTTCCTGCCCGCGGCGGGCTCGTAGCGTGGGTCGTATGTGAGAAGATTCTGCAGCAGCAGAGGCGCCGTTTTACCTGTGGAACATCATAGTCAGTCATTAGCACGCATGGCATACGGTGTTCTCGTGCGACTAACCTGGGCCGAGCATGGCTGCCGCTGCGGCGGGGTTCAGTGGAAGCTATGTTGAAGAATATCGTGTCCGAAGCTGCAGAGGCAAAATCCGCAAACGTTGGATGGGGCGCAGACGTGGCAGGAAGCAGGGTTGACGCGGGGCGGGCTTCGTCAAGTGGAAGGTGCAGGCGTGCTATGTCGTCTCTAGGCGGCAGTCGCGCAACCGGATCAACAGCAGGTTGCGCTTGCCACAATCGTATTGATGCAACGGGAGCCCACGTCCGGCAATGTTTGGTCTTGTAAGAGCAAGCAGTTTGCAGTCTAGCCGGACGGGAAGCCAGCAGTCTCTCAAAGCGGCGCTGCGGGTGAGACATTTGGCCTTCAGTCGACACAAGCAGTGATGCGCGCCAAGGCGTGGGAGTTGCGCTGTCGCTAGCGCCGCCGCGACTCAACTTCAACCTCGAGAGAGCTCCGCAACGACATCACCGCCCCAATTGCGCCCGCCATGGCTCCCCACGACGATACCTACCACCCGAAGGACACGCTTGCGAACACGGCGAACACAACCCTGCAGCTGTCCATCGCTGGCGCCGTCGTTGCGGGTGTGCAGAACACGCTCCGGAAGCAGAATGTTGGTGCCATGGGCATTGTTACCCGCTCGGGCGGCATAATTGCACTCTTCGGTGCGTGTCAATTGGGTCACAGACTGGAGGATTGGTAGGACTGACAGGTATACAGCGGGCGTGGGAGCCTTGTATCAATTCACAAAGGACGCAACCTCGAACCTGCGGGAGAAGGACGACACCTACGGCGAGTTCCTCGCAGGATTCATGGGCGGCACCGCAGTCGGCGTCTACAGTGTGTATTTACATATCACGTCGGGAGCTGGAACTGACAGATGTAGGGGGAAATACGCCAATGATCCTCGGGGCGGGCGCTGGGTTCGGCGTTGCCTGCGCTGCCTTCAGATATACCAACGGCCTGAGCGGCTACGCGATCAAGGAGGATGATGAGGACGAGGTCGCCCGGAAAGAGGAGATGCGCAAGTTGCGCCGGAGACCTCTCCAGGAGACCCTCGAGCAGCTTGGCGAGGGTCGAGGTATGTTCGATGTATATCAACATTTTATGCTCGCTGCTAACATCGATAGGCATCTACGGCCCCGGCTACGAGGAGCGGAGGCGTGAGCGGTTACTGGCCAAGTACGGTATCGACGTGAAGGCAGCACAGGAATAGTTCCAGTCGAAGAACGAGGACCCCACGGCCAGCCTTTGAGCGCAGGCGTGTACATATATATTTTATTGGACCTGCTACCAAGGCGTGCTTTCTTTTGTCCTGCAGCCGTCCCATGCCCGTGTTTTCCGCTCACTGCCCTACATGTTGAGACTATTATCATCATTTTCTTCCATCAGAAGTCCAATCGCTCGCAATCATGCGCGCACTCTAAGACCCCAAGCTGACCTCCCGTGTCGTTCAGTTCAATTGCATTACAAGTAATTCTCGATGTACGAGGTGCTCCTTCCCTCAACTCACACCCGTGCACGACTAAGCAAGCCGATATCAGCAGTAGCTCATTGGACGCCTCTTCCCTCCCTCGCTAGCATCAAAGCTCATCGAGCGACAGAATTCATCAACCTCAGACATCGCTCATCTAGGCCACTGGACCGCAATACGTTGCGGTCGCTCGAATATTCGATCGCGCATGTTGGTGACCGAGATACTTCAAATCCATATTCATCAGTACTGGAACGGTACGTCCGGACTTTTCAGACAAGTCACACGGACAACTTTCAAGTGTTCACAGCATAGGGATCGTCGTGTGGAGAAATTGTATCAACCGCTGACAGTTCTACTTTATTGCGCAATTACCCTTACCAACAAGTTGTCGGGATGTTGGTTCAGGGCTTCGATTGGAACGATGGTACAGCCCAAAAGACGCTCGAGTTTGGTCAGAAGACTCAACGACGCTGGAGTTAGTCGCTCTTATTCGCTACGGGGACTTCCTTTCACGGACGCACTGATTCCTTAGGGCATGGTATCCTACAACTTGGTTCTTGCTCTGCGATGCTGGTACCGCGGCTCCCAGATGGTCATTTCTACAGCTAGGCCTATTCCGGTCAATCGGCCTGCGCTTTGAGGCGCCATCGGTGGTTCAAGACTTCCATAGACATGTGCTTCCCATACAGATACTTGTCGCCCCATCATACAAGAGCGTCATGTGTAAGCAACGCTCGCGGTGTTTCGCTCAGGAGATACGGCCCGCTTTTTCTTCGCTTTGTAATGGCCCTCGCGCGCCGCAAACAAAGCCTGATTACGAGACCTAGCGAGCAACCGACTACACCACGCGTCCACAACCGACACCAGTCACCTCATCTACACAAAGCGAAGGCGTGCTGACCCATGCTCTCGGCGCAGCCACACACCCTCCATCCAATGCGCATGCATTCACCGTCGGCTAGCGAGCCAATCGGAGGCCCGATAGCTCCCGCATCACCGATGCCGTCCTGCTTGCGCCCTACAATATGCGTCAGGCTCCGGTTGCGATAGTAGGCTTGCAGGGCCCGGGAACGCTGTGTGGATGAGTGTGACGCGAGTTAGCAATCAAGGGTTGTGCTTGGTCGCCGAAAACCGAGCCCATCGTGTAAACAGCCCGTGTTAATCCCCGGCGCCTGCCCAAGCTGAGATATAACGCGTGCCTGTTGCGAGCTGGAAGGACAAGATAGATAGCTTGGTTCCCGCGACTGCATATCCCACGCATCCTTTGTTCTGTCGACAACGTTATCTGCAGCTTCCCCCGTTCGGTCTGCACACAACATCTACACCTCGATCAATAACCAGAAGAGAAGAGAAGAAACAAAAATGGTGAAACTCATCATCGGTGGTGCGACCGGCTTCGTCGCGACAGAAGTTATTCGCCAGAGTCTCTCGAACCCTAAGATCACTGCTATCTATGCGCTTGGCAGGAAACCGATTGCTGTACCTGAGGGCACGGCGCCTGGAGCAGATACGAGCAAGTTGAAGAGCTTAGTAGTCAAGGACTTTGAAAAATACCCGGAGGATGTCAAGGCGCAGCTTGCAGATGCTGATGGTGCGATCTGGTAAGTCATACCTTGATTGAAACTCTGAAGACTTGGGTGCGAGGATGGTACATGTACTGACATGTGATAATTAGGGCTCTTGCAGTCCTTCCCCAGAAAACTCGCGGCATGCCTTTCGAGGAAGTCAAGAAGATCAACCAGACATACACACTCAAGGCGCTCGAGCAGATTGAGGAGGCGCGCGCCGCAGCGGGACAGAAGGGCCCGTTTCGCTTCTTGTACATCAGTGGCCCAGACACGCCGCGTACGCCCGACGGTCCTACACCGCCGGTCTTCAAGGAGTACATCCGCTTGAAGGTAAGCATCCGCTTCTTTTCCTCTACCCTCTTGTTCAAACGGATCACTATCTAACACAAATGGTGCAACAGGGCAGAATCGAAGTCGACTGCCTCGAGTTTGCCGAGAAGCACAAGGCCAGCGGCTGGGAGGCTGGCGCCGCAAAGCCCGGTCTCGTTCTTCCCAACCCGCCGGGCCTGCTCATGACCGTCGTGGGCGCCGTGGCTGGTTTGATCGCGGGCAAGATTGGGGTCAGAGAGCTTGCAGCTGCGATGGTGGACCAGGTGTCGAATGGATTTGAGAAGGAGCCTTTGGAGAACGTGGACCTGGCGAGGATCGGAAAGAAGGCTTTGGAAGCGCAACAGGTTGCTCCTTAGAGCAAGAAGTCAGATTTGAGGAATCACAGAAAGCTCGTATGAGCATGGTTTTTATGTTGGTGATCGTAGGCGTCAAGGGTTTGCATTTCGTTGACAATGCAATTGGCATTGGTCGCTTCTAATACTTTTTCCACAACATGTTATCCTTCAGCTTTACGAGAACTATACTTCATTCCAGATGGCTGCAATCAAGAATAATAATTTGTGATGCAGAGAAGCTGAATGAGCCTGAACTAGCAAGCCCTAGCCGCGAGGTAGCTCGGACACTACGCCATCGATTGATCGAACCAGGGTTCAAAATACATATTAGGATCGGATGTTGCTCCCGATAGTTACAACGGGACCATCGACATCATGGATCGCACGTACGCGAGGCCAAGACGGCAAGCTGCGAGTCGTTCTGCCTGACGCTGCATCAATGCGCGATAGCTTCTTGTCCTGAAGCTACCCCACACCAGGCTGCAGAGTCCGACGATCGTCATCGACCACGCGACCTAGCTCTTCCGCCTTTACTCACACAACATACAAACATTGATTCTCGCCCAGAAGCTGCATCAGGACCAGCTTGAAATAAGCATCATTTTCTCTCCCAGACGACAGACGACAAGCCCAGTCCACTATGGCGCCCGCCGAAGCCTCGTTGCAAGCCCGGCCAGAGTCCGCCTCCAAAGAGCGCTTCTTCCGCTACTTTCAGCGCGAAGTAATCGGTACATGCCATGGTCCCGCCTGTGTTTTACCCATCTAACCCCTCCAGCCCTCCAAGACCAGATGTCCCGCCTCTCCTCGACCTCCCCCACCGAACGCCCCGACGCCATCGACCACTGCCTTGCGGGCATCTCGCGCCTCTCCTCCGAAGTCAAAGACGCGTCCTCGTACATCCCCGCCTACGACCAGCGCACCTACGGCGACGCCATCAAAGCCCTGCAGGAAAAGCTGCAGAATGTGAGGGCTGAATTGGGCGCGGGGCCCAAGAAGTTCAAGTTCACGACCAAGAAGAATCGCAGTGCGATTAGCATTGGGGAGGCGGCGGAGATGGCGCAGAATAGGAGGTTGCTGGGGCCGGGAGGGGGCGCATGGGATAGTTCGGCGGGGAGCTCGGCGGTAAATAGTGCGTTCTCGCCGACGCCGTTGGAGAAGCTGAGTCCCGGGGAGGAGAAGAGGGAGCTGGAGGCACTCAAGCTAGAGAAGAATGGGGCTGAGGCGGTGGGCGTGAAGGTTGAGGATCGAGATGGCGAGCACGTCGTGCTGCCGACGTCTGAAGCGCAATCGGGCAGCTCGGGCGTGGTATCGAACGTGAGGGGAAGCGTCGTCGATCTGTCTGCGCCGACCATGAGCGGTGGTTCATTTGCGACGCTGACGCTGAAGAACATCCAGAGGAGCTTGGTGGTGACTGGGCGCGTGGCGGGCCCGATTCACATGACGGATTTGAAGAACAGTGTCATCATCATGAGCTGTCGGCAATTCCGCATGCATGGGTCAAAGAAGGTGGATGTCTATTTGCATTGCTCGAGCCGGCCCATCATTGAGGATTGCGAGGATATTCGATTTGCGCCATTACCACAGATCTACGTAAGTTGGATGCTCTCAGTCTATAAACACCTGCTCACAGACAACAGATGACAGCGGACCTAACAAGTTCTACGAATCAGTGGGATCAGATCGACGACTTCAAATGGCTCAAGGCAGAAGCCAGCCCCCACTGGAGCATCTTGCCGGAGCCCGAACGTGCTCAAGAAAAACTACCTGGCCAAGACAACCAGGGTCCAGACAATATTCTTCGTGCATTCAGGGTATCTACATCCTGAAAACACCCTATCCAACTTGAAGAGTCTCAAAGCAGTACATGCTCATCCCTCACCAACCGCCCCATAGCCTCCTTTTCAAGATAAATCGCCACGTCAACGCCGGCGTCGTACCACCTGTTCGGCGGTGCTTCCACAGCCGTCGGCCGCGCCTCCATGACCTGCACACACCCATCCACTAGCGGCATAATGGGGTGTACATATGCCGGCGTCAGCCCAGTACCGAAGTCACATCCATACAGTCCCGTATGCGCCCAGCTCGTCACAATCACGTGTTGCCGTCCCAAGAACGCTTGCCACAGCCTCTGAGGCGCGAGTTCGTACGCCGTAGCGTAGATCTGGGCTGCTACGGCTGCGGGCGTGAAGCAAGAGAGGGTGGCCTTGATGCTGGATGCTATGCGCGGGAGTGCGGCAACGGAGCTGGCAACAGACCACGGAAGCGTCGTCTTTACGTTCAGCAGCGGCGAGCCCAGGAATGACGGAGATAGCGGCGGCTCGACTCGCGTGCGTAGGCCAATCGAGATATCGCAGTGCACTTCGCTGTCCACGTCCCCGTTTTCCGCGCCCCTTACGCGGTTCACAAGCGCCCAGACATGTGCCACCAGCGCATCGTGTCTGCTCAGCCTCCCGCTCCCTTTCCCACTGTTACCTCCAGCCGCAGCGCTCCATATCCGCTCCAGCTGCTCAGATGTGTAATGCACAACCACATGTCCCACCGGCGCTGAGACATCCCAACTACTCCACGGCATTGTCTCCCCCTTCCTCGCCAATGTTTTTGCCCTAGGCTCGTCCATCAATATCTCAGGCACTTGGTGTGCTCCAGGACCAAATTTCGACCCTTGCCCCGAACACCAATAATCGTACCGATGCAGCGGCAGCCTGTAAGCCTTCTCCAGGACCGCCTCATCAGGCTCTTCGTTATCCAGGCTCCGCCCCGCCCGCGAATCCAGGACACACGGCTCGAACACGGGGCCTAGTTCCGGGAGCGGCGAGTCTGTAAGAAGGGCTGCGTGTGTAGCACTCCAGTCCTTTACAAAGCGCGCAAGCGTGATGGCGTCGGCGAGACAGTGGCTAATCTTCACCCCCACCGCCGTACCTCCACACGCAAATCTCGTAACTTGCACCGCTACACTGACGTCCCAATGCTCAGCCGGGGAGAGGTACCCTGCGAGTGCGCAGGCGGGGAGGAGGACGTCCTCCCTCACCATCCCATCGCAGTCCTTTATCCCGTCTTGCGGTGGAGGCAGCGCGGCACGCATCTCGCACCCCGCCCTCGCGCTGACGAATAGAACGCCGGGATCATCACTCCTTCCCTTTCCCTCACCCTCTCCCGAGCCTGAGGCTGAGGAGCGAGAAGGTGGGAGGCCATACCGCACCTCCATCCTCCCATATCTCTCTTCATTCCTCCTCTTTCTGCCCGGGGATTCGGGTGTGTACGGCGTCATGCGCAGTTGGCCTGCCCAGTGGGGGTATGCGGAGAGAGTGTGTGCGAGGCTCTTCTTTAGGAGATCTGGGGAAAGCGGGTCTGGGATGGAAAACGGAGCCGGGGAAGGGAAGTACCACACAGCGCCGGCAGGCGTGAAGCGCGCGACCGAGGCATCGATTATAGATAGCGGCGTTGTCGTTTCTTCCCCGTGCCATGTGGCCGGATGCAGTCTCGTCTCAGACAGGATTTCTACCCTCGGCGGTGCCATGTGCATTGTTTTTTCTGGTCGATGCGTCCAGGACACGCAGAACAAGCTTTGTAGAAAGAAACAAGGCAAGGTTGGGTTTGTGGTTGGAGACTTGTGGTTTGGTTTTAGATTGTCAGTCCATGGATGGTGAGAAAAGAAAGGAGGAAGAATGGAAGGCGGATACAACTACTCGACTATGCATAGCTGGTATACCGGCACTCTCACGCAAGTTCATTCCCTAAGAAGAGCCCCGGGACTACACCGCATGCAGCGGGCTGCAGCGCGAGTCACGCCGCTGCCCGCTGCGCTCAGAATGAGTCATTCTTGCTCCACAAACGTGCAATTGAACCGTGAAGAAACACATGTCATGCATGATAATGAGAACGCCCCAGGTAGCCAGATGCGCCGTGCGCCGTGCCCTCCGCTTAGAAACATGCTGGGCGAATGCCAAAACGCCGCCCATGCGCCCCATTTACCACCCTCCATTCCGTGTCGCTGATATAGTACAACCCCCGCTCCTTCGCTCCCGCCCACCTACACCTCCAAACACTGCACCATGTAAAACAACAAATAAGCCTCCGCGCCCAGGACCTCCTTCTCACTCGCGAGCACCACCTTACTATCATCAAACATAAACCAGTCGTCCCCTTCCCTACTATAGCTGATGTAATGTCCCGAGTCAATCTTCCCTTTGTGCACGACGACGCTAGAGAGCTCGTAGATGAGGGTGTTGGCAGGGGCATTCGTGTTGTGCGAGGTGTTGCGCGGGGCGGCGTTCTTTGCGGGTGGGGGGGATGTGGAGCGGTAAGCGGTGGTGTAGGGGTATAGGTCCAGGGTCAGGGGGAAGGAGATGCGGGTTTCGAGCTTGGTGGAGGTGGATTTGGAGTGCTCGAAGCGCTGTGTGCACGTTAGCGTATGCGAAGAAAGGCATATGGGTGATGGTAAGGGGGATGGCAAGTACCTTGAGGTGGATGGGCAGCACGGGCGGCAGCTGCTTTATGCTGAGCTGCTTCGTTGCGTTCTGCCCGCCGTCGCACGTCTGGCACGTGTACTCGGCAGCGCCCAGCTTCTCGCGGCCGGTGAACCGGTCGAGGCAGCTCTGCAGCGCGATTTGGTCGTCGTCGGAGCGCTCCGACTTCTTCTTCTTCGGTAGGTTGCGAATGTCGAGGCTGAGGTCCATGTACGGGTCCAGCGCAGTGGTCGTGTTGCGGCAGTTGTCGCACGTCACGGTGCTCGAGAGTCGCCCGTAGAACGTCTGGTGCACGATGCAGTCGCAATCTTCGGTGTCGGTGGAGCCGCCGTTCTGCAGGTGCAGGGTATTGAGCATGAACTGCATGTACTCGTGGGCATCTTGCTGCTGGTATCCTGCGAGTGCCTGCGGGGGGTTAACTTGTGAAGGGGGTGTGGGAGGTAATGCGCACCTCGCCGGCGAGCCAGCTGCCCATGAGCATGTTGACTGCGCCGAAGCCCTCCGTCTTCTCGACCGAGTGGAATTCGACGAACATCTCGTCCAGCGCGCAGCTCACGCACGACTCGCGCTCACAGTCCACCGTCTTGTGTCCCTCGGAGAGATAGAAATTCCGTATGAAGGGGTTGTGTATCAACGTCTGCAAGATGACGCTCATGAAGCAGGTCTGACCCATGTTGTAGAGACCACGGAGGCCTATCGCGCGGCATGGTAGGAAGGTGGAGTTGTTCAGCACCAGCTTGTGCTCCTCGGTGGTGGTCGTGTCTTCGTATTTCCGCTTCTTGCCTGCTCTAGTCAGTGAACAGGTCCGTACATTGCTAGGTGTAGAGACCCACCCTTCTGCAGCCTTCGCTCCTCTAATAAGGGGTCGTAGATAAAGTCCTGGCAGTCGCCGCAGTATACGTTCCCGCCCCGCGACTCCACCGCTACGCCTGTCAGCATGTGCGTCCATATGCCCACGGTCTACCCACAGAATATATGCCGCTTGGAATCAATGTGCTCGTCACGGTCCGCCTCCGTCATGATATTCGGGCACTGCAGGCACAGGTACAGCGGGCGCAGCGAGACCACGGACAGGCCGTCTGTCTTTTTGTTGTACGTCTGCGCGATGATGCTCGGCTCCTCGTAGATCTTCTGCAGGATCCCGCGGTAGTGCCCGAAGGTCTGCTTGCGCGCATTCTCCATCATGGTGCGCATGTGCTCTGCGTCTGTCAGCGAGCGCCGCCACGGGGTTGCTGTAAAACGCACCGCAGCCGTAGGCAATGTGCGCCATCTGGCTGCTCGGGACAACCGCGCCTTTCGCATTTTTGATAAGTTTGGGGCTCGCCAGCGCGGACGGCTTCGCAATTGCGTCCATCTTCGTGGTGTTGAGCGTGCGGCGTGCTGCGGCGTGCAGGGTAAGGCTGACAAGAGATGCGCCGGGCCGGAGCCTCTACATGGCGCGGCAGCCCTTCCGCCGCGTGAGAGGTCGCGGTGAACAGGCAGACCGCGCGCACGCTGTACGTGTCTGGGAGTCTGCGTGTGGATTGTCTGTCCCAGTGCCGGCGGAGCTTGTCTCGTCGGTGCACCTGCATGAAACCAATGGCTTGTTCGGATAAAGTGCCACTAGCGGAGATCGACCGCGCCCCACTAAGGGCCCGCGGGCGTCCCCAAGTTCGTGCAAAAGGGCCGGCAACGTGCAGTCTTGCCGGCCGAACTGCTTCCGAACCGTAGTATACAGAAGCGAGTACGCACACAGTCGTGATTTGCTGGACAAATATTGACAGTGGCGCTGCCCCGCTAGGACCGGCCGTGCATCACTCTCTGAGTCTACCGACTCTCCACCGACAGTGACCTATACCGCCAGCCAGCTACCGTTTAAAACTTGGTATATATACAATTTTGTTTCCCCTATTCATCATATCATAAAACCAATCGGCAACGTGGCGGAGTGGTTATCGCGTAGCACTCGAATCAGAGACGATATCGATATGCTATTCCTTCGGGAGCGCATGTTCGAATCATGCCGTTGTCGATCTTTTTGCAAAACTCAGGCGCAATCGGATGGTTGGTTGTGGAGATGTGTGTCACTGCCGGTCGTGTTGGCTGATACTAGCAAACCCTTTTCTTTTTTTTTGGACTCGGTAGAATACGGGCACGAGCGGGGCGCGGCAGCTAGAGAGAAGAACAAGAAACGCTCCGTTGCTATGACGTTCGTCTGAATGAAGGCAGAAACATTGGCAGTTGTGTTGCGATCTTGGTGTAATCCATGTCGCTGTCGCATATTGGTTGTGATCCCTCGCTCGTGGGACGTCAACTATAACCTGCAAAGAAGCTGCTCACCGAATTTCCCCATGGCCTTGACAATGTCAGAGGATATAGGAGTATTCTAATTTGTGAATGTCGGTCGTGGCTGTCGAGTCCGTCGATTTCGGAACATACAACCCAAAATGCACTGTCGTCGACAAGAAATAGGAATCTTTCAGCTCCTACTGGAACATGCACGCTAGCCTGTTATATTCCGAGTTTGCAAAGATCAAACAGAGCGAGTCTTGTCGGGGTAAGGTGCGCGCCTACATATCCGTTCCTTGTGTTAGCCGCTGTCATGCTAGGCATAGAAAGCCGGGATATTATCAACCTGCTCCGATGACAGATATCGTGCGCTAGGGCAGTCCTTGCTCTACCCAGGTTCCTAGAGTTGGAAGGCAAGAATGATGAGATTAGTTCTGTGCGCACGGAAGCAACATAAATGGAGGTGAACTGTTCAAAGCGGTTTAATGTCCACATGGCATCAGGGAACAAAGGACGGGGTGTAAGTGTGGGAAGCGCCTCAGCGGAGGTTGTTATGTCAACGAAACCGTTCGTGGTAGATGCTTGAAGAGCAAATATCGAATTTGCTAGATTACGTCTTGTCTGAACTCAGGTGTGTAAGTTAGAGATCGCTTTATCGACATAATGCATCCTAGGTTGACACGGTGACGCAAGCAGATGTATCGCGGAATAATTCTGCTTGCAAACACACAGCCAGACTACTCTAAGCGTACCCACAAGATCCATCGTGCGTGCCATAGCAGTTATTCATATATGAGAGTGCCTCTCACATCTTCGCACGCTGCCTATCCACCGCTCGCATCTTTCATGCGACACATCCACCCGAAAAGAAGAAGACTTACTCCTTCATCCCCCTCGCCATCTCAATATCCTTCTCATCCAGCTCCCTAATAACACCCGTATCCGCAATCTTCCCCGTCATCGCCGCCACCCCAACCTCCTTCATATACCCAAGCAGCCCGACCTGCGTCAGGTAATACACCACATACTTCGGCCTAAACTCAATCAGCGTCATGCGCGGGTCGTCGGCGCTGCCGTCGTGCTTTCCATCGCCAAGATCGCCGAACCAAGCGCGAATAGGAGACGACCAGACGTCTTTGATGCGGGCGTCGGTGTTGGAGACGGTGGTTGCGGTGCCCGAGAGCGAGATCCAGTCCTGCGTCTTGGAGTCTTGGAAGGTCACCTGGCATTCTTTGTTTTCGCTGAGGTCGGAGAATTTGGAGGAGTGGCCGTTGGAGAGGAAGAGGATGTCGGGGCCGACCCGCTTGCCGACGGCCATGGAGCGTCCGACGGGGCCTGTGGGGGTTGTTAGTGTGTACAAACGAGGACGGATGTGGGGGTGAGGGAGGCAACGTACCAACGCCGTTGCGGTATGTGCTCAGCATGCCGATCTTCTTGCCGTCGATCATGTTGTAGAGGTCCTTGATCTGCTGCTCTTTGGGTGTGTCATTGTCGTACTGCTTTGCGACGGAGGGGTCGGTGTGCGAGTTAACCTCGCCTTGGTTGAGGGTCTCGGGCATCTTCAATAAAGTTCCAGTAGAGAAGTGTCTTGTATTGCTGAAAGTATACCTGGATGAAGCTTTCAAGAAAGATGATTTCTGGAAGGTAGAATATGTGCGTAAAGAGCGAACTGGAAACACTCTGATGATATACATGCTTACAGACTACATACGATGCAAACTATGCGATTGGAAGACTTTTTCCGAGTAAGGTAGAAGCCAGCGATGTGACGTGTACATAAAGCCATGATCGCGCGTTTGGAGCTATACACGGCTGCCGACCCGAGTATGGATGACGCTGGCTTTAATATTGTTCCACACGTCATGCCAAGAGGTCGTGACTCCGGGGTTCTGTCGACTTTGGCACTGCTATGAGAGCGCACGTATATCGTTGTATTCTCTTTAAGATATGAGCGATGAGGTTGAGATGGGCGTGGTGTAGGTTGGTCTGAGGAAGGAATGGTTGATCGCAAGTGCGAAGGAGTCTAGTACCCAAAACACGCGCAAACTTCTACGAAGTGCATGTCCCAGCTAAATGACATCAACTCCTGGACAGTTCAACAAGAAAACCGATCCCTACACTCAGCATCGTACGCCTTCGGCCGCTCCATCTTTACATGTACCAGCTCGCGCATCTGTTTTTCCATCTCATCATCCATCTCATCATCTCCATCCTCATGCAGCGCATTTCAAAAAATAGCATCCATATCGAAACTTTTCCTAATCCCGTAATCAAACCAGACTATCTTCGTCACCCAAGACTCACGCATTCGTGCAGAAAGGGGCTGCACGCTCGTATCCCCAAGATCCGCCTTCCCCTCTACCCGCTGCAACGCGCGCAAGAACTGTTCCAATCTCGGCCCATACCTCACCACAAACTTTTCCATCGAATGCTTCCACAGCCACATGTTCGGTCCCAAGAGGAGAAGCCACTACGGTTGACCATACGCAAACTGCGCAGGCATCGTATCCGTGAACTCCCAATCCAGCACCGCAGTTATCCGTAGTATGTCCGGATCCGCGAACATGTTCGTAAGCTGTAGGTCGTCACAGTAAAGTTTGAATGGCCTGAAGTCATCCATGCAGTACTTGGAGATGAGATCCTTGAACTTGTGTCGCGCCATGAAACGCTTTTTGGCATCTGTTCGGGTCTCAGCCAGGTTCCGCTGGATGCAGAGATGGAGGTGTTCGTCGGTGAGGTGGTGGAGGAATGATTTTCAACCCTTCGGCCACACAGCCACGAGAAGCTTTGCAGACACTGATACATTACTGAAACTTCTCAACGAAGTTATATCGACCCACCCGAACATCTCCCACCACGTGTCCATCCTCATAGGATAGACATCTCATCATCCGCCCATTCCCCTCCCCCTCTCCAAAACACCAGCCTTCAACTTCTCCACTACCTCCCTCCCAAGCCACCTCAGCCTCCCATCTCCACTACCCGCCACTCCCTCCGCCCACTCAAATACACCCCTGACCTCCCATAGATCTCGCGCCCGCATACTCCCGCCCAACCGCTGGAGTACGAGCCTATGGTCCACAACCGTGGCCCCGCCATCTAGGAACGCGCTGCTGTGCGGGTCTGCGGGGAGGATTAGACCGACGTCTGCTTTGGAGAACGCCGAGAGGGAAGGCAGACTGAAGAGCCAGTGCCACATGGAGGCTGCGGCGCGCTTAGAGGCGGCGTCGTTGAGCGCGACGAGCGTCCCCGCGAAGGTGGTGGCTTCCATGTCGTGCGGGGCGCGGCGGCGCACGTTGAGCGTCTGGGTCGCGCGGAAGTGCGATAGATGCGCGGGGTTAAGCGTAAATGCGAGTGTCGCGGGCCAATAGGCCGGATCGGCCGTTTCGACGCGCTCGATGGTGTGCAGATCAGGGAGGAGGCAGGGCGCTGTCATGGCGAGTGGCTTGTCGGGCGGTGTATCGCTCGTGTGGACAAGTATGGGAGCAGTGAAGGCTTTACCCGTATCCACATCGCGGACAACAAGGCAGCGCGGTTCAGCTGCCAGCACCCAGAAGTGGCGGAAGGCCTGGAGGTGGGCGCGGGAGTCCTGCACGTCAGTGGGGAAGATGGGATAGAAAGCACATATGAGGGCGGCGAGAGCCTTGTTAGAGGTGCTGAAGGTGTAGGTGCCACCGCCGAGAAAGAGAACACCGATCGCCATATGCGCCGCGAGGTGTGAGCCGTAGGCGATATCGGGGCCGACTTGGGCGTGGAGAGCGCGCAGACGTCGGAAAAGCGCCAAATCGCCTGTACCGGCCATGACGGTGGCGACGGAGAGGGCGAGGAGGTCCTGGCAGTTGCGGACGGTGTTACGGGCGAGGCGAGAGTCGTAGCGAAGAGCTGGTAGTCTGCTGATGCGCATGAACTGGTCTAGGTATCGGATGAGGAAGTCGCGGACTTGTACGTCGCCTGTGCCCGCGTGTTTTAGAGCGATGCTCCACAGAAGCCCAGCCAAGATATTGAAAAAGGGCATCTGCTCGCTGCGCAGTTTGTTTATGTTTCGTAGGCTGTGGTGCTCGTGATATTCTTGCGGGAGGTTCTTGATAATCCACGCATTGTCGACGTGGATATTGTCCCACATGATAAGGTGCTTCGCGAGCGTCCGAAGTAGAAAGATGTCAGGACGGACGTAGTCGAACTGAGGAAGAGTGTCTGGCACGTCAATCTTACGGGCGACCGCTTCGTCATGTGTTTTCATGAATATGAGTGTGATGGCTATCACTGCTCCAGCCGTTGCTTGATCAAGGATGTGCACAACGTTGACCGGTTTTGGGGCTACTGCGACCGAAAGAAGACGCTCTACGATCCGCATATCGTGTAGTCCCAGTAAATCTCTGCCTTTGCCAATGTTGATAAATCCCAAGGCGAATCCAGCAGCCAATCGGTATGCTTCGTCACGAAGACCGTCGGGAGGCTCAGATGGATCTGGTTCGTCCACATGCTCAACCTCAGACAACATCACCTCACTCATCCGGCGATGCTGAGTGTTGTAGTACAACAAGCCGATGCCCATCAAGCCCGTGGTCTGAGTGTAAGGTGACAGGTTCAGCTCAGCCGCTCCAGGTGGTAACATACGCGTTACGTGGACAGACAACAGCCGAGTGACGAGTGTGTCCATGGTGCCCATGTATGATGCTGAGAGACCAAGCAGCAAACCAACCGATGTCATCGTATGCTTGGGTGTGAGGTACTTGAAAGAGAGCCATTTGGCGATGGTTTTCAAGTGGCCATTGAGGCCTAGACCGAGCAGCAGTCCGGCATGCCTGTTCGAGACTTCGGCAGGTTTGTTATACATGATCCAAGAAGTGTCTATACCTTGCGCATCCCTTGAGATGCTCAGCCCGGCTGAAACACCTTGGTTGAAGAACGCCCAGAAGAACTTTTCTTCTGAGTAAGTCGTGCGATCAGCTGTGACCACATTGCCCATGGGCTTCATGATGCAGGACGTCGAAAAGCCGGCTAACAAGAACTTTTCGGTCAAGAGAGGCTTCTTGCTGCTAAACTTCAACATCGAGCTGCCGACAGGAAGCGCAAGCGTGCGAACCATGACCCACTGCACGAGTATCTTTTGTCCTTCCAATATGGCTTGTTCGTCAGCTCTATGGTCATATCCATAGAACGCAATTGACGGCTTCATCGGTTCCACTAGTGTATGTGCTTCCATGTAACGGCGATCTTCTCGGAATATTAGCCTGGTGATGGCGTGACGATCGGACTCTGCCATTGATATCAGCCCCTCAGAGCGCTCGGCATTCTCACAGATGGTATGGATGTCTCGTGCGGATGATGCTGGCTGCAGGGAGGCGTCTGTGGAACCGCTGTACAGGTGTGACTCTTGCGTAGAGTCATGCAGTGGCGCTAATGTGAGGTCAAGATCTTCTCTTCCTATAAGTCGAAGCAACGACCCGGACCACGTCGCGGGAGGATTTGCTTGACATCTGGTGATTGCTTCCATAAGAGGCGCTTGCGCAGATTCAGGCAAGGTGGAAAGTATTTGGGTACTGAGGCCGCACTGTTCGATGAGCTCCACGGCTTTCCGGGGACCCGCGCTTGCATCCAGCTCTCGGAAGAACTTCTGCAGAGCAACTGTCCGAGGGGTCACACTAGAAATTACCTCGTCTATGTTGACTGATGAGTGTGGAGAAGCTTTGGATTTCTGGACGAGTTTTGCCAGTGTGGGGAAGGGCACACAGACCTGAGCACCTGCGACAGTGCTGATCCATTCTAATATTGAAGGCGGTGCTTCCCACGGCTGAGTATGCAGTCTTACACTGTGTAGGAAACTGGACTCTTCGTATGTCCAATCCTCTCCGGATGCTCCGTCCAGGTCGTAGTAGCCTCCTTGCCGACGACCCCACAGATCCCAACGTAGCCAGTGTCCGAGTTGGGCAAGCACAGGTGCCAGGTTGCCAATCTTCGAGGTCGAAGCATCGGAGGAAAGGGCACTTAGCTTGAGTTCCTCACGGAAAAGGTGCAGAATAACGATGGCTTCGGATAGTGTTGAGATGCGCAGGTCCTGCTTCCCAGAGGGAGACAAATGTTGCCAATGGCCACTTGCTACTTTCCCCATTGCTGATTGATTGAACTTGCGTGCGAGTTCAGCACTGGTAATGAGTAAATCTTCCTTGCATGCAATCTGTTTCGAGATCGGTGGCAGCTGATCAAGGGACTTGCGCTTGGACGGCGGACTCATGCTGGTGCTGACAGAGGCAGGTTTCGAGTGTTGCACCCACTCCCAGGGAGCAGATTTCCAGGCCTTTGCATGTGGTGCTGTAGATTGACGGTTGCACATTAACCTCCAAGCCGATGATTCGGCGTCCTCGCTATGGTCTTGGGAACGGCCGGTGTTGCGTCTGAGACCGGAACGCCCACGCTGAGTGTGCTTTCTCGTCCTCTCGTCGATAAAAGGTGTTGCCAAGGTGAACAGCGTTGCAACGAAGGCTAACCAGTCGGCGTTGGCCAAAGAGGCTTGCTGCTTCGAGAGGTCTTTGCGTATGTCCCACCATACATCAAGCAGAAGATCGCCAGTATGGTTAGGTAGAATGGTTCGTAAGACACGGAAGAGATCTGTGACTAGTGCATCCGCTGGTTGAAGACGGATCTGGGTCTGATGTCTTCGCCCCTCTCCATCCACAATGTCAAACGACCCATTTGGACCAGCCGACACCAGCCGCTGCAGTGGTTTTGAAAGAGTGATGGTTCTCTTGAGTCCTGCTGTCACTCTTGACTGCTCATCTTGAAGAATTGCGTAAGGGCTAAACAGTCTGACAGTGTCTATGCTAAACTTGGAGGGTAGATGAGTGCCCCAGCCTGCCGAAACGGAGAGGCAGCGCGTGCCCAGATTGTCTAAAGTGAGAGACACAACACGTTCTACGTGTCCGTCTCCCACTTTGATAAGATCCTGACATCCATCCAACTCTTTCAACTGGACGAATCTCGGAACGCACGCATACCGCGGAGGCGCACTGTTTGATCCTCCGGACTGAGAAGCAGCAGCAGAGGGCGACAACCGCTTCCGGGTAATTGCAAGTTCGCACTCCAAGGGGTGCCGTAGGGAAGAATGTATGAGGTACATATACGTCTTTCGCTCGTGTAATGTTGCAGAATTGAAGGGTGCTGCTGATAAAACTGCCTTTGCTATGGGCTAAATGCGCTTGTCAGAAGGCGATAGCCATACATGCGTCGGAGCGTGCACTTACGTTGGAGGAGGATGCAAAGTCTCGTAAGGCAAACCGACCAGCTTGAAGATATTGCTGCACCGGGATCCTGGCAACTTCCGTCATAACTAATTCCTTTCGGAGTCCATCAATGGATCCTTGGTCAGTATTGGCCTCAAGCGGTGCGAAGAGATCGTCAAGCTCGTCGTAGTCTTCGATGGTATCAAACGTGTCGTCCATGGTTTCGTCAAACGTGTCGTCCATTGAAACATTGCTCAAGCTTATTCGCGAGGTTATGCTCCCAGGAGTAGATGCCCGATGGCGATGTTGCGAATACCCCCCAAAGCTTGTGCGATCGGTGCCCAAAGAAAGCCGACTTCGTTGACTGGCACCAAATGAGGCCGAGAAACTTCCACCCAGGCTGTGGCGCTGGGTTGCCATATCTTGGAAAGCTGTTTTATCAAAACTTGTGGAGAGTTCAGTGCGGGACAGCAGGGAGCTGACTCGCCTGGACTCCTTCTGTTGGCGCGTAGGATCGAAATCTGGATTGAGCCGTGACGCAAGAGCATCTTCCACAGCCTGGTCAGAGAGACGTTCCCTTGTCTGTGTGCTCTTCTGGAATGAAGAAGTCTGCGTTTTACTTCGTGTGCCGCCGAAGCTCTCTCTCACTCTATCGTGTCCTCGGACAGCTGGAGTCGTCGCACCGGTACCTGGGGCGGTGGGACCGTACGAACTACGGCGACGTAACTTCGCAGCAGACTGAGGCGCATGATGTTTCCGAGAATGGGAGATTGATTTAGGCTCGAGGTAGGCAGCCGACCAGATGGTAAATACATTCGTCTCATAGTTTGCTGTGACGACCAAGAGCAAGGGTTTGTCATTTCCGCTTCGATCGAAGAGCACCTCATTCTGAGGCGAGACGTATATGATTTCTTCTGCTTTGTCAACAGCCTCCAATTTCCGATGGCCGGAGCCATTGAAGGTTAGAAGGCTGCCCCTCTCATTGCCCGGAACAGCATGAACCACAAGACCTAGTTCAGCAAGAGGATCAGTGAACGAGTAGAGTCTCGGCAGGCCTTCGGTGTGGGATGCCGTGGATCCCCTTGCCAGCTCTTCCAGATACCAGGGTGTCTGGACCTGCCTTGCGCCCAAGCTCAGTCGCGACGGCCCCAAAGAGGAGCCCTGACGGCGAAAGGGCTGGCCGAAACTCTGCGAGAAGTTCTGGGACAAGAAGGGTTGAGGGTTGGACAGAAATGAATTGGGCGGGACAGAAGGCACCTGCGGGCTTGCCGGCACAGGCTGTGAAGGTGCTGTCTTCCTCTGCAGCAAGAGGCCGCGGGCGGCAGGAAACGCGCGTTCGACCTCGAATGGGAGATTGACTACATGTGTGGCGCCTGAAAGAAAGAAAACGTGGGCTTGAGATTTGAGTATCACCACCAGCGCCCGCGATCTGCCCTCGACTGTGCGCGGGGCTTGGTCGGCAGGCGAGTTTGGGTCTGTCGCCGGCTGGGTCCCTTGAGTGAGATGGGTCCAGCTCGGTGCGGCGTCTGGCGTGTCGGCTGGAGCAGCAGAGACAGCTTCTTCAGTCGGAAACCAGGTAAGCAGCGCCTGGACGACTCGCTCTTTCTCAATGGTGAAGTTGAACACTTTGCGCACAACGCCTCCACGGGCCCAGACCGCATGGTATTGGGTGGTCACGACCTCGTCCTCAGGCGCGTCGGGGCTCTCGTGGTATGTCTCCCAGACATAGTCGCGCTCGGTGGGGTCGGCGGGGAGGATGGCCTCAGCGATGAGGTACGGCAGCGCGGCGGGCTTGCGGACGCCGATCGATTGTAGAGCAGCCATGCGGACGCTCGCTTCGCGGCATGGAGGATGCGTGCGTGCTGGTTCCTGGGGCGAGGGGGGTTGCTTTCGCGGGCGGGGCTGCACGCCCAAGCAGTGCAGGTGAACGAGGGTGACGCGACTGTCTGGAACGCGACTTCCCGTGCGTGCGCCTAGACTTCTGTTCACAGCTCCGCAGCACCTCCGTCGACGCACCGCGCCCATCACACCCGCACCCGCGCCCACACAGCCCGCACCGTCAATTGAGCTCGCCGAGTGCTTGCAACTGCCACGCGCCTAGCTGTCGCACCCTCGCCGCGCAGCGCTCTGCAGCGCGCCCGGCGCAACATGCAGCCCATCATTGCGACCAAGGGCAAAGCGACCCATCTGCGGTCGGTGGCCGCCACTCGAGCTTGTCTGGGCCCGACGCTGATTGCAATAGGTATGAGCTGCCCCAGCGCGCGCACGCCAGCGCCGTATACCCCGTCAAGGCGCCCAACGGCTCGACCATCATTCTATCGGGCAGCGAGCATGGAGTCGGTATCCTGTGGAGAGGCGGCCGCCCGCTGAAGCTGTCCGCGCCTGCCCCGAAGGCGCCCGCAAAAGCACCGCCAAAGGTCAATGGCACCAAGGATGCCATCATGATCATCGACTCCGACGACGACTACGAACCGCCAAAGGCTGTATCACACCCGCCGCTCCCAAAGGCTGAGTTCGACGACGACGAGGAAGAGTTGGATCCCGACCGCCCCTACCCCTCGATTGTCCAGCACCTGCGATTGCCTCTTAATACAGAGGTACTGCACATCGCCGTCCCTCAAGTACCGGCGCCCTCGGAGCTGCAGCCTGGCCAGACCATCCCGCGCGTCTTCAAAGAGAAAATCGTCTTTGCGGTAGCATGCACTGACTACACTGTACGCATCATAACACTTCCTTTAAGTCCGCCACCAAACGCAGCGAAGGAGCGACCATCCACTGGCAAATCCCTGTATGGTGAAGAGGTTGTCAAGATCCCTACTTATGCCGGCCACCAAACCGTTCCAGCTGGCGTGAGCATGACGTGGACGTCGCAATCCGAACGAACCAATGGAGAGGATCCAGAGGATGAAATGGAAGTTGATCAAGACACCGCTACTGCCCCGCTTCGACGAAGTCCTCGGAAGAAACAAGCCCCATCCCAGCCTACGGTTTCGAAAGATACAAAAGGGTTCGAACTTCTGGTTGCGTCGCACTCCCCAGAGCTAGGTGGTCTCTTGAAGATCTGGCGATTTGGCCTCACCGACACATCAGTCAAGGCTACCAACCCCATCTCCCCGTATCAAACCGTTACGCTTGCCAAACCCGCTGCGAAGATAGCCTTCAACACAGCACATTACCCGAAGAAGCGACATTCGCAGCTCCTCGTCGCGGACTCGGCTGGCGTTGCACGTATATACGATCCGTTTGCACCCCGCAAACGTAACGGTGTTTCCGGTGCGTTCATTGCATTGTTCAGAACTCGATTCGAGAATGTCAAATCCAACGTACCATATCCACCCACGCTTGCCTCAAGGAAGCCGATCATCGATGCCGCTTGGGTATCCGGCGGCCACGGCATTCTTGCGTTGCTTGCGGACGGTGAGTGGGGCATATGGGACGTGCAACAAGAGGGCCCAAAGTCATCTACCGATCCGTCTGCTTTTTCTGTCCGGAATTTCGTTGGCACCTCAGAATCCGACAAATCAAGCAGCGGCGCCTCCAGCCCCAAATCACGCAGTAATCGCAGTTCACTGGTGCCAATGACGCCCAACACGCGTCGAAGGACGCAGGAAGTGCTGTTTCAAGGGAACCCATCTAGCTCGATACCAACACGAGGTGGCGTTTCGGTCGCTTCTCTCGCGTCTACCAACGGCGACGCAGCGCTGGAATCAGTCGTCATATGGTATGGCAAGGAAGTCTACCGGCTTAACGACCTTGTCAAATACAGGGCACGAGCTGCTGCTAGTAACGCCGGTAGTTCACTCCCCGGACCTGGACTGTCCCAGGTGCAAGACATACCTTTGCTCGGGGAGTCTATTGTGTCTGTCAGCCAATTTGACACGACCAAGAAAGAGGCTCAGATGGCTGTTCCGAGGAGCCTACTTCTGTCAGCCGGATACCGATTGATCATCTCAACAGTGACTAATCAAGTGGTTGATCGAGACGCCAGCACGGCCTCGACGAAAGAGCTGGGGGAAGAAGAGTCTACCCGACGAACTGACCAAGCTCTGCTGGCTCGCGGTGAACTTGGTCTTGAGGGGATGTCGAGACTGCTGGACAACATGACTGGAAGCGGGCCTAACAATATCCTGACGTTGGGCAACCCACGCAAGGTCTTGTTTGAAGGTCTTTGAGCAATTTTGAAATACCCATACGAACCCAAGAGACGATTAAAGGCGACATAGCCGGGACCCGGTTTAGATGAACATGTAAGATTTGGAAATGCCCGTGATCACGCTCTACCACTTATACTTCTTGCTTTCACATTCCCCTTCCCTTGTTCCTTCCCAACGACTCTATCATATTCGCGGCCTCAGGTGGAGCTCAGAGAACAGATTCATTCCTGCTGCTCAGTATAGCCTTGCGATAGAATAAAGAGACAATACCCAGTCGCCGGCTGCTCAGCTCAGTACACCGAAAGGTCGGAACGGTTGGGCGTCTGGATAGCTGCGGATTGTCGTGCGCTTCATTCTCTTACCCTGCCAAACTTGAGCGGGCTGCGGCTGCTGTGAGGACGGTGCGGCGTAGGGCACATGACGCTGAAGCCTGTCTGTTGATGGGTAAAGCGAAGTGTGTGGGAGGGGTGCAACATGCAGTGGTCCGGTAGAAAATTGAACTGAGCCGATACGTCATGCGGAATCAGCTATGCTGTGGTTGCGATTGTATTCTGTTCATGGGTGACTTGTCTGGTGCAACGGACCGAGCTTTCGAATCCATCAGCCAGCAAGCCGCGGGCCCGCCGGCAACGCGTGAGCACGTGACAGCATCACGCCAAGACAATATATGTTTGCTTCAGGGCTGTGTGGCGGAGGCAGCATGAGCAGGTATAGACAATTCCCACGAGATAATTATGCTACTGAGCCTCTCAACCTCTTCATACCGCTATAAGTGAAACTCTAAAAGCATTGGTGATCACTGGTACCACGACCTGCCCAGGTTCGGCGCGCGATGGACGCGTGCCGGCTCAACCTCATCCCCGCAACTTCTGGACACTTCCTCCGCAACCCAATTTCTCCGCCACCAGCGCGCTGTACACGCTGCGCCCGAAACCATGGCGCAGGTGCTGCCAGCGAAGCGCCCTCTTGGGCTGTCGCATCGCTCCCAAGCAAGTGTGGACAGCTTTGCACCCCGAGTAAGTGGTTTCTGTCGGTCCCATTAATTTCATCTGACCTTAGATGCAGCGTAAACGAACCCGCTTGTCTCATGAGCCCTCCATAGAGCCGAGCGAGGATGATGCCAACTTGTACGCCTCTGCAGACGAACCATCGCCAGAACCTACGGAAGCAGACATACACGGGGACGATGAGGCTCGCTTCGCGCGTGCCTCCCAGATCGTGCGGAAGAGCTTCAGGAAGGAAAGCGACAATACACCGGCGGAGTCTGGCATTATCGAAGAGATTGGCTGCACCAATTTCATGTGCCACGAACAACTCACCGTCAGACTCGGTCCGCTCATCAACTTCATTATCGGCCACAACGGCAGCGGCAAGAGTGCGGTTCTAACTGCTCTGACCCTGTGTCTCGGTGGCAAAGCAACCGCCACCAATCGCGGCCAAAATCTGAAGAGCTTCATAAAGGCAGGGAAAGACTGGTCTACTCTCTCGGTCAGGATAAAAAACCAAGGCCCAGGAGCATACAAGGCCGATCAGTACGGCGATTCTATCATCGTCGAGCGCCATTTCACACAAAATGGCACTTCTGGGTTCAAACTGAAGGATCGGAATGGCAAGATTGTCTCTGTGAAGAAATCGGAATTGGAAGATATTATCGACCACTTTGGCCTGCAAATCGACAATCCCCTGAACGTTCTAACGCAGGACATGGCACGCCAATTTTTGAACGACTCCAACGCCAAAGACAAGTACAAGTTCTTCTTGAAAGGAACGCAGCTGGAAACCTTGGATCGCGATTATTCCCAAATTCAGCAGGAACTCGAGGAGCAGAAGGCCAAACACCAGACTCTGGATAAGGATGTCAAGGAGCTAGAAAAGATATACAGCCGTCTTGAAAAGAAGGCACAAGCTGCACGCGGTCTTAAGAAGTTGCGTGCTGAGGAAACTTTACTCGAGCACCAAGGAGCTTGGTCATTCGTTGCCAACGACGAACTCGAGGCAGCCGAGTGCGAAGAAAAAATATCTGAGATATCCAACACGATTCAGCAACGTAAGGCCGAAGCCGATACAGCGTCCGAAAATTTTGCGCGCCTCGACAGAGCCGTGAACGAGGCAACAGCGGCTACAGAAGAATGTCAGGCCGCACTAGAACCAGCGCAGGACGAGGAAAGGGAGGCCATTGCTAGTTTCACGGAGGCAAGGACAAAACTCTTGGAGTTCAAGAATACTGAACGATCTGTGGTTGGAGGAATGGAGAGGACGAAGAAATCTATGGAGCTCACCCAATCACAGATTGACGAACACAAACAACGACGAGAACTAGCAGATGGAGGCCTCCACGCACAGAAAGTCCGCGAGTTGGAGGACGCCAAGGCAGTGTACGAGCAGCTTAAATCAGTTTGGGGGAATCACGATGAAGCCCTACCTACTTTGAAGAATGAGTCGAAAGAGGCGCAGATTAACCTTCAGCGATTAAAGGCCCAGTTGGAAACTAATGAGCGCGACGAGACGCAGTCCAAGATCAAGATCCGCACGCTTGAGCAAGGCCAAGGTAACTGGACCGATGCTTATCCCAATGGCGAGAACCTGGCGAAGTTGTTGAAGGCAATCGCGGCCGAGCGAGAATTTCACGAAAAGCCAATTGGGCCTATAGGTCACTACGTGGAATTGAAGCATCCAAGGTGGTCGTCTGTACTCGAAAAGACATTGGGCGGCGTCCTCAACGCGTTCGTTGTGACGAACAAGGCAGATGAAGTCATTCTGTCGGACATGATGAAGAAATTCAATTAGTAAGTGGAATCAGGAAGTTTATGCGCGCTCCTGCTGACTGTGATAGTCACGCAACTGCATACATCATCTCGAGGACTGAACGACTGAATACAACTGGTCACACGCCCCACGCTGGGCTGTTGACAATGGAAGGAGCATTGAATGTAGGCCCGTCGCGATGAATCAGCACAGAAGGCAGAGCTAACTAGTTTCCAGATTAGCCATGATTTAGTACGCAATTCGCTGATTACCAACCAATCGATCGAGCAGATCGTCCTCATACAAAATCGCCAGGAAGCCTCGGAGCTTGCTCATCGCAGTCCTGCTCAGCGACCAAACGTGAAAGCAATCTACTGTTGGTCCGACCAAAGTCACAGACTTGGGCATGCGTTCAGTATGAACAATGCGACAGGCACTACTAGTATGAGTGCAATACCAGAGTTCAAAGGACCAATTCGCATGCAAGCAGACAAGGGGCACCATATCCAAGAGGAGAAGGAAAACCTTGCCAGGATTCAACGAGAAGCCAGGGATCTGGAAGCAAGTGTTCAAGCTGCGCAAGTGCAATACACCGCCGCTCAAGCAACACTTCGTAATCACAACACCGCCAAGAAGACCCTCCAGAAAGAGATGGAGCAAGCCCAGGAGGACGTGGACAGACTGGACGGGGAAGTGGCTGCTTCTGTGCCAGACACGGCTCAACTCGAACAGCTTGAGAAGGAGCTTGATGATTTCCAGCAGCAACTGCAGTTGGACAAAGACCAGTACGAAGACTTGATTGGTGAAAAGGACAGTGCTAGCAAGAACTCCAAGGAACACAAGCGAAAAGCCGACGATGCAACCCGGGCCGTGAAGGTTCTTCAGGACAGGCTCAACAAATGCAGGCAGGAGGCCCACGAACGGACGCAAGCGCGCGAAAAAGCACTGCGCCAGAAGAACAGGGCAATAGACCACGTGCAGAAAGCTGAAGAGACAAAGGCCGATTGGCAGCGAAGGCTCGATGAAGTGCAAGTCGACCTCGAGACTCACACCGAAGATGCGAGGAATATTTGTGAGCGGGTGGATGTGCCTCGCGGAGCAACGTTCGACAGTTTAAATCGGAAACTCGAAGAAGCCAGGAAGAGACGCGCTCACCTGGAGAAAGAGCTCGGAGGCTCGCAGGAGGCACTTGTAGCCCAGGCCCTTGCAGCCAAGAAAGCATGGGAAGAGGCAGAGGTATTTGTCAAGAACGGCGAGGCACTCAGGACCAGTCTCACGCACGCGCTCAACCAACGGAAAGAACATTGGAAACAGTTCCGCAGCAACATATCGATGCGCGCAAGGGCGACGTTTTGCTACCTCCTTTCGGAGCGGAGGTTCCGTGGAGTGCTCTTGGTTGACCACAGCAAAAAGGCGCTCGAGATGACTGTTCAGCCGAGTGGGGACGTCAACGATCACGTTGGAAGACAGACCAAGACCCTCTCTGGTGGCGAAAAGTCCTTCTCGACTATTTGTCTCTTGCTCGCGCTCTGGGACGCGATGGGATCGCCACTGCGGTGTCTTGACGAGTTCGATGTCTTCATGGACAGTGTCAACCGGGACGTCAGCATGAAGATGATCATCCAAGCTGCGGCGAGGTCAGTGGGACGACAGTACATCTTGATCACACCGCAGGCGATGAACAACAAGGACGTGAGGAGCATGCGAGACGTGACGGTCATCAAGATGACGGACCCTGAGCGGGGCCAGACAGCGCTCAACTTTTCACGGTAGGGAACCAAGGTGGGACAGGGCGTTCGGGGGCGAGGGAAAAGGCAGGCACGTGGTAGGCGTATATTGGCGTTGGCGGCTTTGTGATCTTCCGGACATACCCCTGGCGCCGGGACATATGGAGGGTATGGCTATACCTCGTGGGCCACATGAGGTGGTGGTCGATTTGGCATCTATGTAGTCGACACAAGCTTGGATTTGACATGGTCTAACAATGCATCCCCACTTGGCGTGCGAGCAGCGCAACGGAACGCAGCGTTGCACCGTCTCAGGCTCCCAGGGTATCGGCTTGGGGTCGCCGCGTGGTCTGACAGAGGGCATGTAGGTCTGAACTGCTTCCTTGCGTCGCCGTCTCAGATGCGCACAGACGGGTGTCACGTCGGCTAGAGTTCGGGTGGTCAGCGCTGGAGTGGAGCGCGAACTGCTTGGTCGATCGGCGGTCGGGATGCTGGGGCTAGTGAAAGACAGGCGCGCGGCGGCGGTTGGCTGAACAGCGCCCTCTCACGTCTCTCCACAAAACACGGCGACAAGCACCTGCTGCGCTGTCCAACGCCCGTCCTGGTCTCCCATGAGGGCTCGAAGCGTCGCGACCCTCGTGAGGCGCGGCCCCGTCTGAACACGCACCATGGACTCGGCACCCAGCTCGCTCAGCTCGCTGCCCCCGAGCCCGCGGACTCGCTCGCCCTCGCTTTCCGACGACTCGCGGCGGCTCACGGCGGCCTCGCCCGACGACGACGACGACAACAACAACAACAACACGCACGCCGCACCGCCGCGCGAGCTCCCCGAGAGCGGGCGCATGAGCCGCGCGGGCACGCTGGCGCCGGCTGGCAAGAGCATGCCCAGCAGCACGGCACCCGCGGCGCAGCCCACGGCCAGGGAGCGGGCGCGAGGCCCGCTGCGGCTGCTCGACCTGCCCGTGGACATCCTCAAGGACATCATACACCAGGTGAGCCGCCCCGCCCCCGCGCTGCGCTGCCAGCCCACTGACCGCGCAGCTCCCGCACACCAACGACCTCACCTCGCTCTCGCTCTGCCACTCTGCCCTCCACCGGCTGACCGTGCCCTGCATCTACTCGCGCTTCGACATTGTGTGGCCCGATGAGAGCACCCACTCGGAGCCGCGGTCGGGCGTGGATGCCCTCACCTACGGCCTCGCCACGCTGGTCATGGGCGACGACTGCTTCCCCCACCAGAACCGCTCGCGCCACCAGTGCAGCGTGCCGGCCACCGCCAGCAAGCGCGCCACTCGCTACCCCATCACGCGCCGCCGCTTTGGCAACTACTACGCCCAGTTCACCAAGAAGTTCTCCCTGGGCAACGGCCCCGCCGCCTGGGTCCACGAGTACATGATCACCAAGGAGGGCGGCAAGATGCTCGGCACGCTCGTGGCCCTCGCCATAGCCCGCATGGTCAACCTCGAGACCTTTGTCTGGGACATGCCCACCGGCGTGCTCCGAGACGTGTGGCTGGCACTGTCCAGCCTGGCTGATCGCACCGACGGCGACGACTGCCGTCTTGAGCGCCTGTGGATACGATGGCATGACAACAGCATCGACGCCCCGGTGCCCCCGCCTGCGCCGCCCATGATTCTCAACAACGTGAACGTACCTCCGCCGCCGCCCACGGGCCACCCCAGCGCACCGGTCGCTGTCCAGCCGTCTCTCGTGGTCCCGCCACACTTCCACGCCCACGCCACCCCTGCGATAGACCGGGTCGAGCATCCCACATTCTCCGTCATCCCTCCGCTGAAGAGCCTGAGTGTTCTCGACATCGATGAACTGCCGTATCTGGATGAGATGAGTATTCTGATTGCTCGGTCCCAAGACAAGCTCCGCGAACTCAGGGTTGGCATTGCCCCGCAAGCGCAACAGCGCGACTGGGTCGCTGCGTGGGAGGGTGAGGACATTCAGCAGGTCGACTACGATGCTTCATGGACCGGTGCAAGTGCAATAGGAGAAAAGAGATTGGGCGGCGTGCTGGGTGTCCTCGTGGGCCGGGTCCACAACCTGCGGCATTCTGAAGAGCAGACCGCTCACCAGCTCAAGAGCGCTGCAGTCGGTGGTCGACCTCTTGGATTGCCAGTCAAGTTTGGAGTTACAGGGGCTACGCCTACGCCTGTAGCTCCATTGGCGGATCGCGAGCCCGACCATACCACGGACCACTTTCTCTTCGGACACCCTCTCGAGCCCGTGGTGTCTGAGGGAGTCAGCATTGTCGATGAGATGCAGTCACTCAACATACAACCACCTGTAGATCCGTGGGACGATCCTTATGCGATTAATCGGAAGGCTGGGCACCGGGCATCAGCATACTCGGCTTCAAGTAGCGAGGACAGCGTTCCAGTAGAAGAGAGGTTGACAGGGATGCTGAAGTTGGAGGTGTTGGAGCTGGAGAGGGTGCCGTTATCAGTCCCGGTGCTCCTAAAAGCATTTGACTGGTCGTTGCTCACGACTCTAACCCTGCTCAATTGCAGCAATCACGAGCAGCTGTGGAAGTCTCTTCGGAGAACGTACACCCCACGCTCGCCGTATCCTAATGGTTCTCCATCTTCCTCAAAGGCCTACAAAGCTTCCTACACACTCAGGACCGAGTACAGCCTGAACCTCAAGAAGATACACACCAACACCGTCTCGCCTTCACTGATATCATTCCTCAAAGAGACGTTGGCTCCTAACAGTCTAGAAGTTCTCTTCCTCCAGGAAGGCCGATCCTACCAATCCACCGTGACCGTAGACGCCATCTACCGCGGTCCCCTGCGCCGCCACCGCGCCAGCTTGAAGAAGCTGATGATCGACAGCAGCGAGAAGGGCCAGGACGGCCATGCAACGGGCAGCTCGCGCTGGCGGCGCTGGATGCTCAACCACAACATCCTCACCTTCATTACCAGCGGCAAGATGAACAATCTGCGCGAGCTCGCCGTCTCCATCGACTACAAAGACTGGGTAAGACCTCCATCCCCTTTTCTGCGCCTTTTATTTGTCAAAGAAGATTGGATTGGATTAGATTTGCTAATGTGGAATGGAAAACAGCATCACTTCCTCCAACGACTTCCGCACATTCCGCACATCCGCTCCCTCTACATCCCCTACATCGCCGACCACCTCCACGGCAACAACATTGACCCGCGCGAGCTCGCCTACCAGATCCTCGACATCGTGCACCTGCGCCCGGAAATCGAGCTCTGCTACATGGGGCTATCCTCCAAGTGTTTCGAAATTCTCGAGAATCGCCCGTCCAACTACGATCTTAGGCATGAGGCCGGACATGCTACGCAACACTACGCAGCCGAGGACCCCGGGCTGCTGAGCGAGGACGAGAGCGAGGCGACCGAGGACGAGGAGGACGAGATGGATGCTGGCGGTGCGGGCTTTGACGAGGGGGAGGACGACGACGAGAGTGAGGAGGGTGAGAGTGTGGCGAGTGTGAGTGAGGATGAGAGTCTGGCAGGGGAGGGGGGAAAGCGGCCCAAGTTGAGGGTAAGGGAGATTTTGTTTTACGAAGAGAGGGTTGAGGCGTTTAGACGGAGGCATGGGGTGCTTCGGCCGTAGTGCGTTGCAAGGAGGTGCAAGGATATGCGACACGGATTGGAATAAGGTTTGCGCATTTTGGCGTGCGGGATTCGGTACGGTACTTCGGATGGGACGGCGCACGGAATGACCGAGTGATATCCTGTTTTTGCTCGAGTTGGGCTTGTTCACGAATGGATATGCTTCCCACATATATATATCATAAATTCCATCTTCTCGGTACGGTCGTGTAGGTTAGCTTGGTAGATAGCGGTATCGTCGCAATACGTGTATGCAATCAAGCATGTCGCGCTATTGCGGTCGTGTGTTGTACGTGAGAGTAACATAGTGAGAAGCGATTGGAAAGGAGCCTCTGTCTCTGGTCTGTTTAGGCTCTCAGCTCCAGGGGATCGTGGGTGGGAAAAGTCATAGGCGCGTAGCTATTTACAGATATCAAGCGAGGTAGGCCGGGGATGGCAGGCGGCGGAGGCGACGGAGTGAGGACGTGAGCTTGAGAATGACTGAGCACAAAGCTCACCCTCGTTGTTAATTGACTTGATGAAGGCGACGGATGTAAGGTCACTCTCTGCTCCGTTTGTGCTCTCAGCTCCAGCGACAGGCAAACCCAAACCGCGTCGCTACAACACATCAACCAACCCAACGCTCCGTTTACCACTCCAAGTTTCCTTACGTACACGTATGAAACATGCACCATGTGCACGCACGCATGCAGCTATCCAACACATCATCTTCCACACCATCTCCCCATCCACGCAATCAAAACCGTCCTGCAACGCCACCACCACCATGTGCAAAATCTACCATTTCACCTTCGCCGCCTGCGCCCACGTCCCGTCTCTGCATCGCCCCTGCTGCGACGCCTTCTGCAGCCGAATGACACGGCTGTACCAGCAACGAGCAGGGCTATATTAGCGCTGCGATGCGTCTCAGCTGGCGGTATCCTGTGCCTGGACGACGTGGGCGGGATCATGTATGTAGGAGGTAGGTCTGTCATAAGTGAAGTGAAGTGAGCGGAGGGAAGGGAAGGGAAGGAATGCGGAAGGAGGGCGGGGCGGTGGTGGTGCGATGGAGTAGTCGAGCGGATCTGCGAGATGGATGGGTGTATGAGGAATAAGGGGAAACCAGGGGAGAGCTTGCGAACGGACGAGAAAACAACGGGAGAAGAAGTAGACCCATCTATGTGTTTTGTCACGTGGATTGGTGGTTCCCAATGTTGCAGGCCCTTTTTTCTTTTTGGCCTACATTGGCTTTAGCTGCGTGTTTGCAGTCAGGTTATCTGCATTAACACTGCTTTTACACAGGGGGTCGATATCCTGGTGTAGGAACAGTATCGTCGGCATCAGTTCAGATGATCCATCCGTGGGTTTTCATTTGACTTAGTTGCTTCTTTGGCTGGACATTGATGGTCATCGTGTCGTGGCGTACACATTTCAGATGAGCTCACTTGAACTGTTGCATTCAGATATGGTTGTCCTTCTAATTCGCCCATGCACTTATCATGCAAGCTCGCCAAGAGGACGGATGGATTTGCTCCGAACTGTTCAGTCTGCTCCCGCTGCGTGCTCTGAGCTTATCTCTCTTGGGCAGCAACACTTTGCATTTCAAAAGGTTTCTCGGTTTTTTGGGAAGTCGTCATAGGCGAGCAGCCGTCAATTGAAATGAGCCGCAGTCGCCGAATTAGGGCATGGCGTTCCAATGACTGGCTGCATTTCACCGTCGATCACTAGACTGGAGTGACGATCTGCGGCTTGGCATACACATACTCTCCAATTCGGGAGAAAGCAACAAGTGCTAGTCAAGTAGCGATAGCTTGGACAAAGGGCATACTACTACGAAGATAAGGCTTTTATCAACAGCACGGATGTGGAGACTTAGACGTGGGATTGTAGATATCCACGCCTACGGCCTCCACTCTAGCGACTTTGCACCCTGACATCCAAACCTCAGCTGCGATATCAGCCATCGATTTGTCAATGCCTGCCTTGACGGCTTTAGATCCCAGCGTACTCTATGACACCCCACGAGCTGTCCCATCGGCGACGACCCCATCCAAGCAAAAGTGCTTCACCACCAATTGCGATCCACACATCGTAGACATACCTCATGATAGGAGACCGTACAGACCGTGCTGAGGCGGTACCTCGGTCACGCATCCCGACAAGCACAGCATGACAGCTGGACGCATGTATATAAACCTCACCACACACTCCCTCGTTCCTGACCAGCAGACACTCCGCCTCCCCCAGCACAGTCCCGAAATCTCCATCGCCTGCTTCCCGCGTCCTTCTTGCACACTACCACGCCCACCCCCATTCAAGATGCGCACCTCCCTCCTCGCCGTCCTCCTCGCCTTCTCCACCACCGCCTTCACAGCACCAACTGGTCCATCTCCCCATCTTCCCCCCAGCTGCCCTTGCTAACCCGCCCCAAACACAGCACCCCCAACCCCGCGCTCCCTCATAACCGACGTCGGCGCCGCCCTCTCCGACCTCGAAGCCGGGCTCGGTGTTACCGCTGCTGAAGACAAACTCGACGCCCTCCTCGGCAACAGCCTGACCAAAGTCCGTTTTTTCGCCCTTTCTCTCCCCTCTCCCCTTGCCCTAACTAACACCCGTCTCTACCCAGCTCGAAGACGCCCTCGGTGTCACGTTCGCCGAGTACGCGCTCGGTCTGCTCGAGCAGGGCGCCGCGCCCGGTACGATCCAAGCCATTGGCGAGGCGATCGCAGGCCTGGAGGAAGGGCTGGGCATCGACGAGGTGGATGCGATGTTGGACGAGGCGACGGGGGGCGCGGTGTCGAGTCTGGAGGAAGCGCTGGGGGTCGCCGATGTGGAGGCTGCGTTGGGGCTTGTGAAGAGGGGGGTGTGAAGGCGATGGTTGTTGTCACGTGCACTTCATGGACCCGTGGACCTGTGCAGGTACGAGCAGCTGTTACACTCATGTCCAGACCAAGTTGTAGACTGCTATATAGTCAATGGCTGGGATAGCATGCTATGAGGAAAATCTAGTGTTCAATTCTCAATCACCACAGTTCTCGAGCCAGCTGATGGAGATCCTATGATTGAAAGTGGTATCTATGCTGCTACATACGCCATGTCCATGATTCATAACACAAAAATGCATCGCTTATCCACCCCCGTGCGATAAGCCTGGCAGAAATGAACACAAAACATACACCGACTCATCGCCCGCTCGAAGATAACCACACTCCGTGCCCTCAGCTCCAGCCCGGGTCGAATACCTCACAAGATACCCCAGTACTTCTCCGCATTGAACGTAGACGCGTCGTCCGACTTCCAGAGCGTGTCGAAGGCGTTGAAGAGGAACAGATCTGAGCTGAATTCAGCGCGGATCGACGCAATGGCCGCCTTCTGCGCATCCGGCGAGGCCACGGCCTGGTCGTGGCTGTCGCCCTGGTGCGGCCAGCCCGACTCGGTGACGACGACGCGCTTGTTGCCGCACGCCTTCTTGACGCGGGCGACCTCGCTCTTTACAAACTTGCCTGCATCTGCGGCCTTGGTGTTGGGGTCGAACCAGGCGTGCACGTTGACTAGCACCATGTCGGATGCGGAGCAAATTCCCGGGTTGTCAATAACAGCAGGGACGGTTTCCACTGCCCCGACCGGTCCGTTGAATCCAGCATTCCGGAGCGCTGTGCGTGCCTGATCGATGGTGGATTGGGCGTCGCTAGCAGTCATGGCCTTTGCATTGACTCTCTCATTTTCGACACTAACGAGACTGATGATGTCCCAGCTGCCGCCGTTTTCCTTCTTCACTGCGTCCGACAAGGCACTGACGACGCTATCGACGTCCTGAAGAGGCGCGTAAATACCGCCCATCAACTTTTGACCGTTCTGCTTGGCTGCTCGGACAGCGACAGGAATCTGGCCGCAGTCGTTGCCGTAGATCCTGACAATCTTGTAGTCCTTCATCGTGTTGAAGTCTGCGGTGATCTCGTCTGCGGTCTTACAGTCCACCTTGTCATTCGTGCCTTTGTACGGATCGTACGTGATGCCGAGAGGAAAACTATCGGCCGAGGCAGCACTTGGTTGCGGTGCAGGAGCCTCCTGGGCTTGGAAAGATGGCTCAGGTGACGGGGCCTCCTGAGCCTGAACAGTCGGCTCAGGCACTGGAGCAGGTGCTTCCGAAGTGGGCGCTGGCGCCGGAGCTGCGGAAGTGGGTGCTGGCGCCGGCGGGATGGGGGCAGCAGTGGATGTGAGTTCTACGTTCTGGATAACAACAGACGAAGGCTCAGCGGATGGCGACGGACTTAGCGGTGGAGCTGGAGCTGGCTGCGGAGACTCGGCCGGAGCTGAGGTCAGAATCGCAGTGAAAGACGCAACAGAAGTGGGCTCGACTGAAGTGGATGCGGTGGTGGTGGCGCGCTCCACGGTCGAAGTGAGGTACGGGGAGCCATTCTCGTCAACGTACACAACTGCATCAGCAACCGTCTCGGTGACGAAGACCACCTCGGTAGTCACAGCGCGTTTGATATCTGCGCCATATTAGTAGATGCAGGGGGATACTGTTATCTAGTAGCCCAAAGATCAAGTAGAGACGCTCCGGGACTACACATCTCAGATCACACCCCGGATACAGACATCTTGCGCCGACGCGATAAGAACTCTGAGCCACCAAACTTCCAAAACACTTACTGAGCGGATGTGCAACCGCACCAACAATCAACCCACCCAAAGCGAAAGCAGCGCCCAGCTTCATGACGAAGTCCTCGATCCTAAGCGAACAGGAAAATATGTACGGCTGAATGAAAGACTACGAATGCCGGCCAGCGGCGTCAGTCAAACAGTCGCAGATACTTTCACAACAACCTTGCGCTTGATGTGCCGGTTCAGGAAGACGCTTCGTAACTTACGAGAACTGGCTCTCTGTTGCACTTCTCTCCACGTTCAACGTGAGAGTCGCCGGCGAAAGCGAATGTTATTGGAATGCGGGCCGGAAAATGCAGGGCGGGGGGTTTCCAGGTGGTGCGCGGAGAATGGAGATCTGATTTGCTTTGTGCTGCCAACGAAGGGGGTGGTCGGAGGAATGCTGTTGCTAGCTATACCAGCTGGCCTAGCCACGCTGTCGCACTGGATAAAGGAGTGACAATCGGACACAGCCGATGGAAGGAAAGGAGCGTGTGGGAAGTGTAGAGTGAAGAAGGTATCGAAGTGACCGAGGTTTTGACCACGCAAGGGCAAACGAAACAGCCGCTGGTATTGTGTCACGGAAGGAGCGAATGGTACCTGGCGCTAGCCGCTTTGGGAAATGGCGGACGTGAAGTCCGGCTACCGCGAGCGCGACGCCCAGGCGTGCGAGTACAGACGTGAAAGTGAAAGGCAGGCGAACGCGCGCGCGCGTCTGGGCGCGGTGGGATGTGGCTTTTAAACAAGAAACAATACACTGAACATGCGGGGGTGGAGTAAAATGAAGGTGACACTTTGAAACTGCCATGCGTCGCACCTTCATCCTTGGAGAGCGTGATGTGAATGAACCACCAAAGTGCCAGCGGGCGAAGTCACAAAGATGGGTACTGAGGTGCATCAAAGATACAGATTGGAGAAAGGGCTAGGAGTGAAGGGGTACGCCATGACACCAAGAGCATCGTGGGGCAAGAGGACGAGTGACAGCCAGGGACAGCGCGCGTGACAAGGAGTGGAACGGAGGCTTGATGGCGCAATGAGGAAAAGAATTGCGAACATGAAGAGAATGAACATGTTATTTTCCCCAGTTAGAGACAACGAAAGGATACTTGCCTGTCATGTTGGCGTGAAGCGGTCTTGTCGTGGCAGTCTAGTCACAGGAAGATCGAGGAGTCGTATCGCCTTGAAATTAGTGACCAATACGTGTCGAACCAGCCATGTCCTACAAATAGCTTGATTGAGGCAGATTCACATTTTCTCCGTGGCTATATCTGCGTAGATGTGATGATATCGTGTACGCGCGCGAGTAACGGTGATGAAGGAGCAACGTCCGAAGTGCGAAGCGGAAATGAGCTAGGGTGCCAGTGGCGCAACAACTCGCTTACTAACAGCCCCTTCGCCCAAGGCAACGTTCACAAGGCTAAGCAGCTTCTGGATTGCCTTTGCTCTCGGTGAGCTCATGTTCTCCACGCATTGAATCATACGGTCACAGTCATCTTGTAAGAAAATCAAACGACCACGAAATTCTAATTACCTACCTGCGCCCTCCTCAACCCCTCCTGCCCCTCCAAAAGCCCTAACACCTTCACCCTCCTCGGCACCAAGAATCCACCCAGAACCTCATACCTCTCCAGATACCTCAAACCCATTTTAACCTGCTGTTTCCCATCTCCATGCCCATACTCACCCACCGCATGTCCATCGACAATCTTCCTCCCTTGCTTATACCTCCCCTGCACAAATCCCTCGATTTTCCAAAACGGATCACCCTCCTTCTCTAACATCCCACCCCCATCACTATCCGCACCCCTATCTCGAGTACACTTTTTAGCCTCCTCTATCAACACCTGAAGCGCCTTTTCCCTTACATTCAATTTCTCCGCCATCCTTATCAAGCCCTCAGCGCCTGTCTCGCCCGCGCGCATCCCATCTGTTTTCGCGGCGCAGACGTAGTCGTATACATGTTCCGTGTCGTTTTCGGTGGCGAAATGCAGGAGGCAAGAGAGTAAAGATGTGTATGCAAGGAAGGGCTCAGGAGCGAGGGAGCGCAAAGGGATAGGGAAGGTCAGTGTAGCGATCTGTGGAAGGGGATTAGGCGGTGAGGGGGAAGGTGGGATAGAGAGCACTGTGAGCTTGCGGGTGTGGATGTGACTTGTTCGCTTGGGACCTGGTCTGTCGTCGGGATTGGGTTTGGGTTTGGGGTCGGGCGAGGAGGGCTGTACGTGGTCGCGTTTGGTGGTGGTCAGCTCGACACCTTGGGAACTCAGGCTGAGCGCGAGACGGCGGCCTGTCATCTTCGCAGTGCGCAGCGTAATGTCGGATACGAGATCGTCTGCCGAGCCTTCAATTATAGCCTGGTAGAGATGCTCCCACCAAGGCATTCCTTCCTCGCCGAGCAGTGCTTCGCGCCGCAGCACATTTTTGTCTTCCCTCGCCAAATCGCCCCTCCACTCAAGCACCTTGCGGTCGAATTGACTCTGCTTCCGAATGCGCGCCCCGCTTTCCAGTCCATCCGCATTATTTCCCACATCATCGATCTTCTGGCTCAATGCCTTCCACAGCGCACGCCGGGTGCGTCGCATTTTCCCTACTTCCCTCGCCACAAGAAAGTCGGTGAGGGGACGGTTCATGAGAAGAAACTCTGGCGTTGCGAGCGTAGTGACCTCCCGTTCGAAAGCCGTCATGAGCAGCAGAACATTCTGCACTATATAGTCATCCCAGGGTGTTGAATCATTACTAAAAGAGGACGCTTGCCGGAGTCCGACATGTGGGTGGCACCGTTCCGTCGCGAGGACGGCTAAGGGACGTCTGATCCTGGTGTGCTCCGAGTTCTCATACTTGTCCGGCGTGTTAATACTGGACAGCGCCTCCATGACCACACGCACTTCCCCTTCCCAATCTTCTCTCCGAGAAGAAAGTAAGTTGAGGCGCTGCAGGGTGAAGGGAAGTGTCCAGAGGCTCTCTCTGAATGCGAGCTGGGCCTCCCACTCCGTGAGCAAGCCATCTCCGCTTCTCCAGTGGGATGACATGCCGATTGCTTCCACAGAGGACAGCTTGGGTATCGATGAGTCTGGCGTGCGCTTTGGATGACCCGGCGTCGCTCGAATTACCCAATTATGACTTTGAGAAACCGCGTCCCAGCGTTCCTGCTCAGCGCCTCGCCACTCCGCTTTCTGCTCTTCAAACGCGTGTGTTTCTTCTTCTGTGACATCATCAAATAGCTTCCCCTCAAAGGGAGTATCTTCCCACAGTGCAATTTTAACACCACTTGAAAGGACCAAATCTATTAGGCCGCTGTGTAGAACTTCGAGTCGATATTTGTGACGCTCTGGACCTCTTGCGAGTCTAGGAGAAAGCTCCTTATGCCCGAGCAGAACAAGCGGAATCTGAATATCGAGGTGCAATGGTGAGGCGACCGAGGCGGAGTATGCGAAGGGCGTGCTGGGCGTGATCGGTGTCCTCATCGTGCTGCAATTCCGGCATGACCAGACAAAACAATTATATAGAAGAAGATGGCAAGCTGGGGGGTACCTGACAGGGAACTTCTGAACTGAAAGGTTGAGATAAAAGGACGAAAAGTCAGTCCAGTGGAGGAGAGAAAGAGCAGTGAGAGCACGTGCACCGACGCATAAAGAAAGTGCAATACCTAGGTTACCACGACAGGACAAAGAACACAGAAAGACAGCTGAAGACGAGAGGAATAGGTTTCCGACTATGTGTGCTTTACCAAGTGTAGTTAATCCATCCACACGACCATCTATACAGCAGTTGAATCTGAAGCCTGCAAAAAGACGCATAGGTGACAGAGAACACCTGACCTCGCCTCAACCCTTCTACCTCAATTGAACACAGTACGTCGCATATCCTTCAGCTCCCATATCATGCCGAGTTCGCAGTGTTAGGGTTCTGAGCCGGCGCCGCAGCGGGCTCAACGCCCTCGGGCCCAGCGCCAGTCAACGGCTGCTGAGGCGCGTCCGCAGTCGGCGCAGGGACGCCCGTGTTATCAATCACGTTCTTGTCCTCGGCCTTCTTTGCCCACTTGGGCGGCTTGACCCACTGGTCGTCCTGCCAGGGTCCAGCGTCGCTCAGCTCGCAGCCGCCAGGGCAGTCGCAGCTCCCGCCAAACAGCTTGGGCAGGTTCTCGGCGGGGACCTGGGCGAGCAGCTCCTTCTGGTAGCCGGAGCCGAGGATGTGGATCTTGTTGACGGTGACGGGGTCGAGAAAGCGCTTAACGACGCTCCAGACGCCCGAGAAGCCCCAGGGCGCGTTGATGACGTACATCTTGCCGAGGCGCTCGGGGTAGTAGTTCTGCGATATGGCGGAAACGGCCTGGAGGTAGCCGTAGACGGAGGTGGCTTTGGCAATGCCCACGCCCTTGAGGTCCATGATGGAGCACGACGTCTCGAGGAGGTAGCCCGACTTGCGCGAGCAGGCAGGCAGGCGCGGGTCGGCCATCTTCTCGTACTCGCAGACAAGGTTCTGAATCATGCGCTCCTGCGAGGTGATCTTGGCCATGGCGGTGAGGTCGACGTTGCCGAGCTGCTCGATGTACACGGGGCGGCCATCCTGGGCGGTGTGAGCGCTGAGGCATGCGGTGCCCCTTGTTGATCAGGGACATGCAGGATTGCACAACCATACGTACCTTGTCGGTCTTGTGGTAGTACTGCGGGTAGTACTTGAAGATCTCCGGCCTCTCCTTGTAGTCAAAGGTGCGCACCAGCTCCTCTACGCCCACGTCCGCGTACGACGCCCGCCACTTCTCGCAATCGATGAACCTGCCACGTGATCAATCGCCTGCGCCCGCTCTCCTGGCTGCATCTGCACTTACATCTGCTTAGAGAGCTCGACGTTGAATTTCCGCGCACGCAAAAACCGCAGCTGTCAACAAATTAGCCCGGGCCCTCCACTGCCGCTCTCTCGCACGCACCAGCGTCAACGTGTCGAGGTTCTTGGTGTAGCCGGCCTGCTCTAGCATGGCCCTGAGCTGGTGGACCTGCGCATCCTGCTCTGGCGTCGTGTGGCCGGGGTGGCCGTTCTGGGGCGTGGGAGCAGTGGTGGGGTAGTCGTAGTCGTCGTACTTGGGATCGAGCGTGAGCTCTTTTGCGCCGGTGGCAGCCATGGTGGGCAATGTGTCGATTACTGAGGTCTTGGTAGAGAGGCGGAAGGGTAGAGTGAAATAAATGCGCGTCGAGGTCGAAGAGATGTTGGGAAGGAAATGACGACGAAGTTGGGCTAGGCGCACGTTGACCGCCGCTCAAGCGAGCACATGGACGAGGGGCTGGAGCCGCCAGAGCTGTGGACCCTGGGCCTGTCTTACCCCAGAAATGGCTGATGGACAAGCCACCGCACAGCGCAATGCATCTCCAATCGAACCGGTTGCCTTCGATAGATCCACCTGCCTTCTGCGCCCATCTAGATGTAATCTTGGACCGTCGACGCCCACTTCGGGCTTGAGCATCACACTCCCAGCACCACTATCGAGTCCCACAGGCTTACGAGTCACTGACCGCAGTGCACTAAGACCAGATATGAACAGTGAAGCGCTAGTCGATCCCCCCAGCAGGAAGGAGACGCGGCCCATTTTGTAGCTAACTAACTCATACATCCGGCAGAAGTAAAGACAAACATAAACCAGACCATCCATCCATCTCCAGCCAGATACAGCCCACGCCCACACGCACCTCCGCCCCCGAACAGAGCCAACTCTACCAAAAGAGCTAAACGAGCGTTGTCTAGGTTCACTACCCAAGAGCCAGGAGCAACGCACAAAACACTGTCAACAGTCCGAGTAGGGAGACATTGCCTTGCTCGTACACGCACTGGCCCGCCGGACAGTAGTCTACCGTCGCCGCACCGCCGAGTCATGTATACCATGAGAGACCAACCGACAAGATGAGAGTGGAAAACAGACACAAATAGCAGCCCGAACACCGCCTGATGACGCCCAAACATGACAGACGAGGAAAACCACGAGCGCGCCTATGGACAGTCCAAGCAAAGGTCGAGAAGAAGTCAACAAAACTCGCGGTGGGGCCTCCCCCGCAGTGGAACGGAAGCAGAGAGAACAGCCTCCGCGCCATAACAACCGCCTTACCGTTGTCGTTCCCGGTCGCGGTCGCGTCCTTGCCCAAAGTCCGGCTCCACCACCGCCCGCTTCTCCTTTTTGCCCTTGACTATGTATTTGGCGAAAAGAGCAACGTGATCCGATGGGAAATGGTAGTTGGGGAATCCAGGTACGCGCTTGAGGTACTCTGAGTCGATGTCGCCGAGAAGCTCAACGACCTGTAACGTGTTTGTCGAGTACCAAATGTAGTCGAGCACGCCAGTGAAGTTTGGCGTATAATTGGTGAACTTCAACTCGCCGATTGGTGAGTAGCTCGACTTGAGGCTGAAGGGATGCGACACTCCATTCCTCGTCAAATTACCGTAGTTGCGACTACCCAAGTCTTCATGCTGGTTCGACATGTTCCCCGAAGTGATGAACTCGTAGATGCCGGACTCGGGCGTTGAGTTGAAGTCACCGCAGAGTAGAAGTGGTATTTGAGCCGCGTCTGAATATTCCAGTGATGGTCCTGGTGTTTGCGTGTTATCCGGTATTGGGTTTCCTTCCTCATCGTCTCCGTTCGCGAAGCGGTATAGTACCTTGTCAGTGCAAGGAGGCGACTTCGCCCACTTGTTCGCTAACTTGGTAATAGACTCCAACAAGATCGCCACTTGCACCATCTTGACGTCCGTGAATGCAGGGTTCCAGAAGACGTGGACGTTACCAACAATCAGCCTAGAACCTGTGACCCGGTTCTCAAGGAACGCAATAACAGCAATATCGTCTCGCGGCATGACGCGGTTGAAGATGTCATGCTCTCCCTTCATATCGGGACGATTAATGGCAATGTTGGTAAAGTCGATGAGCTGTTTCTCCAACAACACGTACTTGCTGTGCTTGTAGAAGATGGCACACCCATCGACAAGCTTAGCATCCTTCTCTGCCATAGTCCTTGCTCGCGTCTTCGTCCAAAACATGCCCTTGTAGTCGTTGTGCGCTAGGGCCGGTCGGAAAAAGTCATTATAGGACTCCTGGTCGATTTCTTGAAGGCAAAGTATGTCAGCATTGCGCTCGCGGAGTTCGGCCAGAATGGTCTCTCTCCGGTGTTCCCAGTCCAAGGCTCCACTTGCGGTGTACCCGTATTGGGACGGGGTACAGTACTTGTCGCACAATATGTTGTAGCTGAGCGCTGACACCGTTTCTTGTTCGGCGGCCACTTCGTCAAGTTGGATAATGTCTCTTTCCATAGGAGCCTCAGGGCCTATTCAAGTCAGCACAGTTCGATCTAGCCAGCATTACCGTCGGTCTTACCTGGCGCAGTTTCACGGAAGTGTTCGATGAGCTTGGAAGTTCCGCTCTCTTCCATAATGATCTCTTTGTGTTCGCTGGGAATTGGATTGCCATCTATGCCGAGCACCTCCAGCTGAAACAGGGATCCAAGTTCAGGAGGCAGGTAGTTGATGTTGTTGTCAAAAACCAGCAATTGCTTCAGATTGACAAGCATTCCTATCTCAGGAGGCAGCGTTCGCAGCTCGTTCAAAGACGCATCCAAGTGAGTGAGGTTCCTAAGCTTTCCGACGCCTGCAGGGAGAATGGAGAGCTTATTGCAGTTGAGATAGAGCTTGGTGAGAAAGGTGTATTGAAACAAGGTCGGGGTCAACGTTTTTAAATTCTGACCGCCGAAGTCGAGGATAGTCCAGACGTGGTTCTCTCTGCCATCCTGAATCATCTGCCCTGCGGGCCTGTTACGCTCCTCCTTGTCCGCATCTTTCTGGGTGCCGCTGTTCGTTCCAGCAATCACATTCTTGTTGACACTCGGGTGGTTCCTCGCATGGGAGTGAGACTGCGTCATCTCGCGAGCCATTTGCGCTAGTTTCAATTGTTCTGCCCAGTGCTCGCTGACCGGTTTGTTGAGCCCACTATGCACACTTCCAGGCGTTCCATTCTGCAGATGATTTTGACCAAAGTGAGGCTGTACATTCGAGATGCCTCCGCTGGAAACGTTATGCTGGTGATTGAACTGGTTCGTATGCGCGCCAGTCCCATGGTCCTGGTGTTGATGGTGCGCTTGGCCGTGATGCTGGTGGCTGGGATTGTGCTGGAACGGCTTGCCCAGGTTCATCTGCATCGCGTATCTGTTCCCTCCGTTCATCATCACGTTGTGGCCCTGATTGCCGTGGCCATGGCCTTGATTGAACATGCCGAGCTGCTGCGGCGACTGTGCACCTGAGGATCGCGATGGGGAGGGTGTGTCTGGGTTATTGAAGGGTATCCGGGCGCTAGTGGTCGGCGAGCGCACTCGGGTGGGGAGGTTTCGAGATTGCAGATGGTTTTGTGCGTGTTGCGGGTAGAAAGCGTGGCCTGGACCTCTTTGGTAGGCCGAGTAATCGGCCATCTACAGGTATAGCGAGGTCAAGCGATGAGGGGCCCCGGGGCTGCAGCGGTGAAGGTGAGTTGGCGCCCGGGGGAGATTCGAGGTAGGCGTGGGTCAGGTCGGTGGAGGGGTTCGGAGACGCGCTTTTCTTCGTTCTAACATGGGCGACTCTACAACACGCCTTCATATGCTGCGCTGGGAACGCGGGCCGCAGTGGGGCATGTATTGAGGAGCCGTGTCGCCGGGCGAGCTGTGGTCGCGTAGGTGCGGGGAGTGAGCGTGTGCGCGGAGCAGGATCGGGTGGTCGTGGGAGCGGGAGATTAAGGGCAGAGTCGTTGGTCGGGGTGTGAATGCGTGGATGGCGCTGTCACCTGTCTTCACCGTCGTTAGTCACTGGGGTGGGGACGAGGTTGGTTGACGCCGAAATAGACGACGACAGAACCGGGGAGAAAGACGCGCCAACGCACCGGCTGGGGCAGCGAGAAGCAGCGCAGCTATTCAAGCAGTCTCAATTGCGCAGCTTTGGCCGTGACGGGCACCAGGGGCAGCGTAGGCAAAGAATAGAGAGTGTAGCAATGCTATCGCATGTCGCGAAGCTCTGGCTGGTGCGTCTAGGCCGGCGTTCAACCGCAGGTCACGTGGGACGACGAGCGCCAGTACCAGGTCTCAGAGTCAGTAGCTCTCCGTCGGGTCTCACGCTGGCCTCACGTACCGCACTGGAGCGTAGCTAGCTCCGTTGTGCGCGGATGGGTGCGGCAAAGACGACATCGCAGCACCGCCAGAGCGTCCTCTGCGTGCAAGCACTTGCACCATCTTGCGTGACTGTTCTTTGAGGCTGCCCCGCTACCATGCTCGCCATCCCACGCCAGTTGCAACCATGTACCGTCTCCCGGCGTCAACGGGGTTCGTATGCCTGACTACCCCCGCGTTTGCACACGCCACAGCTCCGTGTCTCGTGCTAGACGTGCGGCTTGGGACGGCCATGTGTGCCCATTCTATGGCTGGCGCTCCAGGTGGGATGTACTCACCCCCTTCTGATTGGAGACGCCCGCTCTGGTCCTCGGTTGATGCACGTCTGTCTGAAGCTGCCCGCCGCCCAGCTGAGGGGCACCACGGTCCTTTATACTTGGCCGTCCGAGGTGCCAGCAGACGCAGCCTGTGCAGATCCAATCTCTCGCCCTCCCGCTTGACAGCCACACCCACCCTCGTCACGTCCCGCTGCCGCCCCGTCTTCATATCTGGTCGCTCCCCGATGTTCCGAGTTCACACGTGCTTATCGGACGACTTGGGAAAGGTCCAATATCGCGAGCTGCCCGCTAAAAACAGTGGGGCAAGGGTGTGAAAATGGCCGAGTGGATGATGGTGTGCTCTCCTGCGGCATTCCGTCTTATGTCGATGCCGCTGACCTGATCCCCACCACAGTATCGCTACACTGGCGGCAACGCCAACGGCACATCTGCCCGCCCAAAGACTGCAGAGGCGAAGCAATGGGATTTGACCTCGACTGACGCCCTCGGACGAACCATATCAGCAAGCGCAGCGCCTGCCGCGCCTGCGCCCGGAGCACTCATGGACGCGACGCGGGGCTCCGTCTCGAGCGCATCGGTTGCCCAGAGCACCAAACTTGAGGATTCTGCTATTTTCGCAAATCCCTTTGCCTTGCGCCATGGCCGCCGCTACCTTCGAGACCTGCCGTATCCCCTTCCCTGCGACCTGCCCGAGCTCCAGCGCCAGAACCTACACACCCTCCTTTCTACGTCCGTCTTTGGCCGCGCTCTTGGCTCCAGCCCGAACCCTGAGCGGCCACCTCACAAAGTCCTCGAGATTGCATGTGGTAGCGGGTACTGGTCTTCGCTATGCCACGAGTACCTGTACGGCCTGGGCTACGAGGATGTTCAGTACACTGGTCTCGATATCGTGCCCGTAGCAGCGGACCTGCGCAAACAGAACATAGACTGGAGATTCGTCCAACACGATTTGCGAAAGGTGCCGCTACCGTTCGATGACGGCGAGTTTGACATTGTGGTTATGAAGGACATGAGCATGGTGGTGCCACTAGGCTCCGCATCTCAGAGGGTTCTGGACGAAGCCATCCGGATATTGAAGTCCGGAGGAACGTTGGAGATATGGGAAACCGACCATGTTATCCGATCTATCCTACCGCACCCTCCACCGCCGCCGGGCAAGAACCCCCAGGAATACGCCTGCGCAGTTGCAACTGGGACCTTCATGATCTCCCCGATCACACCATTTACCGAAGTCCACAACAAGTTTCTCGCGTCGTCGAACAATTGGATAACGGAGGCCTTGGATAAGCGGAAGCTGTCACCCACGCCGTGCGTGCGTATCTCGCAGATGTTATTACAAGAGACCGAGACCCTTCAAGGGGTGGAGAATCGGAGAGTAGCTATTCCCCTGGGTGAGCTGCGGTGGGAGCGAGAGGCCGCAGCAGAGAGACAGGCGGCGAATCGTCGTGGCAGCGAAGCAGCGCGTACCAAGAAGAGCGGGGACAGCGCGACGCTTACAGACGAACAAGCAGCTCTGAGACACACAGCGTTGCTCGTGGTCATCCAGATGATCGAGAGTCTGGAGCCGCTGCTGAAGGAAGTTAGTGGCAAGTCGCAGGAGGAATGGCAGACTTGGTGGGGCTCGATGATGACAAACTTGCTGCAGGAAAAGGGCGCCTCGAGCGGAGAATGCCTGGAGATCGGAGTCTGGTGGTGCCAGAAGGTCTGATAATGCGCGTGTGCATACCTTTTGCTTTGAGATATCCCCTCGTGGCCTGGTTTCAGGCTCACTGCAATTCGCTGGCGAAGCAATTATACCTTATCATAGCGTTGACGCAAAGCGCGGTACCGCTTTAGGTAGTACAATGCTTCTATCTCTGAACCAATGTCAATTGATACCTTTGACGCACGTAAAACAGTTTCACTTACCCTTCTTCACATATTCGGCCCTTTCAATACCTTCTTTAATCTTCTTTTCATCCGTCAAATGTTGCTGGCTGGCGAATGCTTTGTGGAGTCGAGTTCTGTAGTAATCGTATCCCAGGGGATACTCTCGACCAAGGTACAGCAGCTCTGTTGATGTCAGGCGAGGATGTACGTGAGCCCGCGCATGATCTAAACGTACCTTTATAGATGGTTATGACCTGGTGGCGGAGCGTTCGATTGATAGCTGTCATGATTCTTTGCTCTCCGGAATATTGAGCTGCAAGCCACCCCAGGATGCGTGATGTATGCACGATTCGTGTGGATGATAGGGATTCAACGTGCTGAAGGTCATCGATGGTGGGGCGGCCCAAGCTCCCGCCCACGTTCGCGTGACGACACCTCGGCCCGTGGAAGGTGCGATTATCAACTCGAATCCAATGATACCATAGTCGCCCGCGGATTTCTCCTTGCGCTTCCATATCTCGAGCGGCCGACTTGCATACTATGCGCCCCCTCGCACGCAGCGTGCTGCCCGCCCGACCGCTACTCATCCAACGCGCACCGAACACCGCACGCCTGCAATCGACGAGCTCGTCCAGCAAAGATGCGGCTACCGCTGCCCTGAGCCCACGGTGGCTCTCCGACCTCAAGACGCGTGTTGGCAAATGCATCAATTTTGGCATAGACAAGGAGCAGGTGAAGGAAGCCGGAGACATCTTGCACTATGTCAATTTCAACTGGAAAGATTTGGTGGCAGGCAGCGAGGGCTTCCTGACTGGAAAGCACCGCTGGGGCCTTCATCGGCAACAGGTCGCGTGGGGAGAAATGGTGAGCTCGCATGTCGGCGCAATAGTGTGCTGCAGTGGCTAATGCGCTTCGGGGGGTGCACAGGATAGCATGGTAAGACCAGCAGCAAATGCATCTTCTCACCTGCAAACTACGTGCTAATGTTTGCAAGGGTACGATGTTCGATGGATCCCGATTTGGGACGAGATGTTGACTGTGTGACAGGTCACGTTAATAACGTAACATACAATCGGTGGGCGGAGAGTGCTCGAGTCAATTGGGGCATGAATTTTGCCTCTATGGATACCGAGCACAGAGATAAGTGGGAGGCTCTGGTAACGCCCAAGGGTATTGGCATGATCCTGCGGAGCATCCGTACTGACTACAAGTTTGTGAGTGACTTGCCTGTCCAGCATTAGTCTTACTACGGAGGGTTCTGTGAGCGCGTGACTACAGACGTCAAGCCAGGATCCTCTTGTTGGTGCGCGCAGGAATTCGCAACTGCGAGGCTCAGATAGAACGTTGCTGACTGCGGTGCTACTCCAAAGCCGATCAAGTATCCAGACCGTGTCACGGTATTGCATAAGCTTCGTTCGATGCCGAAGGCGGACACGGACCACTTCATCCTTGACGTGGTAATACTCTCCGAGTTGCACCGGAGAGTTGCAGCGCGCTGTGTCGAAGACATTGTCATCTACGACTACAAAGCAGGGAAGAAGTCGTCCATGGAGCCATTCATGGTCAAGATGCTGGTGGAGACTTTCAACCTGCAAGAGCAGGCGAAGACGACGTACGGGAATAAGGCATTGGAGCTCATTCGACGGGTACAAGCGCTCGAGAAGAGCTCCTGGGATAGACCAGATGCCAAGGAGGATTTTGGCAGCGCGATTCCATAAAGCTTTTCTCAACGTGCCATCTTGCATCGACTGCGGCTATCCAGCCACAGCACACCATCGGATGATCTGCATGCCCGTTACGCGTGACTTGCCCGGGTTTCCAAATTAGTACGTCACGGTGCAGGCCATTGGCTGCTCACACCAAGCTTTCAACGGCGCCAATGATGGAGGGGCGGAATGGTTTCCTGGGCAAACATGTCCGGCGAGGAGAAAAGCTCCGACGAGAGGAACAGCCGGGCGATCCCCTGGTGAGAGCGTTTGGCGATGATGCAGCGTTCACGCAGCTGCTGCTTACCCGAACTAGGTGGATAATGTCGTCTGCACCGTCGAGGTCCCCGAAGTAGGCGGCGGGGCTGCAGTATGCTCGCAGTAGCAAATCAGAACGACAAGAGCGGTGTGTGGTGGCAGCCTCGGAGAGGTGCTGTTTGCTGCCGATCCTGACCGCACAGGCAGAACGAGGCAGCACGCCAGGGTGACCCGGTCCTCGTAAATGAATAAGGCGGGCTAAGCTGGTTACCCGCAGCACCGCGATTGGCGTCCGATGCAGCGCGTGCTGCGAAGAGACGCCGGCAGCGCAGTTGCGAGCCCACGGCCAGGATGCAGTGAGCATCGCGGGCAGCGAGCAGTGAAGGCACCCGGCTGCTTCAGCACAAGCGTTGCGAAGAAGCGGCTAGGGCGGTGGGAGGACAGTCCCCATGCGGGCGCGGGCACGCTGATCCGTGAGCCGGGCCCATCGTCGGTGCCGTGATCGACGGTACATGTGAGATGTAGGCGACAGGACGCTGGGAAGAGCGAGCTGCAGCGGGCGAGTAAGAGGCGCGGCGGGCGGTGCCTGGGGGGCCTCTCGCATGTTGCTGCGTCTGTCGTGTGCGCGGTGGAAGCCAGCGGAGCGAGGCACATGAAACAGGCAGCACCAGCGCACGCAACGGGTCGCCATTGGCGCATCCGCGCTCCCCAGCGGGCCCGGTGCGCCATAGCCGGAATTTTCGTGGGCAGCCTCTGCACGGCGAACCAAGGGTGCTCCAGCGGGGGCGCCTGACAGTGTGAAGGCATTTTGAGACGCTTCTTTGGGGCCTTGGCGCCGGTGTGGTGCGTGCAGCAGAGCGTTACTTGGACTGCCAATTTCGTGAGGCCGCCGGGCCCTCTCCCAAACACTCCCTCGACTCACACGACACCCTTCCGCAGCCAGCGCCGCCGTCACCCAGTCTGGCTCGTCCTGTGATCCAGCCGAGCCGACCTGCGGTGTCTGCGCTCTCCGCCCGCTGCTTGCCGCGTACATGGTAGCGAAGGGGAAGAGGAGCCAGGCGAACCGCACGACCAGAGACAACGAGAATGGCCTCGCCGCGCCCGTCGGAAAGCGCATTTCCAGGCAGCGCAGCAACCCGCACCTCAACGGCCACGCCAATGGGACCAAACTGCCGTCGCCGCCGCCGCCCGCGGCCAACGTAGACGACCCGATGACGCAGCCGGCCGCCGCCGCCGCAGCATCTGGCTCCGCTGAAGATGCTGCTGCCTTTGCCAGCACCGCCGCCCCGGCTGCGTCTGCCTCTGCCAGCACCCCCGAGGATCGCGTGCGCGCGGGGTCCAACGTGTCGCTCGACGGCCTCGAGGCCTGCCGCCCGTACGACGCCGACCCCTTCGACTCCGCCCCCAGCGCCCTCGCGCGTGCTGCCAATGGCACAAAGACCCCGCCCGTCTACATGCCCAACATGCTCACCGTGGCCACCACCATTCTCTCGTCCTGTCCTCTGCGGGACGTCCTCGCCATCCTCATCATTCTCCTTCAGCTGCCGCCCACCGTCCTGACCGTGGTGCAGTTCCTATTTGCAACCCTCACCTTTGTCCCTCCCCAAGCCGGAACCCCTCTCTCTGCCCTCTCCGCATTTCCCTCATTCACCGACATCTTCCAGGGCTCCGGCGGGACGCCCTCCCTCTTTACCATTGTCTTCGCTGATGCCCTCATACTGGTGCTCTGGCTGGTACTGTGGGTCCCTGTACAGAATTTCTTCTTGGACCTGGCGCAGGCCGTCATTGCAATAGCCCTAGGGGGCGCCGCAGCTGGCAAGAATGGTACGACCAACAGCATCTTCATCTGTTTCGTCATCATTCTGTCAAATCATCTCTTCAGATTCAGGCCTCTTCGGCAACACATCCTCCATTTTGTCTATACGGGGCTCGCCCGGGGGGGCCTGGAATTTCTGTCGAGCCCTCCGAGCATGCCGACCTTTCAGGAAAGCTTCTCAACACCCCATGGATGGCCCCGCAGCCTCCTGGGAATTCACATTTTAGCTCAAGGTGTCGTTCGCATCATTCGACGATCTCTATCTCGACGGGATGCAGCCCAATCGCTGCCAACCGGCAAGAAGACTGACCCCGAAGCCGGCGTTCACCTCCAGCGCACTTCAACCGCCACCATCGATTCCAATGCCGAAGTTCCTAATTCTTCGAGTACCGATGGCCGTCCGCCTGGGCCATCGCCCGCAACGCATACACACAAGGACAAGGCGAGTAGTAGCCGGAGGAAGAGGAAGCAGGCTACACATGTTCGTAGTCAGCAGCCGTTTTGGGCTGCACTTGCGAGTACAAAAGTCACAGTTCTTAAAGAGATGGAAAGCAGCCGAGCGGCGAACGACGCCGGGGAGGCTAACGCGAAAGACGCTAATCACATTGGAAACGCTGTTTGGAGATTGGAAGACGACCGTGTTTGGATTTCAGAAGTCGGGCATTCCGACATTTCTTTTCGAGTCAGTTTGTGTGGGAGTGGAGACTTTGATGACGTTCAAGAGCAGGTTGGGGGTAGTGGTTCGGGCATTGACAAGTCGAAGCCTTTCTACATCCGTGTCAACGGTGCGGATTGGAGTTCAACCCGGATTCGATCGACCCTGCCGGAAGGGTACCCGGGCGAGGAGAAGAATGGCGTATGGGTGGGAGAGATTTTCGGTCTGACGGGCCTATCAAACTACCATTGCGAGTTTGTGCGGACCAAAGACCGCGAAGTCTTCTATTCCACCAGCCTGATCACTTCTCCGAGCCCGGTCACGGAGCAAGGTGAGTTTACATGTGGCATTGTCGGGGGTCCCAAAACTCACAATCAACAGCAATTGCCTCGGTCGCATCACCTCCACCTCATCAGACATTGAGACCTTCTTCACCCACGACAACCCTGAAGAACTCAATCGCCGCCGCCGACCAACAGTTACAAGAGCAACGGAACCGACTCAAGCGGAACAAGAAAGACCACAAAGCTGCACTCACTGCCACCAAGAAAGAGGTCGATACCCTAGGTACCCGACTGGCAAATGCAGGAGGCAGTGACGAGCGCCAGCGCCAGCGAGTGATGCAGTTCACGCAAAACATCCGTCAAGCTGAGGATGCCGCTGCTGATATCGCTATCAAAATAAGTTCCATGGGCGAGATTCCAGCCGAAGAAACGGAGGAAGCTGCTGTCAAGAAGCGGGAGTGGAAGAAGGAGCGAGACAACAAAGAAGGTGTGTCGACGGAATTCGATAACGCCAAAGCAGAAATCGAACGCCAGGTCCGCAGCGTCGAGTCGGATATCACCTCAGCCGTCCAGAAGCGCGAACGCCTTCAGCAGCGTCAAGCCAAGCTCAATGACCAGCACGACCGTCTCATTACAGCCAACAAAGAGGGTTACACTGCCAAGCAACGCAAGGAGCAGGAACGCCTGGCGCTCCATCAAGAAAGGCTACAGGTTGAGGCACAGTATCGCAGCAACATCAACAGCTTTGAGCGCCGCGCGAACGACTACTACATGGCTACTGGGCAGATCGAGCAGACAATCCAACACTTTGAGACCATTCTCTCGCAGTCTCAAAACATGTCTGTTCCTGCTACGCCTGAAGGTCATCTTCCAGGCACCAACAACATGTCTCCTTACACGCACCCTTTCCAGAGCTTCACGTTCCCTCTCTACAACGACGGTCGAGTCAACAGCACACCAGGTTCTCTCCGTGGCGGTCGCGGACGCTCTTCTTCTATGCTCTCCAATATCTCCGGCTTCACAGATGGCTTCGATGACAACATGCACTCACCCTCTGGCAACATTCTCGGCAACCCTTGGAACGCACCCGGGTTGCTTAACGGAGGACATGGAAGTCATGGCAGTGGCAGTCTCAGCTCTGGTACATCGAGTCAAAGCTCCAGTCAGCGCGATCCGATGAGTCCCGTGCCTACCAACAAGCCCATGATGGCACGGAGCCCGACGGGTGGTAGTGGTGCGTATATGAGTCCAGTTGGCACAGGTCGTTAGGTCCAGATCTCTAGGTAGTCGTCTTCCAATGTGATTTTTGTTTTTGGTGTGGATTACAATGGCTCTTTTGCTGGTCCAAGTGATACGTGTGCTGTGGATGGTTTGCAGTGTCAGCAGCGTAGCTTCATTGATGGCAGACGTGCATGAGGATATCCGACGAATCTTAAGGTACAGTGGCATTTATGAAGGTGAACGTGTACATGACACTTACCATCTGCACGCGAGGTACTGTTTCCCGCTTCACATACTATCTCCACACAAACGCTACTCGGCGTCTACTACCATCATTCACAGCAGCAAACCAGCTGTCCCCACTTACACCAACACACGCATGCCTATACAAATATCACATATCAATCCATAGCCTCGTATCATATCCAACACCTGAGCCCGGTGTCTCGATCCACAACCCGAGCTAACCCTAACGCAACCATGTCTACTATAGACCCCGCCCACTTCACCCACTGCAAATCCCTCATTCTCGACATCGCACGCGCCCTCTACGGCGCCCACTCCCCTTCCCCCAAGGTCTTCGACGTCATCACGTATTCCGCCCCCATTTCCCCAGCACGTACATCCTGCTCGACGGCCGGCCACAGGGTATGCCGCTTCCAAGGCTGCTGTGTGGTGAGCCGCTGGTTTTGTACAGAGGGGTTATGGATACAGACTGGTTCTATTGTGGGTGGCATCTCTGGGGAGTTGAATGGCCCTATTCTGTGATGAGAAAAATGGAAGAATGAGGGCCAGATACTTGGAGATCTTTCAACGTCCTATCGTGGACACTAGCCTGGGTTGTGAAGGATGGTGATGCACTTTCTGTGCCACGCATGTGTCTTGCGATGAGTGGCTATTTCGTCAGTTGGATTACAGTCTTGGAGATGCAGGCTAGAATTTGCTTTGCATACGTGCATAAGCTAGCGCATGGGGTTCCGAGACACCCGGGGATATGAGACACCGCGCAGAAATCCTTCACCCCTCAAAAAATCGCGATAATTGATTCAGCATAACTACAATTGCCACTTACTACACA